GTTAAGGTAGTAGTCAGGATACTGGTCGTTTGACATAAGATAGAAACCAGGATTCCTTTTATATAGCTTTATTTTGACAGCGACTTCTGGTAATAAGTAGTTATCTAAATGAAACAATTCATGCATAATCCGTCCCAACATTTCAAACGGAGTACCTTCCTTTGTAATATTGTATCGTGCAATTAAACTTTCATTGCTCTTAAGTACTAATAAATTTGTGTGGTCCATGCTTTGTTCAGGGCGTTTGTCGTTAATCTTGTCTTTTTTCCATAAAATATTTCTCAATAAATTTTTCTTGACTCCTCTTGAGTAATTTAATAATGTATGAAAAAATCCTTTATATCCATAATTATTGTAGCTGACAACCAGCGGCGTTCCATTAAGTTCAACTTCACACCTCTCGAAGCACATATACAATAATAAATTAACTGCTGCGGCATCTCTAATTCCGTGAGTAGTAAGTAAATTAGAGTAATGTGTCTGCTGTTCACTGGTGAGCCCTTCAACCGTTTCTTCTACGCTGGGTAAGTCTGCTGTACTTTGTTCAACCGCTGAGTTTGATTGATTTTGTGCCGATGACACTACCGCATTGGCTGGTGCTTCGCTTCCGTCTAACGCCCGTTTCACAACGGCTGGTTTGGTTTTGATAGGACCTAATGGTTTTGTTGAATCTTTACTTAGTATTTGGCATCTCATATACAGAAAAATGTCCGATAAGTCTGGAAATATGATTTTCAAAGTTGATTACATGTTAAGCGCGTATTCAGGATTTTATGCCTAAACAGTCCTGTGATGGTGGAATTAAAAATTCAATAACTTCGGAATTGTTGACTACTTGATTAATAGGTAACAGCTCCGCTGTGTTACTAGCTACTATGATCGATTGTGATACTGGTGGTTTAAAAAGTTGTAATTGCTCTGGAAATCTTTCTACAGTTCTTTGCGCTTTTCCTGTTGCCATTTTCTAAACAATCGAAGCTAAGGTTCTTCCTCTTACAACTTTTTGGAACAATCCCGTGCGGAAACTTGGTTTAGTTTTTCTTCTTCGCCGACGAACAGGGCGTATTACAGTTGATTGAACAATAGTGCGCTTAACTACTCGCCGTCTGGAAGGCTTTTTCTTGTTTCGTCTCTTACGGCCAGCCGTTTTTGAAAAAATGTAAAATCTGTGGCAGCCACCGACCTCTATCAATTATTGATTCCAGTACCACATTGCAATTTATACTCGTTGTCCGTACGCAGGGTGTAGTGTGCAGTGTGACTGCTCAGCGGTTGATTTTTGATTATAATCTTCTGTTATATTGCATTACACAATCAGATCGCAATCAACTTTCTGCAGAAAAATTTATCAGATTTTTATCACGCGGTAAACTCACACAACTCAATCGCATGATAAGCGCTTGCAACAGTCAATGTCTCTATAAACTACGAGGCTCTCAGAATTACTGGTTCGAAACAATACTGTAGCATGCATGCCTCATCACACAACCGACACTACAAACAAAATGATTTAAAAAAACGCACAAACTCAACTATTTTCTGCATGATAAAATTGTTGGATAATAAAATGAAATAACTAATGCCAGTAGAAATCATAACACAGGTCAAACTAAAGAACAACACTTAATAAAACAATGATTCGTCAGAAAGTGGAGCTTTCACCTTGCGGTAATGCAGCGTTATAGTGGTTTCGCCGATCATATCATCACTCCACAACATTTTCCAATCTAATTGGATGCGAAACAGTGGGTTCGCGTTAAAAAACCAATTATGCACTGGAAAATAGGTGACTGAACGTGGTTCATAACCTTTCTGCAGGTCGGCTATTGCTGTTATTCTTAATACACTTTCCGGCGCGTTTCCAACCGGTGATGCAGCAACATTAGTCATTCCTAGCAAAACCTGTCGTAATCCACGGTTATTATCGACCAACATACGGTTCCGTATCGTCGATGTATCAATGCACATAGAAAAATTCTTGTCCGGAACAAAAGAATTCAACACGCAAACTCTGGAATTATGTACGTCTTCATCACGTGGCAATCCTAAACACACTGACAGAAGATTTCCGCGATTCAGAATTTGAAGTGCTTGAGTATCGCTTTTCCAAGTAAACTTTCCGTCCTGCAACAAAAGTTTTGGACGCGGAATGCTTGAGATTCCTGATATTACTGTATCCGTTGCTTTGCGAACTGCTGATACAAGGTCAGCTGGTGACTCAAAGTCCACTTGCGAAAGGTGAGCGTTGATGTACTGTCCGTTCACGAAAAAAGGTCAATATTCTTTGCTCAATAGGGATCTGGGTTAAATCTGCTGAGGTATAAGCTCTAATCCGCGCAACCTCCCACGGTTGTTCTTGATTGCGAATAGAAAGTGTAGGGTAGTGCTGCTTGTTTGAAAAAATTGTCGGTGTATTCTTTAGAGAGAGTGCTTCACTTCCGGGAGCCGCTGCACTGTGCATAATCACATAAAATCCATCCATCATAATCTACAATTTCAAGGGAAGAAAATTTAGACATTCGGAGATAACTTATCATAAAAGAGCATACCTAACACGAGAAAGATCTTCTTTATAAAACTGCGCGGCCCGTTCACCATCGGTAACGATAACTTTTTCCTTGTCTGCTGTTATTAGATTGTATGTTATTACTGGGCCATATATAATCCGTTGGATATGAAATAGGGTATCAGAAAAATTTCTTGTGTCACCTTTTTCAAATTTTTTCTTTTTTAATAATATCCGTACTAAATCACCAATCTTGAATGCCGGTTTTTCCAATTTAATAAAACCTTTTTCTTGTCCTTGTTTAAATAGAGTCGATTGATTTTTAAGCGTTACATTAGCTGGTTTTTCTTTTATCTTAGAAGGGATGCAGCTTTTGCATTTCGACTAAGTCTGCATGCCAAACATTATCAACACCGATACAAAAGTTTTTAAGCTTATTAAATTTAATTCTTAAAGGTTTGTGTAAAGTATACGTAGATTGTTGAGATAGAAAATCTTTCACATCCTTATGTGTGATTTTTACACGTTTTGCTGCTTCCTCCTCTTTAGCTACAGTGTACAGCGTAGAAGCTCCAGATAGATAAGCCGGTGAATTAACATCAGTATAAATTTGCTTTAATAAGTTCAACTTTCTACGGTGCTCTGAAACCGACATTGTATTAACTTTTTCGTACCTTATTCAACGTGAATTCTTTCCAAATCTTTTCCGCTTCCGCTTAATATCGTAATCTAATTTATTTTGTCAAAATTACGAAGTAAATGCGGTTGAAATTGCGAACAAATTTCGTCAGCTAAACACAAGTGGCGTTGTTAGTACATTGCATCGATGCATTTTTATCATGAACTGTGAGCGAGGTAGTAGATTTAAGATAACTTAACTTCTCGCTTTCTCACGAGAGGGCGGGTTTGCGATGCTTATCAGCTAGCCATTTAATACAAAAATTAGAACCATTGAAACAACATCTGAAATGGTGCGGAAACATTTCTATGTTATCGTTAACATTGTCACTAAGATACTAGGTTTCAGTGTTTGCTATAAAACTTTGACCAAAAATAAAAACGAGCCGTTAATCTGCAAACACCGCGCTGGGATTTCTACTGAGGATATTTTCTCCGAAGGTGTTGGTCGTTCGATTGTTACTGCCAGGCAAGACGCAGCTAAAAAACTTTTGTCTATTTTATTGAGAAACTACCACTCACGACTTTTAAATTCACTTGATGAGCCCTCTTAAGACGTTTCGATTCCTTACCACAGGCTTCTCGAAAATATCGCTATTGTTTTAAATTTTGATATTGAATATCACCATCGCTCTCGTAGCGGTTCCGGGAACACCACAGTCTATACTTGTGAAGTAAGCATTCCTAATCAAAATTGCACGCTGCCGGAAGCGGATCAGGCACTATCGTAGCCAAGCAATCTGCAGCTCGACGTTTGACTTGCGTTGTTCTTAAGGAAAACTATACGATATTTTTGGAAATTTTGGACACACCGCCAGTCATTGTTACATAAGAATGGGAAAACGCACTTTCGGGGATATAGAGCGTCTGCAATCCAATCCGACATTGACTGAGCTGCATCCACCACTTTCTATTATTCTTGTAAGTTTTGAAAAAGTGTATTGAGACATGTATCTACGAGACTTACTTTTGTCACGCTTATTATTCAATAAACAATTTTATTTTTTTATAGCCTCTTCCGGTACCGATATTGCTGTACTGTAGCTCATCGGCAATTGCCAAAACTCGTGTAATCAACTTTTATCATTATCGAAATATAATGGAGCATCCGCTGATTCCTCTCGAGAGCTACTTCAGACTTGCTCTGAAAACATTCACAGTGACGCGTGAAGGAATTGCTGCAGACCCAATCGCTGGACACGTTGTAGATCCTTATTGTAGATATACATCACTGGAAATTTTTGGTCATTTTAATGTGCGGCATATTAATCAGGTTTTCAAAAATTATTTTAAACATTTTGTCCAGGGTTTAAAATGTATGAGCTGCTGTACGTTGATAAGTCGAAAACGTAGACGATTATGTTTCCATTGTCTAGCTTGCAACGGAAATGAATTTGTTATTAAGAGCCAGGGAACTTAGCGCACATTTATATAATGCTAGCATTTATTACCACTTTTTTAGTGTTCTTTCTGCACTTCAATGTAAACGGTGATCAGATTTACCGTGTGACTTCAGCGATTTAATAAACGATGTGAGTTATGTATGTACTACCATGCTGCTTTTGTTCTTCGAAAAAGTTGACTACGGGCTGTCATGCTACTTATTTGCAGAATTTTTCCATGGCATGTTCCGAGACAAGATGAATTCACGCGAGCGTAAATTATTAGAAGATAAATCCCTAAAACTAAATTTACATATCATGCTTGTAAATACAAAACTCATCGGAAGATAAAAACATTGAAAATTTCATTATTAAAAACACGCTGTGCATAATCTTCTGACAAGACAATCATAAATTTCCGTCCGTATCAGAATTCACAGGGCTCCAGTCACAACAGGTCCGTTTGGTTGAGGCATTTCTTTTGCGTCCGCAAACCTAAAAATTAAAAAATGTGCAAGCGTCTTAGAAAATTGTGCAAATAGAAATCGACTTATTACAACAAAAACGAAATATTCGATGATTCTCAGGTTATGCAAAATATCAACAATTTTACCATGGGCTGTAGCTTGGTGGGATTGCAACCAGTGTAGGGTGCTAAAAGGTCTGGTTGAATAGCACAAGTTGCATAGGTATTTGTTTTTATGACTTCCCCTTATGTGAGCGTTAAGTGCAGTCTTTGATTTGTAAACATTTGAACATTCTGAGTATGGGCAGGAAAACATAATGTCGGAATCAGATAATCCTAAACTGACAGTTTTTTGGATGGAGGTACGAAGGGGAATTTCCGATGACATAGACTGAAGTGCAATGACGCATTGGAGGTCATCAAACCAAATGTGTCGGAAATGCTGGTTTAAATAAGCAATCAAAGATAAAAACATCCGTTTGTCCAATTACGCTAGGAAATGTTTTGATAAATGCGTCAGAAGATTTCAGTAACTTTCCATATTTTTTATACTGACGGACAGGAAAACGACGACCATTGACCAGTTGTGCGGCAGCAGAGGATCGAGCTGATAATCGTTCTCTTAAAAGACGCATCCAAGAAAATAAAACCTTGGAATTTCCGTCTTGCCGCAGCTTTGAGCACTAGGTTAAAAAAGATTATAAGTTAGAAAAATGTGACCACTTATTCACCTTTAAGGATGAGCGTCTTGTAAAAGTTCAACTTTTACCTTTTCACGCATCAGTATAGCCGTGTCTACTACAGAGAGCCATCTTTCATCGACAAAATTTCGCGCTTGGCTTACTGTCCCACCGAGATTAACTACCGAGTGAAGGACGCCAGGGCCGAGATACATTACAGTGCCTGGCTCTTGAACAAAGCATACTGGAGTAAGACCAAAGTTTTTCCGGAGAGCCGGCGTAGTTGCCAATCTTTTAAAGAAAAATTCATGGCCACAGGACTGCTTTTGTCTATAATGCAGTGGCTTGACCTTTCTAGTCAAATGATGTAATCATGTAAAAAAGTGTTGACTTATGCAAAAGTTCTCGTTTTGAGCACTGTACCTGAGGGATAATCTGGATCGGAGCAACCGAACAAACTAGCGTACATTCTTACAACCTTCTCGATTTGTAGTACAGGAAAAACAGTCCAGATTTTCACTCCTGGGCCTGCAGAAAAAAATTTTTCTATTTTTTGCTTATTAACCCTAATTTTTTTTCATCCAAGAAAAAATCTAAAATCGTCTTACCTACCGAAATTTACGCTAATGCTGTTAAACAGGCAGTCTTCGAAATGATCAGCAACCGATGTGAGAGACTCGCCAATTAATAGCCATGGACGAGAAAGACCGGCCCCAGATATGTAATCTGCAAAAATTTCCTCGAGCTTTGTATTACACAAATTGATATTAATTAGTCCCGGAAGCATATCCTCGTCGGTGAATATCGAGGACGATAAGGAAATATCCAGAGCTTGAGCATAAATAACGTCCTTCGCAACGGCGGCTTCAATTACGTTCAGCGACTCTGTTTCTGGATTATTTCGAACAGCCCTAATGTGGTATATTTCGTTCGACCTACAAAACGATGGCATTACACGACGTTGATACAGTTATTACTTTTTCACTGCAACACAATACATTTCGCAATCAATTTCTTAGATTTTGCCAATTTTTAATGACGTTAGAATATTTTTTCTCCAACGTCCTTATTTAATTTAATCAAAACAAATCATAAAGAGTTGATTACTAGGTAATTATGCATACGTTAATTATGTTGGCGTTTGTTGTGCATAAATTGAAAAAGCGTAACTTGAATACGCTTGAGATGATTATTCTTGAGAATATACTAGTTGCTTATGTTTTTAATTCCCGCTTTCACACAGTTCATTTTTGGAACCTATCTATAATATAACAATAATATTAACGATCTATAATAAACGAAGTACTTATCTGTCCATACGTTAGTTTAAGAAATTGCGTGGCCATCTTATGAATTGGTCTGGTTTTTGTCTGTTTTGATCCTTCTCCAATAACAGTCCAAAAGCTGTTTCTAGTAACTGGACTCGTACGTTGCGATTCTTGCAACTGGCAAGGGTAGTTAATTTTTCCAATAATACCATCTGGTTCCAAAGCGGACGCAACACCGGAATCGACAAAGTAGCGCTCATAGTAATCCTCTACCGCAGCTGAAATCAATCTGAAAATATTTGAAACTATATAAAATTTTGCTTGGATAATAAATTTATCAAGCATACTGTTTAACTGTATTAATTTAGCTATGAATAATCTAAATATTTATTTTGCCGGGTGGTTTACCTTGTAGCAACCGACGGTGTCCAAAAAATTTTTGCATACCCTAGTGTCAAAGCTAAAGACCCGAAACAACCCTGATGGCGTTGATGGAATACATCACAAGATATATTAACCACTGGTCCTTTTTCCAAAAACCTAAAACCGGTACTAATCATTTTATAAAATTTATACACTGCTTTAGTGTTACCCATAATTCGACATTTTAGTGTACTCCGGCAAGAAAACTGCAATAATAAAACTAATATTAACAATCGAACCACTACATTTGCAACTAAAATAATTCGAAAAAGAATTGATTATTCGTAGTAAATTACGAATAACTGATTGAAAAACATACAGGTACCTGATTTATCGTTGTTCACGACTGTTGATCGTACATCAGTGTTCATTCCTCATACTTCCTTTCTCATTTCTCATTGCTTGACTCATTTCTAATATGTCATTCCTCATTCCTCATTGCTCGTACCTCATTTCTCGTACTTCATACCTCATTTCTCATTTCTCATTTCTCATTGCTTGTCTCATTCCTGATACCTCATTTCTCATTCCTCATTTCTCATTGCTTAACTCACTTCTAATATATCACTTCTCATTCCTCATTCCACATTGCTCGTACCTCATTTCTCATTCCTTGTACCTCATTTCTCATTCCTCATTTTTCGTTTTCAATTTCTCGTATCTAGTTTCATTTCTAAATCCTCATTTCTCATTTTCAATTTCTCGTTTCTTTATGTCTCATTTCTTCTTATTTTTTATTTTCTCGTAATGTGTTCTCAGTTACTTGAAAAACTTTACGTAAGATGATTACGTTCCTGTCCTCCTGTAGAAATCGTATCTTAACATTTCCATTGATGAGCTATGTTCTTTTTTCAGTTAAGTATTGTTACCGTTAATGCTCACCAATTCTCACATATTTCAGCAACAAACGGAGTCAAATGTTATGATGTTAAATATTCTTACCGTTAACATACACCGATTCTCACATGTATCAGCAACAAACGAAGCCAAATGTTACTACTAAATACTTAAGTGCGAATAGAAACTTGATTAATTATTTATTACGTACTTCAAATCAGTGTGCGATATAAAATCCCATTGCATTTGTATAACCGCAGATATTCACTGTCATTATTAGAACTACACAAAAACACTGTAGTAGAGCGGCACGTGTAACTTCCATACACAGAACTTCATCTTATTTGGTAAAGTATGTGTGCAATATTGATTTCATTTTTGATATTTAATGTATTTCCCAAAAGCCCAGAATGCCAACCGCGATGTTAAAGATAGAGCGGCTGTCTGAGGCAAAGTGCAAACTGTTATCGGTCACGTAAGTGTGCGGATGATCGGCTTGGTACAACCATTTGAAGAATTTTTGTGGAGGCAAATAAACTGTTCACTGTACATGAAAACTTTTTACTGTATAAGCTTGTAAGTCTCGCGCAGCATGCGGATTTGTGAGTGCATTATAACCGTAACAAAATCTACGTAAAATTAAAGCTAGAAAAAAGTAAAATTAATTATTGAGAATATCACGAAACATTCGAACAACATCGGTCATAATGACACATGCTTTATATTTCGCCCAATTTTCAGATTTTGTAATATTTTGCTTTATTTTAAGTTTTGACATTTTGAAATAACGTAGCATACTTATACGTATTGTGCTTGCTCCTACTGTGGTAGTACGCGTACGTATATACGTAGATACCGTACATATACAGAGTAGCTCCTTAACGTATTGATAAATTTTATTTTTAATTTCCAATCAATTTTCACTTGTACGTATACAAGTATACCTACTTACTTAGTAGCGAGTTATTTTATCCGTAATAGTAAAGTGATACCGCACAAACATAGTAGTACTTACTACACAGCCCAACTGATGCCCACAAATAACAAAGCAAAAACAGTACAAAATTCCCGAAAAAACTTCATACAGGATAAATGCATAACATTGCTAAATGTACCGTATAAGACTGGTTGTACTGCAACTAGATTCACTTCGAATTTTCGGCGCACAACAACTTTAACGCATAATAAACGAAACCCGCAATAATATCATGAGAAAAAAAACGCGCACATGATATGAAACCGAGCAAGTGATGAATTACAGTGGTTCAGTACGTTTTCCTAACATGATCTCCAGATTCGTAGCCACCGCTCTTAGGTAATCCGCACCGTCCATTTGGCCGTAGCTGGAAGCGATATTTTTAAGTCGCTTGGTGACCTCAACATATTTTTTCTTCTGCCTCGGTTCAGCACCTGGCATTCGCAACGCAACCTCTGTTTGCTGGTGGGTGATTTCGCTTGCCAAAAGGTCATGAAAAGTATAGATGCCGGGATGGTCTCTGTTCACTACATCCGAAAAAGCGTGGTGCCACGCTTCAAGCCGATTCGTTGTGCGATGAATATCGTTTTCCAGCCGATCCCAGCAATTCCAGAATTCAACTGGGAATAACGGTTTGGTGATAATGCACTTGTTTGTTGAAATCACGAATGCGGTGTGGCCGATGTAGGTTGTTCGCAAATAATCAATAAAAGCGTCGCCATGCTTGAACGGAAAATCCGGTATTTTTAGCAGATCCGCGAGCACACGCTGAACATCTTTGACTGGGACAAATGCCAGTGCGAGAAGCATGCGACAACACAAGCTGAATTCTGGATCAGTGGCATATGCAGGCCCCAGATTGACGGGTTTTCGGTAAACGCTTTGCCCAAAATGAAAATTGCAACCTAAACCATAACCGGGTTAAAGTATTCGTTAAATTCATTTAACATAAATTAAAAATGGCTAAAACTGACGTTTTTGATTTATTGATCAATTTTTATAAATTGTTGATAATTGAGACCTTATTGTTTTATAACTACAAAACGCTATATTACTATAAACTGTTGCAATGCAACTAAAGTTCTAAATTTTTTTACACGTTATATTTAATATTAATCAATATATTATTAAAAATTTTTTTTAATATAATGACGCACTTAAATCGGAAAAATTAACGACAAAATTTGTTTAAACAGAAACATTTTCGCATCAAAATATGATTATTCGGTAATTAAAATTTGATTAAAACCTTTACAAAAATTTAATAAAATTTAACAAATTTCCACAGCTTTTTCATATTTTGTTATTATGTATTGTAATGTTTTTTTTAGCCATCATACCTTACAATAATTCGAGGTTCAGTGCAGTTCATTAGAAATCTATTCAAAAAATATTCTATTTAGGCTTAAAATTAATGAGACTTTTTTAGATAAAAACATGATTTAAGATTATGATTTTTACCATTTATTCACTTATTTTAAATTATTTTTTAAAGTGTGCTAGTTTTTTATTCTTGTTTTTTTCTGTACCTCTTAATTTTGACACCGGAAAACAGCTCGAAATGCGATAATTGAGGACTGCTCGAAATCCATGAGCATATATTCCGGCCCAATCGCACCCGGTCGCCTTTTTCCCAGCAGCAGATCATGAATGATGATGAAAAATCGGCGGTATGTTAGCTCGCATTTATTAGGAAGCAATCCGTATATGAGAGGTGTTGCCGCTCCACATACATTCGCGTGGACAGTGTACAGCTGTGAGAAGATGGGCGGGCTCACGCTGAAAGTTCCGTCACTGAGCCCAACAGCTGCGTTTGCAAGGTGATCAATACATTTAGGGTCTCCGAATACAATGATTCTGTGCTGATCTTCCCGTCCGGTATCAGCAATAAGAATCGACTCCCCACGCGTATTTTCTTTCAGAAAGTAGCCTCCATCAATATCTGCGAGAGTGTTGACACGTGTCGCGGGAATACCAGCCGCCTTCCTTTGACGTACAACGGTCTGCGCAAGGGCATCGTATGATGTCATTTTAACGGCCACGGTAAGCGGAATATCGGCGCGAATTTCGTCAATTATCTGCCGTGGTCTTTCCAGTGTTGTCGCTGCACGGGCTTTCAGAACCTGCCTTGCCGACTTTGCTCTGACCTTTACAACGTCCGGAGCGTGGGAGTGTTGGTCGCGTTCGGTGGCTTTTCCATTAACATAAAGCAGGCGAGCATTACACTGGTCCTTCTCTCTACAACGCCAGTTTTGACACTGCTCCGTTCTCACATCTCCCCGTTTCCACGATTCAATATACTCATATCCATTGTAAATCAACACTTTTCCCTTGCGGTTAGTCTGAGAAAACGTTACTTCGCCCATTATTTTCGCTAGCACTAATAAGTCGCTTAGTTGTACAAAAACAGCAAAGTTGATTTTAACTTTATCCGTATTAAAAAATGAAACAGAAGTCCAACTGCCGAGTGAATTCGAATTGCGAATATGGCAGTCAATGAGAGCATAAGTACAGTACACTGATATACCAAAATCGAACTCATCGGAGCCGCCCGTGCGCAATTATTACAGCTAGGTTTGTTATCCCGCTCATTTCGAACTGCACGAAAGTTGTGTAGTACCCGTAGGCTTCTAGCGGTATTATTGCGGGTGGTAGGACAAATGACAATTGTGTTAAAAGTACAGTAATTTGTGGTATTGTAGTGATTGTACTGTACTTAGGTAATTACTAAAAATCAGTATGGTCGCGTAATAATTCTAATCATAAATACCGATGTATGAATACTGCCATACGTATTTAATATCTAAGACAGTTGCATTAACGTAGTGGTGTTGCTGTAACGTCAACTGCAAAATGTCCTCTCAGTGTTAGCCGAAATGAATGGCAGCCGAAATGAATGACAGCCGAAATGAATGGTGGCCGAAATGAATGGACACGAGCCATTCTGCATCTGGAGTCTGCAGAGGAACTCCGATTCGTTCGCGGGTCAGCTGTGTTTGCATATTGTGACGGCGTCGTTCCGTTTAGTACGCATACTCCGCTTCTTTTCCTTACTCCGTTCCGAGAATTTCAGCCCTGGAGTATTCTGTTCCTGAACGACTTTGTCCAATTCCGACTTCTGGTAAAAGGAATGGAAACTCAGCACCATCTTTTTCAGGGCAGTTTCCGTTACGTCATCGACGTTCCGCAGATTCAAAGCTCTCTGCAGTCGCTCCGCTTGCGTCGTAATGGTGCCATATCCAAAATGAATACCCAACATAGATGGGTGTTGTGAAATGCGCGGATTCGTGTGTTCGTCACACGAATCATCCTTCTACATCGTAGGAGGTTGCAATTTCGGATCCATAAAAACGTTCGGCGCTGATGAGAACTTTTCAAGATCGCTTTGTTGGCGATCTGCTCGTTATAGACGACGGGTTCTCGGGTTCGTCCCCATCTACGGAATGTAGCTGTGACATCCTGGATGACTGGCTCCGTTTCGGTGATGCGTTTCATCAGCGCCGGCATATTCTCCACTCGTTTGTCGATGGATGGGTGTCGTGGGGCTGCGGGTTCCTGCGTAGATTTCGCGAACTGAGCCAAATTAAAAATCGGCAGCGTACCTGCTTTCGGCTTTTCAGTTGGCTGTGATGGTGGGCGTTCAATATCCCTCCAGCGCTCTTCCGTCCGTCGAATTCGCATGTGCGTTTCCACGATGACTCGTTCGCGGAAGTTCTCGTTGTTGTGCGGACTCTCCCAATACTCTGGACGAATAAACTCCAGGTAAGCCGTCACGTTCCCAAAGATGGCTTCATAGAAGAGTTCTGCCACTTTCTGCGGTTCCGTCAATCCGGACAACAAATGTCGTACGCATGGTCGTTCGCCATTCTTCTGGCATCGTTCGCAGTTTTCGTGGAACTTTTCAATCTTATACGCCATTTTACCAGTAAAGAAAACATATTCAAAAATATTCACTGTCTGCCGGCTATGCAGATGAAGGACTGATTTTCATGCGGATTTTGCCGTTCGCCAAACACGTGCGTCTCGGTCATTCATGAAATTCGTGGGCGTGGTAGACAGCTGCAGGCTGTTCGTCAGCCAATCATAGCGTTTCCTCTGTATAATTCTTTCAGTTGGGCGTAATAGACAGAAACAGGCTGTTCGTCAGCCAATCGTAACGTTTTCTTTGTCTACTTCCTTCCAGCCGTCTTATATCGGCCATCGTCTTCTTCGTAATCCAGTTCATCTGCTACCGTATTTCAATTTGATTTTCAGTGTTATTCGGCAATCCATTGATGATATAAATTTGTAAATAATTAAAAATCTTTCGGATTGTCGATCCATTAGGGTGACGAATGTCTCTGATGGCGCGATTAACAGCCTCCGTCCAAAAGAAAGGATTTTCAAAATCTGCATTTATTCGATTCGTAATGCTGCACGGTTGCTGATAAACTGCTTCCCAGCTGCCGTAGTATCGTTCCACGAGACGTGCATTTCTGGCGTGCAGTTCCAGTTCTTCTTGGACTCTTTCTCGCGCAATTCCACTCATTCCTGGCTGTGCACGTATTGCCTCCCAAATTCTGATGGCTGTAGGTCGGCTTTGCGTATTTTCGACGATTCGTATCGCCTGAGTAATATTATCCGTAGAAATGAATACCGGTGCATCCACTGAAAGTGCTGCACTATGTGAACTTGCGGGAGACAAGGGATCGTGCGGGTTTGTTCGACGGTTTGCTTTTCTCGCGACTGGTGGTCTGGATGTTCCAGGAAGTGGTTCCGGTGCTGTCTGTGTCAGCCGGGCCGAGCGTTGCGTACGCTGGCTAATTCTTTCACTTCGTCGCGGTTCAGATTGTGGTTCATCCAATAAAATTACAGATGTATTCCCCTCGCCAGATGATGTTGTATCGTAACGACGTTTGGGTTCTATCACGGCGTTAGAATATCGCTTATGCGTCGTTGGTGCTGGGCGTACATCTGGACCATATGGTGTTTTTGGAATTTTATTCGCCGGTGTTCCAATCAGGCCAGACAATCGTTGTCTGCGTGATGCCATTAAGGCATAACGTGGCTCTGGATTATTTCTCTGGCGTATAACTTCCGTCGAATGTTGTTCAACCAGGGCATCCACCGCTCGACGGACATTTTGCTGTTGTTGAATCCAGTCTACTGCAGGTACTGGAAAACGGCGTTTAAATGTCGTAAAATTTCGTCGTAAGTGGATCCCTTTGGATTTCGAATTTCTTTTAAAGCCTTTATAATCGCCTCTTCAGTTCTGTGTGGCGTGTCCATCGTGTAGTCTTCGTGACCACGTTGCCTTGACTCTGGATTCACGTAAGCTGCATCTGTCTGCCAGTCGTTATATGTTTACAAAATCGTTCCACGCTGCACTCCTTGTTTCAGTGCGTACTTGAATAATTTCATATCCGCTTTACGATTATGAATATCTTTTTCCCATTGGCGATATTGCTCTTTCAGGTAAGCCATGGAAGGCTTACGTTTTCGTTTCTTGACTGTTTCAATGCACTCCTCGATAGCAACAATTGCCTGGGTAATTTGTGGAATGTCGTACTGCCGTTCGTCGGCATGTCGAATGCGGGATTCAGATCGTGCTGGTGTCGATGCGCGTGAAACAGGGACTGAAGACAGTTCCGAAGGAATTTCTGAATCTCGAGACTGCATCACTTCATCCAACTTCTGAATTTTAGTCTGTGTAGACTTTTCCTCTGTCACTTTTCGACGGCGATTCATTTTTTTCGTAGGAATACGCAACGTAATTGATTCATTCATTGGATCGTCGGATTGTTTGATGAACGCTTCAATCTGTCCTGGCTGTCGCATCTGAGCGTTTAATTCCGCGCGTAATTCTTCCATAATTTGCCGGCGATACTGTTCGTCAGTATTAGGTAGCCCGGTAATTCGTATACGGTCTCGTGGATTCTATGCGCGTAAATCAGCCATAATCTGGACAGTCTCTCCACTTGATTGACGTGACACTGACGCTGGGCGCGTGGCCGTACATGTAGAAGTAGCCGTAGTTGTTGTAGTGGTATTCGTTGCAGATGTGACGGCAATCGTATAAATCGGCCTCGGGACGCTTCGTTGCGAGTTGATCCACTGTTGCTGTGCTCGTTGCGCGTGTGTCACTGGTGGTGCTTCCTACAGCACAATAACTGGCGTTAGAGGAACTGTCACAGTGCCACTTCTCTGCTGATATGGGTTTTGCTGATGTGTCAGCGAGACACTCGGGAGTCGTATCGGCACTTGAATTTCTTGTGCTGCATTTCGCGGATCGTAGATGTAAGGACTGCGTAGTGGTGGATTAAAATATCCTCCACGATTCATCGGGGGTGGTCCCCGTCTTGGTCCGCGTCCACGTGATGGAATCGGGACAGGTCGTTGATCCTGATTCTGCTCTCGATCCATGTTATTCTGGACGACAAAGATAACATAAAATAATTCCAACTAGTCCACGTAAATATTTCCCGGTAATTATCGATAGAAAATATTCATAGAATTAACACGTGCCGTTCTGCCCGTTTTATGTAATTTAGAATAATTAATCATTTTCCTAGGGCGTAAAATTATGCGTTTCAGCTGGTTCTCATGCTCATCCTCTAAATTTGTATTCAGAGGCGCTGTCAACATTTCGTTGGGGCTTTTGCGTTTAGGCCCATCAATAATTTCAGCTGATTTATCCGGCACGGTATCGATGGCGTTTATCACTTCTTGTGATTTATCGCTATTATGCTTAGGCGTGGATTCCTTTACTTTTTCCGTTGCCTGCGGTATGGGAATTTTTTGCTGTTGCGGTGCTATCGTAACACCTAGAGTTTCTTCTTCCACATTTTCCCACTCGTGTTCGTTACGAGTATTTGATTCCGCTGGTTTAATTGGCAACTTTATTCGTAATTTGGGAATTTTCCGCAGTTTTCCGCGATCCCAGTTTCGTAAATGTCCTCTTTGCACGTACATCGCGAGTGAATCTGCTATGCTACGCATCTGCCGCTCAACTAAACCGCGTTCTTCCGGGTGGTATGCGCATCCAAGGTGTCGTTCAATTTTTAAGATTTTCGTAATCTTTTCAAAGAGTTTACTCGTAAACTGTCTACCATGAAGGGAATATGCCCAGCGTGTAAGTCGCGGATTAATTCCATCCCGTTTCGACGTCGATCGTAAGAGATTTGCCAATGCTTGATGGTCCGTTTTGCCGGTAAATTCACTGTAATCAACATAATGTCTAAATTTATTTACAGCGAATACGACAGGGTGACACTCCAGCTCCGTAGGTGCGTATTTCTTCTCAGCGTCTTTTAGCACACGGCTTGCGTAAGCCACCGGTTTTCCATCCTGGCTGAGAATCGCTCCAATTCCCACGTAGCTAGCGTCGCATTCTATAACCACGCGTTTTTCCGGATCGAATTTTACTAAAATTGGCGCGTTGGTGAGAAGATGTTTGAGTCGTTCAAACTCTTCGTCGTGTTTCTCATTCCAGTCGGCCTTGATGTCTTTTCCGCCTTTCAGTAAATCGTATAAATTACGCGTTTTATTGGCGTAATGGTGGATGAATTTCCGGTAATAATCCGCGAATCCAAGGAAAGAGCGTAGCGACTTTTCGTCAGTCGGCTTTTTCCTTGCGTTAATCGCGTTGATTTTCTCCGGATCCACTTTATTCCTTCCTTTGATACGATGTGTCCGAGGAAATGAAGTTCCTCCTTGGCGATGTGGCATTTCGATGGCTTTAGCGTAAAGCCAGATTTACGTAAACATTCGAATAATGCTCGTAATTTCATTATGCCATCTATCAAGTCTTTGCAGGCGCATATTAGATCGTCTAAAAATGCGAAAATTCCTTTTAATCCCATCGCCTTTAATGGTTGTATCGTGGTATCCATCGCAGCTTGGAAGGTCGCAGGACCATTACAGACGCCGAAAGGCATCCTCGTAAATTCGTAAAGTCCATCCTGCGTTATAAAGGCTGTCTTTTGTCTCGATTCCTCGTCCATAGGAATTTGCCAAAATCCTTGGTGACAGTCGAAAGTGAAGAAAAGTGCGTTGCCGGCCACGGCTTCCAGTAGTTCATCGGGGTTTGGCAAGGGATAGTTATTTTTGCGCGTGAATATAGTTGACACAGAATCTCGTATTCTGCCAACCGGCTAGACGATGTCCATCTGCGTTATGTTTTATCGCTAGTACCACTGGAAAACTCCATGCTGACTTTGATGGTCGTATGACGCCTTTCGCTAACATGTCCTTTACGTGCTCCGAAATATATTCTTTTCCCTTCCAGCTTGTACGGTGTGGCGGGCACTACAGGTTTAGCGTCACCTGTATCGATATGATGCTTTGTACTACTGCCGTCACGTGTACCCAATTAGTTTCCACGCGAGTTTCTTCACATCATTTTCTTCCTGCATTTCTTTCAACTCCTCTGGTGACATCTCGATCACACTATTATTGCTGTCCGGTTCGTATGCACGATTATCCGGTGCTATTATCTGTTGACGGGTGAAGTACGGTTTCCTTGTGGGAAGTATGGTTTTATCCGTGCAATCACGTGCCGGTTTGTCCGACATCTGTTTGCGTAACCATTCCCGAGCTCTTCGCGTTAATTCTTCGAGATCCTCTTTATCGGGATTTTCTTCTTGCTGCTCCTTATTGTTGTGAGATAGTGGCATCTCGACCGGTGCCACCGGTATAGGGAGAGATGACACTATCTCTGCTGCCGTATTATTTTGCGTTTCGTACGCATCCACATTTGCGCTCGTGGCAGCTTTCTTTACTGGCCCTCTTTCGTTAGGTGGAATCCATTCCGTCGCCACAATGCGACTTCCACTTATCACAATTTTTAGCTTTCGCAGGAAATCCTGTCCAAGTAAGACTTTAACGGCATCCTGCGTTGGCTTCACGTAGAAGCAATGGCCAGTCATTATTTCGTCCATGGAGACGGGCACTGTGCAAGCGTTTTCACGGGAAAATTATGTATGCCGCCTATTCCGCGTATGGAAAGTGGCGCTTTTAATTTATGCGTCTCCAATTTATTTAATTCGCAAAATTGTTGTGAAATTAAGGACGTCTCCGCTCCAGTGTCAATCATTGCGTCCACTGGAATTCCTCCAACTTGAATGCTGTGCGTCAGCACCGGTGCAATCTCCGGTTCGTTTAATGCCGTTATTAAGTTTATTTCGGCGTATTTCTGTGGAGGGCGGTTCACGGTAAATCCGTGAATATTTATTCCTTCGGCGTTCGTCGCCTTATTATCCGTATTCATAATTTTATCCGGCGGTTTCGGAGGTACGGGAACAGCGTAGCCGGGACTTACTGGCCGTTCCCTTGCGGGTTTAAATTACTAGCTGCGGTACAGGATTCCCGTTTAAATCAGTGAAGGTTCGTCCTCCCTGATTATTTCCTCTACCGTTCCCACGGTATTCTCCACGGTATCCGTTGCCGCGAAATCCATCCCGTCCACTGCCACCTCGGAAATTCCCCCGGGTTTCCCTCTGATCTCCGCCGTTCGAGTCCGCATTACCGGCTCCGGCTGCGTGGCGCGCAAGTACTGCTGCTGCCCGCTGGTGTTCCGGGTGAGTTTTCATGTAGAATAACTCCATTTCGGGATGGTTATTGCAGAACGTAGGGTTGTCGATTTTCGCGACTCCAGCAAATCCGCAACGCCGGGTTTCGTGACCCTTTATTTCGCAATTATCGCAGTAAAAGTAGGGGTGGCAAAATTTTTTTAGTCAACTAATTAGTCGTTAACCGTCACTAAAATTTGCGAAACTAAAGGTTTTAGTTTAGTAAATTTTGGAGACTAAAAACTTTAGTGAAGTCGGTTTTAGTCACTAAAAGTTTTGGTGAAGCGAAGGTTAACCGATTTCCATAAATTGGCTCGTCAGGAGCTCGAAAGTGCAAAAAGGAGAGAATTTTAATGCGCAGACCATCGGAAGCTGAGCCCAACCGGTCCACAAGTCGCTAATTTCAGCCTGACTGGGCCAAAACAGCGTGCAATTATCATTTTTCCGAACGGATTTCCAATGCAGTATCTTTATTCTGTATAAAACTAGTGCGATTCCTCATGAAACTTTCTACCAAATACTGATTTTTGAAGAAAATAAATATTTATATTTAGTCAAAGTTAACAACGGTTAACGACTAAAACTTTTAGTTAAGTAAATTTTAGTCACTTGGACTTTTAGTGAAGTGAATTTTGGTGACTAAAAGCTTTGACGAAGTTTTAGTGAAGTGAAGTGAAGTCTAGTGAAGTCTTGCCATCCCTAAGTAAAAGGAACTGCGAGCATAATTGCCGTTGTTATTGTTGTTTCCACCGCCGTTATTAAATTTTCGGTTTCCGTTCCAAGGGCGATTGAACTTCCTTTTGGCGGTGAGGATGATGGGGTTGGAGATTTACGGCTGTCGTCGCCGTTTGGGCTTCCTCCATTGCCATTCTTCCATTTCTTTCTCGTAACCGTTTTCCACGGCTCTTCTTTACCATCCGCCGTTGCTGCATTAATTACAGCGTAGCTTTCTCCATCAACAGTAACCAAACTAACTGTTGCAGTCTTCTTGTCAGTTCCGTTCACATATTTCGGATCGTCCGAAATAATACTTCTGACATACGAGAGCCATTCCGTTGGCGTTTTAGGATCTTTAATTTTCAAGGCCATATGTAGTTGGGGATTATCGCTAACTCCTTTCGTAAGGAATGTGCAGAGTTGTTTATCTGATCTAATCATACCGGCCATATCGCGTAAAGACACCATTTTCTGGTAATAGGTGTCAATGTCTTCTTTTCCAGCTTGCCAGACACGTGTTGTCAGCTCATTCAAGGCTGTCGTAGCCCGATTCTTATCAGTAAAGCGCTCAGTCAACAGCGTTAACCAGGCTTCGATATTATCCAGGTGTGACTGCGATCTGATCGTCAGATTGTACCACTGCTGTGCCTCGCCGGTCAATGCCGCTCCTAGCTGCGTTACAGCTGTGGCTTCGTCCCAGCTATTCTGCTCTACAGCACGGCGAAACTTTATAATGAAGCTGTCAATCTCCTCCCGGTTTCCATTGTATTTCGTAATTGGAATCGGGGCGCGTGCCGCTTTAATTAATTCCGTAACATCCTTTACGGGCATCGTGCCCGGTGGTAAAGGAACTGTAACTGGTACTGTGTTGACCGGTGGTGGGCGTCTTGGGGGAGGTAGAGGTGCTGTGGAACGGGCTTGCAACGATCTGTTCGTCCGATCTCGAATTGTTGCACTTAAACGAAAATTTTCCTCCTGCATTTGTTCCACGGCCTCCTGGTATCCTTGCTCGTAAGCAGTATATTGCGCGTTCTCCGCCGTTTGATCCACTTGATCTCGCGTGTACAAAACCTCTCCTGTTTCACGTGGCTTTTCAAACGGTGATTTTCTACCAGCCACATCACGGCGTTCCACTTTAAAATATCCCGATTTTTCCGTTATTTTGACCTGTTTGGTCGGTGCCTTTACGTCTTCGTGACGTTTTTCCTTGAACGATTTTGCAAATTCTTTGCGTACTTTTTCCAGTTCGGCCACATGTTTATTTTTATCTAGCTTTCGTAGCTGATCCATTTTTACGATAACTTTTTTGTAAAGTTCATTCTCGGCGGTTAATGCCTTGTTTTTCTGTTGGTTGTCCGTGTTTGCCTTGTGTTCTTTGTCGAACTCTGTTTCCATGGCTTCGCGATTTTTCTCCAATTCTTCAAGGCGTGAACAGTTCGAACAGACAGTGAACAGTTCGAAGAAACGTTCCAACGTCTCTTCGAACTGTTCACTTAATTGGGACAGTTCTCCTCTGAGATGCGTATTTCGTTGGACGACTTGATAAAACTCGTCTCGTAATTCCGCTTTAGTCATATCGGCGGCTTCTTTGTCGGTAATTTCCTCTTCGTGAGTATCGGTGGTCGTATTTTGCGGATTTTCCACCGTTGATTTTTCCGTTGCTGGTTCGTCCAGCTCTTTTTCCGGTTTATCTACTTCGCCGATCGTCGGCATTTCATTTTGAACATTTTTAATTATGTCCTTCAGATTATCTTCGTTCGCTTTGATCATGGTCGCATCGAGTTGATCTACATTCCAGGGAGAATCCCCTCGCTCGTTATCGCTACCGTCTCCTAACTGAAATTTCGATGGAATATCCATACTATCGGTTGGGTGCTTTTGTCCTTGGAAAATTCGCCTCGCAGTCGTCTGCGATAATGTGTCGTCGTCACTGGACGATTGCTCATCATTATCGTCATTCTTCGATTTTTTAGCAGCTCCCAATTTCTTTGTCTGCTGGCGCGTCGTAGCGCCAGTAGCAGTTGACGGTTGACGAGGATTTGGTCGATCAGCGTACATAAACATGGTTTCCTCCATGTTATCGCGTGTTCCGAACGGGAAAATGCTTTTCAATCCGTTAAAAATTCCGTATTTCCCAGACATCGTATTTTGTAATTTACAGTGTACAAGAATTTTAATTACAGGTCAATGCACAGGCAGAAAGGCACGGCTTTATTGCAGTAGCAATATTTTTTGTATGCGGATATATCCGCTTCTTTTGTTTTCGTGCTAGGCTGATAATAATCTAGCTACTGTGCACTTACCACAGACAGACAGAAAACAGCTATCAAAATTCCAGGCACGTAACCAGGAAATTCTATCGTAGAATTTATCTGAAAAGGTAAGGAATTTTTCGTTTTTCTTCGTAAAGTTTTCTGTTCGTCAGAAGTAATTCTAGAAACAATTCTTGATCGTTTGGTAACTGCTGTTGATTTCGTTTCCTTAAAGGTACGGCGCGCATACACGGTTCACTGTTGTCCCTATGACACAGTGTGTTTCGTACACAGAGATGTCAGGCGTCCAGCAGCGTTATTCCGTGAACTGTCGCGTCCGTCTCTTCTGGAGTTGATTCCTCCCTTTCCACTGCTCGTCAGTGAAGAATTAATGGTGCCCAAATATCCGCAGGGATTTTGAAATATGGATCCGTCCGATCAAGGATGGGATCCCAAGGTATGATTCCAGTCTGCACTGTAAACAGTACAGATCGAGGCTCTTCCGGAGAGACGAGATCTTTCACAGATCTGCTACCATATAGGGAATACGAGGTTTGCCCTCGTATCTCGGATGACGAATGAATATGAGACAACACACGTGAATAAAATGAATAAAATGGGAATTTTATTCATAAGTGAATGCAATACATTGCGGAGGAAAGGGCACAAAAAGGAGAGAAAAATATGCCAGTCAAGACTGTGCATATCAACACACTAAAACCCAACACAACGCTGGCCACATATCCACCTGGCTGGCTATGCACACCTGTGTGACGTAGTACAGAGTTGTATCGTACAACTCGTACCGTCATCCCTGCATTACTGTCGTCTGTTTTAGTTTGGTCAGCATGCGAGACGGTGATGCATTGTTTTTAAACCTTCACTAATCAGTAATCAGTTTGACTGTATTTGTCAAAAAAACACAGAAATGGGTCCACCAGTCGAAACCCATGACGCCCGCGATGGGAGCAGTGTCACAGTTGTGATCAATGGAAAAAAATACAACGGTAAACTATCGTCCGATGCATTAATGCATGTTAAAACTAACAAACTGCGATCCAGGAGACATGTGTTGCATATTTTTAGTACCAACAACGTATTCCGACGTCTCCCTGAATGATTACTTGCGGGATCACCTCGGGCTAACTGGAACCAAGGTCATGTGCAGAGAAGGAGGATGCGGAGTGTGCATTGTACATGCCGCATATCCCGATCCCGCCGACAGCGGACAAATTGTGCAGCGCTCAATTAATTCCGTGTGTATAAGTCGTTCTGTCTATATTAGACATGTACTGTATAGTATTAAATTCGGTACAGTAAAAACCTCTCATACAAAATATATATCCATAAAATTTTGCAATGCATAATTAAGTACTCGTATTTAGACTTTTGTTGTAAGTATATTTTCGAATCAGTGCCTGTGTCCCATTCTATCTTGCGATGGTTGGGAAATCACCACAGCTGAGGGCATCGGAGATCAAAATAAGCCTCATGTTATTCAATCGCGCCTCACGGAACATTATGGAACACAGTGTGGCTACTGTACATCCGGTTGGGTAAAATTTTATTTGGCGGTATACAAAACTCACACTATTTTTCTATCATAATAAAGATGTACTTAATCCACAGCCTCAACCGACAACAGAAACAGACGGTCTGATTATACAGAACATCTCATCTAAATTAGCCGATGCTGGTGCTGTTCCCATGACGGAGGCCGCATTCCCGCGTTGGTTATGACTATGTACAGGTAAATACGATTTTCGCTTTTTGCTTTATTGTTTAAATTTTTGGTAAATCTGTGCTAAATTACAACTTGGTTTAATATGCAAAATTTATATCATCAAGGATTGTCAAGGTTGTTCCTCGTTTGACTGTCATGATATTTTGTAATGTGTCGATGTGTCTGTTGCAGCCTTGTACAGAATGCGCCGGAAGGCCAGTTAACGAAACAGCTGGTTGAAAATGGTTTTGATGGAAATATATGCCGTTGCACCGGTTGGTTGCATTAAATGTCAACAATATATTCGTAATTTATCATATCAACAGTTTTCGTTTCTGACAGCTAGAAACAAACACTAACGTACCTTTAAAACAAATTTCGTTTTATTTATATTTGGGACGCCTTTGTCAGGTTCTATAATTAGGCTCTTCTCCATTTCTATTTATTACATGCCTTAACTCGTAATTTTTAATACAAAAAATATATGTAGTTATATACTTGTTGTAATGATATTATTATGTTATGATGCGTTAGGTTATCGTCCCATTTTGGATGCCTTCAAATCTTTTGCAAAGTCTGACTGTGACGAAGACACCAAAAACTGTTTGGATATTGAAGTAATCTGAAAACGTTAACAGGCTGCTATTTGGGCAACTGCAATTAGTTTAACTTTGACCATATATATTTCTGAAGAAGGCGCTGTGCTAAAATTTATCTTAAACTTGTAATTTAAGCATTTTTTATTCTGACTGTGAAAGATGAAGTAGATAGATTTTTTGCTCATGTTTTCATTATATTCGCGTTCGGTACCGCTCACACGCGCGGATACTGACCGGTGAGCTTTGTTGCATTTTCCAGGATCATAGAACACCACCTTGCGTAAAATCGCGCCATTGCCCCGGACGCTGCGGTAACGGTCAACAATCCCAGCTAGAGGCTTGTTCTTTACCGAAGACCATAACGGAAAATGCTTTCCCATGGTATAAACCGACCTCACTCAACGAAGCTTACCAGCTTATTAAAACGAACCCGGGAACGAGTTTTTACTACGTCGTGGGTCACACCGGCATTGGTGTTTATGACGATCCGTTCTATACGGCCTATATGGATTTGAAAGGCATCAGGGATTTGTACAAAATGGACAAGGCGGACAATCTCGTTAGCATCGGAGCTAATCTGCCATTGCGAGATGTCATCGAAGTATGTCGTAAATACCGCGACGCGCCTGGTTTTCAACATCTTCCGGCATTGGCCGAAATTATCAGCAAAACGGCGCATGTATCAGTGAGAAATGTTGGATCATGGGGTGGCAATTTGGCTATGAAAAACAGGAAAAACGAATTTCCTTCGGACACGTTTGTATCATTTGTAACGGGAAATGCTACGATTTATGTTGGTGAGAAAATCTGGCATCAGCAGGTTTACTTCACGCTCCGTCTTAATTTTGCCATGCCTGGTTTTCTCTGTAGGTCCCGAAAATAAATCCTGCTCTATGGAAGATTTTGTTAAGCTCAACCTAACAGGCAAATTGATTTTGCGTGCTGATTTACCTGCATTTTCCAAAGATTACGTCTTTCGAACTTACAAGATTATGCCGCGATACCAGGTGACGACTGCACTCTGCAGAGGAATTTCTTTTACAAATGACGGCAGCTCAGCTTTTACAATTTCTTTTACAAATGACGGCAGCTCAATAAATAGCTGCCGTCATTTATTAAAGTTATGTGTAATATGGTAATAAAATAAATACATTTTTATAGAATGCTCATGCTTACGTTAATGCCGGATTTCGGGCCAAAGTCGATCGAAGCCAACCAGGAAAATTTGTGATTGCGGAAAAACCAGCGGTAGTGTTTGGCAACATTTCCGAGCAGTTTGTAAGCACAAACCTTATCTCAATATGGCAAATTTTAACAAAGTTTTTTAACAAATTTGCAGATTCATGCGGATGCAACAGAAACATTTTTAAGCGGCAAAAACATCGCCGATGCAGCCATCTTACAACAAGCCTTGAAAACACTAGCGAATGAAATTAAACCAGTCGATGTGCCGGCAGAAGCCAGTCCAAAATACAAAGCCTCTCTCAGCTGTTGCTTGTTTTACAAGGTAAAGCTTCCACTGAGTCAGAAAGAATTAGCAAAATAGATTAATGCATCTTGAATGCATTTTGTAGCTTAATTACGAGGGAATTCATATTTTAAACAGCTAAAATACATAATTGTTCTGCAGTAAATTTCTCTGACTGAATATTCCCAGAGTTTGTTTTGCTTCAGTTTGTTCTGGAAATTGTGGGCGACTATGCCGATCCAGTCTTTCGTTCCGCCGTTGGGAATATTGCACGTCCCCTTTCATTCGGCACCCAAGCATTCGACACAAAACAGGAGGAATGGCCGTTGACTCAACCCATTCCCAAGATAGAGTCCCTAGCGCAGCGTACCGGTGAAGCCAAGTACATTAGTGACGCCTTTGGAAGTCATATTCTCCATGCCGCTTTTGTGTTGACAACAACAGCCAATGCCACTATTTTTCGCGTGGACACAGCGCCTGCCTTGGTACGCGCTACCAGTAGTACCATAGTGCTATAGATATTTGTATGGCTATCATTATAATTATACGGTTAAGCATAAGCATTAGCCCCATGTGGTTCAAGTAGATGTCTAATGGTTAATTGTATTTGTATATCTTATCAATTATTATGAAATTTGCTTTATTCTTATAAGGTTTTTATTTGTAGGAAATAGTGGCTCCTGAATAATTAAGTCGTTCTATTATTTCCTTAAAATTATGTTTACTGGTAGCGGTTTATTTAGGAACTGCCCGGCGTTCGGCAAGTTTTCACAGCCGCGGATATTCCTGGCAAAAATAACGTCAGCCCACCCGCAACTCTGGGGCCCACCGATCCAGAAGAACTGTTTGCCTCCAAACAGAGTTCCTATGCGGGACAACCAGTGGCGCTGGTGGTTGCAGGTGGGGTGGATCGTAATCAGTCATCACACAGCACGATAATTACTGCATCGATGTGTGACCTATAAGTGGTGAATCCATGCGCAGATACTAAAGCGGTAGCGGAAGCGGGAGCAAAGTTGGTAAAGGTCACCTACAGCAACGTGAAAACTCCTATCCTTTCCTGTCAAGACGCCATAAGCCAGAAATCGTTTCATGGTCAAATGCAAAGCATCATAGTCAGTGATCCGGATAAAGCGCTAGCGCAGGCGCCGAATAAAATCAGTGGCGAACTGGAGATTGGTGCTCAAGCGCATTATCACATGGAAACCATGGTACAATGGCCTTAATAATGCAAAATCTAGCTGTAGTCAGGTAATTTCGCTTAAATCTACCATAAACGTAAAAATTAAAGTTAAAAAAAGCTGCAGCTAGTTTTGATTACGTATTGACAGTAATACTAGGATATGAAAATATTTGTTAGGAAATATATGCAACATATGTTGATAAATAATACGTTGTTGTTCAAAGTTTCAAACTGAAACAAAGACTTTCTATTGTGTGTAAAGGTTTCGGTAGCTTATCCAGAAGAAGACGGTGTCAGCTTGGACGTTGGTACGCAATGGATTGACGGTGTGCAAACCGCCGTATCACAATGCTTAGCGATTAAAAAGCATAAGTAAGAGAAGCATGTAGTTCCTCCGAAGTTAAGCAGCTTTATGAGTTCCTGATTTTAGGGTTAATATTTCCGTCAAGCGATGTGGAGGAGGATTCGGCGCCAAAATTTTCCGCACTAACCATATATCGGCTGCTACAGCGGTTGCGGCGTTTTTGCTGAAGAAGTAATGATTACAGTAATACCCTTCTGTGGAATACTTGATCACCTACTATTTTTGCAGACCTGTCAAGATGCATATGAGCCTCTGGGATAATTCCCGCACTATCGGAAAAAGATTTCCGTATTACGGAAAATATCAAGTTGGTTTCGATAAAACGGGGAAATTGCTAAGCGTTATTTGTGATGTATACAGCAATACCGGTAAGGCATTCTGACATTCTGTGGTTTCCGAAGGTTTTGTATAAATAAACTGTAACTCTTTAGGCGCTTTTAATGCCGGAGCTGCAATCGGTGGATGGAAAGCGAGAGCAGATAATGGTAAATAGTATTTTCTCGTCCGTATGGAATGATTAATGTTATACTGGGATGTAAAATAATATAATGTGTTGCAGCTTATTTCTGCTCCGCATGGAAGTTCAACCTTTTTAACTGCAAAACGAATGTTACACCGAACACCGCATGTCGAGCTCCAGGTTTGTGTTCTCAACCACGTAACACAATATTGCTTATTATAAAACATGGATTTATTAATCAAAACCAGTTGACGAGCTGATCAGTTCCCGTGCCATAAATGTAATCGTTAATATTAATATTAATAATTTAATTTTGTGCAGGGAGTACGGAAGCAATATATTTCATCGAATATATGATGGAACATGTATCGAAAGTGCTACAAAAGCCATCCATCGAAGTGAAAATGCTGAATTTCGTGAAAAATGGCGATAAGCTGTTGGACGGTTCCACAATTAAAGACTGCAACATAAAAGCTATTACGGAGCAGCTCTTGCAGACATCGTCATACAGTGAACGTTTAAATACTGTTAAGCAATTTAATAAGGAGAACCGCTGGCGGAAACGAGGAATTAACGTGGTTCCCATGCGTTATTCGTGCTCTTGGGCACGTCGACAGATCAACTGTCTGCTAGCTGTTTACCACGGGGACGGTACAGTTGCAGTAACGCACGGCGGAGTGGAAATTGGACAAGGCATAAACACCAAAGTAAGGTCATCGCGATACTGCGTTGTTCGATAAATAATTATAGTTGTTAGCCGTGATTAACCTGAATAAGCATGACAAATGCCTTTTGGATATGATAAATTCTGTGTATTGGCGAAATTCTTTTAATTTTTTGTGACGTGTTTGCAGAACATAACCACCTGTTTGGCGTAGTCGTTAATAATTCAAAATCTGTCATTTTCAGGTGGCGCAAGTTGTTGCGTACGAGCTAGGTATCGATATGAAGTATATCGCGATTAAGGCTAATGCATCCCTTACGGACGCCAACGGAACACCGACCGGCGGCAGCATTACAAGCGAGATAGCCTGCATGGTAATTCTTTTGTTAAATAACATGTCTCGTGCTTTTTGGCTCCATTAAAATCTTGATATTCTGCGAATGGAAACAAAACTGCAACACGCAAATTGATCTTAGGCTGCGATTAGTTGCTGCGATCAACTAAAAGCTTTGATGAAGCCGGTAAAAGATTCTATGAAGTCTCCAACTTGGGAACAGCTGGTGGAGGAGTGCAACTCCCGGGGAGTCGACCTGACCGCCCGAACACTGTAATGTGTATAATAATAAAAACCATTGCATTCCGAAAGACATTTGTGCCTTAATGATCTGCTTACTTTCAAAGTCGTCACTGTTATTAATTTTGTTAACTTGTATCTTTTGCAGTTTTATATAAAACGGTTTTCGTTTTTTGTACGTAATCGTAATTGTTATTAAAAGGAAAACGATCAATCAAAGAATGGATACGGTTTATTTTATTTAATATGATTCCAGGGCTGCTCCTCATCCGCCTGGACTGACAGTTTACAACACCTACGGAGCCAGTAAGAATTTACGAGGTACCGCTGTGCCGTGGTTATTAATAGTCTCTGGTTTTTCCAGTGTGTACGGAAGTGGAACTGGATGGTTTAACCGGCCAATATCAAATTAACCGCCTTGATGTGCTTTATGACTGTGGTGAAAGCATGTCGCCATTGATAGGTAAAAAAGGACCTTATTTTTTCAAGGCGTGAAACTATTTTGAGTTTTTTTAAATAAAATCTATTAATCTGCCATATACTCAAGTAGTCTCAGTTTTGTTTATTGATTTTTCAGACGTTGGTCAAATCGAAGGCGCGGTCATTATGGGACTAGGCTACTTCACTTCGGAAGAGATTATCTTTGACAAGAAAACTGGGAGCAATCTGACCTTTGGCACATGGAAATACAAACCTCCAACGACAAAAGATATTCCTGTGGACTTCCGGATCACCATGTTGAAAAACGCTCCAAACCCTAGTGGTGTTTTACGGAGCAAAAGTAAGCTACTAGAAAGACAACGGTTTCGTGTTTCTGCAAGCTGATCGCTCCATGGTTATCGGTTTTGCAGTTGTTGCGGAGCCGCCACTGTGTATGTCGGCATCTGTCGTGTTTGCTCTGCAAAACGCTATATTCGCTCATCTGAATGAAATTCAAAAGGACGACTGGTTCCGCATTGGTACGTGTGCCATATATATCCCACACAAAAATATCGAATTTGATTTACAGATATTTTTACTGTTCTTTCGTAGATGCTCCTGTTACTGTTGAAAGAACACAGCAGTACTGCAGGATTGAGAACGAACAAATGCTACTAAAAAAATAACCGCTTTCACCTAATTAAGCAGTGCGGAATCACACCTAACATTTATTTTCAACGCAAATTGTTTGTGCTTTACCTTATATTTTGATGTTTATTATCATTAGGCGCATCAGTGCTTCCTTCCTTGCAGCATTTCGGCTGCGTCCTAGAGATATGTATTTGTGTAACTTTTTCATTCCGTACTGCTGTATCTCAGGAAGTTCTCATTGACCTGATCATCCTTAATAACTTCCAAATTATGGGGATGACAGCATAACGAGCTTGCATGCAAATTATTTTCGAAGGTTAACTGGATTATTTATTCATTTTTGCTTAATCCGGTTCACAGTTCTGCATGTAAAATTTTATGATCATGATGCAATTTGCGGGAAAAGCGCTTGATCATCGTTTCATAGTCATCTTATTGAGCATATTTGATAATGTCTTGTGGTTGTTGCCTGTTATAAAGTGGATCAATTAGGCTGTCAGCACCCTGCGGTCTGTACAAAATACGCCTTTCTCGGCTTTTTATCTTTTCCAAGCTTCGCCAGCGATGCGGTTAGGTTGACCGCGTAATAAAAACAGAAGTAGCGATGCCCTTTTCGGACCCAGTGCAAATTTTATGACCTCCTGCCAACCGGAAAAGGGCCACGTGCAAAAGGGCCTGCTTACCGGCATAAAAATGGCAAAAGGCGGGCTTTCCAAAGCCCGCCAATTAAGAGGCCCCTGGGTTGGCTTGAAGGAAGCCAACCGCGTGCCCTCCAGTTTCAGGCCGCCAGATTGCGCCTTTGTGTTATCTTACGGGCTTCTATGTGGCAACATAATAAGCGAACCATAGGCCTCCCAGTAAACTTCCAAAGGCCCAAAAGAAGGCTTCCGAGTTTTACTCGTACTGGTTCATCAGTACGAGATTTACGAGTACGAGGTGTATCAGTATGGGCTTCCGAGCTTTACTAATGCTGGGTAATCATTAAGCTTTACTCGTACTGGTATACTTCATTAGTTTTACGAATTATCAGTTCTACGAATTTAAACCCGGCACGCAAATTTAGCAATACGAGGTTTCCTGCTATATTTTTACTTCCATTTGGTGACTGCCAACAAATTCCATTTCAACTTCACTTCAATACGTCCGTTCATACAATTAAAATATGTATAAAAAATTTAAGAAGAATATCGTGTCTTGTCCAGCACAATCACATCCGCATAGTCAGGTTGAATTAAGGTAACGCATTCTTGAAGTTCCATATCTTGAGCGGTGAGGAGGAAGTCGCTGCAGTTAAATTTGAACAAATTAGCTACTATAAACGCTGGTACCTCACTTTATTTTCGTTAACACAATACATGACAGAATCGCTACAGACATGGGGGGAACGAAAGGGCACCGAAGTGCCAACAACAACACGGTGCGAAGCGCCCTAAGGACGCCCGAGAGCGAAAAAAAATTTTGCAAGTAACTAGCTGCAATAATGAAGCCGGCAGCCGGTGTGCAGGGGCTTTTTATAGGCTTAGCGGCGCAAGTAACCCGGATCCGGCGTAGTAGGAGGCAGGCGAGCGGTTGAAGGGCAGAGAGAGGCTGCAAGTTCAGGTGGGCGTTTATCAACAGATTTCTCCCATCAGAGAAATCTTCCCCGTTAACTAAAGCACAGACGTTAAATAAAATAATAAACATATAACAGCGCGCAGCGCATGCTATATTAACAATTTTTTAAAAAGCAGTGACCACAAGTACATATGTTCAGACAATTGTGAATGTGATGCAAAACCGGAAGAACACAACGACAAGTAAAAATATGTTACTGTATGTTAGCGAAATTATTTTTTTCGACTGAATATTATTTTCATATATAATCCTGCAAATAATATGCATGTTGTTGCTATTCTGCTATCCAGTTTTATCTTTTTTTAAAATATCCAAAAACTTACGGAGTATGGTGCGAAAAAAGCCTGACAATATTCGGCTCAATAAATTCGGGCCGCATTATGTAGCCGATGAAAAGTAACTGGATACAATCGCTGCACATAAGGAGCTGATGAACCCGTACGTATTTCTTTTGTTTTGTCCGTCTGTTGGTCACTAAGAAATATTTGACCAGTGTTCGTTTTGGTTTTCGGTATGCATCCGTCCACACGCTTATTCCGTCAATAACTGCTGTTTTGAGGCCTTTCAAAACGTGGTTTTTACATGGGTGTTCTTGTGGTATTAAGGAACAGTCTGGAGAACTAATTGCCGCCGACCATGACCGCCATCCTGCACCGGTCCACCCTTTCTTACCTCTAAAAGCAATGAGAGTCATAGGAATATCATATAAAGTTATGTAAACCCCTATCTGTACGTACAATGGACTGCAAGATTAACTTAAAAGCGGAGGATACCGGCGGTGCTCTGCCGGATATATATCGGCCAGCGTCCGGTTAATTTTGCATTCCATTGTATTCCCGTACATGGACAGATTACGAAAAAAAAATTTTATCATAAGCAGGATGCGGAATGATGTTCTTCTCATGAACGAATGCTGCGGTACATATGTACGTATATACCAACCACATACTTTAATTTCTTGCGATGCCGGAAACTTTCCGGCATTTAAAGTTATACCTCTTTCCTTGGATAATGCGTATTAAGTGCACCTCTGCTGGAATGGAAACAGGGTCAGCTTTCTCCTGCAGAATTTGTGAGCCGAGTAAGGTTCGCATCAGGCTACGGGTAACATTGTGTTTCGCATAAGAATGCCGGGTCAACCACCCATTTTTTGATTTAAATGCGAAAAGATCGGAGGCAAATAACGGACCCCAGAGGTCCACCTGCTCCGTTAGGTGCTGTAACCCATGGAAATTTATGCCGAAATTTTCTGGATCTGAAATGCATGGGAATTTAAGCACGCGTTAGCAGTCACGGTAGGTAATCACGATCAATATATTTCTTACCAAACAAACTTGGGAAGTCATCAGAAAATTTAGTAAGGCTTCGCGAAGCACGCTCAAGGTCATCAACACGGATTTTGGAACTGTTGAGAATCGTGTAAGCATCCACCAAAAGGGATCAGTGGTTAAGGTATTCGTCGGGCAGCAAACCAACCATCGATCGAATAGAGAAATAGAGTATCCAGTTACGGAAATCGGATGCCTTCCACTCTTTGACATTAATACTTTGAGGTATCCGACAAATAGATGGCGGAGGACGAAATGACGATACCGAGAGTTTGTTTGTTGTCTCTACGTACAAATGCAACTGTGCAATGAACTTTGAAAAAGCAATGTGTTTATAATTAAAAAAACCGAAAAATAAGTCTGAGTTAAGAGCAGTTTTTTACGGAGCCCGGAGGAACAACATGATTACCTGCACTTCGTTTAAAATAGTCTGCGCCCCACTAAAAAGATTGTAAACTACAGTAAACTACAGTATAATAAAGCATAAATTGTGCGTTTATTTTGTAACTTTGCATAAAAGTCAATGTATTATTTGTTTATGTACCTAGCATCTAGCTAATTAATTTATGCTTTATTATACTGTAGTTTCTTTGTTAACTTTATAACTCTTCTGTTAGGTGTGATGGAGCGCTGGGCGGCTTATAAAGGAAAAGACGAGTTGAATGTTCAGCAGTATCGTAAGAAAGTAAGCACTATTCTGGAAAAGGCTAAAGCGGAGCGCAAGGCCGAGGATGACCGGAAGCGGGCTGCAGGTGTCGCTTCTAACAACGCGGATGCGGAGCCGGAAGCGGAAGACGGAAGCGGAGAAGCGGAAACCCAGTGGGTATGGACGAGGATGATGGGGATATGGATCCCATGATGCACGAGGACAGCATGGTCGATGCGGCGGGCTATGACGCTACCATCAACGGCCTGATTGGGGACGAATAATTAGTTTCGGTTTTAAGACCACGCCGCTGTTTTATGCACAGGGCACTTGTTTGTTCGCAATTCTCTGTTTTTTTTATCTGTTTCGTGTTGTACTCAATTGTTTGTGGCTGTGTTTGCGTTTACTCAAACGATTTGGTGTCTTTGAATTAATTTTTTGTTTCTACTCGCGTAGCATTTCGAGTCGACATGAATTTCGATGAAAGGTGTTTCATTAGTTTTATTTACCAGTTGAGTCATATTTCTTCGGTTTATTCTTGCGGTGTTTTAGACGGTGCTGAAATCGTAAACGGTTGTATTTTTGTGCAGATTTTTGTCAACTGGGTTATTAAAATTCATTTTTGATCTGGGCGTATCCATAAAACCACAAGCTGGGCTAATTGCAGCCTGCTGCAGCATATGTACAAAAGCCGCTGAAGGCCATATTCTAGGCCGTAATATACGCGTGCAGGCCACCATTTGACCTTTGGCAGCCCTCCGACAGGCCTCTCCTGCGGCCTTTTCCTTATGCCTGAAAAAGGATGCCTGAAAATGGAGGCCTGCACACTGGGGCAAATGGTCATAAGTAGGCCCTGTGGGGGTTAACTGCACAGGCCGCTTTCCAGCATTTTGGATGTCAAATTTTGCGCTGGGGAGTCGCTGACAGCCCAGATGGACATGAAATTAGGATGAGAATCTCAAGACAGTTAATGATAATTAGATATTAAAGGTAATTACCGTAGGTCTCTTATTCTGGTACTAATTTATGTACGTTTTTAATGTGTGCGGATTATAGTAATCAGCATTTTCTTAGATGCGGTTAGCTACGTTTACTGAAAGGCTCAACATAAAAGGTCACTAGAATGACATACAAGTAATAACTGTCTTAGAGAAGCTAATCACGGTGACAATGTTGGAGGACATACGCTTCGGTTTATCGATGTTACCGTATTCGGGAATATTCGGTAAGGGAAGGAAAATGGAGAGAATATGCCACACAGGAATGACCTTCTCCATGGCCATAATACACCGCTTATATATAACAGTTTTCGCAGGAATTAAAAATATGGGTGAGATCAAGGAATCGATGAACGCCGGAACAACTGGTTACTGTATATGAATACGAAGTACACTTTATCAACGGATAATTGGACACTGAGCTGGAATGCTGTATGATCAAAATGTCGTATACAACCATCCCTGCGAGAACAGCAATTTTTACCCACAAACAAATATAGATATTGTACCTTCCACTGCATCAAATTTGGACGCGATAAGAATACTTCCGTGACAAAAAGGAACACTGCTATTGCAACATTAATGTGAGCGCTTCGGAATAAAATAACGAAGTTTGATACTGGGCAGAAAATGCTTGGTGTGGTATATCCGACGTAGTCTTGCCTGCTTGCCCAGATGGCACATCCACAAATAACTTAGGACAACAAGAGCAGTTGTTAATGATGCTGTAAGTGTTTACATCTTCGTCACATTCAATCGTCGCCGTAAATTCCCGCGACTGTTTCGCAAATGTGCTAAAAGTCAGCTGTCTCGTAGGAATTATATACGATCACGGGGATTCAGCAGATATTAGGGCAGGAAATACTCCGAAGTCGCGATCATAATACCCGACAGTACCTGCATATTTACTTGCAAGCTGCAGCATGTTTCCTCGATGTACGCTGTTGTTAGTGTTGTACGAATTGCCTAATTCGCAAGCAGTTTCATTCGGAAATCGAATGTTTTAATTGCGATTAGTACTGGCAAAATTCATGGTGAGCTGAACCCGTGTCTGGATTTCGATTTCAAAGTTGGAGAAGTGCTTCGGTTTCACACATACATATCTAACGCGGATTATTTTTTAAACGGTCATACCAGTATGAAAGATTCTGTTCCTATTCTGGCCTTTACACCGTTAAGATATGTTTTGCTCTAGAACGTAATATTGGGAAATTAAGCAGCCCAAAAGACAACGATTTCCAGAATTGTATTTTATTATAACGCAAAATACAAACAGATTAATTCGCTAAATCAAGCAGCGGACTGTCGATAAATGCAACATGAGACCAGCATCATGATATCATGTACCAGCAGAAAGATCAATCGTTTGAGACCACAAGAAACTCACCATTTCCTCATCAAGATTATAACGGCTAGAGCCGACAAAAAAATTACCAGGGAATTAATTCCATCACTGGAGTTACAAAAAAATGAAACCGTGCGAAACAAACGATAAATAGAGAATTAACTTTTACCATTCAGTCGTGCTGGTCCCATTCGCGGCCGCTTTCTCACTTCTTGGCCTGTTCCACGGCTTTGGGTTATTCATGGGTGATGGGAATCTCCCGGAACTCCTCCTTCTGCTCGATAGCCGGTGCCGTGTACAACGATTCCATATGTAAGAATCCGTCGCCACTAATGTAACCTTTCAGTTCCTCCACATTAACCTCCTCCGGAATTCTAACCGTCATATCAAGCTGACGAGCGCAATGATATTCCCCGTCGGTTTCCTGGCGCTTGGCCTGCACCGCCAGCTGACCGTTCAGCGTCTTCAGCGTAATGTTCTCCGGTTCAAAACCACGCGTGTCGAATTTAAAAAGAACGGGAATGTGGATTGTAATCCCTTTGGTGGACAAGTCTGCATTAATATTCCTAAATGCAACAAGTTATAAGATAAACGTACTGTTACCCTGCACTTGCCGAAATTTTGTACAGTATGAACGCTACAGATACGGTACTATAGTCATTCGAAAGTTAAACCAATCGCGTTCTATACTTTTTAATTTGTTTTTCGTCTTTACTAGTCGTAATCTTACGTCAGTTCTTTGACCAAATTCTGCCGGGTTTCTTGCTTTCCTTTCAGTAGCAGCGTCAGTGAGGTCTCAGTAGCGGCCAGCATAACGATCGACTCTGACTCCCTTTCTATGTAGCGTGCCAATCGAGCCACTTCACCAGCGAGATAGAGGAATACACCAACTGTAGGCAGTGGGCACTTCCATCATATGACCAAACTTCTGCGTGAAAAATTCGGTCGTGACATCTAAACATAATTAATAAAATAGTAAGACCAGAGAAAAGCAAAATGGAATGAGAATGGGCTTTCTGTATGTTTCAAAGCAGAAATGTTATTAGCCGATAACAAATGGCGGAAAGAGGAGAGAAAATATGGAAATGTGAATGGGGATGGAAAATTCAGAATTACGGCAACTCTGATGCTAATATTAGTGGCATAACGGGGTTTCCCAAATTAAACGGAACTCACCTATCTGACAGATGATATTAAATCCAGCATACTTCAGTTCCCCGCAGTTGTCAATAACGACCTTGGACTTGGGTTGGCCGCTCTGAGTGCCCTGCTCTTCCATCTTCTTGACGATGTCCAAGCCCTCCACAACATTCCCGAAGACGACGTGCTTGCCGTCTATCGACTCGGTTGGAGCAGTGCACAAGAAGAACTGGCTGCCGTTGGTGTCGCGTCCCCGGTTTTCAATGGACAGGATACCGTAACCGTCGTGTTTCAGCTGGAAATTCTCATCCTCGAATTTACTCCCGTAGATCGACTTGCCGCAGGGGCCCATTCCTTCCCCAATATCGCCCCCAAAACAATGGGCATTCGGCTTAATCACCAGGGTCAAGGGTTTCGGCCATAATTTCGGCCTTATAGCCGAAACCCTTGACCCCGGTGCACAGAGCGCGAAAATTCTCGGCCGTCTTGGGCACGACATCGGCGCGCAGCTCCATCATGATGCGGCCGGCCTTGGCGTTGTCGATGGTGATGTCCATGAAGACTTTGGGATTATTGGCCATCTTGCTGGGATCGAGGGGGGGAATTCTTGGAGAAGAAGGAGAGAGCGACTCCCGTACGGCGTACCTATGAACAGTGATTGCGGTTTGAGCAGGCGCATGGTAAAATGACTAAAATCATAAATGTATAAAACAAAAGAAAACTAAATGGGAAGGGGATGATGATCCAATGGTTTTTCGGTCAAAACCCTTTGAATACTTACCGCTTACGTGTTTAAAAATAGACCGGTAGGAGGGAAAGAATCAGAGGGTTCCACACTGCTGACAAATTATAAATAATCCACAAACTGGCAAACGGAAACAAAACCAGAAAATATGTTTGTAATACTAGTACACGATACAGTATTGCGAGTGCGATGGCCTGAGGCCTCTGACAACTGACAAGTGGAAAATAGAGCTTTTTTTATGCCGCGGGCGGCGGGAGATGATTCATTTTTTTACTCATGTCAGAAGGTTTTGAGACTTTGAGTGCAATGGCTTGACGCTGCTTTCGGCCGGATGTCTTAATCGCCGGAAGTAAGTAGTCAACAGTTTTGTTTTCATCTGTTTTGTTTCACATTTTAACACGACGTCCGTACGGATATGCTGCTCAAAATCTTCCATGCTTCGGAAATTTACAGTTTTTCTACTTTTCGTAGGCGAATTCGCGAATATTTATAAATTTTTCAAACGTTGGGTTACAGAGAATCGTTATAGCTTTTACTAATGCCTTCCTCACCGAAACACAACAGAGGGAAAGATGTAAGTACGAGGTACCCTCATGGTTGTGATCGTCTCAGATCAGCGTGTGCAATGTCCTATTTGTCCTTTATTGATGTTAGCCGTTTTCGAGGTTCCACTTCCACCGTTCCCATTCTCACTGCCTAATGTGATCTGGGTTAACAGTTTACTGTAACGCATAATTTAAGGAAAAATCAGCATTATTGTAATATAATTATTTGGTGATCGGTGTTTTCGCTCGTGTTGTGTTGGTAGAGGTTGAGCGCTTCTGTTCTTGTTGAGTTTTGTTACTTACTCTTAGGGGAACGAGGTGAGACGGCGCAATTTGGATGCGGATCGGCGACGGTCCCCAGAAGAGCGTTTTGCAAAACGAAGAAGATCGCAATCACCTTCCACATCAGCCCATGACCGCCCTCGAAACTCGCAAACAGAGCGGACGCAGCGTAGACATGCATCTCGGGAACCCAGTGATTCGCATTCCAGGCGAGACGACTCGCACAGGGAACGAGACCGTAGGCACCGTAATACGGACCAGCCAGATCAGCGCCGTAACTCCTCCGATCATCGACAACAAAATCGCGAACGACATGGATGTGAAGGAAGACCCGCGCGTGATCAACGGGAACGCGACCGTAATAATTCGCGGCCCTCCACGGATGCACAGGATGTGCAGACAGGCTACGGTCGCCAGGCTGATTCACCCCCGCCCGAGCCGAATGCTGCAAATGTAAAAACGGAAAAGCCGAATTTCGGATTGTCTGGCAAACTTCTGGAGGACACGAATACGGTAAACGGGGTGGTTATTCAGTATTCACAGCCGGACGAAGCCAGAAAACCGAAAGTACGATGGCGATTGTATCCATTTAAAGGCGATAGCTCCTTGCCCACCATGTACATTCACCGTCAAAGCGCATATCTGCTTGGTAAATACTAAGGACGTATATGTATCTCGTGTAAAATCTCGCTTCTTTTTATGACTGAAGGCCCCTTTAAATTATAGTAAATGAACTTCCCGATTATGGCTGATTTGTTAGAAATAAGTCATGTGGATAAGTTAAAAGTGCAATACCGAATTAATATTTAGCAATAAGAAGAAGACTAGACGCAGTAGTCGAGGCGAAACACTTCAATTTTGTTGTAAGTGCTTTTTCCAGTGGAATTTATTTACCTGTAGAATGAAGGTCTTGTAAAAACGTATTTGCTAATTCGATGAAATATGTTTATATAGACTTACGCCATTTAATACCATTTAATACCATACCATTAATACCATACCATTTAATACCATTTCATACGCCATTTAATACCATTTAATACCATTTAATTTAATATATAGACTTACGCCATTTAATACCATTTAATACGCCGTAATAGTTGGAATAAGATTAGTACCATGATTTATAAGAGTTTTAAATAAAGTTATTGTGCAAAAATAAAACTTCTATCGTTCGCTGCTACTTTGTCTTTATTCGGAATTTCGGAGTGTATGCTGACAGTAGGTTTTGTCATTTTGATAGTACAGTATGCATACAGTAGATTTTGATATTGCTTATGTTCATGCACTAAATGTTCGGTGAACAAAATATATGTTTCTCTCATGTCAGGTCGAGATCGGCGCGTCGTAGACATTCCCATTGACCATCCATCCTGTTCCAAGCAGCACGCGGTGATTCAGTACCGTCTGATTCCAGCTGAGAAAGAGGATGGGACAGTCGTTCGACGAGTGAAGCCCTACATCATAGATCTCGGTTCGGCTAATGGAACATCCGTGAATGGAAAGCGCATTGAAGCCCAAAGATTTGTAGAGCTATTGGAAAAAGATGTCATAAAGTTTGGCTTTAGCTCAAGAGAATACGTGATGCTGCATGAAGGCAGCAAAGACGACGAGTATCACAGTGATGACGAAGATGGCAACAAATCCAGCTGACATGGGGGTTAGCGCTAGTGGGCAGATGAATTATTTTCATTTTTTCATGTTTTGTTTTTGGATTACGATATTGCTACTGTAAATTGGCTTTTTCCTGTACATAATGGATAACTTTGTTGTACGGACCAGTGTATTAACAAATGATGATGTATCGCATAAGTAAGATGGGTCATTTTGGAATTTAACTTAAATCTAAAAGATAGGGTATAAAAACTATACTGTATCACTTACACGTGTGGACTAACGGTTTATTCTAAAATTACGGTAGTAGGTAGAGTAGCGAGAGAATAGAATTCTCGATATCTAATGTTTGTTACTGACATTTAAATATAACTTCTCCTGTTACTATCGTAACATTTGTGATTTGTCACCACGGCATCGGAAGTTCAAGCCGGCCTTCTCTTATCCGAAAGTCACTTTATATGTAGAGTTTGTGCGCATAAGCCAATGCACTACAGAAATGTGCACAAATATTGAATTATTTGCAATAATTAGAGCCCATGTGTGGCATTTACCGGTATTTGATATTTGACTTACAGTATTAGTCGGAATTGCAATGCACTTTTTGTGATATTTAAAAATTAAAACCGAATTTGTAGAAATAAACGTGAAAAGTATTCAGCTTATGCCGTTCGCTCGATTATCGATACGAATACCAGCTTCGTAGCAGTGAAGCGAAATATCAAAATTTAAAATTCAGCAATATATTTATCTTCACAAGGATTTCTATCTTTAGCGTAGCGTAGTGACTCACGTCTGGCACGGCCTCGAGTCACTGATCGTGAAATGAAATGAATCTCTTGTTCAATAGCGCAGTTAGTGTTTTAGCAAAAGAATGAAAAGCTGATAAACGTGCTATATTTTTGTGCTACATGGCTAGCATGAATCTTATTATTTTAATTTGTTGTCACATTGTCAGAGAGCATCATCACTACCTATTGATTGATCAAGAAATATAGGATATTTCATCTACTAAGAAACAGTGCTCGTTACGTCTAGCTCTCCGTATATTACGTTATGCTCCGCGGCCCATCTATGCTGAATCAAGCATAACAGGTGGTTGTCTTCACGTTAACATTTCTCCATCGCTGAATGATCGTCGCCTTCTCCCAGCAAGTACTCATGACAGTCTCGAGACTCGTGTAACCTGTTTTAACTTGTAAGGGTTTGTTGACGAAGGACCTTCGGCATAATCGCAATTAACCTGAGCTGCGTTTGACGACGGCTCTGGCTTTTTAACTTCAATGTGGGCCAGCAAACTGTAAACGTGATTTTTCTGATGATTGCTCCTGCTCCTCTCATCGTGATGCTGTGGAAAGACAGCCAGACACAATTGTAGTATTATGTAGTTGCACTGGATATGATATTGTGCTACCTGCTGGGAAATTTAGCTCTTCAGCTCATATTTTATCAAAGTGTTGTGGGATTCTGGACACCTGAAAGGCGAAATTAAAGCTATAGGTGAGTCGTAAGGATTGCCGATTACGCATCACATACTATAAAGCACATATTAAAAAACCTAATTCAATAGTGTTGTCTCCTGTTGAATTAGGTTTTATAATAGTAATATGTGATGATTGTATTAACTGAATATTTTAATATAATGTATGTTGTATTGCTGCATATATTATTATTGGGCTTTCAGCTGTGGAGTTTATTATTCTGGTCTTCGTTTAATATTTTCATTATTAGCATAACTTTGTTACGCAACATTACCTGTAGGTAGTTTTTTTCCTGCACCGTGCATATCTTATGTTGATACTCGTATTTTATGATTTAATTACTTAATTTAATTGTTGCTTTGTACTGATAAGGATTTTGGGGTTGTGTATGTTTGCTGGTCATTCTGACATTGCTGCTCCGGTAAAAAAAGATAAAGACCGTATAAGTTAAAAATTTAAAGTATTATGAAGAGTATTATAATTGTAAATTGCTCTAGTCGGTTTATGTTTTATGATCGGTGCTGTTGCTAACTTGCGAGTGGTGCACAGCTGTAATAATCGTGCACCATTGCTTGATGGCTGTGATATCTAAAAAGTATGTTGTTATCTCATATTCCATATCTGAATTTATAGTGTGCAGATATAGGTTTTTACTACAGCTGTCTGTACAAATAGTGATAAACGTTTGCGTAGTTTAAGGCATTGTGGTGTTTCCGGGTGATTGATTGCCGTAAACTTTTCCCCATGGGCCACATGCTTGTACGGTTTTGCTGCAACCAGTTGTGAATTGTTGAATTAGTTTGATGGTACATTTTGAAATTCAGTTTAATAATTACGCATGATTGTATCGCTAAATCGTACTCGTGTGAACTCGTTATGTCAGCTCGTCTTCTTTATGTGTCTCCTATCTGCGAAATCGTAATAGTACCAGTGCGCTAACAGGCGATTCGGACTAGTGGTTTGTTACCATACCCAACTAATCGTGCTAGTTTTTCTGCTATTGTTGGATTTCAGAGTGAAAATTACCGTAACCGTAACGCAGACGCTGCAAAAACACGTTGATCGTGGCTTGTCAGAATCGGGATTTGGACAGTTAGATTTGCTATAACGAAGTAATTTCAAGCTTATGCAAAAATGCGCGTGTAAGTTTTACATACTTTCTAGTTTGCTCTAATTTTTTAAATTTCTAAGATTTTCGTTTGCCTTATTAATTACAAGTTATTGTTTCAGACTAAAAAGACCGGGCACGGCAGCGTAGCGGTGCTTACTGTATGGGAATGACATCCTCTGTCCGCGTCGTATCCGATTACCATTACTCTACGGTGGAAGGACAACCTGTGCATTTACATATTGGTGATCGGTTTCAGTTATTGAACAAAACCAGTCCAACCTGGTGGCATGTGCAAGCTGATAGTGGACAGTTACCGTTTTATGTTCCGACGCATTGTGTGGAGGAAATTGTGCATAGCATTACACTGACGGCGCGGCGAGGTGTTTCCCGGTCGGAGCCGGCACTGCTGGATCGAATAGACTCTTTTGATGACCAAGCAGTGGAGTATTACTCGGACACCACCACCACGAGCGATGAAGAACGCGGAGAGTGCTTTGACAACCCCGTTTATGCACTACCCAACATTGTGCTAAATGAGAATGTCGATCTGTCCAAAGGCACATCCGAAGACGTAAGTTAACCTGCGGAGTGGATGGAACTAAACATTTTATTTGTCCTCATAATTTCCATTTAGCAGCAAAAATAATAAGATGGTGATCTGTTTGAAATTGCATTACGAGAATACGTGTAAAGTATCTCATTACTTTTTTCTTAATAATATCTAAGGCGTTGCTAATCGCTTTATCCTTCGAAAAAATATTGGCTGTTATTTCACATATGAGCGATGAATATTTTAATTTTAATTCGGTACCTCGTATTCGGTGCACGACTTATTGTTTGCTATGTAAAGTTGGCTGCTTTCTAGCGGGTGGCGGATTTCAGTATTTTTGTTCGGCACCTTTCAGCGAATCAATTTTCGCACTTAAGATAACTTTCATCAGTTTTGTTAGGGATAGTTTGCTCGGCGTTTGTTCGTGGACGGCAAAGAGATGCGCCAAAATGCGTTGCGGCTATAGTTAGAGTTGGCATATCTGTTGATGAACTTGATGGTTGAGTTTTGTTATTATCCGAGGTCAGCGAACTGTTCGTCCGTATGACAGCAATGCGAACTTTCGTTTTTTATCTGGTGTCTCCTATTAATTGTCGGTAGTTTGTCGCCGACACTTTGCCCAATTAGTAGCTTGATTTCCGCATCTAAATGCGTGTCGATTAACTAATAGCCTGCGACTTTCTGTCAATGCGGTTTAACATAAGTGATCCAATTTAAGCAAATGTAGTGAAGATGTTTTTAGATCGATTTTCAGTAATTGACACCTCGATGTTACGTGATTTCGCATGTGATATTAATTGATCAAGTTCGCGTCGTTACATTAATTTTGTCGTAATTATTTTATGTTTATACAACCAGTATGTCGCGGTATTAGCTTGCTCGTACTGATAGTACTGATGCATGGCGTGGTTTGGAGAAGTCTAGAGAGATTTATTAGATCAGAGAGCTTCCGGCATTACGCATTGTTTTGAAAAATTGTATTTACTTGTAATCCTTTAATCTGAATTTTACCTGCACGCATATTTGCAGGAAAAGGGCTCTGACTCGTCTTATCCTGAATACGTTAACATGAAGCATACCTTACACTCTGCACCTCCTTTTCCTAATCCAAACGATGTACCCGTTCGCACGGTCGAAGATTGGGAGGAATTCGAAGATGCACTTGGTCGGAGATATTATTTCCATCCACGCAGTAACGCATCGTCATGGAAGCCCCCTCGAAAAGTGATGCAGCTACATAGTGACGTGAGTTTTCGGCGAATAGGCCTAATTTTATAAAGATGTACATATTCTGAGAAAACTTAAATGCGATGTTGGCACTTTAGGAGAGCTTTTTTCCATCAGCAATCCCTACAGATATGTTAGCATATTAATTTAACTGTTTTGCCTTGGTTTTCTGTCGTTATTAAATTTTTAGGAGTGGAGCATATTATAAAACATTTAATAGATACTGTGCCACAGCCTTATGATTTTCGATGGTGGACGCAGTTTATTTGGTTTTTAGTCTAATGTGACACCGAACGTAGAACCAATTGTGATGCCTGTTGTTGCGGCGGAAACTGTGCAATTGCGACTGCAAGGTGATCTGTCAGTCAACACGGATTATCAAGACAGTATTTCAAACACTCCTGTCAACAACAACAACATCGCCGTTGTCGAATCAGAGAGCCGAGTGACAGCGATTATCTACAGCGATGTAATTTGATTGATTCTCGGTGCATACTAATACCTTTGTTGCGGATTAATTGCATATTTACTTTCAGCTTCCGGCATCGCCCAATCCGATACCGAATGGCAGGCCTATTGGTTCTCTGCGTCGCTTGATTAGGCCTGGAAAACTAGCGGCGGATGTTCAAGGTCGGGATGTGGAAGATGTGAATGCTGGCCGAGATTTGGACAACGAAAAGGAGAATACCGCGGAGTCAAGCGCACCGAAGGCAGCCACATTACCGATACCACCGAAGCGTCCACCGCCCAGTAAAGATTTCAATGAATTACGCCAAATTATTGCCAATAAAATGTCGCACACGGATCGGTCGATTCGGGCCCGCTCAGTGGTTGTGCTAAACGAAGCGCATCTATTGGAGCTTGACAAACTTGGAGCTAAACCGGGTGCAATTAGGAACTCCAGAACACTGCCTACGATGATTCTGGGAAAAACTTGGAAGTCGGATAAGGTGCAAATTGTTGGCAATGAGCTCACTTGCAGTTTTTTTTTATAGTTTTTTGTTGTTGTTAGCCGTCATAGAGTTTGTAAGTGTATTTCGGCTCATTTTTTGTGGTGTCATCTTCAGGGTGGGATTTTACAAGGATTTCTCAATGTGACGAAGTTTTCAGAAAATGGGCGTCGAGTCAAGAAACAGTGGCTACCGGCATTTGTTGTTCTTATGGATAATTCTTTGGTGGTTTTTAGGGTATGTGCGGTAAAGTTGGCCGACTGTTATTTAGATTTTTCAGATTGAAGTTCAAGTATTTTGTAAATTCACGCTTGTTTTCTTGTAGCCTCCTTTTGCGTTGGATCAATCGCCAGAGATTAACATGGATTTACATGGTGCGACGATAAAATGGTCAAAGGAAAAGTCACATCGCAAGAATGTGTTTGAAGTAAGTAGTTGTCGAGCAGATTAAAAAAAAGGTGAAACTGCTTGTTGCACTAGGCAGTTTTATCAGCGACGCGTTGGCTATCGATTGTGAACAGTTTGCCCTAATTTCTGTTTTTCGTTATCGTATTATGACCAGAAAGAAAATAGTCATTCTTTTACGATGACACACCAGACATTTATATGGTATTATTTAACCTTTGTAGAACAACACTCATAAGTTAATATTACACAGGTGGCTGCATCAGATGGATCCCAAATCTTGCTCCAGGATGATAACAAGGCCACTTGTCAAGATTGGGTGAACTGCATAGTGCAGACATTGGCCCGTTTACCAGCGGGCAGTGACGAATTTGTCCCTGTTCGCGTACTTCCAGCCCAGACTGATCAGACTAGTAGTAAAGTGGAACGGCCGTTATCCCCGCGTATTGCTCGCATTTTATCACGCACACGATCGACTAAAACCCGTCCCGACGGCTTTCCTCCCCCCTCCCAGGAGGAACTCGATCTCCCTGCGGCTGTGAGCGCAGTTGTCAAGAAGAAAAAATTGCCGACGGAAGAAATTGCCGTGAGCGATATCAAAGTGAAAAAGTTGAAAATTATTGAGAGATTGAAGAATTTCTTCAGTCGCCGACCAACCCTGGAAAGCCTGAAAGCGAAAGGCATAATTCGAGGTGACCTGAATGTTTGGCATAAAACCTTGCGAAGGTTGTTCATATCGCTTTTGAATAGACAAATACGAATTCATCGGGAGGTTTTATACATTTAAAAGGTTTGAGATCTGGTGATGGTGCCTTTTTTATAAGCTAAGTTGGTGATTTTTGGTACCTGATATGTTTTACATGTAACTGGTGACGAATTTATTCTTAACGATGTGTCAGTTATGACGCAGGCGTTGGTAAGTGAGGAAATTATTTATATAGGTAAACGCTCGTATAATAACTAACAGTCAAAGATGACAGCAAATAATTTTAAATTACGAATTGTTTTTCTTAGATGGTCCTGTTTTCGGCTGCAACTTTCTGAAGCTATGCGAACATGAGCAGAGTAACGTTCCTGCATTTGTCAAGAGATGCGTAACGGCTATCGAAAAGAAAGGTTTGCTTTTGGCTTCGTTCGCGTCTATTCCGCTCGATATTCATTAAAACGTATTCAGATTTGTGCACCGACGGAATTTATCGGGTCAGCGGCAATTTGTCCCAGGTCCAGAAGCTACGGTTTCAAATTGATCAGGATAAGTATAACGGGATGGAGAGCGAAGAGGATGTTAACGTTCTGACTGGACTTTTGAAATTGTTTTTTCGCGAGCTGAAAGAGCCGATGGTCCCTTTTAACCTTTATGATCCGTTGATGAAAGCCAACAGTATGTTATAAAAAATGCAGTAGACCATCGGTATTCTTTTGTGGCCATCATGATGCTTATTTCGCACGTTGCGTTGCAGAAATACCGGACAAATCCCTGCGCGAAAAGAAATTTAAAGATTTGGTCAACCAGATTCCTGGCCCTAATTGCGAGACACTCCGTTATCTGTTTCAGCACCTTCACAGGTTTGCCCGAGACGCAGAATTAAAGCTGTATCGTGTTTTTGGTTTTCCCCTTTGATTATCAGATGTGGTTAGGTTGATGACGCTGCTTCCAGATTGTATTATTATACTTATAATTATCATTTAATTATTGCTATCTGGCATCCATAGAGTGTCTCAGTACGGAGATCATAACCGGATGAAACTGGGAAATCTGGCCATTGTCTTTGGACCCACACTCATGTGGCCGGAAACACCTTCAATGAACTTAGCCACCGACATGGTAAGGAACTTCTGTAGATTTTTGTCGTCAGTTTTCATAGGCTGTATTGTATTTCTGTTGTGATTTTTCGAAACGCACTTAGACTTTATAATTATGCTATGAAGGTTGTAAACATTGAAATTTTCGCTACTGGCGAATTCATCTACCACATACGAGTAAAATAACGATTAACTGTTCGCTTGTATTCGTAATAAGTGATTTTTTATGTTTGAAATGTGGTTCGATTATTAAGTGTGTGGTTGTTTAGCTTTGCCAAAATCAAGTTGTGGAGCATCTGCTGCTGAATTTTTATACGCTGTTCGAGAGCTCTTCGAGTGGGATATCATGATTGTTGTTAATACTCCAGTCTTTCACGCGATCGATATGGCTGTGCGTTTAGTTTTGCCTACAATGTTTTTCCGTTGTTTGCATGTGCAACCGTTAATTTGCCTCCTGCGATGGATGACCTTCTTATGATTTGGGACCTTAATAGTTGTTTTAAAAGCAATAGTATTTTCATTTTTTGAGTGCTCCCCAATGCAGCTATTTTTACAACCAAAGTTCTATTTGTAAGCGATGTAAATAAAGTTTGCTTCATTGTTCCTGCCAGTGTCATTAATGTTTCAGCGTTGTGAGTTGCAACAAATGATTAAAAATCATACGATAATTATTTGATATTTGATCTGATAGCCAACGTGGATATTTTAATAAAGTGTGCGGGATTGCTTCGTATGTTACTTCTGTGACCGCTTCGGGGAACAAAGTGAAGTAAACCGTTTATGTGCATTAATGTGGAAAATCAGCGTTGTACCAGTATTTCCGAGTTCTACTTGTGGAATCTGTGGCGTAGATTATATATAAAGTGTGCTTAGTTGAACACTCTTGAATTTGTTCACAAAGCATTGGTTCAGTGATATTTAGAAACAATTTAAAGACACACCACTTTGTGTTTTAATCGTAATTTTGCACGAAAATTGCGCGACATGAAGCTATCGAGTACAGAGTACTTCGAGTTGTATACCGAACGAAGTGGCGAAGCCGCACTGAACGCAAGGTCTCCAAAATGGAGTGCCAAAGCATTGCCGCGAAGTTGTTTTCTAAATCACAAACGTGAAGTCATTTGGTTAGAAGCAGAAAACCTTTGGTTATCCGTTTTTCCTTTAAAGTTCAATTGAAAACACACAAAAATCCGCACCGTATCATATGGCACTTTTCGATGGTGGTGTCATTTGTCATTATTTTTCCTATTAATTAATTGTGAAACATCAAGAAATATTTTGTGAACCATCAAGAAGAATAGGAATGGAAATTTTTGTCATACTGGGCTGCTACAGCTGCAATATTAACGCAACGAACAATCGCATAATACCTCTACTTGGTGCATAATACTTCTTCTACTTCTTCTTGTGTATTGCCGATCAGCATACTCGACCAGCAGATCGTCGAGTTTAATTCCTATTCGCGAAAATCGGCGAAAGAAATATAAATTGCTTCTTCCCATCGCTTGTCACGTACTGGATGCAGATAGGCTGCGCATACAAAAGAATGCTCGCACCGCATTGCATGACATGGTATTCCCGTCTTATCCACAGGGATAACGGGAAATTCAGAAAAGATTTGCCTATTGAAAGACAAAATCCCCGCACCTATATAAGTTACTGGCAATTGTCTATAATTGGACACAGTGCCCCATACTGTAGACGTATATGCGTAGTCGTGGAAAGTGAAAACGCGTTGCCCGGTGGGAATGCCTTGTTAACCATGTTATTGAAAAGTTTAATGCTTGCTGAGAGTGCACTTTGTATCATATCATCCGTATGGACATGCAGCGCGCCCCGACACACCAATCCAGCTTACAGCACCGCTCTTTCGTCGATGTATACAGATACAAAATTCAATGTGTAACTTTTGAAAAGACTGCCGCGGCGGGGTTTCCGGTGAAAGGATGTGTACCTGTGATTAAGATGTATTGCGCTGTAGTCAAGCGGCTTCCGGTCTAATCCGGCGTGTGACAATGACCAGCATCTCTACACCATATATTCCATTGATTATAACAGACAAGCCAAGAGGAGCACTGCGCCGGGTATCATTCATCCTGCAGACAACTGATTTTCCCTTGACTCTGTGTGTGTGCTAATTCCTGTTATTACATTTTGGGAAAAACTTAATTCTTGCATTGGAAAGATTAGGGCTGAGTTTTGTAGTCAGAGCCCAGGCGATTACGTAGGTTTCAAGCGCTTCTTATTTACAGTCTTTTATAGGCAGGTGCATACGCATTTTGGAAAAATAGCCTACCCTTGCTCTTCGGCAATGCGCTCTATTGGATAGGATTTGGTAACTTGATATGCTGCGGCATTATTAAAATCACGGATAAATGCCGGCTAATGTGATTATGCCAGCCTGCGGAAATTATGTTCGTGTATACCCCCATATAGATTTACACAATCTATTTTTCAGTTTAATTACTAATGGACTGCAAGCACGGATCACGTGTGACCAGGTTGTGATTAAAATGTATCTGCTGATCATTCCACAGACAAGTTAAGACAGTTAATATTCTTATAATATTTCTGCTTGTTATAAGGAAAGTACGTGAAACAGTGTGACGATTTATATTGCTAGCGATCGTTTAATTTTTTAGCGCCATTCAGTTCGTTCGAGAGTAACTTGAATAATTATGTGGTATGTTTGTACCGATAACAGTCTAACTCGGAGACTTGGATTTTTAAATTAGTTGAGAATCGAACAATTAATACATAAGTCAAATTTTGATAGAGCGATATGAATTATAATGGCCAGCGCTTTTACCAAGCCAGACCAGAGCATATACTACCGTCGAGTATAGGTTGCACGCTCTAGCCAAAGTATACAAGAGATAATTAATATCTGGTAGTGAATGACGCTGAAATTTACTTTTTGAAAATTCATTACTTTTCGGCATGTTTTCGTCAAAGGCATCGAGTTTTAATTAAGGGCTATGTACCTTTCTCTAGCTACTACGGTAGATAGTAAAGATAACAAATTATTACCACAAAAATAAAATTACCTTTAGTCAGCCGTGTGCATGCTGCATGGTACCTAGTCTATGCAAATGATTTAGATCAGCATCGACAGTAATTCGACAGTAATTCGTGCACCATGGTGCGTTTATTAGACCGTGTAGAAGTTGCGTGCATGTTCAGTACTTATACAAATATTATCGAAGCGTGTTTCGGATAAATCATTCATATGAGAGATGGCTTTCATTAAATGGCTGCTTCCCATTATCACAATTACAAAATTACCAGTTCTTATGCACAGGATCATGGGGTTCCAAATGTACGATGTACAATAATTCTTTAGCGCCGAACTAAACATCTTTTAAACAATTATATCTTTACTGTAATAAAGCAGTGTTGCTTAAAGTCTTCTAAGTTATAACACGGATGTTTGTGATCAGCGTAATAAAAAAAAACGAATTCAGATCTTTCTGCAAATGACGAACGAAACTACTTTCTTGGCCACATTAAAAGGATGGTAGAAGCCGCATTCATTCGTAGTCAGTGAACATATGTACGCATTTCCTGTTTTTCGGCTGATAACACGTACGCATTAACTCACAATCAGTCCAGTTCGGATGCTATGGCAGTATTTGCTAGAAATCGAAGGATATATGGGAGCAGCAGGATACCGTAACCTAATAAATAAATCGTCTTCGGCACGATATTGCTCTCCTTTTGCTAGAGGAGAGCTCCATAAAACACTGGTCGAATTGTTCTCTAGATCTAAAGCCGCAGTTTCGATCACGGTACATATAGGATAAACTTGCATACGTGAGACTGCATTTGATGGCAATCTGATCATCCATTAAGAAATTAGTTCAATTACATTTAAAGTGCATGCACGTGGGCTGGAAGAAATAAAAATCTCGAGATACTTCTATCCACAGAAAAATATCAAAATTTGTGAAGCTTTTTATCAAGCATTGTTTTGTGGCTTGCTGTAGTAATTGTGCGCTAATTTAAGCTTCTTGCATGTTTGAGGTACAAAAGGCTACATTCGACACTTGTTGGCTTACATATAAATGACTTACGTATAAATGACATCGCGTCATCTGGTGCAGTAACATTTTTTACGTTTAAAAAAAAACGCTTAGTGTTGCAATATTACTACTTCACGACTAACAAATTACTCTGATACCAATAACTATCACAGTAATAGCATATAAACGAAAGAATCCACAACTACTTTTAATTCTAGTACTACGGTGCAGTAACGGTTTGTGAATGTTACGGCCAGGATGAAATGTACGATATCTTTTCAACAGACGTCAGGACAGCGTTTCTGAACCGAAAGGTCATCCTGCGGTGTCCGCAACAATTCGTGTGTACGAGAGCAATCAGTTTATGCACTTGCCTTGCAAGTGTGTTCGCAGCAAATGCATATGCAGAAGTATGTGTATATGGAATATGCAGTGGCTTATTTGTCACCGATCATTAGTTTTAAAGGAGCGATGGGGGCGTACGCTGCTGTGCACATTGCACAGTTTAAAGTGACTGTGTGCCTATATTTACTGCAGCGAGCTGCAATAGCAAACTTCCACACACTGCCGAAAGGTCTTCCATACTTGCACAGATATCCCGAGTACCCAAGTCCTGCCCGATTTATCGGGTGAATGTAGCACTTCATGCATGTATGTATCATATGCACCATGCATACACACAATATTTCATACTTTCTTAAACCTGCCGCCGAATGGAAATATCGCCGGCAGACAAAACTAGAGCAAGCCAATCAGAAAGTTTTCTGGAAGCGCCAGAGAGTTGGAGAGGAAAATAAATCGATATACACAAGTAACACACAGGTGCATGGCTTTAGCCTGTCCATGAGCAATGATCCTTAAAGTTTTGACTACATGTAACGGAATGCGCCAAGCGTATATTTTTACACCCGTGCCGCCATATCTTTTGCATTCTCCAATGACATTACAGAACCTGACAAATCCATGATGGGAAAAACTTCTTGCATACAGCATTTTTTATTGCGTTGGAATGAGCTATACTATACGGTTATGTAAATTTCTCTGTTGTTCAAATCTGTGTGTAAAAGATAAACACTGTGCCCAGTAACCGCGCGATATTTAGAAATTAAAGGACATCTATGGATGCCACGGACGAGGTAGGTTCCTATAATAATAACGAACCGCTTTATGCGATTATAATGCGTCATATACGTAGCCGGGATTTGGCTAGCGCAGAGTATTGAAAACGGGGAACATGTTCTGTAGGAGTGCGAGTGATATTAAATTTACTAATCATACGCACACGTTATTCAACATGTCATACACGCCTTGTATTACAGAAAAAAGAGCACACAAGCCGCATTGCTGATGCGAGCGGCGACGGCAGCACAGGTAACGCTGAGACAGCAGCCGGAAGTCATAACCCGGAGAATATTTCACAGTCAGATATCGCATGTCCATCCGGCCAAGGAACGACATCGGCTCCGGAAACAATTACCAGCCAAAGTACTGACCAAATACATGTTGCATCGGCCTATGCTGATGATAATCTGCTGGAGAAATCTGAATCAGCTAATGCACTTTCACCATTATCACCGGCTAAGAGTGATGAAAATTATTCAGACGTGGCTTCGTCACTAAAAGGTTAATTGTTTGGAAATTTCCTGCTGGCACATGCACTCCTATAAACAGATGTAGAGTTGTTAGACACAGAGATATTATTGGGTAACCTAATTTGTCCCATCTTTTACTTTGTGGATTAGATGGGAAACGGTGCCCTCTCCCCGGTTGTAATGGCAAGGGACACGTAACAAACCTGTACCAATTTCATCGCAGGTAAAGCCTTAATCGTACTACGAAAACCTGCATTTGCGCTCTGTATATTTTGTACATATTCTATGCGATCTTCGAAGCGCCGACCTGTAAACTGAAGGTCACTAGTATAAGTAACGTAGTTTACGTTCAGAAGATTAAAAATATGATTCACATTCTTGTATTTCAACCTTTAATTTAAAAGATCTGTTTACACTAATTCTCCTGGTCATTATAGTATATTACAAATACCATGCAGACGACTTACCGTCTTATCCAGTCTTCTTTGTTTATAAGTGCACTCGTATTGTACATAGCTAGGGCTATACTATTAAAACACCATGCATTTGTATTGACTTTTTTGTAGTTAAAGTTTAAAAGCCGAAACAGGACCAAATTGTTCACATAACAATTTCAAGACGACATCAAAAATTAATTTTGCTATACATGTGCTTTTTCATTTTTGCAGTTTGAGTGGCTGCCCGAATCGAGACAAGGCTGCTCCAGAAGGTATGCGCGTAAACCAGAAAGTGATGTGCTCATATTTGTTATTGAAATACCATTACACGATCAACATGGAGTTAACACTACAAGTGAAAAGTTAAGTACATTGTGAGAGCAATTGCAAAACACATAATTTCACGACAGAAGCGCGGCGTTACATGCACCGCGCTGAAAGTTTTATTTGTCAAACGACATGCGCCATACAAATTGCGCACAATCAATGAATGCGACCAAGTTGACAAGGGTATACAGAATGGCAAGTTGCCGGCCGGGCTGGGAATGAAACTTCACAAGTGTCACCACTTGAAAATGCAACGAGAGCGACCAAATTGACATATGGGTCTCGTAAACGGTTGTTAAAGCCGGCATATCCTCCCTGAGCATTTATCTCGGAATCCATTTTCATGTGCGCTTTCCTACCTGTACGGCAATTTCTCATATGGAATTCTCTGCTAACTACATAGAGCAGCAGAGTAAACATACGAATTAAAAGTCATCGTGCCATAAAAAGCTTCGTTAGGAGCATATTACACAGTGCACAGTATAGAATGTATGGGCATGACCAGGAAAATATGGATTGGCCGTCCAGACCGGTGGATTAATCGGGAAACGCAGGGTGTATCATTACAGTATTACACGTACCTGTGCCCTCTTTAAAATTAGCTGCTGTATGCTTCTTGCACGAAAGTGCACACACTTAATAATCAAACTGCAGTAAGTTTTCTCTCCGTGTGTGATTTAGTTTGGGCTAAACTAAGCGGATTGGGGATAACTAATCCGGCTCGCTGCACCTACCCGGGTTGTTCTGGACGCGGTCACGTCAACGGGAGCAGGAATTCTCATCGAAGGTATGTTATTACCATTAGCCCATTTGTTTTAAAGTATTTTTGTCAGTAAGGATCAGGATTCCACGGCAAATTAACCGGCATCGCATCGCCAGTCAACAATTTTAAGGGAATATCTTATTTATTCGACAACTGCGCATTGTGTACATCAGCTTGCAGTATTCATAAGAGGTTAATCACAATTTAAGATTACAAGCTAATTTACAAATGCAAGTCCGTTGAGCTTATTGATTGAGTAGCTAATGCAAAATACCTAACTGGTTTTAAATCTTCTCCATACTTCAGCTAGCAAAAATTATACACTTACCATTAAGAGCACTTTCTTACAGTCAGACGACCTTTACACCATTTGTACGCATTCTTCGTAACTTTATTTCAGTACCTTGTAATGGTTATCATTGACAATCATCCAGCTGCACTTTGTGGTTTGTGGCGCACAGTTCTTATATATGTTATAATCATATATTTTCAAGATGTTCCGGCCTTGGGTAATATTAATGGTCGAGCCACGTGATCTCGAGTCTATTTTCAGTGCACACAGTGAAAGCAACACGATAGAAACTTCTAAAAATCTGATTTTTTTTACATGATGGGCAAATTAAAATGACCATTTAGAATTTGATGGGCGATTTCACACGCTAAATTTAAAACGCGTCATAACAATAATGTCATATTCGTAATTCTGTAAAGGTTCCACTGAAGTACTCACCATGCAGCTTGTGTACCGAAGACAAAATGAAACAGTGACATTTTTTAACGATATATTGTCCTACAGTTTACCAGAAGCCAATAAATACATCGATCATCAATCCACATGTCGAATTTCATATCCTGGAGTAGCTCATTAGTGCAGATTGCACGTAAATATCTGCCTTTTAGCACGAAATTCCTATTGTGCATTATTTAAAAATGATTCGATAGTCTTTCGGGATGTCCATTCTTTGCGGCTACCCGTCCCGCAGCAGCACCCCCGACGAAGCCGGCCTCTACCCCAAGCAATGCAGGATCATGTATTACAACGGACATTCCACCGCGTTCGGCATTCACATCCCTGCGAACGGGTAACATTTCACCGGTACAGAGTCCACTCAGTCCACGCCAGATTGTACCAAAAGCTTCCATCCCGCCGGCACTGTCCTTCCCATTATTCTCACCGTATCCCGCTGCTGCTGCTGCACCGTTTCTGAATCCCTTCCAGTATTTCCTTACCTGTGGTTATCCCTTCGATCCCAGCGCGGCTGCCTACTTTTCCGGCTTCACTGCTCCCTATCGCGGCGTCCTATCCGGCCGATTAGACGCATCCGGCTTAGCCAGCGCACACCGCCAGCTTCCCATCCATAATTATGATGAACCAATAGATCTTACTCTACCGAAAGTGCTGGTGAAAACCATTAATAAGGATTTAAAGGGAGACTTACCCATAATTGTCGACGATCACCGGTAAACACATTATTTAATTTTGCCGGTTTTCCTGTGTTCATACTAGATCAGCATAATATTATGACAAATACTGACATAACTTTGTTATTGTGTTGATGGTCTGGCAAATTTTTATTGTAGATCTGCGGACTCTGATGACAGTCTGTTGGACAAAGAATCTTCGCGGAGTTCGTTTGACAACGACTCGTGGGCGTCTAGGCACGATGGTCAGTTGCAGGAGCAGTTGTTTTCTTAGTATATCCACATGATTTCGCAACTTCCGCTGACAGAAATCAAAAATTTGTAGACGAAGAAAGAAAACCATCACCAACACTTCTGGATAAAGAAAAATTTTGTTTGGCTGAAGTATCAGGTCGCACTATTACCGGAAAATCGTCTGACACGAGCTCCAGCCTGCTAGATTTTAAGTGCGTCAAAGGTCACAAATGCTCCGACACATACTACATAAAATTTGTATTTTTTAAAAACTGCAGCAGCCTGTAGCTTTTTTTACAACCTTGCAGCATTGCTAGCAGTGTATTGAGAACTAAATTTGTTTGCCCCAAAATTTAAATGGTTTTTTTCAAATTTTTCAGATGCCCTACGCCGGGGTAAAGGATTCTCAGTATACTGTTATCACAATGTGTATCTCTGGAAACGTGTAGCAATTGTTTGGCATACTTCAGGTGCGACGGAACAGGACATATAACGGGCCACTTTGCTTCGCACAGGAGCTTGTCGGGATGCCCTCAAGTGCGCAAATGCGATAAAATTGAACGGGGTGAGCCTCTAAGGTGAGGATCTTTATCTGTGAAACCTTTTTACAATGTTAATCAGCAAAAAACAAAACTTTTATGCGACGATATGCCTCAGACAAATTTGCCATGTACTCTACTAGATGCCCCGTCGAAGGATGTTTTGGGGTGGGCCATATTTCCGGAAAATTTTTAAGCCATCGAAGGTATTACCGCTCAATTGAATGTTTTAATTCTATATTGTTTTCTGCATGTGGCGCTGCAGTGCTATCAGACACTTCGTTGTGATTAACAGTGCTTCCGGATGCCCACTGGCCACTCACAGGCGTTCTCGCGACTTGCGGCATCGTAGCATAGAAGATCTTTCAAAAAATCAGCTAAAAAGGTGGGTCGACTTCTTTGACCGCACAATAAAAAAAAAATAAATTTATTAGAGTATTGGTACCGGTTTTAAGAAATGGTTCTATAATTATAAATAAGGAATATTTGGATGACATAAAACCTTCAGAACACAGTTTGTAATTTTACGAATGCGGTGGTCGCTGGTGCTTCACTCGTTTTAATACCTAAAATAAGGTAACGGGAATCGAATTCCGTTCCATGAAATTGCGAAAATTGTTTATTGGGTTCATTTCTTTTGTAATGTAATTCATTTTCAGGACACCAGATAGCGATGAAATTGCCCACAACGATCATACCGGTACCCCACCATTTCCTATCAGCACAAAAGCCTTCAAACGTCCGAAAGGGAGTAACCAAGAGATATCCATAAAAAAGGAGCAGTTCGATCATTCAAATCTTCTTCCACTACAAAGTATGCTACAGAATTTACCAGGTACGTATCATGATTTAAATTTACTCGTTAATACTGTTGTAAACCATGAACACCATCAGTACGATATATCTTGCAGCGCAGTTATAAAATGACTAGTCATATTGTACTCGTTGCATTATTATTATTGTTATCGCGGAGCTTTAAAAAAGTATTTATGCATTTAATTCGTAATATGTATAAAATCATTGTACCATAGTATATTATAGTCATGCGCAATCCAGAATAGAACTAAAATGACGATGTTACGTACACATTGTTTATCACTCTGTACCTTCACTTTACTGTACCAAATTATGACATTTACTGTAACGGGAGTGACTTTATATTTAACTCACCCTTGCTCTACGATTTGTCATACTAGAATGTATCCCGATTGTCGCGGTGAGACAGCGTTTTATTTTAACATTATCCGCTTAACATCAGAACACCATTAACACATCTAACGGCAACAAAGTACTACTGGGCGGTAATTTAATTTTCAAGCTCTTCTTAGTATGATTTCATACCCATTCTGATTTGCGAGTGGAGATTAGCTTAGTTTTTTTTAGATAACAGCTCGGACGACACAATCAGGACTGAAAAATCTGGAGTGGACACTAAAGGAACTGTCGCCAAAGCGGTTCCCCTAAAGAAAAAGCAGAAAAAACTGGCCAACAACCTGCGCGCATTACTGACACATTTAATTCCGCACGCTGATCATCCTTCGGATTCCGCTGAAGACGATGCCAAAAATTATCTGCAAGCAATTCGAAATCACATCGGCACGGAAGCTTACGATGCAGCAGCGGAAGACCTGAAAGTTGCGGTGCAGTTAGCTCTTATGCGTGACCAGCACGAACCAGAACAGCTACAGCCATAACCACAAGCACCGAAAAGTTAATCTACTAACACACCGTCAACAGTAGCTGCTGTATCAAGTTTCGACAAAAAGACGTAACACTGCGTCTAGAAATTAACTGCTTAAGAGAAAATTACTCGAAATCACTAAATAATAATTACAAGTTGCAAAATCGAATCTGGTGTACAGGTGTGTTTACAGTAGTAGTGCCAAAATACGTGCGAAAATTATCCTGCTATTTTCCAACGAGAACGCGCTATAAAGACACGCATTAGAACACTTTTGTTTTCCTCAGCAGGGCATCGATATGTTTTAGGTTTTAATACCTTGAAATCTGCAAGTTTCTATTACGGTATTAGTAATTCTAATGAATGGTACTGGTAATTTTGTGTTTTCCAGAATGCAACATTAGGCATATCGTGGCTAACTGGTTATGTTTTTTGACAACAACAATTCACAAGTTTGTTAACTAAATAATTCAGCAAAACTATACGCTGGGATCCCTTTATGCGGCTTGTTGCTTCACGAGCCTGCTTGCTCGCTTGTGGATGGAAAATGCATTACCGCATTATACAGTGGCTGGGCTGATGAATGGCTGGGCTGGTGAATGGGCTGATGCGCGAGGATACCACGGCCTGAGCTGCAAAAAAAGCCGGGGCCGGAAGCCCAGGCACACTTGCATCAATGCCACTTTAAGGCGCGCCTTCGCTTCCGCCGGTATTGAAACGGAACTGGAACCACCTGGTACTTGCCTTACCAGCGGGAAGCGCCCCGACGGAGTGACTTTGTGTGATGTACTGTAACCTTGCGGTTGGCAACGGTATGGTTGCCAACCTAGATGTACGTACGCAGGTCACTATTTGACCATCAGTTGACTGCCGGCGATGATGAAGTAAGGTTGTATTTTTATGAATACATGACATTGGCGTGAAGGCCTAAGATCATTTAAAAGGCAACTATGTCTACGACTACGGGTAATACTAGCAATGCCGCACGGCCTCCATCACTATCCGCAGCCACTGCTGCTGCCGGAGCGGAAGCGGGAAAGGGACAACAATTATTAAGGATTGTACCGGGTTCGACCCCGCCACGATGGAATGACCGTACTGGAAGCTGAGATTGAAGAATCATCTCTTCCTGATCAAAGTACCGACGGATTACCATGTGGCCTTTCTTCTGGATGCCCTGAGCCCGGAGCCACTCGAACTTTTGGCAAAAATGTGCAAGCCGCAAGAACCGATGGATTTACCGATCGCCGACCTATACGCACGCCTGGATTCTGCTTACACGGTACCGACAATGTGGATCGCCCAGTGGGTGAAATTCTTTAGTACAAAGCAGAAGCCGGAAGCGACCTTGTTCCAGTTCTCGTGTGACTTTCGGGCAAAGGCGGAGACATGTAACTTTCCGGACGACGTAAGGGAGAAGAATATGATTGCAGCATTCGTCATGGGGCTGAAAGATGAAGTGGCGACGAAGAAGCTCTGTACAAAGTCGTTGGCAACACTTCAGGACGCCTTGAATGCCGCCATTGAAATAGAAATGACCAGAAAAGAGTTGCAAATGGACGATATGAAAACTGAAGTCAACAAGATTTCCCAGAAAGGAAGGAAGAACAGTCAGGGTGCCGGGAAAGAGTGTTACCGGTGTGGCCGCCGCAACCATTCCCCGGGCAGCTGTTACTTCCGCGACAAGCGGTGCAACACTTGTGATCATGACGAAAAAGGACATTCGTCCCGGAAGTGTCCCGAGCGAACGAGTAACAAGTACATTTCCGCCGAGGAGCGAAGGCCATACGACATCCTGTAACTTTGAGCTCCAGTCGGGATAAACGCATGGAAAGCGCCGGCGAGTAAAGTTTACCATGTTGATTTATTAATTTGGTTCCTTGGGAAAGAGGAAAGATGTTGACCTGGGATGCCACATGTGTATGCACGGTAGCCTTGTCACACATCGCGGCAACATCGAAGCAAGCGGGGGCAGCCGCAGCGCGCGCAGAGCAGGATAAGGTGGCGAAGTATCAGGAACTCACCCGAGATTACCTGTTCCGTGCATTTGGCGTCGAAACACTCGGACCACTCGGACCGGACGCCTCTCGTTTGGTCACCGAAGTCGGGAAGATGATACTACAGGAAACAGGAGAGGTACGGGCGATGGAGTTTCTGCGCCAACGGATCAGCATTGACATCCAACGCGGGAACGCGGCCTCTGTCATGGGAACAGCACCAGTATCGGCTAACTTAGACGAAATGTTCTGTGTGATTAGGCCGCCTATTTCCGTAGTCGGCTGAGGCTGTGCATTCAGTCAGTGCCGCTCTACAGCAGTATAGGCTACTGGCGTAGCTATACTAATGTAGAGCGGCACTGATTCAGTACAAATCTTTCACTTTTATAGGAAACTTGTGACTGTATCGTTTTGCCAATAAAGCTACAGTGGCACGTACCGTAGGTGAAACGTACCGTGCCTATGGAACTTTACGGTTTAATTTTCGTCTATACACTTACTTTTTTACGTAAGGAAGGTATTGATTTTAACATATATTTGCTGATTGCAACGTTGTATTATGCTATAGCTTTTAGGTTACGAAAGTTTAATAGTATAATGCCATTATAACAATTATCTGTACAAGAAATGATGTCGGCTGCGCCTCCGCATTTCTTGTGGTCCTCGGCCGGTCTGGATTAGTATACTGATAAATTGTTAAAGTTCCGAAGCGAAAACTTACGTACCCAAATGTAAGCAAAAGTGGTCTACATATCAAAGAGGCAAAAGTCTAGATATCAACTAGATACCCCTGGTAGGCCAATCACTCATTCACCTAACGGGAAGTGTGCACTAAAAAACAGTGGTACAGATAGTTCGGTCACTCATTCACCTGACGTTCAGCGTGCACTAAATAGAAGTGTTCGTTTGGTCACTCATTCGCCTAACGGGTAGCGTCCAACGTAGCGGGTTAGAATACAGTAATTATTTGTGAAGTGTATTTACTAATTTTGCGCAGCTGCAGTCTACTAAGAAGGGAATGTTCAGAAGTCAGAACAGAACTTTTGTCATCGATTTTCTCATCGAAAGATTTCTGATTAGTCTGAAGGTATTTTTTAATGGTTTGAAGCTTCATACATTCACGGTAGGTTAACAATACTACTGTACACACCGCTGTATTAAGACTGAAAAAAACAACCAAATTCACCATTAACAAATTTATTCCGTCCTGGCAATAATTGGTTTAATATTTCGACGTTTCCCGAAATGTTCTAGATGAAACTCTTTTACGTTTGCGCATTTTCTTATGTTCGAAAACTGGAGGTGTAATTCGCCGGCTAAGACCTTATATATATGTATCTCAATTCTTTAAGGTCGTTTATTTTCAAACTTGATATTTCTAAACCTAGCAACAGTAATTACTTATGTACAGTCAGTACGGACGTACTTTTCTTAAGTATGGATGTACTTTAACTATATATAGCAGACCCGGCTTGTTGAGGCGATTTGTTTGGTCGCTCTAATGCATTTTTTTAAAAACGAACACTGTCTGGCCGCGTTTTAGAACATGGGCTTTCCGATGAATGGCAGTGGTTTTTGTTGATTCGGTCTGGGACACCGGCACTGGTGTATGCAATTTTTTTTGTTCGTGGTAATAAAGATCTAGAACTACATGTAGATACTGCTTATTGTACGTTACGAGTACCTACAGAGTGCCATATTGTGCATACTTCAAAGCTTTCCGTTAGGAATCTTTCTGTTATATTATTAGTACCTTCTATTAAAAGTAGTATCCAGTCCGGTATTGTACATAAGTATAATCGTGCTGCAACAGTGCTGTCGTACTTTGCATTCTGCACTATCTGAATTATCCACAAATGCGTGTGGTTAGTTGCTATTTAAGAATACAGAGAGAAAAACTCTTATATAATAAAAACCATTAATATTCAAATCTTACACTTGAATCGCTGCGTACCTTGCAACGGCCCCTTCAGTTTCGACTTTTAAGTGATACGCAATTACTTTACTCTTTTTCTGTACAACACTGGGATTGTATAAAATGTTGGCCTTTTACTAGTTTAAAAATTGGCAGCTTATTAATTTTTACCCCATCAACAAATATATTAGAAGGAAGGCTTCCGAAAAGCTTTGCATCCGTCGTTTACGAAATCAACGAAATTTTTGCAACTTATAATTAGTCAACCTAGTTAATCTTTCAAAAAATCAGTTAAAAAGGTGGGTCGACTTCTTTGACCGCACAACCAAAAAGAATAAATTTATTAGAGTATTCGTACCGGTTTTAAGAAATGGTTCTATAATTATAGCTATTTTAGATAACAGCTCTTGGATACCGGGTGTCTCAACACCAGTTAAATCTAGGCTCAGATATTGATACAGTAATAGTGACTGAGAGCATGTTGTGCTGAATTCCCCGCATGAAAGTGATGCGGAAAAACTATGCTGATTTGGTCGTGTTTCCGTATATTTCCAATTAAACTTTGCGCAAATTCGAGTGTTGCTATTATGTAGTTAGTTGGTCGTCTCTAAATCGCATCCCAGGTATGCGCTCAGATACGGACGTTTCATCGCTTGCGCACATTTTAACAGCACTTTGCAGAACGTCCAATTTTCCAACGGAGCTGGCGCGAAATCCGATCGACTTCGACCATTGAATTTCTAGCCAACTGGGCTTTTGATTGAAGGAGAAAAATATAATAGCATAGATTTTTTAAAAGTCGTTAGTTTCAGAAATCGTGCAGAATAAACGAATCCAGAATGCGCACGTTCGCATTCTGACCGCATCACTTTCGTGTGGGTTCATTTTGGATGGTCCATTTTGATAAACAGGGATGGAGTCGGTATCGTAGTGGCTACAGCTTGACAGAACATTGGGTCTTTGAGTTACTCTGGAATGAAAAGTAATCATCCAGATTTGGACTGTCCGCACGTGCAGTGCAGAGTCTACTGACCATTCATTAGATGGATGTGACCCCATATGGCGCCAGATTCCTGCACGTGGCTCCTTAATTCACGTTGTTTCGTTATTATGCCGCATATAATATCACGCCTTGCCTTTCGCCGATTTACCATTGATTTTCCACGGCCTTTCGGAATCTGCACTGGATCCAGCTGCATCCGAAATGAAACAAAGACTACACTATATATTCGTAAAATAATAAATAAAATGCAAATCTAGCTAACGTAAATCTTAATCTTACATGTCACTTAGGAAAAATTTAGATGAATAAAAAGATTTAATTTGTATGTAAGCGAAGGCACACATCAGCGTGACATCAGGATCAGGATATTGTCACCGTTATGAGCTTTAGACACAACACCTTATACGCTACGCTAACTGATATTAATTTACGCCTCTTTTAATTATTTCTGCATATAATGCATGTGTCATCCCAAAACCTGACAGTTTTGCTAATCGTCTTATAAGGATAATTAAGATTGGCCAAAGAATTAAATTTTCTGTTTTTGAGAATAAAATTTGGTGCTACATCACTGTTCTTAGTTGTTATAATTATTAACAAATCCGATGGAGAAATATGTACATTTCATAGAATCTGCTGGCTGTATATATATAAATAAGTAACAGCGCTCGTGAACTAGAAATGCCATCCAGTGTCCCGTTTATCAATAATAATCGACCCCGTAAAATTTTTGTTCAGGCAGATGTGCGGCAGTGTTCCGCTGCATGCCGTTTCCGGTGATGGGTGGCAATAGTAGCTCAATGCTTCCAGAGAATTCGATACGCACTGATGGCTGTGAAAAGCCGGCTCTGAGTGCTCTACCAAGTGCTGCTCAATCGCAATCCTGTTCATAAAATTTGTGGATAAATCTGATGAAAATATAGACCGCAGGAGGCAATAACATGCTTTCTTTCGTATTTATTCTCTAGACCTTCCATATATAAGCTAGCAAAAGAATCCAATATGGTGCATATTCTTATGCATATCCTTTTTAATATCTAGTTTGCCGTTTTTGTTTCTGGTATACGTATATTGGGTTGTACTGGGATTTAACGAGTAGGATATTGCAAAAAAAAATTGTAATGATAATTACGAGTCTCTCTTTAGTTGTTTATACGAGTATGCAGTAGCGCAATGTACTGTATATGCCGACGGTTGTTCATTTACACGACTTCGATAGGTACTTTAAAGGTACTATCACTTTTTTTTATATCATAGCCCAAATATGTTTCAACCTTGCCATTAACCTTAAATGTGTCCGTTTCCTTTTGATGTTACTGAACGTTAAATATGTTGATATACTTTTTTTATTTTTGTTCTTCCAGTTTGTATAGCATAATTAGGATTTGATAACGTTTTACATCAGCTGCTAATAACGGCACAAAAAAATGCAACCTTATGTCTTGCAGCTTGAACAAGCACCATAAGCTAACGGACAGTGCAAATGTTTCTTCGCGAGATTGAGGTATCATTTCCAAGCGTCTAGCGAAATAAATCACAGTATTCCGATGCGCAATACAGATAAATAAGAAATGTAATGGAATACAGCATTAACATCATGGCAGTCTTCGGTGGTTGAGCGCAGCTGTGTTCCGGTACTGGAGAATACTTAACTTCAGCTGGCTTAATCCCGTACAGATATTCTCAGAGTCCGGCCCAGTAGCGACTCGTCCCTCCAGCTCACGAATGTAGTCGATCACAGCTTGCAGGATTTGCAGTCGCGATAACTTCCGGTCCTTAGGTAAAGTTGGGATCATCAAGGATAACTTATACAATAGCTGGTCCATATCATCCTGAATGAGCTTTTCCTTCTTATTCCGCTTAAACATGTTGTTATGTCGGATTGGAGGATCCATAGACATATATGGAGAGAAACGGGAAATATTGGCTTACAGATCAGAACAGGAGACAAAACGGATTCATGCCTATTAAGACTGTGAAATTGACGTAACAGAACAAGTCTGATACGGATCAACTAATATCAGCCAAGGCAATGATCAAAAGATGAAGTGTGGTTAGGATGGCTGAGAAAATGAACTAACAATGCTATGCGTACTGTAGTACTGGAAGCGGTTAGGGTAAAATAAAATCAATAAAATTTGGTAACTGATTCTGTGGATCAGCAATGTACCATCCCGGATTGTTTGTGGGAGCGGTATTGAGCGAAATGCCAGCACAGTTAACCTACTGGACTCCATGTCGATCCCATGCACGGTTTGCTACCGCAGTGTAGCAGCGTGTGCGCATTTATAAGACGTGTACGTACGAAAGGGCATGGCTGTTAATAAGCCGGGCATCGAGTGCAGTTGTCCCTGTAAATTTTGTTATACGAGTTATCTATAGCCCATGCTCATATCTATATAATATACAGATACTTTATCAGCGTGCTTGTTTCTATACACCCTAATAAAAAATAGATTGTAACAGGTCTACCAAATGTCCTGTTTTACCACATTTTCGGCTTTGTGTGAAAAAATAAATGCAAGTTCAGCAATGTGCACAAATACCGGTACATGTGTCCTTTGCGAACAACGCAAAAATTTAATATGCGTTTTGGTTTGCGAAAACGTAGTTCGCATTCCAGGAAACTTAACTATAAAAAATCTGACTTGGAAAAGATTAATTATGGTGATAAATTGCGAAGTAAAAATTAAAGGTGCATTGTTTCCTACGTTTTGGCGAAAGATAAGTCGCCATTACACCGGGAGTGTTTCATATGTACCCACTTCTGGAAAATATATGTTACACTGGACTGACTCCTGGAGCAGCAATTTCGTCTTTGAACTAAAAAAAGGCATTAGGTTTAGCTAAGATTTCTGCAAATTTAAAAAAAAATAACAAGGCTGGACAGTACCATATTATGTGAACGTGTATAATGTATACACAGCTGCAAGCTGTTGCATCACCTGTAACATATCGAAGTGTTTGCAAACAAAACATTTACACCATTTTGTTTCTGATGCCGTTAAAGGTGAGCGTGTGACTTCAGGTGGCCCAGGTATACGTCAGGCATATATAATGTTTGTGAATAAGAACGAAATGGCGTTTAAAACTTTAACCCTCTTAATAATCTGCGGATTGTGCATCTGACAATACGAGTGTGCCAGGCGGTGTGCTTCAAACGCCCCAAAGACAATCCATGGGTATCGATAACAGGTGCGCTTTAAGGTTTTCTCATGATCGGACTCCACTGCACGACTGGGCAATTAATTCTTCAAATTATTCGCTGTTGACACTCGCGGGCATCAGGTGTAAATTATAGTCAGTCTGCTATGCAAAAATGAATTTCCCACGATCCGAAGATAGCATCCCCGTGCAGCCGCAACACAAATTACAGAGTATATAGTTGTACCGAAACCAATACAAACTGTCGGAGTAATCGTTCATGATAAGTTACTTTACATTAGTAATAACCTTTGAATTTTTAAAGTTCGAAATAAGTTCTTTCGCTTTCGCTAAGAAATTCTGCGACGACAACATACAGATAGCCTGAGATATATAGGTAAGTGTACCGTCGTAGTATATACATTATTGTCTGTTACGGCCTACGGTCTGTTACGGCTGTTATTTACAACGTATTATATCATAATTATTTTTAAACCTCTTTTATAGATTATGATGTTATACGGATTACAGGAGATCGATAATAATAAATTGTTATAACGTGATGGCGGCTATCGTTAATATACATACATGTTGAAATCTGACTATGCATAGATGCTTACTCACTATACGTAGGAATTTATCAAATTTATCGTATGCATAAGAAGCGACAGTATTTAAAGCATCTTAGTATTAATAGGTCAGCAGTTGCGCAATATTTTAAATTTCCATTGTTATACAACAAAAAAAGAAAAAAACTTAAAAAGATAACTTATAAAAACAAAACTTACAAAAACTTTGTCCATATATGATCCCAAGGAGAATGCTCCAAAGCCTGTTCTGACAGATTTAATATACTGTACTGTAGTAAAAATCTTAATACATGTAGTACAAAATACAAATCTTAATATCTTGATACATCTGTAGTACAAATCTTAATATATATCATACGTAGATTTTATTCCTGCATATCCAGCCATTTAACTGCACGACATAAGCATAATTTCTGCTTTGGAATCCATGTATGCACACTATTTTGTCGGCGAGAATTAATTAAACTGTGTACAAACAGCAATTTATCATGTCCAAAATGATGTGGCAAATTGAAGTCGTACTGCCCGAAATGAAGAAACTGACAGTAAATGTGTAAGACAAAACGTTATATTTCGTAACAATTTAAATTTTAACAAACTACATTATGCTTTTACCGTGGCTTAATTTTCTCAGTGCCCAGTGACGCTTAATTAATCACACAGTTTGGCGCCAATGAAAGAGAAGCCGGTAAAGCAAACAAAGCTTATGGGTAAACATATGCTAGGGTGATATTGGGGTCCTAATCGCCTTCAAGGAAATGAAAGATCGCTCTGGACGCAGAGATGTTCAGGTTAATAACATCATAAGGTGGAGACAAGTGAAACACGTGTTATGTATAAATAGTGTTTGGACTAATTCTCATTACGAGGCTCAGTTGTCGCACTCACTGCCAATGTATACATTCTCAATCAAGTGAGTAATTAAACCCGGCGGTACTCAAGACCATCCTGACGTCATGACACTGCCAGTGCAGACATTCTCAGGCCAACAAAGCGGGATAATTCTTCTTGACATGGATATTGTTCCTATGGCGCGTCGCTATTGTCCTTAAACAGACTCCTCATCTCAAGAAGATTGCAGTTATGGCGGCACAGCGCGTCATTTTATGGCCATCATTTGAGGACGCACTCGTAAAGGTTGATGACTAAACAGTGGATAACGAAATATTATCAGAAGATGATACTATAAAACATATCTACGTACTCCCGGCACCGTGATTTATTGATGAGAATAATAACATGAGATGTGTTTCTGCAAATTCGAGTGACAAAGTTCCATTGATAATTTGCAAACAATTAATACTAAATTAGAGTATTTGCTGATGTATCATATAGTTATAAAATTCGTTAGAAGCAGCTTTGTAAGATTTAAATATGCCTTAATGCAATACTTAACCGATATCTATATAAATATATGTAATAAAATGCATGATTTGGTACTACAGTACGCAGTGGTTACAATACGCAAATTTATAATAACTGCGCATCCGAGGTAGAATGTTTATATAAATAATAAGATGGTCATTTGAATGTTGTCAGCGCACACAGTCCATCCACGCAAAGAATTTATTTCAACTGCAGAGTTTTCATAAAGCTATGCAGGTAAGATAGTCTAATATTAAACAACGATATTCTGATATTATACATGTACTAAGTTAAGCGGTCGTCCTAATCCTACTCTAGTGAAAATTATTTAATATTTAATTACCATTTCTTGCTCTCTCAGTAGTTACAGATCAATATTTTTCGCCCAATTAGAGTCTACGCCTACGGTGCAAATACAAAACAATTGTTCACAGAAAAATTTCACAACAACTTCAGAAACGATCACATTAAGCATCAATCGACAGAGGCGGCTAATCACAGAGAAAGTGATTATAAGGCCGCCTAATGAAAATTAACTACGAACAGTATCTGTACTGCGGTGTGCGGACTTTCCAGGTTTTATTACAGCATGGTCATCATCAATCGATGCCGAACATAATTTAGAAGGAAATTAACAGCACATCTTCAAAGACCTTTGTTCTTGCTCTTATCACTCAAGTTTCTTTTACGATCCATGATCTAAAACTCAGACTGCTCCATCTATGGTGTGTCCCATTAAGCCGATTGAGCGGTGTGTTTGATGTAGGATAAACGGGGCATCAGTTTCGTAGGAAGGAAATACGGTGCACCAAATTCTTGATACAAATTATTATTATCAAGAGCTAATAATTATATCTTTAAAATCGCAATTTATCATCTTAATCGTGATTTTAATAACCAGACTCTCGCCATCAAGCTTGTTAAACGAGTACACATATGCATTTATCAAGCGATTAAATTGAACCCCGGCGAAAAACTTTCTTAATCGTGTCAATCTGCTGTAATTTTGCCGCTTTCACTCTGTACATGTGTTATAGAGCGGCATTGGTTATAGTAAAAACAAGGTACTGTACATATGTTAACACCTGCCTGGAGTTAATTTAGAACTTTTACGTTACGCACCTTGGCAAAAGTATATATAGAGAGAACTGCAATAAACATTGTAAGTTCCTTCTTACTTTTTGCACGAATGTAAAAAGTTTGGAATTTCGTTGAAACTATAAATTGTTTTTTTTTGCATAGATTGCAATTTTCCATGTGGTAAGGACTAAGCTGTACGTGGGCACGATGTACAATAAGTGCGACGAAGCGGTGCTGGTCCACTGGCGGACTTGAAAGGTGGGAATGGCGCGATTGGTCCGGTTCAGTCGGACATTGAGAGCTTACGATTATTAGATATTGACACGTGTTCATAGATATCAAAAGAAACTGGTTGGCCACAAATGATTCGCTGAATGACATGCCGGTAGGTTATAATGCCTCCAAGATAAAAGAGCTTCATGCAACAAAATGTAAATGCAGACATCTTAAGTGAACACACGTGTGAATTTGTCGCAGACATCACCTGCACTGGCGCCATCGGGTCCAGGACGTCTCTGGAATGCGATAGCATGTTTGCCGAAGGCCGCTACTGTTTCCTGTTAGTGTGCCGCCCCGGCTGCTTTAACAGGCTTGCAGTGATTCATGGGAAATGGCTGTACGCGAGATGCTATTTCTACCGATCGTAATCGTTTGATTTTCTAATTCACTAACAATATTCTAACTGCAAACTTCCCGGCCCCCTGCAACCTGTGAGCATGAGATCATGACAGTTTATGTAAATTAATGCTCTTCTTCAAGCTCCTTAGCCTTTGGCTCCATGATTGCAGGCATGCTTGACATTCCTTACACAGAAGGTTCCGGAAATTATAAATGCTAAGATGTGCACGCTGGCAGTGCATTCCAGCGTTTAAAGTAATTTAATTCCTTTATAGCATTAAGGTACACTTTTAATTTACTGGAATTTATTTCTTTACTTTGTGAAATGGTGTATCTCTATTTCAAAGATTTGAGCAGTTTATCAGAATATCTAATTGTAGATAAATTGAAGTGATAATAAACCGGCATTAATTATGCAAGTCCGGTAAGTAACAAGTTATGTCGCTTCACAATACAACTTATTACGCGTCCGTTCTATAAAAACTATTTCATTTAAGTAAATCATAGGTTCCGTTTGTACGGTAGAAAGATCATGTTTCGTCTAGATTCCAGACACCAGGACTTTGCATAACCTTTACTGGAAAGTTGCGTCAACGTCGACAAGGAAGCATGGACTCAATGAAAAGTACATAATTCAAGCACAGCTGCAAACTCCAATTATTTATGCACGGTTTCAATTAAGTTTTATTTTATTTGGTTGATTGGTGAATGGCAGTGGTGGGCTATGCGAATTATTGCGTGATGGCCTGCTCCTCATGGGTGACATGTGAAACAGGGTCTGCACCGGGTACCACGTAGATGTGCAGGCTCAAGAGATGACCGAATTGGATTGGACACCTGCGTCTTCTTTCCTGTTACATTATTTTGATACAAACTGTCAGTTCGCCATCTGGAGAAACTCTATTCACACATCTTTTGGGCGCAAATGCCATTCCGTGTGTGTCGTGCCGATCTGATTGCCCTCGGAAAATCAGCACACTCAACTGCGCGCTAAAACCGACACACATTGCTCTCACTTGACAGGGCGTTAATTACAAAATCCAAAAATATTTTCCCATCCACACAGCATGCAACATTGCCCTAACGCTATCATTTTTTATTTTTATTTAATTACACACAGCTGCAGCTTGGGCCTGAAACGTCTGTAAAGTGTTCGCGTTACATGTGTCAAAAGTGCTGTAATCAAGATGTGACTGCTGTGGAAACTGTGCATATCTCATTTCCCGTTTTGATTTACTCACACACTCTGGCAATCAGATACGAATTAGTGTGTTCTCGCGGATTCTGCGTGTGCCACTTCTGGTAAACGTCTGTCCATGAAATATCAGTGTAAAGAATTAAACCACAAGTGTGCACATGCACACCCCGCGTAATAACGCCTGGCAACGCCAGTTGTGCCTGCTCGACGGATGGGTGCAATCTGCAACGGCTGCTGCTGCTGGTTGCTGTTTGTGTGTGATCCAGAAAAGGAAATCAACGCTCCAGCTGATCATATCCCCCATATGCCTTTGCATTTCCCACATGTAGCCACAATGTGTTATCTGCGCCAAAGGGCCGGGGCAGCAGGAAGCGGCATACGGCCCGAAAAGATGATCAGAAAGATCAGCTGCTTGACCAGCTGCGTCAAAGCATGCAAGATGTGCACCCGAAATATTTCATACGCACATCGGCACATGTATGCAATACTACTATGCATATTATGCGTGAGCTGTCGCTGTGTGCTGTCGGTCATCCCAATCGACGACGGCTGCTCGCGAACATTTGCCATCCACCCGTTGCCAGAAACACCAAATGTTCCAACTTTTCTTCTAAATGAAAGCTTTACAGATGTTCTCGTATTATTACAGTTCATACTTTAATTGAAAGTGCTTACAGTTTTTTCGTGAAAATTTATCGAAGCCGGCACGAGCCGGCACGAAGCGGAAACTTTTTCCCAAGATTCGATACACGTAAACTTAGACCGGTGCCCTTTCTGACGATTAAATGTACTTCGTGAAAATAAAAAGACTCATTCAAAAGGTTGTGCAAGATAACACAAACAGAAAATCATAATAACTCATTCAGTGCTAGTCGTATATTATTACTATGATTTAGTAAAATAAATAATTATTATAGCTCGTTGTGGAATACTCGTGGTTCACGTTCTAGCATTATTAAAGTACCACTGCCAGTCAACGGTACCGCCACTACCGTGCAGTTTGCCGTATCAATGCCATCTATTGCTGTTGTTATTCTAATCAAAAAAGAAACGAAGCGCTTGAGGTCATTTTGAATGAAAGTCGACGATCGTTTGAATACCGTAGATAATTCTAAGCACCTATCTACAAGCCAGTTTCATCAAATTATCAACCGGAATGTAACTTTACGTGTTTGCGCTTAGGCGTTATACAGATATATATGGCTTAGACTGTATATCGCCCCAAACAATGCAGGTGCGCAAACATTTACTTATATCTGCATAGTTATCGATTTACACAAACAGCACCGCAAATAAGCGAAATAACAGTAAACATGCTAGTACATAGATAATGCTTAGATAAATGGAATATGCAGGGTGGCTGCTGCATGCGCAGCTTATTATAATTATATAATTACGTCTTTACGATTAGTGTTTGATACCGTACTTGTGGTCATCACTGACAAAGGGAGCGTTTTAGAAGAAAGGAAAAGGAAAACATTGTACAATAACAGCAGATCCACACTTTCCAGCTAATCAAAATTGCAAGAATTTTTAATTACGGTTTGGAGTGTGGCATGTGCTGACGCTAACCATCCGGTAGTCGGCCATATGCAAGAGGACACGTGCACTTATCTATTCTTCCGACACACATGCACGGTACATCTGGAAGATCTGGTCATGGGAACGTAGCATTAACACCATTCGGAGCATTCTCTGTACTTAACCTTATTTATCACACACGCAGCAGCTGTATGTGTTGGGAGGAGACCGTGGCTATTACTGCATTAGCCAGCAGTGATCCCTTGTGGGATTGTGTGTGTGGGGACCGCTGCATGTAATGCAACCGGTGTAATCGGGCCATAGGACCACATGCTCGCCTATTATGAAGGAGTGCATCTGCCGGCTTGAGAGCTTGCCAATGCGTAGTGCGGTACATGTTGGCCGCGGCTAGTCTCAGGTGTAAACATTCAATTTACCAATTAATCGTTATGGCCGGTGTGTGTGTGTGCTCGCTGGACTGCATGCATGGTGTGTGTCAGTGTGTGTTGCAAATGTGGGAAAAGTTCGAGTTAACACCTGCGCAATCTGCGCATTGGCCAGCATCTGGTTATTAAACTGCTAGTCACACACACCCCCGCCAGATTTCTTGCCGGTCTTGCCAGCCGCCGGGCGGAGCTACGCTGCTACCGCATGCGAGCAGCTTCGGCTATATAAAGTCCGATCGCACCGGCATCACCAACTCATTCGGTTGTTTATAACAGATTCGCAGATTTCGAAAACATTTGGATTTTCTTTTGCTGGACTTCTGTTTTCATCGAGACGTTCATCTTGCTTTGTGTCAGTTTCGTAGCCGTCTAACTGAATCAGCGTAACCGTACTCCATCGGAAAGTTTGATTAGAGTACCGTGTGATTTGTTGCAAGCGGATATTACCATGAAGGCGATGATTATGTCCCGACCGGTATCCCCTCGCAAGCTGTGCAAGCCCGCTATTCAGAAGTTGCGCAAGAACGCAGAATCGGAGGAGATGGACGCCATGGAGATGCTGTTTGATAAGCTAGCCCACATGATTCCCTCTATTCCCAAAGAGCAAAAGCTAACCAAACTCCAGATTCTCCAGCACGTTATCGAGTACATTCAGGATTTAGAATCTCAAGTGGAATTCCACCCGGAAGCGGAAAATCTCTGCACCGGACTCAATTATTTAAGAATATCCTTGGAGCAAAAATCGTATGATATATAATAAAATAGTATTTCTAAGGTGCTGTATTTTTTGTTGTACATCAGATGGAACGTGATATAAGTGGTTGTATATTTGTTCATTTCTTTTGACCTCGTAGTACGGTACGTCCGTACGAAATGGTTTAGGCTGCTGTTAAGAATGGTTTTTTAAGTTGGGCTTTTGTGATTTTCCTTACCTACAAGTCGATGTGGTTTACGTATTATCTTGTTGAAACAGATGTGCTATTTGGACAGCGGTTTAAATTGTTGAAACTTCAGCAGTGCAGAAAAATAAAAGTCGAGACGTTTATCAGCATGTTTGTGTCGCTGCCGGTACGACACTATGCGACTGCTTAAATTATTTTACTTGGTTGTAGCAAGCCAGGAGTCTTTTTAAAAAATCTGGCTCGCGGAGCCAAATATACAGTTAAAGCTCACAAATTATCATTCTGAAGTTTAATCGTTACAAATTCGTATCGTAAGCCCAATAAATAAGTGTCCTTATGATAAACAGAGCCACGAAGTGCCTGACATGCACCGCATTAGGGAGATACACAGAACACTGAGAACAGTATTGACAAACAAATCAACAAGCCACGAAAATAAAACGCTATATACGATTACCTGGAAGATTGAACGGTAAACCATTAAACAGCAATAATTATTTTCGTTCATTTAGATGCTAGATTATAACATTATTTAGATTATAACATTTTCCACTTCCATTTTGGTTTTAAATCAGTCAAACCGCATTTATATTGGATGTAATATTAACTAATAGTAACTAATATAATAATATTATGCGTTTCTCCCCTGCTAAAAACAGATAAACTTGTTATTTTGTAAATTTATCAATTACAGCAAATAAAATTCTTTGCGCAATCTTCCGAAATGACTCGTTTGCGTCGGCAAATACATGCACGACAGGTTTGAAAACATCCAGCATCGGTAAAAATCCGCTGGAATGCATCTAATTCAAGTCATTCGTCTCGAAAATTCAAAAATATGTTGTTGGTCCGGCACATATAATGCTGCCCGACTGTTCGCTTTAATCTTTAGCGAACTTGAGGGCTGCATCTTCCGCTCATCAGATCGTGATGGAATGTGGCTCAATGAACAGCAAAAACTGGTTTTCCATCTTTTATGACATCTCGATATTTTGCAATGAATGAGTTAAACGAATAGGGGCTGGGTGCCGCAATGAATTTTCAGTTATATGCAAACACTGGCCCATAAGTAGGCACTTAAATACAATATTAAAAGACTCCGTAAAAGTCTTCGGAATCCGGTCAGATAATATTTACTGGCTACATATAACGTCCGGCAATCTCTGTCAGTCATGCGTACATCGCATACAACCATACATATATAAATATACCAAACATCTGGGATACGCCGTAAAGGTGGCCATTCTTTACCAGGTGCAGGAAAAAATTTGTTTTTGCTTATATTATGGTCGCGGCTGGTTTGCTCAACTATACACTGTACAGGACAATCTTACATTTTCTATCGGTAATAGTAAACAACTACTAAGATTTAAACTTGTGTTTTCGTTTTTGAAACTTTTTGTCTTTGGAATGTACTTAAAAGGAAAGAGCTGCTTAAATGAAATCGAAACTGTTCCGTAAGAAATTTGTTGCCATGCTGCGATATAAAACTTTTCATACAATTTTATGCATGTACGAATTCTGTTATTCACGTAATCTTAAAAGGTTTAATAATATGTGTATCGTAGTATATACAGATTTGAGATGGAATGGACGGTGGTCGGTGGCCGGGGCCGTAAAGTGGTCGTCATTTTCTTATAAGTCAAAACGTATGTACACCGATCGCATAAAATTTGTCTTGTTGCGTCAATTGTTTTGTAAAATGCGTTGGAGTCTTGGAGATGAAATTGTTTGTAGCAAATATCGGATCGTTTACCGGCACATATATTGCAGAAACCGATTGACCTTCTTCAGTTTCTGCTGCTGTGCCTTCAAAGCGAAGCGCCACCTGCGCTACTGGCTCATCCCCCGCACCGGATGTTGAGGTTGGATGGTTTTTTTATTACGAAGATCAAAACCAACACTTGCTTCATTAACAACGACAAGTGTTTGGAATGGTTGTTTAAGCATATCAAGCATGACGCCATATGGGCAACAACACTGTGTATAAAAAGAAAAATCGGCTGTTACGCGTTGTGCGGCTGTTTTCTGTTGCATGTGATGTGCAGCTTTCGTAAAGCTGCTCGAATAAAAATCCAGATGTGCCTCACATCTGGTATCGCAGGTGGAATATATGTGCTCTCACGAAGTTTCCGATAGGCGAATGTAATGGCAACCAGCTGTTAAACAAAAAACGTTTGAACAAATTTAAACATATGCATACATGGTACCTATTTAAGTTTGTGCAAGTTTCTACAGCTGCAGGTAAATGCACAGAGTACAAAACAGACGGTTGAAACATGGCTAAAGTTTGACAAAAAGAGATGCCGAAATGTATTATGTTAGCCCGCTAAAATTTAACTTCTTCCCACCGGTTAAATCACGGATCACAATCTGATCTCCTTGTACCGCTTTTTCTAAAACCTGGAGCACTACAATACATAAGCAAAAATTGCCGTCGTATAGTAAGATTGTCAGGTAGATGGCGACAGCGTATAAATACCGTACGAATTACAATACCTTCTTGGAAGATAATTCCTGTAGTTTCCTCATACCTTTATTCAACTACATGATTTCACCAGTCGGCTGGCAACATATACTATAAAAGCAATAATGTATTGTAAAACGCTTTTCTTCTCTTATGTATCATACTCATTCGTACCTAAGGGCCACTGGCCATATTTTCATTTTTTTAACTCAACATTTGAACATTCTTACAAATCTTTTAATATGTGAACGGCATTTGTAAAGGGGATGGTTATCCGGACCGTTTTCGCACATTTACCAAATGGCAAATGGGCCGAGTAAACACACATGCATTTTCACACGCTATACGTCGCGGTTTGGGACAGCGCTTCTGCTGGCATATAGCATACCGGCTTATGTTTGAAATTTTTTAAAGATGTGGTCTTAACCAAAGTAAATTTTCTTGCCCTAGTGTTTTCATATTTACATTCTGTATAAACACTGCGATAGGCCAAAAAATCCCCCGTGCATTATTCGTGCTTACATCATATATACATAGTAAAGCCAAGTGCAAAATATTTAGCTAATTTGCATTTTGCACCACAGAAACCACTAATTAATTGTTATGAATTGCTTGCAAAATATGTGATATGTAAAGTACATACCAAGAATAAGCAAAAATTTAGTGTATCTCCGTATCATTATCAAGGAGACAAACACCACAAATTTATGATAAAGTCAAATTATGCAGTTTATGCTCTCCAAAGATTTCGCGGCGTTTCCACACATAAAAGTTGATTTCCTTATTTCCGAAGTCGAGCAAATACAACACCGCTGAAGTTTGCGTCCCGGATTGTGTGCAGTACAATATACTTCCGGTTATGCACTGTACAGTACTTATATGTATGTGCTACCGGTAACAGTAAATAACAACAGTACTGCAAATGTTTGTGGTGCCCATAAGTTTCAGTATGGTTAAATATATTTTGTACTTGTACAGTAACGAAACTACCGATTCACATGGCGCAAGCACTATGGTATCATATTACATCAATAATTTTATTCGTTGTCTTTTTAGTTTCCAGAATTTCCATGTAAACACATATTTACGTCCACGATCCTGGCTAGTCGTCGTAGTTCTGCCGTACATAATTACGGAATATTGTATATCGCAAGCAATGGTGCATCTTGACATCTTTGTTCCCCAGCCCGTAAAAATTTCTTTTACCTGCCATTCAAATTTAAAATTTTGTTGTAATAAACCATTATTGCTTCATGAAATAAGTATTCACATTGAGAATTTTCCACAGTAATAATTAAGAGTCCCGAAAATCCGCAGATCGGTTATATACGTTAATTAAATTTCAAAGCAAGTATACTTTTAATACTTGGCGGCTGCAGTGTACCAAAATAGATGATGGTGGTAAGTTACTTAATTAAGGGTTTTCAGGTGCAAATTTCAGCTCGACGACATACAGTATATAGGCTATACTGCCCATACATACAGTTATCCCTATTTACAAAATTTTTGCGACATGAAGTACTTATTGTTATACTATATACTTATTGTGGAACTCACGCAATCTGCATTGGTACCGCTAATATTTACTAGAAGTATTAGTGATAGCTTTTACCTTGGCCTTTTAATTTTAGCCATAGTATAATACGTGCTATAATTCGAATTAAAGGTCAACTGAGCCAATTGTGCACGTGTAAGTTTGTGCACCGCGGATTGTGCTAAATGTACAGATACTAATACTTGCTACGTTGTCCCGTTTTCGTACGTATGTATGTACGAGCATTTTCTTGCAGGAAAACGAATTGGCATTGGATCATACTTAACAACAATCTAATTCTTGTTGGTCTGTTGGTGCAAGTCCTGAATGAGGAAAGGGTGCAGAGAAATAAAACATTGATTGACCACACTGGGCTTGCATTATTTGTCTCTACGCGCACTAATTTTTTACTTTTACACGATGATTAATTTGTATTTGGATTGTGGTAGGCTGTGACTGTGATCTGTGTTAACATTAACAATGTTTACAGTTTTCAGTGTTATTGCACAATTTAAACAGTCTGTAAAGCCAGCGGTGGACGCCGATGAACTGGCGGGGAGTTAATTGTCTTCGCTGTAGACATGGAGCATACTGCCAAAGCAAATGACATGAAACCAGAGACAAAACTGTTATTGTTATGAAACAGTGACAAATTAAAGATGGGAGCAAGTGGTCAATCAGGCAAAGAAGGCGGCATATTGCCGGGGTCAGGGCATCTGCAGCTTCTGGCCCAACAGCAGGAAACACAACAAGCGCATCATGGGAATGGGGCGGGTTAATGCAGCGTTGCGCGGCTGCGGCTGGTGGGGGGAGCAGAGCTGCGGTGGAGTATTTGACATGGATTGTTACTCTATCAATTACAGTGATGATCATCTTACAGGAGCTGTACAAATGTCGTCAATTATCAACAAACTTTAACTCTGAAGGCAGTGTATGGGAAAATTGCTATAACTCGTCTGGATCTGCACCACCTGTCACACTTTTCCACGCATTCCTAACACCTCTTCAGCTGCTGGCACCATATACGCACCATACGCACGGCGGCTGCGTTGTAGACCAAGCGCAAGGCTTCTCACAACATGTAACAACTGCACACACAGCGAAATCCCAATATCCAATCAGATTTCACAAATGCACGGCATTCCAAACAGCAGCTGTTACTGCAGCTTGCCTGCGATTTAGCATTGAAACCGGTTATGAGAACTGGATTTACCGCGGATCCATGATAAGGAGAGAAAAGGCGGAGCATGTGGTTACTGGCTACTGTAACCGCGTCCATCTGCTTCGGAATCCCACGCTGCATCGCTTACATATCAACTTCAGCCGTCCAGTGTCCACTATCAGCTGCAAATATAAACCAGTTTTAGTAACGTCGAAGCACCTTTCAGTCATTCGTCGTCGTTGAGGTATTTGGCGAAATCCAAAGTTTTGCGTTAATATTAAACACACTGTCAGATTCCGAGATTTTTGAGAATATTGTTTGTGGGTTTACTTTTGACGATAACATTGAGACCATTTCAAACCTTTAACCAAGGCAATCGTTCTTTTGATAATTGCATTTTCCCATTTTTTGTCTTCACATCTACCATGAATCCCGGGAAGATTTCCGCCTTGAAGAACCGTTTCCCCATTCGCTCATCTACTTCTGCCGCTCGAAGGAGGAAGTGCCATAAAAGGAAGCCATCGGTTAATACGGAAATGAAGTGTGTTCTGAAGAATCTCAAGAAAGCCGTCCCGCGTGTGCAGAAATCCCCTTCTTGCACGGACGCCGACATCGTTCTCGCGGCAGCTCGCCATATCGAGGAGTTGGAGGCTAGGATATTCCTGCATCCCGCAGCTGCCTTTCTTGTACCACAAGTCTTGCTCCTTCGTGAAGAAATTATTAGGAAGCACCGCGCCGCTCCACCTGTTGCATCAGAGCCGCCACGTGATGTTATCGCAAACGATGCAGTGCGCCTGCCTAATCCCATTTGCCTGCAGAACGGTTGGCCGGCCACCATAGACCTCAGCATGTCTAGTTGTGACAAACGCCGGTAGTGTACATTGGATGGTGATTGTTATATCTATAGTATACTATAGTTGTATCCTTTAACACTGACATTTTTTACTGTACATTCGAACGCAAAAGTTTTCTCGTTATCTTCTGTGGTTTATTGTGGCTGTCAGTGTCATAATTATATGATGTCGAACCTTATAACACGATAATTTCTGGTTAATGTTCAGCAGTTCTACTGATTTACGAGATTTTGTCCTTGGATGGAAAAATCGGTATAAAAAGGTTCATGCATATATTGTTGCGGTTGTGGTTACGGTTGGTTAGCTACGAAGCATTAAGTGGTTCTTTAACATTTCCACTCACACACTCTGTCAATTATTTGTAATAGCTCTGCGAAAACATAAGCGAATTTACGAACAGTTCTCACTCTTCCAAATCACTGGCCGCATTTTTGCGGTATTGTTGATCGAATAGGTAGAAGTATGTATTGTAGATGAGCGAGTATTCTTATGTACAATATGTAGCCCCTGTGTACAAAAGAAATGTTTTATATTACTTAATAAAAACAAGGCGAATAGATACAAGTTCAGAACTATTTTCATTTGATAACATCAACTTTAAACTGCATTAAATTTTACATTAAAAACTACGGTCTAACGTGGTCAATCAGCAGACGCACCGTGAATCCTCAAACAACCTCTCGGATGCAAACTACGAAACGTACTTTAGTATGGCAGTTTCGCTTTCCCACAATACAGCAGTGTAGTGAGAACAAAAACCGACAAGTACTAGTACAGTCTGTATACCGGTAGCTAGTTGCATTTGATCTGCACATACAATAGATAACCGTCAGCTACACGGATAAAAATTAAAATTGTCTCATTTCGCTACCTCTATTCTAACATATGAAATACTACAAAGTTTTCTTTAAATTTTATTTTATGTAATATTGATTCCTGATCAAGCGCTTTTTTATAGCATCCAAGTAAAAATTAGCTTTAATTTTTTATAACAAATGCTCATGCATGGTCATTGCGATCATGATCAGATAATTCTGTTGTAACGCTGTTTTTCAAAACTGCGACCAGTATTTAACATATTCACTCATCTATTACTTATAATATTTAGCCATCGAATTGTACTATCTCCCATATATGTTGCTGCATGGGTAGATCATTTCACTGTTTTGACAAATACTGTATGCGATGATGGGTGAGCAAATTTTAACGTATCATTATATCATGTGCCCAGTCGCCGGCAGTCGGCATCTAGTTCAACAAAGACATATTGAACTCATAAACATGAGATTGATTCGTTTTTCCTTGGGATTCCGCGTGGGAAAGCGTACCGGATGGTGACCACCTGGCTCGTTTCATCTTTTTCGTTTATATGGTAAGAATGCCCAAATAACGTCCGTTCCCGTATTCTATCCCTTCAACAACAGTGCTTAACTAGCTGAAGCAGTGGGGCTTGTTGTAAAACCGAGCAAATCCTGTCAAATACCAACAGCTGCATACCGTTGCACTGCTCACACTGATCTTAACAATAACGTGTGATTCTGTGCACCTGTTAAACTGGCATATTTCCGGTCACTGCTATTTGGCCCCGCTCTGTGTACGCCACTACAGTAAAATCAATGTAACGATTCTCATTATTTTACAAAACTTTCAAACTTCTTCTGGTTCAGAGCCTTCCTTGTTGACCTTACGCGTGCGCTGTAATCAAACAAAAAACAGCGACGATGATTTGCGTCAGTCATTTATTATGGATACAGTGAGCTTTACCTGACACATGTTATTTCATAACTGATTTTGTCGCATCTGACAATTTCCCATACGAGTACAAGCTGACAAGTATTTACCGGTAATTTAGCACATTTTTGTGACAATTTCACTCAAATCAAAATTTCATGGAAATCTTTTTACATTTGTTCACTCTGCAGTTAAATTTTAGGAACGAAAACACTATTCAAACTCAACAAGTAAACAATATTGTCCATTATTGTATCTGAGTTGCCATTTACAGGGGGGACAACACTTAAATTTACTAACAAAACGGTCTTATTGTTATAGTAAAAATTATCAATACGTATCAAGTTTGAAATGCCACGTTCAAAAGTGGTTAGCGGTTAAATTATGAGAGCCTTCTTTTTTTAAGCTGCCCACTGTCTTTCGGATTGAATGGTCAGACGCGATGGTGGATGTGCGTCGTCTCACGGGAGGTCCAGTGTAGCGGAGCAACCAATATGTTGTGTGCTTTCCTTTTCCCTTAACTTCGATTTCTCCGCGCATTTCGGTCTCGAAACCGTCGAACTGATCCAGCAGGGCCTTGGTCGTGTCACTAATTTGAACCTTCAATCCTGCCAAAAAAGTCTAATTAAGCTTAAATTTCGGATTCATCCGCATGCACCATAACTCTTTAAACCGCATAAAATAATCGTAATCGTCCAAAATTAAGGCTACGCTAACATTACGACAAACTCAAACGGGAAACCGTAGCAGAATAAACGATGCTTAGTGAATCAAGTCATAATTATTTTTAGTAACACAAAGAACATTTGTAACACAGTAACAAATTACCTTCTCCCGTAGATTCCATTCTGGATGCCGTATTTACTGTATCACCAAATCTGCAAGAAACGCAGTACAAGCTTAAGCATGTATTAAGTAAGACATCAAAATTCGTTATTCTCTTACAAGCAATATCTGGGCATCTTTAATCCCACGACCCCAGCAGCACAAGGCCCTGTCAAAGAATGGCTTGTATAATTTTCCCGAAGTTAGAAAATAAGTTTCACCAAATAATAAGAAAAAGTATTACTTTAGTTAGCTTTTCTGAAGTTCCTAACCGCCTATATTCCGTATTAATTAGAGTTGATTTTATTAACAATCAGCTTACAAGCCTTATTTGAAACGAACAAATCACCCGACACTTACCCGAATTGATCCCAATGCGCAGCTTTAACTTCATGTCCGGTCGATGCTGTATACGGAAACTCACCGCCTCCTCTAAAAACTTCAGCGCCATTTTGCAAATCTCCGATGCATGCCGAGAGCCATTTCTAATAGGAAGTCCACTAGCCACCTGAAAATTTACCGTTTTTAGTATTAACGGTGGCTCTGCCGTTGCAGGTACGATATTCACAAGTCAGCATATATAGCAGTAGCTTTTATGTACATGTGTGTGTGAAGTGGCGTACCATGTACGTATCGGAAATAGTTTCCACTTTGTATGCATCGAAAAGGCCAATTAACTCATCAAAAAGAGTATACCTGCAATGACAAAAATAAACACGTTGCCGGAAACTTTTTCATAAAAATTCAATAATAATATTAAAAAACAAAACTTTATCGAGTGCAAAGTTTGTAGAAATGCAATTAAAAGTGCTACCGTAGAAAAAACAAGAGTAGAACACCTAAAAGAGTCCGTAAAACGAATCCGTAAATAATCAAACATATATATATATTTATAGAAGTTTGATGTATACTAACACGTCATTCAAAAATGCCACAAGCTCAAACGGCGTGCTTTGTGATGACAGTGTAATAAATCCAACAATATCGCTGAAATAAATCTGCAAAAGTCGTTAAGAACCGTTTTTAATCGGTTTCAATGGTTTTCTTCCTGCAACCAAAGTTTACCGTCACACTTTCGAAGGCTTCCGGTGGAAAGTAACCGCCGACTTTTAAAACATCTGCAATCGCTCTGAAAAGCAATACGCGATTACCCATTATGTTCGAAGTTAATTCAAGCTGTAATGATGCTGTAATAGTTCTTAATATAAATAAAACAACCCCGGCATACTTAGGCATGACTTGATACAGCAATTCTTCCGCTTTGCGTTTCTCTTCAAAAAACTCGCTGGTGCGCTCAGCCACAAGTGCTTCCAGGTCTTGTGCGTATTTCTCCATCCGTCTCAGGAGATTATCCATAATGTTACCTTCCTTCATGTACTTACTGGCTTTTAGAGCCAATCGAATGCCATGAAATGTTGGACGCTCTTCAGGAATTTCTTTCCAACACCATTCGGAAATTTGAAGAATTTCCCGCGGTACACCTGAAAATATAAGCTTGCTGTTATTCTACATATACGATTTTTGCAAACCTCCAAAAAATATATAGTGTACTTACCGTTTCAACCGAGTGCTCTTAAAGCAAAAAAAGCTACGGCTTCTACTGAGCTTGAAAACAAAACAAAACATAACCTATGCAAACAAAATTCAGGTAAAAACAGACCAGAGGTTACACCATTTGAAAACAGCTATGAAAAATGCACTGACTATTCATACTGTATCTGTATATAGCGAAAGTCGTATTTTCATGTACGGCTTTCTGAAGTTAACGTGAAACGCTGTCAAAAAAAGTTTCGTAGCTAAGGTAGCTTGAGCTTTATCTACCAAATTTTGTTAAAATCTGATGACAGCATTTCAGTACCGCTTCAATAACCACTTCATCTAGGTTTTAGCAGCGACATTGCAAATTTTCCAACAGCTCCGCCATCTCGTCTAATAGCATTCATTGACAAACTTCCAAAGTAATTCGAAAAAGAGAGGATACCAATTCCGAGGTCGTCCTAACTATGTACTAACGCATTATACCTTCTGCGACAATTTTCGGCCGAAATGGCGGTTTTTCTATGGCAGCTACTCGGTTAATAATTTCCTCATAGGTCATGGTGCTTTCCGAGTCAAAGTATGGATCACTTCGCGCCGCTATCTCCTGAAGGATAATCCCGGCACTGTAGACATCACCCTTCTGCGTTCCGGCAGGCAGCATAGGCGAGCGAAGATGTTCCGGTGCACGCCATAACAGGGCTTTGTAATTAATATCTTCCCCTGATGGATACGAATTTAATGCATAATTTTTTGGTCGTAGCATTGGCAGATGGAAGTCGGTAATCTTCAGGACAAAACGACCATCGATTACACAATTCGAACTGTGTAGATAGCCAAAGGAGTGCACAAAAGATGAGTGTAAAAATTCCATTCCCTATTAGTAAAATCCATATTCACAAACAGCTTTGCAAAACATAAAATGATGAAACTACCAAATGCTTTTAAAAGATTGTTACACCATTTAAAAGCACATTCTTACGGTAACCATATCGGAAATCAAGGAAAATTTGAATGACCAGTCCAAATTGACGGAATCGTTTTGCACCAAATCAGAAAGGCTGCTCTTAACGCAGTATTCCGTCAGAATTGCTTCATGGTCAAAATCCGTGCAGACACCCACCAACCGATTCAGATTATCGTGATTCAATCCCCGAAGCTGTAAAAAAACAGTAGCCATATTGCCTCACTAAATTAAACACGCTATGAGTACTGTAATATTTTGTAATTGTAACCCCTTATAACGCACTAGTATGTATTAGTTCCATTTAAATTTAAAACACAATAAAAATAACATAACTGCAGTTTAAAATAACATAGTATCCAAAGAAAGGCATGAGATACTGAAATCACCTTTAATATCTTCCGTTTTTAGCACGTACGTACCTTATTGACCCACACGAGATAGTCGCGGTTAACAACTATTCGAGCGCCCACGGGCTTTACAAACACCAGCTTCCCTTGGTACCGCCCGACTTGTAACGTTTTCGGTTCATTCTGCAAAAACAAATTGCTTAATATAATCCCGGTAGGTTAAAAGCTAAATTTTCGTATGCCGGTATGCGACAAAATATGACTTTAAAGACAGAAAACTTTACAGCTGATCCAGAAATACGCAGAATAAAGCGGCTGCAGCTACCGATCCATCTTTTCGAAAAAGCCCGAATTAAAAAGAAACATAATACATTCAGGCCAGAAAAATAGCCAGTTAAAGCACAAAATGCAAAAGCAATAGCGTACGTCACTATCATGGGACATCATTGAAGTTGGCTTGGCACTGGCGCGCGATGCAATGGAAACTGACGATCCCTCGCCTTTCATGCGCATTTTGACGTGCTGATGCGATACTTTCCACCAGTCATCCTGGAGTGCTGCCTCAAACTTCCTCTTCCTGTGAAGAGTGTGACCTTACTGCGCGTATTTTTTATCGCAGCCACTATCTTTCTCACCTGCTGATAATGAAAATTATGACGCAAACGATGATCAGCACAAGAACACCGGCTCCGACGACCGCAATAATTACCGTCGTCATACGACCTACAAGAATCAGTGTTTTAAAACAAACTGGGATAAACGAAACACCAATAAAGTATTTAAAAACACAACTGCTTTCGAATAAAATAGAAAAAATCTAGGTTGTTAACAGAAAAATATGGATTTACTGGCGCGTAGAAGACATTCCGGCTTGTCATTTCGGAATCCACATTCCGGCTCATTGGGCGGAAGCGGTTTGTCATTTACCCATTTGATGGGTCGCACATTAGGGCGAAATATCCCTGTTACCCCGTCGTAATCCATTACCGTCTGTACAGAATTTCGACAAATTTATTAAAAGCCAGAGTAACTGTATCACACACTGGCGACGGAAATTTAAGCGAGTATCAATACTAACAATCCAGTTGCCCGTAACATCGTCCACTCGACGAAGACTGAAGCTCTGATCTTTAACGCCAATAGAGCGCACTTTGAGCTTTCCTTCGGGACTGGGAATGGTTTTCCCCCACATCCGTTTGGTCAGGAGCGTCCCGTTGAAGGGGTCCTGACCGGCAGCTAGGGTTTCATTCAGAGCGGTTGCATATAGTATTATCCCATCGTGCATGCCGGTTACCGAGGGAGCAACCTAAAGTGCAGACGGTAATATGAAAATCTAATAAGGTCAGGAACAGCGGAGCATATCCTCATGCCAATACATGCGGAAAATTATTTTTTCATAGTTATACATATTTGTGAATCAGATATCTTGCAGAAAAACACATCTAATTACTAAATTAAGCTTGAGACGTTTTTCAGCGTGGCAGTACATACGGTTTCATTAGGGCCATAGGTGTATCCAAATCGCTCTTCAGCTAGCCGTTTGACCTCGTCCGACCATTTCATGAATACCGGATCCGTCCAGTATTCGGTCGAAGTGATTTTTAATAATACACGGTACGCCGCTCGGGCATCCTTACATTTAAATAATATTTAGGAATTAGGATACAGGAATTTTCATAAAAACATCACAAAACAGCGAACCCACCGCGTCGCGGTTGTCGTAATACTGCCAAGTATATTCGCCGAAATAAGGACTGCGAAACCATTCATAGGTAATGAACAACTACAAAAACAGTTAAGATAAATGATGCACAGTACAACAAAAATACCGGTAAATCTCAGGAACGAATTTACAAGAATTCGCAAAAATCAGTTGTAAGGCCGGAAAACAGAGGAAGTCAACGCTATTATTATGAACGTCTAACGTTTCATGATCTAAGTCACGAAAAAAACGCCTCGCAATCTTTCAAAGATTCTTACATAATCTCCATTGCACATCCCCATATCGAACGCTGTTAGCTGCAATGGATGCAAAGCAGGAATTTCGGGCAAGAAATTTATAATATTTCTAAGAACGTTTACAGTTGTAAACTACTTTTCACTGCACCAAACCATACAGTGACCTTAGAAATTAGATGAGTTCTTACCATCCACTGTCGAACCACGAGTGCGGGGGCCAGAACCATGATAACTATACGCGAAATGCATTCGTATAAACCAAAGTCACATCAGAAATTCGAAAAAAGCACTAATAATAATGATACGAAGCAGGAAAAGAAATAAGTGTACCGCGCGCTTCGGTGGACGCATCCAGTAATTTTGGCGCATGTCCACTTTGTCCGCAGGCTTGTACGGAAAAGCTCGCGAATTCATGTGAGGAGCCGGTGGTGCTCGGTAGTACAGTGCACGTTGATAAACTTGACCAGTGACCTGATTCAAAACCACCAATAACTGTTTTCGAACATGCGGTTAAAGTTCCCATATGTCGCACAGAGAAGCGATAAATTACAGTTATCGTATTCCATGTTCCAAGCATTTAGAAATGCAAAATCAGCCTTACGAAAATGCCACATCAAAACCAAAACTAGTCGCGGAAAAATTAATACCCTTTTGGTTACGTCGAATACAGCAGCTCTATAATTTACAAACACGTTCTGCACTATAAATGGTAAGCACCATACCTGTGACCAGGGCATCACTTCATCATAAATAATGGCGTCATTGGTGTAATTTAATGCATCCATAACGCGCAACGAAAATTCATCTAGAGTGATCATTGTGTACGCCAAGCGGGTCAGGGTTTTAAAAACAACCCGGTCATCAAAGTAATCGGAAGTAGCTTGCGAATTGATTAATGGAAGATCCATATCTGCACCCAGAAACGACGAACAACAGAATTTTGTCTAGATCTGGCAATTTCGTTTAGGAAATGGTTATCACGATTATGGCTGCTAATGATTTGTTAGCCCGATCAATAAAGTGTGGACCTGTATACTATTATAGTAATTAACAGTTTCATATTTCGTCAACGAGCAATGTACAATGTAGCATCTGCTAATTAATAATTAACTTATGGTAGTGCACTGTATCTGACACACCGGTACATGCCGGTCCTAAAAGCAATCCCACGGGAGGCGCTCCACTATCTGAGACTTTTTCGAAAGCGTAGTTCGTAATAAGATACGTTGCATGGTTCTCTTCGTCAGGACAGCCAACCATTCCTGTCAGTGTAATAATCTGATAGTGAAGGTTTACATTGGGAACAATATTCTTTCGCGCTTCCCGAATGGCCATTTCCAGCGCCGCTCCGCTTTTCCCAGGTCTGTCGGCAGTGCCCCGCCTGTAAACCGCCCATGTACATATCTACTTTATAAAATTAAAATACGTAAATAACAGTTTAAACAATAAAAACTTAAAGAATATGTGTTTATCTAATTCCCTTACTCTGTAATACATGTAAAAGTAAGCAAACAATGTAAATTAACAGTTAACTGAAAGTTTAGTGTTCAGAATTCTACCTTACGTTCCTTACTAATACGATTGCTGGGGTAGTATAAGAACTAATTCTTGTCACCTTATTAAGAAAACACATCTTAATATTATCAAAAACTCAAATCCGCTTGGAGCTAACACAAACATTACGAGAAAGTGCAGTTTTTGACAGTGTCAGGATGGCTTACCAACTGTAAGTGTAATAAGGATTGTGACGTTTAAGACGTACGGATAGCCCGGTATAGGATAATTCGGAGTAATATCATCGGTAGGAAGACGACATAACGTCAACGATGCCGTCAACAAAAATCCAAAAACCCAGCTGATCCGCTGCACCGCATCCATGCCGATTTAAAATAAACTTGGCACCTCACACTGTTGGTAAGTGCTGCGACATCAAAACGATAATTTTTTATTGATCTATGCGGTGTTTTAAACGAAAACTAGCATTTTCAGGAAGGATCACAGTAACAAACAACTTGTTGACCAGTGATAAAATCCAAGATTTATAATACCGCAAACGATAGCAAAGATGGATACATCCTGGAATAGCGAGCCTGACCCTGGCTGGTCGTGACAGTAGCGGTAATTATCCCGATTTCCGGCAAGGGAATACAGCGTACCGGTCACATACAGCCTAGCCGCGTCACGAAATGGGACTTCCAATACTAACTGCGCTCTTCCTGACATGCCGCTAACCTGCGTCCATAGTCCCGACAAATAGCTGTATTTGTACGCGACAGGAAGAGTGCATAAATTCATCTAGAGTTGGCTATTGAGTTTATTATTTATCGATAAGCCTCTCGATAATTGTTACCTGTAAGAGCAGCGGCAGTGTTTTTATGTGGGATGTTTGATTATCCCACCCAATCGACAGTATCAATGTTTACGAGCGCTTGACAGCTAACTCCGACCTGTGTTATTGATTTTTTCTTGTGCTGCCAATTGGAAAACATTCCTGATGAAGTTTCATCTGGAAGCCAGCTGCGGTATGGAGTTAAATGCACTGTTTGTTCAAACAAGAAAGGAGCTATCGCATCGTGCTAATCAATGATTAGCCAACAAAAGGTCAGGTTAAAGTCGTACACAGCATCCTGCACATATGTGCGGAAGTCTTGATATGTAAAAGCGCGTGAAGTCAGATCCACAATCCGCACCAGCAAAGAAAAAAATTCACATAAAAACCCGCTGATTTTTTGTATATTCTGGGTTTGGCGCAAGTCCAAACCGGAGCCTAACGCTTCAAGGCAAAAATATTGTGCATCCACATCAGTATTTTATATTTCAACAAAATGTCGCTCCATAAAATTATACCACAACTTGGAAGTCATAAATGAATTTAAAATATCAGTCTAAATACTAAACCGTATATTCGCAAACCTCAACATAAAGATTTAACGCTCTATCTCCACCGGGACGTTACTATGTATAGCCATATGTCAAATACGAGCTCCAACATTTCAAAAATAATAAAACAAAATTCTTAATCATAGGTAAATTATTTATCAAAGAATAAATATGCAACAAATTTACATAAAAAAACCTTATAAAAGAATGCGATATTTTACATTACGCGGCACACGGTTTATTACCAGACGGCCATCGTAACTCAAACTAGCAAAAGTCCAGGGATCCGCTGATGACCAGTCCAATGCGTATACACTGTCTTCATGTTCGTCGTAAACATTAATCACCCCATCGGCCAGTCTGCAAATATACATACATTATTTTAATTACTGAGAGCTACCTACATATTTCTAATTAGTCATTCCAACAAATAAAATAAATTCGCTGAATTCCATCTATTTTACCTTTCGTGCTTTTCTGTTTCGTCTCGGTTTTCTTCGTCACTAACATGTGCAACTGTTTCCGATGACAACGAAGCAACGCTAGTTAAGATAACCCGGGAATCGCTGCTGGACGTCAGGAGGAGTTGATCGTGGAACGGATTGTATTTTACGCACCATACCCAATGAGAATGATCTATAACGCAATAATTATGTTATTCAATAAAAGCCGAGTTACTGTACTTTCACGCATTAACTCACCATCAAGCACCTGCAAAGGAGCGCCGACATTCCTAGTATCCCAAATCTTGGCAGTGCAGTCATCGCCACAAGATGCCAGATCATAGGGCTTGTTTTGGTTGAAATCTATTTGACGCACCATATATCCATGGGGATTTTCTATTAGATAGCTGGTTCTGAAGAGAAAACAAACATCAGCTAACAAATACAACCCAGATGTCGGTAACTGAAGGTTGAAAACAGTATGCAGTGATGCACGCTTGTTATCAATTTCAATTACTGTTTCAAAGATTAAAAAAACAACCAACTGTATCAAGGGCGGCGTTTGGTTATTAGACTCACTTCGAAGATCGTAAATCCAAACCTCGGATAGACGTTTCCATACATAATCCGACAGTATTGCTGGAATGATGGGGGCTCCATTTAGCGCTAGTAATACGGTTATGTCCTTTTCCTTCCACAGAAATTGAGGAAGATTCCTAAGCATCAATATTCAATGACACATACAATAAAATTTTGCAATATGTGCAAAACCACAACACTTGCCGTAAATGCAGACGACGATGTGCTCGACGCCTCCCATGTCACTACGCCATTTGTTTTCAGAGTGATAATTTTCTTCTGAGATGATGTAGGTTCCCAAATTACCCTAATAAAAAGAACAAATTTCCAACGGTGGAAGATAAAAAAAGACACACAAATCGCTTCTACAGTAAGCAGCTCCTTGTATAAGCTGGTCAAAATTAATCATTTTGATAGTTTGTAATTTTCGCAGGGTTTTCGCTTAGATCACAAGTTAAAAACCGACATCGCTGCCAAAACGTTACAGCTCAAATTTTCAAAAACCATAGATACTTGCTTTAGCGGTTACATACATATACTTGAAACATTAAGAAAAAATTATTTTTATTCTCCTAGCGCGAAATAATCTGACCTGAATACTCGACGTACAAAATGTTTAAAAAATTTACCACGTGTCATGTTAGGAGTGAACAACGGCAATCACAATTTACCCAAAAGCACTAACTACCGAAACAATGCGCCATACGTACCCTTGAATATCACCACCCTCCTTATCTTTCAGGTCGAGCACTTTGTCCAGTCGTGTTATGGCGCCTTGAGCATCGTCGCCGGAAGACGCCGTGGATCGCGACGGTGATGATCGGGTGGCGGGGAACCTCCACAATGCGGCACGCGAATTAATTTTCTGCCCATCCACTGTTCAAATCAACCTATCAGTGCCCAAGTAGCGCAACTGCAAAATCCCAGAAGAATGAACTGCGCCTACCCTCGTTATAGCACGCAGCGAACAGATCCGCATCATACGGACAGCATGAGAGATGCCAGATCTCACCGCTAGGATGCCCGTACACGGTGCGCGTCACCGCGTTGGTGTCTTCGTCAAAATCAATCAGTTGCACCTAGAAACCAGATGGACGGTCCAAACTATAATGCTGCGAATCACTAATGGTAATTAAACAAAAACAACGCGAAGTCCCACCAGCTCGAACGCACCTGATTTTCATGCTTAATCGACTGCGTACCAATCAGAAATCGTACAGCATCGCTTTCAGCTGCCAAGGACACAAGGCACCGCGCCTGTTACAAAAAGAACTATGCGTCGCAACCCGACTGCACGAAAACAACTCCAGGAAGAACGTTTAAAAGTCACAGCTACTCTCCAACTTGACAGAAAACGCACCTGGAAATCGATTCCGTAAATCACTGGTATGTCTTCGTCCATTCTTCTTCTAGAACTAATCACAAATGTTTCATTGCCACATTATAACTCCTGAAATCACAAGAAATAACAGCCCATTTAAATTCAAAACCAACTGTTTTGTTTTAGTTTCTGAATTACCGTAATTACTTTCGGCTGCTCTTTTCAAATTTGACATTACAGCGAAGTGGTGACCGCCCTCGGGAGCAGCCGTAATATTACTGAATCTCACAGTCCAGCCGCCCTGGTGGACACTCTTGTAGATGGGCGGCACTAACTTGGCACCCGCCCTTGACGTTATCTAATTGGCCGCTACCGCAGACAAGCGAGTTGGTGATTGACTGGCTCCAGAATGAATGAATGTGGGAAATTTCTTGTCTGCACTATGACACACGCCTGACCGACATAGTCGATGGGTAGCCGCTCGCCGATCGCCAGTTGTATGCAACTTTGTGCTTTCTCAGAAATCCGTTGGACAAAACGTACAAGAGCAACGAACTGGTGTTTTGGATCGATTACTTTTCTGAGGAACTCTAACAGTCTGACTTTTATGTTGTAGACGTGTCCGTTCGGTGGCACTTGTAAATTTTTGCTGCTTGCTCTGTTTCCTACGCTCATTTCGCCTCAAACAAGGACTTAATCGCGTGTGTTTACCGATCGCAGCGAATTTCTGAAATTTGGGTTGATCGTGAATGGTCTGCCGTTTGGAGATCGAAATTATTACCATCTTATGTGTGGAAGTTGGAAGTGCGTTGTCTTTCGTTTAGCGAAAACGGAGTATTTTCTCACAATTGTCAGTGTATTCTTCCTTGGCAACATTTGAGGATATAGCTGGCAGGAGCCTTAACTCGAGGACTTAAGATGCCACAGGAGTTCATGGTCGGATTGCACGCGGGTCGCATTCCGCACTTCGACGATTATAAGGATGTGAATGCTTATATCCAGCCTTTCAAACGCCCTTCTACGGGCGAAAATCCCTCACTCATCAGCGACCACAACACTAATAATACGGACGATGGTGTACAAAGTCCAACACAGTTTGTGATGGACATCGATTCTGACTCTTCGTCCACGCATAATCCTTTGACGTATGTTGTTAAAATTAAGTAGTGAGCGGCACTATCTATAATAGTATCATAATAATTATCACAATTGGCTATGTTTTTACACTTGCTCATCCAAAGCGTTTACAATTACTTTAGTAACTTCACTGAATAAGAATGTGCACACATATACCGACATTACTGTAAATTCGCCATTTTTTGGATGAATTTTTTGAATGTTTGACTGTTGGAAAATGCACTTTTATGAAATTGAAAGCTTGTGTAAGTTTTATTTGCTATTTTTGTATTTTTTAATGTGGTAACTGGTAACATATGAAAGGCTTCCAGTCTGCTTTTGTTTTGCTTTTATAATCTACCATTAACCATATTAATGTCTATCTACTATTAATTTTTATTATTGTGTAATGTAGACATCCCAAGTCTGAACTACCATCGACCTTTGTTCCTGGATTCCACGATGAAGCTGCCGTACGACGTTTACGGTACAAAAAGCTGGGTAGTACTGGAATGTCTGTCTCCGCTCTGGCAATAGGTAAGTGACCGTAGATTTAGATAAAAAAATTGGTGGTTGTGCAACTAGATACAGTAGGTGTTGGCGATATTCAGGCTCCTACAGCTTGTGCCGCAAGTAATTTAAAATTTAATTAGGCGCCCTTTAAGAGTTTGGTCTGAAAAATTGCAGCTTCTCTGCTTCTTATGGCCCTCTTTTTGCTGCAACAGATGCTGAATCGTGTTACCAATATTACTGTTATTAAGGTTTCAGTAATCTGATTGGAATTATTATGCTTGAACGTCTGTTAACAATAATGTATAACAAAAAGTGAAGTACTAACTTTTTCTCAATTTGTAAAATTTCAGCATTAACCGAATATATTTCTGAAATCTTTTTTTTGGTGAGCTAGTTGGACATAGCACTGTTAATCTAATTTGACAATGCATTCAGCATCTTCAATAATTTTTTCCTTGACTCCATTCGCATTGTAAATCTGTTTTAACTTCTTGATACCATCTGACCGACACAGCTATTCGGTGCAGTAGCCTTGGCTGACTCGCATCAACGGGTTTTTTACAAGGTGGATAAGCTGTTTGGCCATTTAGAATGTAAACTATTTTATGAAGACGGTTATTATTAATCACTCCTCAGTCCTCGCGTACAGACCGGTATTTCTTGTAGACGTCGATGGCTTGTAGCGTGAACGAGACTGCACCTTGACCTTCCTACTTACCGACCGCTTCTAAATATCGGCAGGTTAACTTAAACCTTTGTTAAATGAATTATGTTTTGGAAAGTTTTTTTAAGAGACTCAGCTGAGAATAATTTACGGTTAGAAAGATACGACTTTTGTATTTTAGTTTTGCGGAAACGATATCATTAAATATGTGGTGATATCATAGCATGTGCCCATGTTTATTCATGATAAGCCGGTTTGTCCACCATGTGTCACAATGGTTATTGTTATCGGGCGCAACCGACGAGCTATTGCTAACACGGGTACGCAAATAATCCATGAAATCACTATCTTTCGTTTTTCATGATTATTCGGAAAATTTAAATGGAATTTTCCGCAAATAAAAACAAAGTTGAAAGGGGTAATTGCAAATATATTTTACTGTAATTAGATATATTTGTTTGGCTTCTTGTGAGGATATTGAGTACTTCCATAACCGATTTGTTCTAGCATTTTCACACCATATCGTTGAAAGTAAGCACGAAACGTAAATGTGTAAAATACAGACCGACACTTTTGCAAAGGATATCTTTATAATCATGCCGCCTTTTTCAGGATCACGGCTGTTCTATTTTCATTAGGGAAAATCCTGCCGCGTGATCTTAGACTAAATAAATGCTGCGCTCGCTAATCATTGGCGTCGTTTGTCATTCTGGCCATTAATTTCGTTCATAATGTCATTTTGTCCTACGAGTTATTTTGGTACCGTTGTGTTTTTGTAGGCGGCGGAGGATTAGAGCGGTTTTACGGCTCGCTAGACGAAGATCGCGCCATCGAAGAGATTCAGTCAGCCATTCGGTTAGGTTTGAACTATGTTCACACTGCTCCGTGGTATGGTGCCGGAAAATCCGAAGCAATCGTGGGAAAGGTAATTGCGTAATGTTCTTTGGATTTATGCTTGTTGATAGTTGATTTGTTATACTTAGTAACTGCTGTTCCACATTATAGACGTCCAGGTTGTTTTTAATGCGGTGCATAATTAAATCGTTTTATGGTCCGTTTTATGATTTAAATAAGTCATTTTATTTCATGGTTCGCAGTAGGCTTTGCGAAATTATTTAATCGTTATTACGTTAATTGCGTTTTAGGCCCTTGCCGGCGTGCCGCGAAAAGCTTATTTTATTGCTACCAAAGTGGGCCGATATAATGCAAATGTTGAGGAAATGTTTGATTTTTCGGCTGAAAGGGTAACTAAAAGCATCGAAGAGAGCTTGAGCCGACTTGGCCTTACTTATGTCGACGTTATTCAAGTAAGTGTGCAGCATTTCTCTCCTTGGTTGGTCATTCTATAGGGCGATCATCTCTGTAGTCGAGAATAATGCACTGTACGCTGTTTTTTCTAGGTTCATGACCTGGAGTTTGCGCCTAATGTCGACGTTATACTGAACCAAACGTTGCCGGCATTGGAACGGCTGAGACAAGCTGGAAAAGCCAGGTTAAATTTCAGACGCTGCTTTTTCCGTTGCTGAATTGGCCAAGTCAACCTGTTCGGTTGTGTTGTTTGTATGCAGGTTTATTGGAATTACTGGCTATCCGACACTAGAGCTTCTGTAAGTGCCATCATTTTACGGTGTACACTCGTACGGTTTTTTCCGCAATGTTATCGATTTGCCTACCGTACTGCGATTTCGTCGTATCGTGGTAATGCTTGCGCAATCATCGACAAAGTGTGGTGTGTAATAAGTGGCAACTGACGCGCTGTCAAAGATAAAGTTGCCGGCTTTCAAGATTGTCAGACCGTTTATTAAAGCCTGATTAGACAGTTTGTAGTCGCAGTACTTTCGTCATGAAACCCGCTCATTTGCATGCGTAGGCGTTTTTGTGGGAAATATTCAGCTTATGGTGCTTGCACGTTTTATGGTGTCATTTCCGGCTCGGCTTCCTGTCCATCGTCACTAAGATCGGGCTATTTTTCGACAATAGTAACGAAGAAAGCGTCATGTGGCGTGTTCTGTAAAGAGTTTTCGTTGTGCACCGGATATTGTAAAGGAGCGCCATTTCTAATTTAAATAGACTTTGTGTTTTTTTAATATTGCTTCTTACTGGTTAGTGTTACAGTTTTGTTTTGTGTTTACAGTTTTTTGATGTGCTGAATTTTCGAATTAGTTTGTAATGTGAAAATCAGTTCAAACAAATCACGATGAAATCTAGTATTTCACGATTTTTAGGGAGGTTGTACGGAAAAGTACAATAAGAATTGATACAGTCCTTTCCTATTGCCGCTATGGCTTCTACAATAACGATCTAATGGACATCATTCCGGAACTGCGATCGAAGGGTGTGGGAGTTATAAATGCTGCCCCGTTGGGATTGGGTTTGTTGTCCAAAACTGGTCCAGAAGACTGGCATCCAGCTAGTGATTCCTTGAAGTTAGCTTGCCGAGCTGCAGTGCTTTATACACAGGTTTGTTGTTTTATAAGAAAAAAAATACGTGTTCAATTTGTTTGATAGTTGATAATATGTCATGCCTTCCAGAAATTACATACAGAGGCGCACCTTTAACATATTTTTTGTATTTAAAAAAGTGAACATATTTTTTGTATTTAAAAAGTGTTAAAAATTCAAGAGTCCGATTCAAAATTTAAGTGCCAAGTTTGATTTTTAGGAGCAGGAAATGGATCTGGAAAAGGTTGTGCTCAAATTCTGCTACTGGTCCGACGACATTGATACCACAGTGGCCAGTATGGTGTGCGTAGAAAGGTATGAATAACATACTAGATTGTGCCTGCTCGGTTACCAGAACGAGGAGTGTGATCGCAAAAATCACCTGATGGTTTTGTTGTTCGTTAGACCGGACTTGGTTAATTGGAATATCAATGCTGTTGTCGATCCGTTGACCGATAAAGAGCGCATGCTCGTGGAAGATATTAAAGCACAGTAAGTGGGTCGCTAACGGGGAAAAACGTATTTATTTGGGTGATGTTATAACAGAATTCGTTGTAACCGGTTACGCATCATGTGTACTTCCGCATCGCCAGCGTGATGCTATTCATTACGATGTAGAATGTTGTTATGGTTAATCCTCTCGTAAAATTGTCTGCAAATCTCGGACACGTACAGACATTATCGTGTTATCGTGCTGTAATTACTGATGCTACTGAGCGCATTAAGTACAGTTAACAATCAATACTGCAACTACTCGTGGTATAGTAGACGGTAGCGCGAAATATAATGATTTGTTTTCTTATTTGTAGATTTTTTCGTGTTTTGGATAAAACTCATTGGGAGGGAGAACCTGTGGCTCGTTATTGGGATGCCTTGCGGGAGGAAGAACTGATGCACAAGCATCATCAGAATCATCCTTTAACTGATGCGGTCATGAGCAGTAATGCCAAAGATCTGTTTGCTGCGCCAGGCGAAGAAACAACGTTGTTTTACCGAAAAAGCACCATCTAATATTCAACTCCTTTGAGTGCCTCAGTTGCTCTGCCAGGAGGGTTCTTCTTGCTCCGGTTAATTGCAATGATGGGTCCAGCTGTTGCTGATGAAGCCTTATTCATTCAGTTTTTGTCCAGCTTTTCTCGATCTCCCTGAGTAGTTGAATAGGGATATTATTTTAGCCGATTCGCAAACGTGAACTTTTTTGCAGTTCTGCTTGCGTCTCGCTTTTTATACCATGCTAATTTATTACTCAGCCATTGCTGCAAAAGGTTTTCTCTTTGCTTTCTTTTCGATTTATTGGTGAAATCAGTTGTGATGCCGGCGGTTTTTGTGGAAATTGTTTCCACGTATTTATTTAATAAATTAAATGGTTGTTTTTTTTTGTTCCCGCAACATCACCAGAAAACTGTTTATCACATGCAGCGTAACTGGTATAAAACGAAAAGTACACCGTAGATACTTTACTACAGATGTCAGGGACTCAGGACTCGTTAATTCCCAACTTTAAATAAGCCACACCGTGTCCATCAGGCATGTACTGGCAGATTAAAGAAAGAATTCGCAGTTTGTGAGTCCGGGTATGGATATTGTGCAAATCATACATCGCTGCCAAATTAGTAATTGTCTGTTCCGTCAAAAACACCACTGGTTGTTGCAGAACCAGATTTTCCAAGAAAACCATCGCTTCCGACATCCGACCACTGTACATCAGCGCGACTGATATGGCATTCGCAGCTGCAGAATCCTTTGGATTAAGACTAAATAACTGCCGATATATCTCCAAAGAATGTACCACCTGCCCCTCACAGATAGTTAGCAGAGCCTGATGGAGCAACGTCAAGTACTTATGCTCTGGAGAATCACCCGGCAGCAGCTTTTCAGAGTTCTGAAAAACAAAAACATTTCCTAAAGGCAACAGCCCACTACAAATTGCTTATGCAACATCTCCTGAAGACATTCTAAACATAGAACGAAAATGCGAATAATAAATACAGAAGCCATGCTAAAGAAAGAATACCAAACCCTATTAATTTTTTACCACAACAATGATATCTTTAAAGTTGGGTGTCATAATAACTGGGGCTGAGCGCATTAGAGCATCGGCTACGAAAGCACTCCAACTAAAGGCCACAAAACTAAAGAAAAAAATACGCCACAGATACCCCTGACAACTCTAAAATTACTGAAAATCAAAAGGAAGAATTGTAACTGGTTAAGTACTCTGTATGCTCCTGTATGCAGGAAATAACATACTTAATACAATGAATTACCACGCACCTCAAACGCCAAACTGGCCATTTTTGGCGTCCCGATATGGCAGTGTAAGAGCCCCATCGAATGCCACAGTCGGCATGCCTTGTCAGGTAACAGTTTCATCAAAAATCCAATCAGCGAAATAGCTGTATCAAAATCTTCTGAATGTATGGCTGCGCGGACGATGAGAAACAGCACAGCAATACGCCGTGTCTGCCAACAGCTCCGGAAGGCAGAAGCATCATTTTGACTACCGAATTGCTGATATTTGCTGTCATCCAGTAGTAGCTTTTCAACCTTCCCCCGTACAAGATGCAGTCTATCCAAAGCAACACGCGGGCTGCCCAGCAGCTGGGGAATCTGTGCATGGAGCAAACGAAATTCAAACGGTACCATCGAACCGGACAATCCCTTTGCGGCGTAATCAGCGTAGTAGTCAAAATAAAGGTCGGGATTATCAAGATCTCCAAAAGCTTCCATTTCTTTCGCTGCTAAATCAACCTGCAAATAAAACATATTTGCAAGTTGCATATAAGTGCAGAAAATTTTCGCCATTTCGTTGTGTTGAAAAGTCTGGCTGATTTGTTAACAGACCTGGTCGGAGAGCACAAGGCTAGCCAAACGGCAATACCAAATCATCAAAGATTCCGGAGAGTGTCGGATCTGATTGCCTGTCTGTCCGTATCCTTGGTGCAACGATGACAGTAGCTTGGCCGACAAGTTGGCAGCGGAAGTATAAAACCTTTCTCGAGCAGTCCCTTCAGATCACCCCGGTTGAGCATATTATCAGGATTATCCGGAATGAATGACGGTGGAATGGTTCCCACTAGTCGCAAGGCCAGATCAAACGCTGGATTAACGAACAGCTTATCCGACTGAATGCAGGGCTTGGTTAGCTGGTCTGCACCGAGGAAGTCCGAAGGCGGGATTGCTGCCGCAACTGCCTAGAGCAGACAAAATCACAAAGTAAAAATCTAATAACGCAGGTATAGTATGTCTCAATTTAATGCCCCAGCATAAAAAAAACAAAAATTTCACAGCAAGACAAAGCGTTTAATGTGAATGGATCATCCACGCTTTAAGTTAAGGATTAAGTTCAGCAAATACAAAACAATGACAACAAAGTCCCGTCGGTGGTGCTGAATTATCTGAGATTTAGGTATTTCCTAACTAGAAACTTTATGCATTTTCGGAATTCGGTATTTTTTAAAAATAATTGCAGCATTATTTTAAAAAAATACCGAAATTCCGAAAACTGAGCAATTAAACTGCTCATATTACATATACTTAACAGCTCATTTTTGAATATTGCCATTCTATTCCAACTATTTCCATGCTATACCGGCTACCTGCAGTGCTCCATTGGTTCGTTCGTTTGGAATCCAAGCGCTCTTTACATTTTGAGCCACAGTAACGCTGGTATTATGGACCAGAATATCACCCAAATTAATTTCATATCCGCTTTCCATTCCGGGCAATATCGTAGTCTGACCAAAGTGGTTCCAGCTACCATCCGCTACAACCGTCGCGAGCTGCTTTTCCGCAATCGGCGCGGTCTCTTTCGCCGGCACCTTCAGGTTACCCGAAGCAGGAGTGTTGGATCTTGAACGGGATTCTGCCCGCGAAATTTTTCCATAACTGTCACTAGTTTCGTCCACCGTTATGGCGGAAGCAAAAAGGTTCGGATTTGATCCGCTCTGCGGAATGCTGTCAGACGGCAGCAGTCTCGCTGCAGGCGGCTGTATAGCAGCAACTTCTTCCTTTGGAATGAGAGGTGTAGACTGGATCAGTTCATGAAGAACCGAAGTCGAGGGTACTTGAGGCAGGGCTGAAATATCAGCACCCGAGGATGGCTCACGATCAACAGCCGTTTGAATGGTAGGAGTATCAAGAGCGTTCTTCCCCAGAACGAAGTGGTCGTCGTCTTTCACTGTAATACTTTCCATGCTTTTATGGGTTTATCTTATACCATACACGCTTAAAATGCTCTATAAAAAATGTTCATGAAACCCGCAAAAATTTACATCAGTAGTATTTATGGTTAGTGTTACTACTATTTATTATTTTTAATTTTAAGTTGAAAACTTGAAAGCTGAAACTTGAAATGTACAGTATGTACTCGCACAAATGTTTATCAACTCCTGATTGCCCTAGAAGAAAACATTCGCTTCTTAATGAAGATAAGTAACTGGCTCCTTAGCCTCCAGGTGGTTTCGTTCTTTGTCGCAGCAACACCCGCCAAGTTGCACATCTGCATGAACAATTTTAGGCTTCTCTAAGGCCATAATGGCTGCCAGCCGACTTGTAATTTGTGAACGGCGCAATGCCCTTATGCGCTGTCTTTTATTACGGGGTGGTTTGCACACTTTTATTTGGAAACAAACTGACTATTTCCCCGTTCTGGTTTGCCAAACATCGGACTTTTGCAGAGGTCTCCAAAATCGATATAAGAAATTTGTTGGGAGCTGCCGCATACAGTTGTTTTCAAATTTACGAAGTTTGAACGATTTTGGGGAAAAGTTGACGACTTTGCTTTTTCGGTTTAAATTCCGAAGTTTCCTAGAGTTTCGTGAGGGGTTACTTTCTAACTTAAAGTTTTTCTGTGTTTAAGTTCCTGTGAGAGTGCAGAACCTAGCCAAACTGGTGAGTAGCAGTAGAAGTGAAGTAGCATGTCACCGCTGCAAGTGGACTTTTTATGCAAGTTGCAAGTACTCTAATACGGTGGTTAGAAATTACTGTTTTCTTTTTTGTGCCAAATACTGCAGGAGTTATGCTAAAAGTAAATGCAAAACTTGTGCCAGTTACTGTATGTTTTGAACGATTTTCAAGACAAATGGTACGATATCGGGCAAAGTCAAACGCATGTTGTTGCGCAATTACGCAGTACGAGATTTTTATCAAGTTTAGTTACGAGCTGTAGCATAATTTCTTGTTGAATATTGCAGGGATAAAGATGAATCACGAACGCAGTCGTAGTCCAGAAGGAAACGGATACGGTGGAGGCGGAGGAGGACGTTCGTATCGAGGAGGCGGCGGAGGAGGACGAGCGTAAGTGTTTCGCATTTGATCATTTTCGTAGGGCTCAGTGATACGTCCGATGGTTGAAGCAGACTGTTGTGAGCAACACACTCATATCATGTCATTTAAACCGCGAACGAGCATTTGGCCTTTTCATTGTCATTACGCTTGAGACTTCTGTCGTAGCCAAAATCTCCGTCATGTTTAACAAGGATTTCGATGGAAACACCGCAGCACAATGGTTCAGTATTATGGTCCGCCGCCTTACAGAATGCTAAAAACGCTCCAGATTTACTTGTGTCTTAACTTTTACTTATTTATTGATGAAATATTATAGAAAGCGTCACTTGAATTTACAAATTCAGATCAACAGACGTAGACATTTACTGGGACTTCGCGATTTGACAAAAAATTACATAATTAAATCGAATTAAAAATTAATTTGTGAATTAGTTTATCACCTCACTGTTTTTGGGGTAGCATTTAATTCCGTACATGAAGAATACCACTTATGGTTATTGCCTGAAATTTGCAATTACGGTTAGATTTCACAAAAATTCATTTTTTAATTTCTTTGCACACTTGCGGTTTAGTAAGTAACCATAAGGGCAAATTAACATTAAAATATTTTAACTTCGTATTCACAATATCTGCGTCGGTTTAGCGTTCTGTAATTGGCGAAATCCCGGAAAAGCGGTGTAGTAGTGGCATTCGTGGTTGGATACATGCTCTCGTTATTACTGATGAATGTTGCTCATGTGTTTGATACAGTCTCACGGTTGCACTCGTTGAATGTTGACCGACACACACTCGGGTTGCACACTATTTGGCCGAGATGAAGAAACGTTTGCGACAAAAGTTGTTGTTTGTCTTTCTGACAGTCCTATTGGCTACGCGCACCGTGACGAGAAAAGCGGAGGCTATCGGCTACATATAGCCAATATCTGTAACTGAACGACGACCTGATCCAGTAGTGTGATGGTGGAGCGGATCAGTGACAGTGCTGTGTTTGTTTTTACAGCGGACGATGTCTCTCAAGGTGACGTAACGGATGCCTTTTCCAAATACGGCAGCGTGAAGGAGTTTTGGATGAGCCAGGATTCTCCGCGTTTCGGGTTTCTGGTGTTTGAGACGCAGGACGAAGCGGAGAGCGCAATCTCCAACTTGAACGACAGGTCAGTCATTAGTTGCTAGCCATTTTTATTACTTCTAAATTAACGCAAGCAAACCGAAAGCGAGTTTGTAAGGGAAAACTGCCGGATCTGTTTTACAAAACATTTTTTTCAGACTATTCCTCACGCTATCGTAGTTTATGTTGTATTCATACTATGGAATTTTCATTATAGTGACCTCCATGGCAACACCATTCGCGTCAGCTGGGCAAAGCCCCGTGACCAGAGCAGTCGCGGTGGGCGAGGAGGGCGCGGTGGCAGCTACGGAGGCGGCGGTGGTCGCTATGGTGGCGGGGGTGACGACTATGGTGGGCGTAGTGGTGGCGGAGGCCGCGGCAGCTATGGAGGTGGTCGCGGAGGCTTCGGTGGCGGCGGCGGTGGTGGAGACAGAGCGTGCTTCAACTGCGGTCGCACTGGGCATATGTCGCGCGACTGCCGTTCGGGCGGCGGTGGACGAGGTGGTAGTCGTGGAGGAAGCCGCGGACGCGGTGGTGGAGGGTAAAAAATCGAGAATTCTAGCTTTTTGCAAAGGGATTGGGGCAGTTATTGCCGATGTTTTCCATTGGTTTTGTTAATTAAGGTCATAGTTGGCTGTTTTTTGTAGGTACGGCGGTGGCGGGTAAGAACCAGTAGATGGGCAATTGCGTGCATAATTTCAGTTTTCGGTTCATTCCAGATACTGAACGGAGAAAGCCGCTGCTGAATGCCCATCCATCTACCTATCGTAATCTTATTGTATTCTGCATTAAAGGCGTCATGTTATGGTCTTCTCATTCAATCTGTATATTCCTGCACTTATGCGAGCGACTGGGCTGTGGTGCATTTGTTGCTTATAAGTTATAATATTTTGTTTTAGTAGTCCTGGACACGGTTATAAACTTACACGTCATTCAGATGTTGTTGTGTATGATGCTTGTTAACTGGTAATCTGGCTGTGTGACCTGTGTTGTTATTCTTTGAAGTCCTTAATGTTGAATTAAATTAACGATAAGTAGGTATGTTATGGGTGCGTCAGTTTTAGGGAAGCCGTATTTAGACTCCATGCAGTGTGACAGTGATGACGGAACTGTATTACTCGTACTTTGTCTGGGAGTTGGATGACAACGTACAGTAAGCTCAATTTTGTGATAGTCAAAATTTAATAATAATGGTGAATAAGTTAATCCAGATCTGACCATAGCGGTTCATTGGTGCTGTAGAAAGAAGTCAGAACTACCATTCGAAATATGCAAGAAAAGGAATTGCAGTGAAAGGCAAAAGAGTTTATAACCTCCGCCGAACGTTTACAGTTGCATAGGCAGGAGCGTATTCAACGTTCGAACTAACATAAGTCAGCACGAGATCTACACTTTCAGAACCGTGGTGCTGACTAAAATCTTTCGTGTGCCGTACATACAGTACTACGGTAGAGTTTCTTTCTTACCCGAAACTTATTGAAACATGTTATAGATTTTTATCACATAAAATGAGACAATGATTATAGTTACCGTTTGAAAGCTGCATATTGCGGACTGCTAAATAAATTACATACAACTAATGTAAAAGTTATAACTAAAATAATACAAATGTGTGCATTACGAAAATATAAAAATCGCTATAGGATCATATAAAGCGCATCATAAAAGCTGACAGACACTGCTTCCTAGCAGACAGTTCGAGCCGTTCACAGGACGGTAATCGGACACAAAGCGTCTTGGATTAATTAAGATGAACGACAGTCTGACACCCCCGTTATCCCGTTATCATATTTCTTCAGAAAACCGTGGAGCGATATCCCATGGCCTGATGCCGAATCTGTTTCTGTATCCGATTCTGGTGTTCTTTTTCTTTCAACAAATATGCCACTTCGTTTTTGTTAGCCGTTATTGTGTTGATTTGCAGACGACGCAGATTCTCGTTCTGCCGGTAGCGAAATAGTGCCGGTGGCTGCTGTACAATCATGGTATCGCCGTTGTTATTTCCGGTCGGTGGACCATCCGCTGATGTGGTCAGACTTCGTGGACTGCGTCTGGTAGCCGAAGTGTCCAATTTCAGCCAGGTACGATAAGGGAAGAAGGAATTTCCGCGCAGGCGGATAATCGCTCTGACCTATTGATTCAGAATATGCGGTCAATATATTTTATACCATAATTTACAAAGGGTATAATTTAAGATTATGGTATAATTTAATTTTATACCATAATCTTTTCAGCAAATACCTTCAGACTTCAGTGTGCCCTGCCTCGTTTACGCACTATTCTATACTGCAGCAGTACAGCACTCATATCTATGTATATTAAATTTTGTTCTGTTATAATGTAAGTTAACCTATATTGCAGTTTGCAACATCAGCTAAACAATACGTAGCCTTTTCTAGTTGTACGATTGATATTGCGATGTTGTCTAAATCGCAACCTAAGCACTTCAAACGCAATCGAGATGAAAAGTCTCGATGATATTCGCACTGCTACGAGTAGAAATACTTTTACAGATATTAATTAGCCACTGCTTACGTTAAGTATCTGTACATGCGGTATTACCACTATCAGTAGGTCTACAATTTTAATTTTGTTAGTGTCACAGTGTGATCTGAATTTCGAACTAAGCAAACATGTACGCATTTAAAATTGAGAGTGAATCTGTGTTATTATTAAGTGTATTTAAAAATTATTGTGATTATTAACTGAAACGGTACCTTTGCATGTTACAAGTTGTGTAAGAGCAAAAGCATTTATTTACGTCAGCAATATTCCAGTTTTAGAGCATTAAGCGTAACCTGCAAATGCTTTTTACATTAATGCAGAAAAAACAAAAAAAAAGGTATCCAAAAACGGTATCCAGCACATCTACTATTTACAGATTTGTACTAACAATTTTTTACTGTATGCGTTGTATAAAATTACGTGCTCTACAGTGAAGTTGAAAGCTGAGTGCAGGGGGTTAACACAATATCTCAAGCATAATATTACATAAATTTGATCTTCCTTGAAAAATCTGTAGTGCATCTGTATGCCCTCCGGAAATGTATGCGACATGACAATACCTCATTATTGAGAAAGCAGTAGAGCAGGGATACAAAGAATCCTTGAAGAGAAGTGGCGATGGCGTTGACGTAATCTAGTGAGGTTCGCAATGGGCCGGCCTCTCGTGGAATAACCAGGACCAGCACGTACGTAATCCCAAGGAGTGGCAAGAGAATCAAAAAGCTTTTGGCGGTTCGTCTCGTTGAAATCACCGTTGTGGTTGTTCCGCGGTATTTCCGGAGCAATATGTGCATACTGCAGCAAACAAACAGGTACATTTCGATATACACTTTTATGGAATTATTAATTTTGTTCTAACAGAAACTGGAATAATGCTAACCAGGTTTCTGTAAAGCCCTGCTTTTTTCTTACCGAAACGGCATATTAGTGCCTACTCGTAGAACGTGCAAATAAATTTGCGACTCATATAATATTATAATATGTACCTAAGTGTGAAATGAAGCAGATAGTCGGCTACCACAGCACAAAATTGCACTTCATAATAAACTCTAACAGCAAAATGCAAACTATTTAGATAACGCCATTCATTTTACGCCCACTACTTACATCGTGCACAAAAAAATAACGTTGACCTGTAACAACAGCAAACGCCATTACAATATTATTGGGATACCGGATACAGGTGCGAACTCGCGCTCAGGTATTCACAAACCACTTTCTTACAAACGATACGATAAATTAAACGATTTTACCGACGTCGACAGCGCTTTGCGTATGAAGTTTGTTACTCCTGTTCGTTATTTTCGAAACTCCGGAAAATTACTTACCGCTAAGACAAGCAGAATAGGACCAATGTAGATAAAATTGTACGGAGAACTCGTGTTGATCCAGCATTCCTTGTCATCCAAAACAATTTTTACTGTCATCCAAGCCGTAATTACGCAAATCGGCAAACCTGCGAGAGCAGACGATATTTTTCGAACATCTTACCGTTAGAGGGTTCATCAGGATACCATTCATTCGTGTACATGTAACCACTTATTATTGCTCGCTAAGTGCTGTCGGAATAATTTGCTGTAGTTCATTATTACCTATAAATCATCATTAATTTTTTCTTTACGCAAGCAATCATAACACCCAAATTATATTGTACTGACCCCAACCAATTATCGCAAACGGCCAGTAACACAAGAGCTCCAACTTATGCGTGCGGAAAATTATTAGGATAATGTAAAGGCCTTCAACCAGCATCCAGAAGAAATTTGTTACTTGAAAATAGTTGAAGAAAGCCACCGTAAGCCGACAATCGAAGCGGTATGTCTCGTCCGTGACGGATTTCTGTGGAAAACTTAAAGGTCAGTGCCGCTTTCATTATGATTAATGCTACAGCTAAACCGAATACGAAGCTTGAATTAAGAATCGCCATAGATTATACACTGTACGAATTATTCCAAGTGAATTGGGAAATTATTATTTGCCAATTTACCCCAAAGGCGTGCACCTCTGTAGGTTCGTGCGTAATTATTGAGGTCATTATTATCCAGGTCACATCAACCAGAATGTATGTGATAATGAGATTGCAGTGGAGTGTGTTCCGCAAGCAGTGTAATGTACGGAAATATATAAATAACCATAGGGCTACGCAGGAAGAAATAAAGGAAATTGAGTATCCGATATAATAAATTCCAATAACACCCATGTGCACTAAACTATCACTCTGCAAATGAATATTATGAGATTGATGTATCTGTAAATGTAATGTCGACCACTGTTTCGTCGTATGGATCAGTGTCGCATCCTTACCTCGACCGGAAAGAGATTAATGGTGTTATTTGTACAGGCATCGTAATCACTTAGGTTCGCCCATGTCCCGTTAAAGAAACAATATCGAGTCGCATTAACTGAAAGATAACTAAATGCAGTGATTCGGGTTACATAACTGGATATTGCATACGATGATTACGATCCTAATTACTAAAACTATGATCATGGGATACGTTACATGTGCGACTGCATGATATTATATGATTACAACACTACGAATATAAAATATTATGTTAATGTCGAAGGAAGCAAGGCTTTATGTACTGTAATTGCATGCATCTAGGAATGCGCAGGTGAGGGCATTTATTTACAATCAAAACCTCTTTCAAACAAATTTTCTATGTAATTATATTATTTCAAGTGTCAGCTCTGTTTTCCTGTTGTGCCAAGTAAATGAAAATAAAACTTCCATCATCTAGTACGAGAAAAAAATAATAGTGAACTACAGAACTCACATTTCGTATCGTAGTGAACATCCCGAAATTCTATGGGGCACGCCACTTGCGCTTCCTGACCAAGTAAAGTGGGAGGCCAACAGGAGGCGGAATCCCATATCGCTTCGCAGAAGCGGAAGCCTGCAAGTATGTTTTAACTTTGTCAAGTGGTTACTTTTCACTTTTAAGGTTTCTGCATTCGCAGTACATGGCTGCGGTCAAACGTTCTGTGACGGTTTTCATTCATATCGCCTTTCTATGAAACATCACTGCTATTCAAATTTCATACAGCAAATTTCGTGTTTTGTAGATTGTACGATATGCTTATATAGAACAGCCGTTTCCCCATTACTTCGAGGAAATTATCCGTGTTGAAAGTAAAAAATCGTCCATGATACAAAAGAATTTAGGAAGCACGTAGGCTGCTGTATTGCTTTTGAAACCTATTACATCGTTAAATGAATCTGCGGTAATAAAGATTAAATTTCAAATTCTATAGTAAACAGAAATAACAATTATTTCTCGTATCATATTCTTGCAACGATATCTCCGGAAACAGGATCGACCTTTTCATGGTTACGAAAGCTTGGACAAGCTGCCGGCTCCTTAATGCTTGCTGTCTGTTCATTACGCAAAGTACTCGGGTCGTCCCTCATTCGTCTGTGTTACTGATTTCATTTTTTGAGCGATTATGGTCTATTATTCTGCCACTCTTCGAATCTTTCAATAAAAAGAGTGTGGTTTATGTTTTGTTTTATAATTTTGTGTGACAGGTTCATCTGTAAATACAGTCCGTTAATAAAGCCGGCATACGCAAATGAAAAGAAGTTCACAATAGTGTATTATTATGTAAAATCGCTGCAGCATCAAAGGATGATCACAAAAGTGAAAGGTGAATACCACGTACACTACAACTGAAAACTTCCAACTCATCCATCCGCTTCAGTATGCTAGACGGTGGCAATGTTTTACGCGAAAATTACGCAAATGAAAGTACATGGGGAACTGCCTTCACTAAGCATCTATACGGGAACTGGATCAGTGCGCACGCGCACAGTATACTGCGACAACTGGATAAGAGTATTAGCGAGGGGTCTGATTCATGATCATGATGATGGATAATAGTTATGCAGACGGAAAACTATTAGGACAATATTTCCGATTCACTAGCGTGATCTGCATGCCCTCGCGCTTAAGCACCGTTTATTCCATTAAAGCTGCCAAGATGATAAGGAAAAATTACCGAACAAGAACCGTTTAACCAATCAATACTGATTTGCTTCCGCCTGGTTGAGGAACAAAACCCTAAACCAGCACACGGGATCGCCAACTGACGGACTCCCAAGCCGGGAAGATTACCAAAGTGAAAACTCATGTTCCTGTATATATCCAACAGCTCCATCCCGGCAATGAGCCACGTCCCACATGTGCCGCAGCTTGCAAGTTTCAGCTAACGTTTACGTTTTGGTTATTCAGTTTACTGTACTCGTAAATGCCATCAGATGCACAGAGTTTCATGCAGTTAGAAAAGCAGCACTACCTAAAAGCGGGAAAGCAGTACTGTCTGTGTACGAATCTTCTCCAGATATACATAAATTTTTCCCTCGTTTAACTTCGCGATCTCCAGTAAGCAAAGTGTACAGTCTACCCACTGTTTTTAGACAACTGTACATACATACCACAATTCAAATCTCTGTTAACAAAGCGTCAATAGTCACTCGGCTAACCTCCGTTTTAGCATAATAGCATCGCATGCGATACAATTTTGATCGCACTCTGCGTAAACGTAAAAAAATTCATAGAAAAGCCGGGATTAACAGATTAACATCGATCCTACATAAAATATATGATATATAGATACACAAATTCCGCATACACGCATACTACCAGACCCATAACGTGGCACTAGCAAATCTCAGGGTTTGCGGTTAACGTGTTAGCGCAATGTTTTTTACAACACAATTATGCAGATGGCGCAAGCGTTTCCAGATGTGAGCCTATCAACTTGACGCCGGGATTTGCGCATGTCCGTAAACGGATTCCGCTTGTCTCCAGTAAACAAACATCACTGACAAGAATCTGATGTAAAAGAGCAGCCGTACGAAAATTCAATCAGAATCTCATTTCATAAGTCAGATCAGTCTGGACTTAAAAATACTTTGGGTTTGTTAATCTAGGCGCCGGCACTTCCGGTGGCCGTGCTATACTGAGAATTCCTGCCAACATTAACAAACACCCTGTTCGTTATGCTTCAACGCTTCAAAAGTATCCCGATGGTATTGTTGAGAGGAAGAAAGCGTAGGCGCCAACTCAGCATGCGGTTCCGTTTGTGCCGTACAATGCAATTTATACATCTTTGTACTAACTTATGCCTGACATAACGCAGCACAAACAGGAATAATTACCTCTTCTTGTACTATCATTATAATGCCTTTCAAGGTTTTCAAGATGGCTACTTAGTAGCTCAGGCGACAGTCCCATTTGACGTAACAAAAACCGTATAAAGTATAATTTAAGAACTTTATTAATGTATGCTAAAACTTTACTGCATTACCCGTGAAGCTAAAAAGTACTGAAAACTTGAAAATTAAGAAACAGCAAGTGTACGACTGTACTTCAAACCATCGACGATATTTTATTAGTTTTGCTGTTTTAAAATTGTTTGATAATTGATTTCATAGTAAAATGAGGCTCTGTTTCGACCAAAAGTAGTGTGCCATGCTGCGGAATACGGTTAAATATTCAACATAAGTTTACCCACCGACAGAACAATTAATGTGCTACACCATACCCGAACTTAAGAATCCAGAAACTGCTAGGAGCGCTACCGGCTTTTCAGCTTGCTTAAGATAAAATAACAGGAAAACGGAATAAACAATTGTGATCTACATACCACAATACCATTGTAATTGCAAAAAAGAATAAAAATTCGATAACGATGTCAAATGCAGCTGTATCACCTCATATTATTTTGTTTACTTTTTACTGTTTACAATTAATGGCAATATAACTTTATTCCAAAACGACAGTTTACCACCAGCATACTACAATAAACTTCACTAACCTTTTGAACGAAGTTGCAGTTCGGTGTTGAGAAACGTGTTCCGGCATCTTAGTTTGGCAGCTAGATCTGTTTCCGTTGTATTTTCCTCGTACATGCTGTATGACTCTTCTGTCAGCGATTGCTTTCGTTCCAAATGGTCCATATAAGAAAAGTTCGCTTTTACCAGGTAAACGCTTATTTAACTATTAATACACATAACTACGCATGGAATTCGTTCAACAACCGCAAAACCGGGATTTACGTAAGCGGAAACAAACTGATTAGAAATAAGTATCCCACGTCCGTGTATGGACCGTAGAGCGTATCGGAACTGCCTTGTTCCGCGGTGAATGACAATTTACGACACTATGATCATTAGCTGGTCGTGGAGCCGTTTAAAAAAGGCACAGCGCCTATCTCCAGATTGAATAATTGCGGGGGCGATGCACATTAGGGCAACCATTCTAATTCTTACACAAAGAAGCTGTTAAAAGATTGTCTCTCAGATGCACTTATATTCCTTTACCAAGGCATCGTTCTTGAGCCACACCGGCTATTGTTGGGCTTCCCATTAAAATATCCTCCGATCTTCTGCCGCACACACTCCAACGAACAACAGCTGTACGCAGCATATGCAGGAAATTCAGGGTATATACGGCATGGATTGCCGTTATGGGCCCGGAGAATCCCTGACGTCAGCATAAAGCAGAGCGCTCTTGCTGTCGATCATTAGGAGCGCGCTGCACACCGTTGATCCCTGTTCCACCCACACTGACAAACTTCCGCTGTTTACATTTCTTCTAAAGATTTGTAGCCACACTGTCTGACCATTAGCATTCAATGAAATCCGGTTGTTATGTGGTTGTGCGTCAAAATATAGACCAAAATTAATATAACAAAGAGGAGCATTGTAGCCCGCTCAATCAATGCCGTTTTTCCGTTTCAGATTTTTTAAGCGCACGCATATACCCGGACGGAATCTAAGAAATCAGGAGTAACCAAACCCACTGCAAACTAAAGTAAAAAAATGGAGACCACCGAACAAAGTCATTAACTGATTACGTTGATTTGAATGAAAATAAAAAATTTCACAGTCCCGAAGCTTACTGCTTCGGCTGAATATAAAACAACCTGCTAAATGGCAAGTACGAGTAATTATTGCACTTTACCTTCATCACAGCCCATATACGAGTGCGCAGCGGTATGCAGACCCCGCATACCGCTCAAAATAATAATTAGTATTTATAAAGGTCCTAATTAAACTTTGCAGGTTACAAGCGAAACACTTCAACGAAAGTTTTACACTCTTTTCTAACAAACCCAGAAAACAGTAACTGGTGCAAACTACGCTATTTACTAACCAATTTTAGTTATGCATGTATTAGTCACTTCAGCTTCAGTTATTTTATTGATATGTCCCAATGCACATACATATTAAACTGCTATTTAAGAAGAATCGCTCTCTTGAAAACCTTTACAATAAATAACACTAGAATTAGGTCTACTGCTTAAAATGGATTTTATTTTATCGGTAAGCATGTCGTTATATTGACTTCTCATGTATCTTGTCCTATCAGCATGGTTCGCATATATCGTATGGTAATCCTGATTTCAAAAACAGGGCTATCTCGTGCGTCTTAAACCAAACAATACTGTAACAGCACACAGCTATTCTCAGTTCTAGCACATGCAATTGACTCCATGGTTCTATGAAGCCTTTCGGCAGATTTATAAATTCTCAGTAACATGGCACGTTCGCGTGCAAGCGTAACGTTTAAAAAGCGTCTACTCCAGTTGTCCGTAAATTAGGTAAATTTTTTCTTCAATTGCTTCACGTATTTCAGAAGTCTGCAAAAATTCTTGTAAGTAATTATTGTACAAAAGAAGGCAGAATGACAACATCAAACAGAGCCGAGAACAAGAGATGCGGCATCAGCAGAACAATTTAGCCAGTGAAACAAACGTCAAATCTCAAGAGACATGAGACATACGGGTATTCCCCATGAGATTAAATAAAGAAACATTAATAAAGATTATCCCCACAGAAAGACAGTTTATAAGGCATTTTTAATCCCCGCGTGGTCAAATAGGTCACAGATCAGAAGGGAATACGATAACACAAAACCAATTCAGATTTGCTCATACACGACTTCCGGTCGGCAACCATTCACCAAATACCAGGCGCCATCCTATCGGCCACCAACGCATTTAAGTCTTATTGTTTGAGTAATTTTAAACGTACATAGTGACTACTACATACGTATTGCTTTGTTAAAACGCAGTCAAACGCTTGTTTTTATATCTGTTTCAATAAATTCTCTTTCCGGCTTACCTTGATCAAGACGGGAAGATCCAACCAGAATTCGTGATTGGGTACTACTTCAACTCCTCGCGCACCACCAATTAGCCGTTTAATCAGCATACCACCGAGGAAATAAACAGTTAACAAAGAAAACGCTCTGAAACAAAACACTGACATTATTATGTTACAAACGTAATCAGGTGACGTTACAAAAGATTAATAAAACATTTTGTGCAGTGCTGCTCAACAAACAGACAAAAATAAAAATAAATAATATATATATCCGTACTTATGGAGACCAAATAGAGTACAGCGCACAATTACGGTGTAGAAGAATACGCGCATAAGATAAGTGCATGCCAAGAACATACAATAGTGCGTTTTCACAAACCAAAAACACATGAAATTTGCAGCGATTACGAATGAAGGATATAAGTAATGAAACTGATTTTGTTATCCGCTTTAACCGTTTAACGATATTATTGGTGCTGCTTTACATGATCAAAATTACGCTGCCGACAGAAAGGTGAGGTTTCACGGCGTATTCAAAACCGTCCACCACAAGAGGACACGAGATATTTCCCATCAAAGCCAGGTGCAGCTGTAACAAAATCTTGTATCAACGCCAGTACATAAGATATATGTAGTATGTATTGTACGATTAACGCCAGTTAGTCAAAAACTTGGTGAAAGTTGCAAAATACAAAAGTGTTTAACGCTATAAATCATTAGCAGTACTCTGTAAGTGCCTTAAGGCCAAACATAAAAACCAATCTCTTTACTAATAAAACACGTTTTCGTACGTTCAGAGTTCAGACCCTGAGTTTCACAAGACATGGCTACCGTAAAAAATCAGCGGTCTTTCTTTATCCCACCTCAAGAGACATCGGTCGTGAATGAAAAACCTTGGAATTTGCTATTTGTAAAATTTATTAAAATATGGTGCATTAGCAGTTACGGGGTCATTCTGCCTCTTTCCATGAAACACTGATACTGTACGAAACTGGCGGAGACCGAATGCACTGAATCACAGCGGACTTACTTGTTTGCTTTCGTTTGCATGTTCGGAAATGATAGCCAAAGCGGGCATAGTATCGCGAGTGCAGATTAGATCAACAATGGCCGATCTGTAAAATTAATGGCATCGTGATAAAATTCGGATGACCAATAACGCGATCACCAAGAACGGACTTCACAACCTCCAACTTCATATAGTCTGCGCAAATACCTATCACAACTTACAAGTGATTACTGGCACTGCTGTATTCCAAGGAAAACATCCCATTCGGTCGGGACATTATGGACACGGAATCCTGATTGCCGCGATCCGTGCATCCACTCGAATTACCTTCTTTCTGAATCTCACAAACCTGTCCAAATCAAATGCAACCGATAAAGTTTTAAATTCAGTTTAAGAATAACCGGATAATCCACATAACTTCACGGTTTAACAAGTATCAAACTAAACTCAAAGAAGCAAAACCATGATAACAGTGGCTTATTTTCTGTAGCACAACCATGACAAAAAAATACGGAAAGTAAAAAAAAGCATGCAGAAGTGATAACAGACAATTTCTGTGATAAATCGTTGAAGAAACTTGTCTATAAATTAGAAGATCGTATCAAAACCATCCAAACATATGATTTGCTTGAAGGGGTATAAAATCAACCAAAAAAAATCAACCAAAAAAAGTATAAAATTTTCAAAATTCACAAAAAAATTTTCCAATAGCCTGGTTTGCCCAACGGTTTTCACCTGAGGGTAATAAGTCTCCGTAATGGAGTTTGGCTACTGTAGTACGATAATAATAATAATAATAATAAGTAAGGGGAGAAAGACACACGTAAGTATCGTTATCACAAATCGTCAACACCATACTGAATCGACAAAGTAAAATACAATAAATTCATTATGTAGAACAATTTTACTTTATAATTACCGCAACTTTCCCACAGCACGGTATAGAAAAGTCGAAGCATGGATTATAAGCGATACTGAATCCATGAAGATCCAAAAAGAATCTGCAGAGAAGCAAGAGCAACTTTGGCTACGCTCCGATTCTAATGAAACTAAAAGATCAACATTCAGCGACTGATTTGTCCAAACCTAACCTGGGAGCTCCAGACGATACAGCAACAGGTGCCAGATCAATAAAGTAGGCCTTTCTGCGCTGATCAGCAGGGGACTTGTAGCTGAAGGAACACGGACTTAGTTTGACAAACTCCGTCGAATCCTGCAGAAAAACAGTCGCCATGCAGTGCGAAACCACCAACACCAGGGGCAGGGCGAATAATCCTGTTATCAATCCCGTTCTCATTTTGCGAAAGCTCTTCTTCTTGGGACATAAGTTAGGGAAGCGAGCGCACTAGGCGCTATAGCGCCAGAATTACAGCATTCTGGCTAATTTGATGGTACCGTGGCACATGTTAACTGTTTAACAGTTAAATCAACTTAAATGTTACATCTTCACAACAGTAATAACTGCAGGAGGATAGAAGTGATGGTCTAACGGTAACCTGAAAAAAACGGATGATCAGCTTAAAACTAAATATGTACAGCTTACTGAGTGTACAACAACACCAAGCCAATGAGTTGCCATAAATATTAATTGTTTCAAACTTCAAATGGACGGCGTACCATTATGACGACATTGCAAATTTACATTTTTGATGTCAGCGGGAGTGCATGGTAGCAATGTATGTATAGTGTGCCGAATGGGTGGCACAGCGGGCCTATGTTTCATTGTTCTAAGTCACCTTTCTGGATCTGACCGTAAAAACCTTTGGAAGCCAGTTTTAAGTTCTCAAAACGCTGAAATGCTATTAAAATAAATAAAAGGTGGAACATTGGTTTTTATTTGAGATTGCCAAAAGAAGATGAAAGGCCGGTGATAAGAGGCCATGTTACTTCGGTATGTAATAAATAATAACGTACATTTCGTATTACACCAAAATTTTCTTCCTGGCACTAACATATGATTCCTAACACTGCACATTGCACGTAGTATATCTCCAACAAAGTACTTCTATCAAGTTCTATGGAACATACGAACGCTTTTTTATTAAAAAATCTACTTCAAAAATTATTTAAGAGAGCAAAAATGTGAACGGATCGAAAAATGAAATTGTTTTACCTGCACTCAATGTTCCATAATTTTATTCAGTGTTCAGTTTCTTTGATCATTGAATACTATTCCGTCACTACACGATAATCACGAACTAAAACTATAATAATACATGTACGTGTAGTATATGACAGAAATTTTCTGCACTATCTTCATTGCAGAAATACATGTCGGAATTGCATTGACAGTGACACAGTAACTTGGAAGTGATCGCAAACAGGAAATCATCTTCATGAATTTATGGTAATTTCTTAAAGCTAAGGTTCATAATCCTAAATCATGAATGCTTGCTTAAAACTGATATGGCGAAAGCATTGTTGGGGGCGCTCGAACTCGGAATTTCTGTATTCAGACATTTGTGTAAACTGTTTTCTCGTAATAATTATAGTACTGTAGTTTAGTGTACGCCTGTTATTTGTACATGTTAGAATGAACATAATTATTGTATGTGGCTTCATAATAGCAAATTTGATGTAATAGCACGTGATATCAGTATATCAGTGATATCACGCGTGTCAGCATTATGAGTTATTTCTACAGCAGAAGAACCGTACGCACATAAGAGTATGACACCGGTAACCGGCTAACAAAAATTAATAATGCTGAATATTAAAGTGTGCTATAGCAGTATTTACCAAGTGCACCAGTGACCAAACCTGCGTCTTGGTGCCTTACAGTTTTGATTTTACAATATCACCACCGATTATTTTTTCCAAGCAGGTAAGAAGGCTTCAGAAAAATTGCGAGCTCCAAAGTTTGCCCTAAGCTAGACATTTCTGAATGCATCAGCTGCTTTTCTTTCAGTGTGTATGTTTATTTAGTTACGGCTTGTAATGTGTGGAACGTAACATAAAGATCCTTACGCAAATGCGTCTTTTGGCGCGCTTACCGCACGACAATCGCCTAACAAAATTTTCGTTGCACTTTTGGTTACAGTCGGGTTTATTTGGACGCAGATCATTTCACAATCCAGATTTATGCCAAAATGACGCCACCCGTTGTAAGAAATATTGCAGACGATGATTCCATAAATGTAACAATTAATGGAACCAAATACAAAGGTATGTCCGTATGCTAAATATTCCATAGAAGAACTATCAATACAGTAGTTATTTTTTGAGGCAGAAGATTTAAAATGAAATTAATTTTATGGACTTTAAACCTCGAACGCCTTCCGCTACGTTCGGACAATGGCGCAAGTTGCAGCACACCAAATCAGTACATTAACGGCAGAAATATTTGAATATTGCAGTGCCGAAAACGTTTTCCGAAGTCACTCTGAATGACTACCTTCGGTGTCACTTGTTGCTATCCGGAACCAAAGTGTGCTGCCGGGAAGGAGGATGCGGTAAATAACAAATTTAATTTTAATATTGTTGGGACAATAGAACAAAGTACCTTATCCGTATGCTCGTCTAACTGCAGGTGCCTGCGTTGTCAATGTGGCGCATCCAGATCCTAATGCGCCGACACAAATGATATCGCGAGCGATCAATTCGGTAATCCCTTAGAATCTAGAATAAATAAAACTCTGCAGTGCAAAAAATTGCTACGTACATTGCATTTACAATTTATCAGTACTTGTTTTCTAACAGCATAAAAACTGTATTTCATAAAAATTAATTAGAAATCAGTAAGATGTTTACGGACACGTTCTGCTTTTAAAGTACAGAAATACGTTAACAGCGTTAATCAGCTTAACACATTTGGGATACCTCCATTTTTAATAGAGGCTGTTATAAAATGCGAGCACGAAGCAGGTAAATAATTTCACCTAAACTTTATCCCTTATAGTGTCTGTGTCCCGTACTCTCCTGCGACGGATGGGAGGTTACAACCGTCGAGGGCATCGGTGACCAGAAAAATCCTCATCCCATTCAGCAGCGCTTGACGGAGCATTACGGAACACAATGCGGATACTGCACCCCCGGAATGGTTATGAGCATGTACAGGTACGTGACGTGTCCGGCATCATATTGTGTAGTTTACTTTAAATTTCCAACTGCAACTGACACTCCTAATCTGTGACTGGGACGACGACGTTCACAACTACAGTCAGCTCGAAAGTAAACTGAATATTTTCAGTCTTCTGCAAAGCACTCCCGGAAATAAACCGTCTAAAGAAGAAGTCGAAACTTCCATTGGCGGGAATATTTGTCGCTGCACCGGTACCAGTGCATCTGTAGCTACTTGTTAATCATCTCCATATCATAAAATTTACAATTTGTACAAGTCTTGGATCGTGTTCTGGCGGCAACAGGTTATCGCCCAATCATGGATGCATTCAAGACCTTTGCAAAAGACGGCCTACTGGACGTAGAAGTAAGTTGCGGCCACGTTCTCTTAATTTTAATACAGACTAATATGTGAATTCAAAGTTTTTTTATTGTACATAGATGCACCGGTTAATAAATATCTATATTTAATTCTTTCGTATGTTAAACTGCTAATTAGAATCTTTCCAGCAATAAATATGAATTAGCGAAAGTTAGAACGGTTTTCGTTTTACGAACTTCGCAATGCCCAGGAATCAAATCGTACAATGTGCTTGGTCACTGGGCACACATGCAGCGCCGGATGCCACCGCAATAAAAAGCCATCTTACGTGAAACCTTTACCGGCTTCAGTCCAGGATGTGGCGCCTACTTGGCACAATCCAAAAAGTTTGGATGACCTTTACCAATTGCTACCGCAGTTAGCTAACCAGAATCCGTACTACCTCGTTGGTCGCACCGGAATCGGTGTGTACAACGACGCACCTTACGGCGTCTACGTTGACCTTAAAGGCATCAACGATCTGTACGCCATAACGGCCACCAAAACGACCTTCTCTATTGGAGCAGCTATTGTTCTGACGGATGTGATCAATCTCTTTGAACAACAGAGCAGAAACGATGGATTCCAACATCTGAAAGTTCTAGCTGGACTGATTCGCCGAACAGCCCAGCCACCTGTCCGTAATGTAAGCACGACGCAGATTTTAACATACTGCTATCGCTAATATTAAACATCCATTATATAAAATATGCAAATGCTTAAGAAAGTTATACGATTAATAAATCTGTGTTTTCATTTGCCATCAAAATGCAAGGCTGAAAGCTTTATTAGTTTGAATTATTTTCCTCGATTATAGGCGGGGTCGTGGGGCGGTAACCTGGCGATGAAGCACCGGCACCAGGATTTTCCTTCGGAAACATACCTTGCTCTTACGATTGCCAACGCGATGATAGTTCTAGGTACGGTATGCAATAACCAGATCACAACTCTGGGCAAACAATACAAAAATCGGCTGCTGTAACAGGGCCCGACGGGAAGAAATTATCTGTGCCAGAATTTCTTAAAGAAAATCTGGATGGAAAGATTATTTTACGAGCTGAACTACCATCTTTTGGAAAAGATTATTTATTTACGGCCTATAAAGTGATGCCGCGGTATCAGGTACTGTAACTTTGTGACATGAATAACAGCTTAATAGATATCAGTATTCATATGAACAGAAGATTTTGCAATTTTTAGTTACCAATTTTTTTTAAAAATTCGCGGTTGTATTTTTAGAATGCTCATGCTCTAGTTAACACCGGATTTCGAGCCAAAATTGACAAAGGGCAAGCGGGACAATTCACAATTGCTGAAAAGCCGATTTTAGCGTTCGGGAATATTTCTCCAGCTTTTGTAAGAAATTCGTTGCATACCTGTACAGTAGCAGCCGCTTGAGTCAAACAAGAATTGATCGAACTGCGTACAGACTCGAGCTGACAAAACTGAATCATGGTTGGTTGGAAAAAATCTGGGCGACGCAGGCATTCTGCAACAAGCACTCACTTCGTTAAGCCAAGAAATCCAACCGGAAGATGTCCCAGGCGAATCTTCCCCGGCATTCAGACGATCACTTGCGCTATCACTATTTTACAAGGTATTTTGCAGCAATAAAAAATACAGAAATGCAGAAATACATGTACTTCCTTTTCAGTTTGCATTAGAGGCCACCGGAAACACTGCTGCAGAACGTTACCGCAGCGCAGTTGGCTATTTGCTCCGTCCCGTGTCGAGGTGGCTATGATACGTACAGTACATAAATTCTTATCTGTAGCTTGGGATTGTACTTATAATTATTCCGAAGATTTGGTTTTAATTGAAATTTTATAATTTTGTCTAGGGGCCTGCAAACATATCCGACGAAAAAAGAAAACTGGCCTCTAACTCAACCCATTCCTAAAATCGAATCCTTGGCGCAGTGTACGGGGGAAGCCAAGTTCATCAGCGATATCGAGCAAGAAGGCATGCTACACGCGGCGTTCGTGTTGACGGAACAGGCCAATGCGTCCATCTACCGCATCGACGCTTCTGACGCAATGGTAATTAATAATTAACGTATCTGACGCAATGGTAATTTATAATTAACGTAGTTAGCAAAATTACATTTCCACTTAAAATCAGTGAAAATTTTTGCGAAAATACTAATACCACACTCCCCCAAAATGTTATTACTGTACTCTGTACTTCTTTACAATTAACGAAGCTACACATACAGTCAGTAAAATTAAAACTTTCTGTTGTGCTCACATCCCTACTTATTATGTAGGCTTTACCGGGAGTAATTCGAGTTCTTACTGCCGCCGACATTACTGGGAAGAACGATATTAACCCGAATAATCCCTTGGCAATGCCCGAGCAGCTCTTCGCGGACAGTCAGATTGCGTACGCTGGTCAACCTGTTGCAGTAGTAGTGGCGGGTAAGCACCATACGAGGCTAAGACAGCGTCACATAAATTGGGTTTCTTTATTGTGTAAATCCCATAATATATATATTAAAATTCTGAAAGATCATATATTTTAGAAACCAAGATTCTTGCGGAGTCAGGCGCGAAACTGGTCAAAACTGAATACAGCAACGTACAACCGCCGTTACTAACGTGTCAAGATGCTATCCAAGCGAAATCTTTCCACGATAAACCGGCAGTTATTAGCGTTGGTGATGCCGAAACTGCTGTTAAAAATGCTCCTAACAAAGTCTCTGGAGACTTCGAAATTGGCATGCAAACGCACTATCACATGGAAACGATGGTAACTATTTTGACACATTCTATTTGTACCAATAAATGCGTATGATGCCGCAGCTGTACACTGTGCATAAACAGGCGCGCATTAGGCCCGAATTTTGGAAACTGCTGTGTTGTAGACGGCAGTAGCTACCGCAACGGAAGATGGAATAAATGTTGAGGCCGGTACACAATGGTTGGATTACACGCAAAATGGCATTGCCCAAATTCTGGGAATCAATAAAAGCCGGTAACCGTAACTTGTAAGGTAATTGTTGTTACCAGATGTTAACGTAAAGAATTTGTGCAGAATCAATGCAACAGTCCGACGAAATGGTGGTGGGTTCGGCGCGAAAATATTGCGAAATCTCCCCTTTGCGGCTGCTGCTTCATTGGCGACTTGGATACTGAAACGGTATTAGCAAACATGTTACAGAAACCTTTTTCAGCATAGAATTATCACCATTTTAGCCCGGTTTGTTTTAATTTAAGACCAGTGAAAATGCACGTTTCTCTTTGGGATCAATCAAAATTCGTTGGAAAACGATTCCCTTATTATGGAAAATATACCGTCGGTGTTGATGCACAAGGGAAACTTTTGGGCGTTGTCTGTGAAGTGTACTGCAATTGCGGTGAGCTTTACATGCTTTGTTTTGCTTTGCTGCGGAAGACAGTATAATTACAAAAGCATATCATTTTATTGATTCAATTTTAATTTTTAACACCACTTTTAGGTTCACTTGCGCTTCTGGTGCCCACGCAGGTGTGGAGGGAATTCGGAGATAACGGTACGGAGCCACAGTCTGAAATCAAATAAATAGCATTGATATTTATGTGCAACAGCAAATTTCGTTGCTGCAGCTTACAAAAGCCCAACATGGAAGTTTACTACTTATAACTGCAAAACTAACCTGCCGCCAAATACAGCCACGCGTTCCCCAGGTAAATTTTTTAACACTCCAATATTGTGAATATAATTAGACAAAAATCTTCTTAATTTTAAACATATCGTTTATGAAAAACCTGGATTTGGGTACTCAGATAAATACTCATAAAAGCTTTTTCACAGAAAATTGTTAGATTTTGAACCGTAGAAGGGTTTAACAATCTCCATTTATAGGAAGTACGGAAGCGATTTTCTTTATTGAGTACATGCTAGAACATGTGGCCAACGTTCTCAAGAAGCCAGCAATCGCGATCAAACAACTGAATCTGTATAAGGATGGCGACAAGACATTAGCCGGTGATGTTTTAAAATACTGTCTTATGGCATCCGTAACGGAGCAGCTCCTTAAATCCTCCGAATACCAGAAGCGAACAAATGATATTGTGCAGTTTAATAAATCCAACCGGTGGAGAAAACGTGGACTGGCGATGGTGCCCATGCGTTTTCCTTGCAGCTATATGTTTGGGATGTTCAACGTTTTGGTGGTTATTTACCACGACGATGGTTCCGTTGCCGTCACGCACGGTGGTATAGAAATTGGTCAAGGCATCAACACAAAGGTTAATGCAGCTAAATATATAAGTCATTCAAAAACCAAACCAGTACGACAGAGGCTGAGCTTAAAAAAATATCCAAAACTCTGCTGTTAAAATAATGTGTGGTGATTATTTTTTCTCAGGTGGCGCAAGTCGTTGCATATGAACTTGGAATTGATTTGGCGAGTGTCACTATTCAACCAACTGCCACAATAACCAATGGCAATGGTACGATTGTACTGCTGAGTTATTTTTACCTTACCCATAATTCCCAGCATTAATTACTGCTCGTACTCGTACCTCTGTTTCACTAAGTTGTTCGCGTATACATGCCTTCAGGTGGACCGACTGGAGGGAGCACATCGAGCGAACTTTGCTGTTTGGTTAGCTTGCAAAACCTTTGTCAGTGTGAATGGAAGGATGCTGTAAGGTCAAAAAATTTTAGGGAGCAATAAATTGCTGTACTGAACTCAAGCAGAGGATGCAACCCGTGAAGGATAAACTCGGACCCAATGCATCCTGGAAGCAGATTGTGGAAGCCTGCTGGATGTCGAACATAGATATGTCGGCTCGGGCTTGGTAAAATTAATTGACGGTTTCTCCAATGAATTACTAGTAACTGCCTGTTTCATACGTATGCATATGTAGGGTGGCGCCCTCAGGATTCATGCCGGTACCCGCTGTTTACCATACCTATGGAGCAAGTATGTGGATTGTTTGAAACTGAATAAATGGAGTCAATGCGACGAAAATTGTTATTCCCATTGTATAAAATGTTTCACCCTAGTGAGCACGGAAGTAGAAGTGGACATCCTTACGGGAGAATATCAGATTAATCGCGTGGATATTCTCTACGATTGCGGAGAATCTATGTCGCCGTTCGTTGGTAATCACATCAATTTTCGCGCTAGCAGATTCATCATGACCTTTGTTTCAAATTGTTTGTTTGTAGATATCGGGCAGGTGGAAGGAGCAGCGGTTCAGGGGTTCGGTTATTTTACTTCTGAAGAAGTGATTTTTGATAAAAATACTGGAATGAACTTGACCCCGGGCACATGGAAATACAAGCCCCCGACGAACAAGGACATCCCAATTGACTACCGCATAGAAATATTGCAGAACGCGCCGAATCCCAGCGGCATTCTACGTGGCAAAAGTAAAACAGTGATAAATTTTCTTGGCCATTGTTTATAAAATACAATAATATCGTAGATAATTAAAGGCATCATTTTAGCAGCATAATTTTGGACATGTGTTTTCAAATTATTACTTTCAACAGCATAATACCATAAAATACTTACTTTTTTGTTTGAGCAGTTGTCGGAGAGCCACCTTTGTGTATGTCCTGCTCAGTCGTCTTCGCTTTGCGGAATGCCATTGCTAGCCATTTAACGGATCAAGGACAACCAGACCAATGGTTCCGCATAGGTACAAAATATAAACATAATTCAATGTAGATATCTAAATTACGTAAAATTGATTGAATGCGTTCCACTTTTGCTGACGCTGTACAGATACTCCCATGACCGTGGAAAGGGTGCAACAACTGGGAAACATTTCAGTGGAACAGCTGCGATATAAGGATTGAATGTGGAATACAACTGATAAAAACAACGTTTAGAGGCACGAAAGTGCTGGCATAAGCATTATCTAATCAAGGTGACATTTTTTCGTTGTTTGTTGTAAAACCGTTAGTAAAAAAATGGCATTTGTTCGGAAGCTCATAAACACGTTTTGATGGTTGTGGGCCTTTTAATTCGAACAGGTTTGAAGGACCAATTTCAGACCGGCATACGCCATACGGTAGATGCAGAGTATCTATACAGTATGATGGTAATTGTATCTGTCCATTCGCCCGTGTTAGTGGCTTTTAAAAATTTGCGGCGGCTTTTGCGTGGGTTCAGCAGATTAGCCACTCCTCGGTCGTTTGTTTCATGATATGGTTTTACACTTTTATTTATCGTTATTAAATCAGTGGTCGTGGAATCGGAAATCAGCACGTAACTAATTATCGACATTGTTTATTAGAATTCTAATAATTAAACTAATGCAATATGCATCATGCAGTAATACGAGTAGTACTGAAATTGTACGAATGCAAACAAAAACAAAATAAGTACAAAGGAAATAAAAAGAAAGGTAAATAAAAAGAAAGAAGTACGTACGGCGTGGAGTTTCGTCACCAACACAATAGAACGTGCTGCGAGACCGCCTTAAACGTAAAATACACGAAAACGTCCGCTCTAGGCGGCGATAGCATCGTCAGCATGGCCATAGCGTGCAGCCACAGCGTACTGCGATCGTTTTCCGGTGCGTGCTGCGATTTATCGATTGTTATGGTTTGGAAATGGCATACTGTAAATCGTCTGGGATCACGTAAAGTAAGTGACGGTAAGTGAGTGTACTGCGAACTAAGGAGGACAAATCCACGGGCGCTAGCCCGTGGAAAGGATTTGGAAAGGAAATTGCCATGGAATTCCATGGAATCCGTGGATTTACGGAAATCCAAATGGATTTCCGTAAATCCAAGGATTTTGTTTTTTTCGTTGGAATACCATTAATTAGCCATCTATTTACATAAGTTTTAACAAAACACCATTACAGTTATCGCCCGCTGCTTAATTACCGCGCATTCATCACTTGTAAATGCATTCAAAGTTCTAAACAGAGTAAAGGTACACAGATTTTCATAAACAGAGGCAGTAGTATTATGTTATAAAAGCATAGCTAGTACAGATGCCGTTTACAGTATACAGATATTAGAGATACAGTATAGTGCAGATTCGGCAACTGCAGATAGTTACAATTAAGGAACGACCGTCCAAGGAAAATGGAATTCCACGGATCAAATTCCATTTCCAAATCCTTGCTCCTCTCGGGTTGCTCGGATTTGGAAAATGGAATTCAAGGATTCCGTGGAATTCCACTTGCTCAGTGGAATTCCAGAAATAGCAGTTTACAAACGGAAACACACTTCTTGCACTGTAATTCTGTTGTGGAATAACATTTCCGCCACCCGCCAGCTGGTACTTACTTCTTCGTTTGCTAGTTAGCACTTTGTTTCATGGAACTTTGCGTATAACGGTATAAGACTGTTCAACAAGAACTGATTCAATTTACTCCTTCAATACTTTTCATAATCTGCCCTGCTCACGCAGTAGTTATCGTTCTTTAAACTTCATTGCGTTGGATTGCTTCGATTTCGATACTCTGATAACGCCTTCGTCAGAATTTCGCGCGCGCTTTTAGGACTGTCATCAGTGTAGAATGTCGGATGAGGAGGATGCAGGAGAAGCTGGCGCGAAAGGTGCGTACGCAGTTTACTTTCACCTATTTTGACTTTTAGCACAACAACTTTATAGTCGACGTTTACCGACAAATTTCTTATTGAATGGTGAGGTACGAGTACGAGTACGGTACGAGTTCTTTCTGTACAAATATGAAAATGCTTGCAGAGATTACGCTATCCCGTGTGAGACTCGATTTATGGACACACTTTGATAGAGGGGGAAAGTACAAATCATGTACACAGAGCGAAGCATTTTGTAAATTTTGCGAAGCCCATTCCAGCTTTGACGGAGTTCGCGTGGCCATTAGAGGAGAAAGAAAATACATGACGGAGCACTTGCAGAAATGTCGACATGTCCCTGCAGCCGTCCGTGCCACCGTCTCATCTCCCAGCGCGCATCCACCAGGAAGCGGAAACTGCCCGACGTTCAGGAAAACGCTCGAGATGCGAAATCCTCCAAAATTACATCGTTTGTAGACCGCGCATTATTCAAGGCTGAAATCGTTGAACACGAAAAGTTGATGGCCAGAGCATTTGCTTCAGCGAATCTCCCTTATGCAGCTATTGAAAACCCAGAAGTAGTGGAGTGGTTAAAGTGGTTGCGCCCGGGAATTCAGTTCCCGACACAACGCGTCCTGCGCGGTCGGATTATTCGGCAGCATGCCCAGACGGCACAGAAAGCTATGGAGGCAGCTCTGAACGGAAAACGATTTCTCACACTGACGTTTGATGGCTTCAAAAATGTTTCAAAGAGAAACATTCTAGGTAATACTACTCGATTTTGGTGGCTCAGAAAATAGTGAATTTTATGTGGATAAAATTTGTCAACTGCACAATCATCTGGTTGTCAGATACACCAGTTGCATAAAATAAATTAATAATTCGTAATCGTAATCGTAATAAATTGCATTTATTTAATACTCGTAATAAATAGTACTCGTATTAAATTTTGTTTTTTGCATATGAAACAGGTGCGGCGGTTACCTGGAGAGATGAAACCGACGGGCAAGTTGAGAATTACGTTATTGCGGCGGATGATGTTTCAACGGAAGGATCCACTGCGGATGATGTCGTTGTTTACGCCTCAAAGTGGATAGACACGGTCACGAACAAGTACAACGCCGACCTTGGATTCAGTGTTTGCGACTCAGCCTCATACAATGTCAAAGCACGGCGCATTCTGTCATTAAAGTTTCCCCGAATTTTGTTTGAATCATGTAAGGCGCATCAAATCAATCTTGTCGTGAAAGATATGCTGCAGCTTGGGATGTTCGTGCCGACCTGCAAAAGCGCCCTGAAAGTCGTCTCACATTTTAATCAGAATATTGTCTCCCTGGGGCGGCTGCGTAAATCTCAACTGGCAACGGAGAAAAAACAATTGCCATTTCGAAGCCAACCGACACACGATGGTACTCCTATTATAACTGCTTCCGCGCTTTGCTGGACAGCAAAAAAAGTTTACGGGTAAATCTAACATAGAGCAGCGGATGTTTAACAAAATGTTAAAAAGTTTTGAAACCTTAATTGCTTTTTTAAGCAGCAATAAGTTGTTGTTTTTAACATTGTACTGTAAATATTTGAAAATGATTTGATATTTATAGCAGTTCATCTTCACAGGTGATGGCGGTTGCGAAAGAAATTCCCGATGAAATGGTTTGCACTATTCTGGATGATATAACTTTTTGGGGCAACCTGAAGAAAGTCGAGCATATTTTGAAGCCCGTAGTCAGCGCTCAAGGACAACTTGAAAAAGATGGGTGCACTTTGTCGGACGTCATGACAGCCATGTACGAATTATATCACTGTTTCAAAATTGTCGATGATGGTGCGCTGAGCGATAATCTGACTGCGGCCCTGGAGAATCGATGGATGAAGTTTTTCACACCAAGTCTGCTTGTACTTGCGGCTGTTCTCGACTACAGCAAGCGACTGGAATTCTTTCGACCACGTGACGAACGCCTCACTTGGCAAACGGTCGCCTTTCTTGCGTCGAAATACTACGAGAAGGTATTTGGACGAAAGCCGACATCATTGCTGCGCTCGTTCACGATGTACAAGAACTGGATTCAACCATTCGCTAAAGATACAGTGAAACAGTTTGATAATCCGTTTTACTTTTGGAGCCTCATCGATGATCAGCACTCCGAACTGCGTGACCTTGCCATATTTCTCCTGTCCGGCGGCGTGCATTCGGCATACCTTGAGCGCTACTGGAGCCGGTACGCGTATATCAACACTGATATTCGGAACCGTTTGACGACAGCCAGCGTTATGAACGCTGCGCTTATTGCGCATCATGCGAAACGAGACCGCCGGCAAAAAGAGAAGCGAGAAAAGAAAGGTAAAATTTGTAATTTTGTACCGTTAAATTAAAAAACTTAAACATCCGCCGTGAAATGCAGAAGTGTAAATACGTTTGAAATTAACTGTATAATAAAAATAAAAACCGATCTTATATTTCAGCAGTAGCACAAAAAAACTAAATAGTTAATACTTAATAAATAATAGCTTATAAGTTATAGTAGTAGTCTGTAGTACGTATATCGTATCCTCATTCTGTTATTGTACAATAGCTATACTCCGATCGTAGATGCGAAAACGCTGGCAGCGGCTTTTGATATGGAAGACGAGGAGCTGGAGATTGTCGGCACTAGCGGCGGAACGGTGTTCGGTGTGTCTGGGGATGCTGATGGCGGGCCAGACGATGGGGAGAGCACAGATTTCGACAGTTTGGTCGCTTTTTATTGTGAACTGGTCAATGCGTGTGATGAAGAAAATACTCTGAATTCTAATGATGCTGACTTTTACAGTCTGGATGATCTGTTCGGTGGATAGTTTAATTCAATAAACAGTAGTCTTCTGGAATGACGTTTTTAAAATAATTACGCTTAATTATTATAGCTACGTAAGGTATTTTCCAAGGCATATAGTGAAATCCTTGGATTTGCGGAAATCCGTTTGGATTTCCGCAAATCCACGGAATCCTTGGAATTCCGTGGCAATTTCTTTTCCAAATCCTTTCCACGGGCTCGAACCCGTGGAAATGTCCTCCTTAGTTACAATGTAGGACTAAATGGTCGCATAGCCCCATACCCAGCATTCTGTACGCAAGCGGTGCAGTGCACTTGTACGAAACGGATATTTTGAACTCAGTCGTACAGTGCACTGCGCTGCATTCGTACTGAATGTGGGGATGTTGGGTATGCGACCGTTTTGTCCTAAGCTGTAGCTACTGAACGCGGACACTGGATATTTTCATTATTATGTTCAGGGGACAATGTAATGAAATAATCTTTTTGAAAAGTACGTACATGTATTGTCGTCTGCCAGACTGTCACACAGATCAAGACGACTTCTTGACTTATTCCACGAAAAAGAAATACATGAAAAGGGTAGTTTTGGCTGCTGCGCTAAAACCACGTATGAAGTTATTAAATTTCGATATGCATGTATGTTTTCTCCTTAGTTTTAAAACAGCAAAACAAAACTATACTAACATCTACAAATACTAGTACTCCTATATCATTGATGTAGTGCGGTTAAAAGGACACCGGTAACTTGTCTCTGTTACTGTACGAGTCATGCATGCGTACTCATGTTCCGATCTGACGTTTTTCGATATCTCTGGCGCGTTTTTTCTTTACCGGGCAGTGTCAAAATAGAGACGGCCATTTTTTAAATAATAAATTTGTAGCTACTCGTTGAAAAATGTTCAGTTTTTAATTTTTTGTTCGACATTCCTACGCGTTTGGAATTCCAAATACAGGGAATTTGGAATTCCAAGCAAAAATTGGATTTCCACGGATTTCCTATTTTCCATTTTCCAAATCCGAGCCGCTCGCATGGAGCGCGGATTTGGAAATTGGATTCCATCCGTGGAATTCCATTTTCCGTGGACGGTCGTTCCTTACTGCGAACATAGTAATGTACGGTTTGATCATACTGTACAAAATTACTAAAAAGTCGTAACGATAAGTTGTACCCGAAAATGATCAAGCAAAAAAGCAGGAGTGGCTGTGGGTGTTGTAGTTTCGGTTGTTCGGAACAACGCTGTGAGATCTAAGTGTTCTTGCCAAAATGGGAACTTGTACCCAAATCTCAGTCGGCACCAGCAGTTCTGAATATTAATATTATACCGAACGCTGCCAACAGTACTGTAAGTGTACGAAGGACGACTTGCGAACGAATGGTTATTGCACTTTTTTTAACAGCATAGCTTTTAGTTCTTTCATTATAGTTGTGGGGTTCTGTGGGTGCAGAAGTGGGAGACACAAGGACGAGGGAGCACATCGATCTTGAACAGAGAAAACTGTTTACATTTGGATAATCGTATGGGAAATTGGGAATATAAATACGATGGCAAATGTGGACGAATTGCGGAGGCGCATCCTGGGCAGCGGGATCTCATCACGTACAGTTCCAGTAAATCAGGAATGTGGTACAGAATCGGGATCGGACACCGGAGATCCAAATACAGAGCCGCTTGAAAAGTTGTTGATGGGATCTGACACAGGTAAATCGTAAACACTGAACGTAAATAGCACAAAAAGAAAAAGTCGAAATTGAGCATGTTGGGCGCATTTTTAAACACTTTTGATTTATGAATTTTTCGATAATGCAAGTTGCCAAAAGGAACGCTACTCGCCTGACTTTTAAATCATTAGTTTTCCCACTTTACTGCAACGAAATTAATTATTTTCACTTTTGGATGCTTTCTACTGTAATTTAATACAATAATTTGCTAGGTTAAATAGTTATACAAAATCTGCAGACGGTTTTCTGTTTCTTAGATATAGATGATGGTTTACGTGTTTTGTCACTCTTACCAGGTTAGCTAAAACGCATTTTGAACTCTTCCGTCCTCATACTGCTTTTCGAATTCGATTAAGCTTATAAAGGCATTTTTTCTTTTTGACGTATTTGCCATATTTTATTGTTTGGACTGGACTGTACTATTTTTTGGTTTTTTAAAAACTTTACCAAAGTAGTCGTAGTGGTACTCTTGTAAAACTGTTACTAGTAAAAATTTTTCACTAGAAAGTGCTTTCGTAATGCACTGAAAGTACTTACTATTTCGTACGGAATGCACTTGATGCACCACATCTAACAATAAGTAAAACATTCCTTAACCTGTCGTCTCGCTTAAAGCTGTGGTGTGAGACTAGAGATAACTGATAGGTATTTCATAATTTCCTATCTAATATTTATAGCCTGGAATTTAGTTTCGTGGTCGTGGCCGTCAGAATGAATTGATAAGCTGATAATGAGCGATACTGGTCTGGCTGGCACCAATCGGCTTGAAAATTATTTTATTTTAGCAAAGGCTTAGTTTTTGTACGATGTACGGGCAGAAAAGTTCACAATGCGATTGTACGTAATTTTTTATTTGTTTGTAGTCTCGTGGCATGTTTAGAGGCTTTCTAGTCAATTGACCCCGATACGAGAAGAATCCGAAGAAGAATGTAGAATGGAAGTATAGAAGAAGAAAAATATTATAGAAGTACTTCTTCAATTTGCCAGTATACACGGTTTCCTATCTGTATTTGCATGACAAATTAAAGTTTTACACTTTATACATTGTACGTGTTGTACTAAAGGTAGTAAGAGACAAAAACTGCCGCGAGCTAATTTTAATGTCGATTGTTATGATTTGATTGTGCAATTTTTAAAGTTACCGATGCCTTAGAGGCTGTTAATTATAATTGACACTGTTATGGTGGCGTAGCACGCCGGATGCGATTTGCAGTTGAAAAATTAATTGATATCTTGCCAGCAAGCGGAGTGATGTTTATGATTAATTTTATCATGCATTTTCACCTTAAAATAATTGACGCACTAAAGTGTTTCTGTCTTCATCTGACCTGGTCAGTTTGGAAAGAAATACTGTACTGTAAGACCAAATTGTGCTTCTACTGAAAATAATTTTTCGGAATTGCCGCATATAATGAACATGCCGCTGTCACAAAGTTTCTTGCGTTTTGTACCCTTAGCTAATTGGTTACATAGAGCGAAATCGTACAGACAATTCCTCTTGAACGGAAAATTGTTTGCAGATCAGCGGCGGAAATCGTTGGATGAACGTATTGTAAAGAATGTTTTTGCTGAAACGTTGCAACTTAAAGCTGTAGTAAGTGTTGGATGCATAATTTCACAATCATGTATAATTTTCGTTTGAGAGATTTTTAAGAATTATTTTTTTAATTCTGGCGTTTAGGATTTACGAAACAGATATGTGGATTCTATGGACAAGGAGCTTGCTAAGGTGTTTGAGAGTTTCATTTTGGAAGCGTCCAAAAAAACGGAACCTCTCCCACACAACACATCTTTTAGCAATATTCAGTCTGGGAAGAAAACACACGGAGAACGGGGTCAATTGACTAGAAAAGAATTTGTTCCCAGAAATTCTATGCTTACGTGAGCCTCGCACAGGAAAATATCTGGATAGTGGATAGTAAGTAGAAGGAGTAGCTGATTTTCATTCTTATTTTTTCTTGCAGAGATTTGTTCGAAATTCCCCACATCCAGACCATACAATATGTTTTCATTGCTGTTCTGATAATATTTGGAATTCATACGATTATGAATGACATTTTTGATTACGGCACGTAAGTTTTTACGCATTTTTGGGTTTAACATATTTTGATCCTGTATTGCATTCTGCATAAAAGTACCGTAAGAGATGGCAACGTTGTAGAATTTGTTATAGAATCGTCTCTCTTTGTTGTAGGATCGGAGTAGATTTGCATATCTGGGTGTGGGCCTTTGGGAAATTCCCTTACGTAGTGACCACTTGGTGTACCATGCAGGGAGTTGCTTTGCTTGGGGTTTATCTTGCCTTGTGCTGTTGGGCAACTTACCGTGGGTCTTCACCTAACCGAAGTACGATGCACAGAACATTATACTTCATTAAATCAACCAGATGAATCGTTGTGTCTCATTTTAGATATAGTGGATTATGTATTTTTGGCGTGTTATGTTTGCTACCAGCTGGTATTCGCGGCGATTCCGCTGTATGTAGTGAACCACTGGGAACTGCCACCTGCTTCCGCTAGCATCGTTGTTGCCGAACAAGTAAGCGTTAAGAAGATGACTGCTTCACTTGTTTAAAACGCCTTGAAAACATTGCATTCATACGTAATTCTGTAATTAATAATGCTCGATAGATAATGCCAAACATAAATACTTGTAAATTGTTTTAAGCGCGCTACTAAATTTCTTCACTACAGTAATACGAATAATAATACGCTATGTACGAGTGACTTGGCGATTTATTTTCTTACATAACGTGTATACGGTATTCTTCTTCTTCAGGTTCGATTTATGATGAAATCCCATGCATTTGTGAGGGAAAAGATCCCAGATATCACCAAGGCCACAGTGCAGAAGGATGTGGATCCTTATCCAAATTTGGGCAACTATGTGTATTTCCAGTTTGTTCCGACTTTGGTATACAGGGATAATTATCCACGGTAAAGACTAGCGACAATCAATACGTTTTTATTTTATGAGCAATTCTGTTTTGCAGAACCAAAGAAATTCGGTGGAACTTTGTTTTTTTGAACTTTGCCCATGTTATCGGGGGAATAGCATATTGTTATTACGTGTTTGTTAGATTTTGTGTGCCGGTGTTCCGGAATTTTAATCACGTAAGTTTGCTCATTTTCATTACAGCAGGTTGTTTAATCTGCATTTTGTAATAGGATGATTATCTGTCTAACGTAAAATCTCTCAGATTGTGGTTCCATGCATGCTGTGATAACTCCCCCTTCTTACCCCTTTAGGAACATGTTAATTTCAAAACCTTTATGCGGTCGATTTTTGACTGCATTCTCCCGGGAAGTTTGAATTTGTTGGTTGTGTTTTATGGATTCCTACATGCATGGATGAATGCATGGGCTGAAATGCTGCGATTTGCGGTGAGTTTATTAATCAGCAGTCACTAACGAGTAACTATTAACGACTTGAATTTACTTTGCAACCTTTGATGCCTTTTTCGGCAGTTCGAATACGGTGATTGTAATAGATTTTATGTTTTGATCGTTTAGGACCGCCTGTTTTACAAGGGTAAGTGCAAGTGGCGGGCCATCCTCAGACGCCATCCTGTATTTGCAGTACTTGCTGTACCGTTATTGCATTTTTATTACTTTATAGACTGGTGGAATTGCACCTCTTTTGCCAGCTATTATCGTACTTGGAATGGTGTAGTTCACGATTGGCTGTATACGTATGTTTATTCGGACATATACAGGGTAGGAATCTCATAATTTGTTTGACGTAGTCAGAAACTTTAGTGGTTTGCAAAACTGAAACTGCGGCACTACTGTAATTTTGGTTCGATGAAGTCTGAACACTGGTGCAATTCAGAATTTTCGTTCTACGAGAAAAAGTTATGCGAATATAGTTCAATATACGTATAAGTTGCAGTTTCGACATTATAACTCACTGTTGTGGTTTTAGAAAAATAATACGAAGAAATGTTTTGTAGCTAGGCGGTCCGGCTTACCGAAACCTGGCCTTGTTTGTCACCTTTGTGCTCTCTGCCTTGGTTCATGAGTATATTATCTGCTGTTTGTTAAGGATATTTTACCCGGTGATGTTCGTCATGTTCGGTGGATTTGGTGGTATGTGTACTTAATTATCGACTTTGTTTGCATCCTGAAAACTATGGTTGTGGTTGTAGTGTGGATGTTTTTTGCATCGTATGGACGACAGTCTCGACCGTGGAATGTTCTGTTATGGTTCGGACTGTTCGTTGGACAGGGAATCTTTTTGTGCTTGTACAGCTGTGAATACTATGCCAGGTATAACTGTCCCCCGACCACTGATGGCTTCCTGGATTATATCATTCCGCGATCTTGGAATTGCTACGTTATTCAACCGGTTATCAATTCTACGCTTTCCCGTTCGTGATATTTTTAAAGAAATAATTATTTAATCCCGTTATGGATGAATTTATGGCAGCTTTCCATGCATGAATTTATGAACAAAGGAGCAGCTTTATGCGCAGCAGCTATAATGGGTGTTTAGCGGATGGCACTCATGGCAGTGATATTTTAAATTTGAGTTGTAAGTTTTTATGGTTTCTTAGGTTTAAATTATTTTCTGTTGTAGTCACGCCGCATATGGGTGCGAATTGTGGTAATATTGATATTGACCTTTTGAGGCTTTCGTGTGCTTTTTACTTCAGAGTACTTGTAGTACAAGTTGGTGTAGAAAGTTGCCGACTTAAGAGCAGTGTTTATATAAAAACTGTGTACAAATTTCTGCCTTCGTAAAACATCAATGTTTCCAAGGGTGATCAAACACACCTCTGCGAATGTTGAAGTTTGGAAGAGAACTAGTGCTTGTACTTGTACACTACGGTCAGTTGACGAATTATCAGGCGTCGCTTTTATTCGACCATACATTTTCTTCAGATTTCTAACTGCTGGGACTGATGTGATCATAATATTGTTAATTTTGTATATTTTCTTCGTACACCTGTATGAGATTCACAACATCGGTACGGTACACATCGTAAAAACCCATAAGATCACTGAAAACATCAGTCGGATGCAAAGGCATAAATCCGACTGGAAAATGCTTACTACTAAGAAAATAAAAAGGCTAAAAAATCAAAGTTTGGGGTCATCCAAATACTGCACAAATTATTGCCCCGCGAATACAAGGAAAACAAAGGACACTGGTTTTACGAACAGACCTTCTTACACTTATAAAATTTCTCGGTTGTTCCCAGGGTTGTGTATTTGGTGGTAGCTAAAGTCGATTGAGGTCGGCGACTTCCTTGTTTGACAGCTGTCTTGACGAATACAGGCATATCGTCGACTTCAGCTGGGTCATCGACCGTGTCTTCGTCGAACAATGGAAATCCCTGGTAAGGAAAAGGTCCACCTGAGTACGGGAAGCGTCTGTGGAAATTTCCGTAGAATCCGTAAGGGCTATTGAATCGGTTGCCGAACTGATTTCGGAATCGGTTAACGGTTCTGATGGCCTCGGTGATCTGCTGGTTTCCGGTAGTGGCGGCGGGTTCCACATACTCGCAGACGATATGGCACGTTGGAGTGTAAGTGCCTCCCATCAGTGTATTGTCCGGATCGGGGAATTGGGGCTGCGACGGGAATCCTGCCGGAGATACTGTGGTGAATGGCGGAAGCGTGGTTGGCAATGGTTCTATGACTGCTACTGGGGAAGTGATCATGGTCACGCTTGGCTGGGTAGTGGATGCGCTTGTTGTTTCAGCAGCTTCCGAAGGCCCAGTGTCTTGACAAAGGATGAACGGCATCAGAGGCAAAATCAAAAAGGTCACTGCTACCACACGCATTGACGGCGACATTTTGGTGGAAGTTCAGCCAAACAAATTTAAGAATTAGTGAGAAGCACGTCTATCAGACTATATCACGCTATGTATTTTTATGCAACTGCAAAAAAATTAAAATACCACCGACAGGTCAAAGCATCTCCAGATAATAACTGCAGGTCTGCAAGAGCAGGAACACACCCGATTCAAGCCTTTCTCGACAAGACAAATGAAAGGAAGATAACTCCTCGTCTCACCAGTCAGTCATCGAAACTTACCGTAGAACGGTAGAACTAAAGGCGCTAACAGCAAGAAACACGGTGCGGGAGATCTTTGTACTGGTATACAATACAGTACGTACTTACTTGTTAATGTTCTACACTAAGACTACAATACGTACTTGACGCACTACAGTGTACGAACAGTAAAATAAATATAAAGTATTGATAATAAATAATAATCCTATCATTCTATATTTCGAAATCCAACACGTAGTAAGTACTGCACTTGTACAAATGGTATTAAAGTGCTACGTACGTTCGAAGCTTTGAGTTTAAGTACGTACTACAATTACTGTACGTAGTCGTACAGCTTACAGTACTTAAATTTGTATCCACTGTCCAGTGTCCAGCGGCGTCCACGTCCTTATAAACTTCACCATGAAAATTTAAGTTACCGGTAACTTTGGTGCAGTTAATATGGTTAGGGTGATAATTATTACAATATATTATATTATATCAGTATTTGACACATATTTACTCGTATACTGTATTATGTTCATTATTGCTTCGCCTTCAACCTTGTTGGAATTTTAAACACGATTGTGTGATTGTTTTCTTTACAAATTTAAATTTTTGATAAAAAAATAAGTAGTACTGCGCGTCAGCGGTCAAAACCAAAAATATTTCAACAAAATTATCAAAATAAGGCAATCCTTACATACAGATAGAGTACTTTACAGCCCCTAATTGGCTGCACTTCGTTGTGTTACGTTAAGCAATCATGGCATGGCGGCATGCTCCATAGTCCATGAGCCACCCAACTACCATTTATGATGAACATCGAATTGTTCGTGAACCATGAATTAAGTCTGCAGTTTGCGGCTGTCATTTTCTAAAATTATTCATCAAAGTGCCGTCACTGCCGTACACGGCGTACAGTACAGTTGTTAATAGACAAGATTGTGGAAAGTGAAAACTATTAAAACTTTAAAAGGCAAGAAAAGTGAAAACAATCTTTTAATTTGGATGCCTTTTGGCTGGTGTGAACCTTATAAAAACTGCACTGCGGCTTCGTTATGCATATCTGCCGTTGAAGTTCAGCTGAAAGCCTTTTAATCATCTTAAGTTCTTAACCAGACGTTAACGCAAGTTTACGTCTTGCAACTTCTTCGCCTGGCACGAACCGTAATCTCTACATCTGTTGTTTTATGGTTCCATGACGTGAAAGCGCCTTCCGATCTTACCAGCTTGTTTTTGAAGTTTGAACGTGTACTCTTCCGATGTAAGTCTGCTATGATTTGTAAGAAAATTGGATAGAATATAAAACGGCTGATTCACGGAGTACCATGGGATCGGGATCGAGTTCTAAAACTGAAGGTTTATGTTCTGGACAAAGGGTTCTTTCTGTCGCGACGCCGCCATTTGCTTTTCAAATCAAATGTTCGCGCGCGTAAAATAATTTTTATGTGCGGATGATCGCATTGTAAGTGTTTAAAGTTTAATATTAAGTTATTTGTAAACAATACAACGGGCTACTTATTTCCTGATTCCTACTATAAGCTAGCGATAGAGAAAACTAAAATTCATCATTTAAAGCCACTTGGTTTTCAATTTTTTAATTATTCGTTCTTTGACTTTTTCTGGTGTGCTTGAATTCTCCGTCATAAATGATAAAAGCACCGATTCGAATACCTGTGGTTGCAGCGGAGCCATGTCGCAAATGCAGACACGGAAAAAGGAGAAAGGTTCGAGCCTGCCTAAGAACACCCCGTCTTCCTCCTCGACGCGCTCCGAAACGACGACCAGCCAGACGGTTTACGAACGACAGGAGCTGGAAACACGCACGCGCCGCTCACCTGTTGCCAATGCATCCACACCGGATCTGAACAACTCTTCAACCTCTTCTGGACTGGCGGGTTCGCCATTGTCGCGGCAGCAAGAAAAAGATGAATTTAAAGTGCTGAACAACCGGCTTGCCACTTACATCGACACTATCCGCCAACAAGATGATGAAATTGTGCATTTACGAGTAAGATCACCAGCTTTACTCGAATTCTGTGTACTCGAACTTCTGAATTATGACTCCAGCATTAAAGAAATATGGTATTTTTAGAAACGCGTGGAAACCATCAATTCATCGGAAGCTCACGAAGCCAAAAAGTTGGGCGATCAGTATGGTAAAGAAATCAATAATTTGCGACATGCCTTGGACACGGTCAGCCGAGATCTCGCCGAAGCCACAACGGAACGCGATGAACTGCGGGTTCAGAATAATGATTACGCTAACAGGTGCGTCTTTTATTCTTAGTTTTTCACAAAGTACCATTGAAATATTAAAATTAATCGGTTTTAAATTTGCGATAGAAATTCCGCTCTCGAGAATGAGAAAAAGGCTTTGGCTAAAAAACTGAAGGAAGCTGAGGCTCTTTTGAAGGATGTTCGCGCTCAGTTATCCGATTTGAAGGAAAGGATGAAGGATCACGAAGAACAGATCAACGTACGTGAGCTATGCTGTGAAACACTGTTCACATCACTGGTCATTTGTTTACACTATTTTGTTGGCATAATATTGAGCCTCGTTAAAAAAACGCCAGTTTTAATTTAGAGTACTGTATTTGATAACTTCTTTTTTAGACAGTACGGGCGAAATGCAGTAAATATGACACAATAAAATACTTATACTTGTAACGAAAAATATTATTGTTATTAGTTTCTTTCCAGACCGCACAAGGCAAGATTAAAGACCTCCAATCACAGATTGATCAACTGAAGAAAGAACTGGCGGATGAAACCGTTAAACGAGTTGACGCCCAAAACCGACTTCTATCGGCACAGGAAGATCTCCGATTCCAGAAGACGTTGCATGAAGAGGTTAGTAGCAACTGCAAGATTGTGATTTATGCGCAACTGCGCACTTATTTGTGATTTATGCGCAGTTGAACTGTTTCATAGCTGTAACAAAGTTAAGGGTTACAATTACGTGTTACTACGTAATTTTTGTGCATTTAATGAATTTTTTTATGTGTTATAATGCGCTCTTGTAATTTTTGGTGATTTTATGGATGTTGTATTAAAGTTTTCGTTTGCAGCAAATGTCCACACTCAGAAGCCAACGCGTGGTGGAAGTAACGGAAGTGGAAACGCGTTTGCGAGATGACTATAAATCTAAAGTCGCTGAGCAGTTGGATGTATTGCGCGAGGATATGGAAATGGTCGCTCGAGAGGCGCAAGATGAACTCGAGCGTACTTATATTCAGCAGCTGGAAGACTATCGTACGATGGTGGACCGCAACAGCGCAGATTATCGTCACTTGCAGGAAGAAACAAGGACGATTCAGTCTCGCTTGAAGGAAGTGCAGTCCAAAGGCGATAAACAGAACCAAGAGTATCGTAATCTCATTAGCCGTTTGGAAAACGATTTGCGTTCCAAGGATGTTGATATCCAGAGACTGCAAGATCTGCTGGCTGATCGACAAGTAGAATTGCAGCGCAGCCATTCTGATTTATCCGTGCTCATGGAAAAGTACCAGGAAATGTATGGGGATAAAATCAGACTGGATGCCGAGTTGGCGGCCTACCATGCAATGTTGAAGGCTGAAGAAGACCGGTAAATCTCGCATTAGCATTTCGTTTGTAGATTTTATGTTTTTATTTTCAAGTTTTAAAAATTTTTGCATTCGTACATACTGAACAAAACTTTCTTTTGCGTATCTCTTGGCACTAAATGGGCTGATTTCTGAACTCTTAGATTGAAGCTTACTTCACCTCCATTCCCCTCGACACCAGAAGGTAGCGCTCGCCGAGGCCGAAAACGCGCTACTGATCAGATAACTCGTACCCATTACCGAAATGAAGCCACGGCTACTGGTGACATTCACATTGTGGAAATCGATGCCGATGGCCAATTTGTACGGCTGGAAAATAAATCTGGAGAGGTGAGTCCATGTTTTTAAGTCAGCTGGACGTATCGCGATTTGCTGTTGATTCTTGTAGGATATCGTTATTGGTGGATGGACGTTGCATATGCGCTCGGACAATGAGGCCGATAATGAAACGATCTATAAAATCCATGGGCATACGACTCTGAAGGGACATTCCACAATGACCGTAAGCTAATTTTGTTGTTTGCGATCAGTTTAGTTTTGAAAATAGGTACTTATGCATTTTGTTCTACAAACAGCGGATAATGTTACCTGGTGTGATGTGTACTTCGAAATAGTATGTGTAATTGGTGTCATAAAATATTAGAATACTTAATTATGCTCTTCGGAATGTATGCAGAAAATGTGTTTTTCAGATTTGGTCAGCTAATACGAACGTTACGCATGATCCGCCGTCGGACGTAGTAATGGAAGGCCGTTGGCTGGTGGGTCAGAGCACTTTTGTTGCTTTAGCCAACAACAATGGGGAAGAGGTGGCACGACGCGAGATGGTACGAGCTTCCCATGAAACTTCCGTTGTGGATGGTTCCGGCGTACGCAAACGGGCTCGAATTTCGACACGCGCCGTGGAAGCGGGAGATGCTGACGGAGCGGAGGTATTATTCTCGGCTTGCCGATAGCCGAAATTACGAAGCCATTCGCAATAGGGCATATATGGGTATGGTAGTTAAATTTGCTTGTCCTTGCAGAAAAATTGCATTCTGATGTAAAGGCTGATCCAAAAGCATGGACATGTCATCCGTCTTGGTCATCCATCTAGTGGAAATGTCTACTGCCCTGCTGAAGTTTCATTTTTTTATTCGTATAAGATAGTAAGGATTGGTCATATCCGGATGGAATAGTTGTTTTCGTAAATCGTGTCGGTGGTCAATGCATGATTAGGTATTTGAATTTACTTTGCTTAGATTGTAGCTGGATTGTTTTTGTTGGTATTTTTCTAAGGTATTATTCCTTTATTCTGTATAGGTGCACTTTTTTTGGCTAGACTAGAACTCTTGGTACCAAATCGTATGTATTTGTCCGTCTGAATTGTGAGTGCATGCCATCATTTGGCCATAAGTGTTTTGATCATTGCACGCCAAATGTATGTGCCAAAATGGTAGTGTTGGGTAGTAAAAGTCCTTGCCAGTATACTTATTTTTACTATCGGCTTTTGAAAGTTTACTTATTTTTACTTACTATTCAAAATTTTTCGGGACTTTTACTTACTTTTACTTTTTATTTCAATTTTCCCAAGGACATTTACTTACTAAATTAAAGTAAATTTACTAAATAAATGTAATTTAGCATTGAAAGTTTCGAATTGCTTTTAGTTTCAAAGCGCAAAAGACGGCTGAAAATTGCAGATAAATTTCTTATGCATTAATCGAGCTATACAGGTGCATACTGAAAGTAAATACTGCTGCTTTTGAGGGCGGCAGGCTGGCAGCCGACTACTGCGCACACCCACTTTACCTGCGAGTGGCGGCGGCTGACACGCCAATTTTCCGTAACGCTGATAAAACAGATTAGTAAATAATTTAGTAAAGATCTTCATTTATTCAGCACTGAACCTTAATATTTACTTACTTTCTACTATTCCGGCAACACATTTGCTTACTTTTACTAACTTTGTTTCCAAAACCTTACTATTTACTAGACTTTTAATATTAGGCGGACTTTTACTAAGTAAATGGCCGTTATTTAATTTTATTTAGTAGCACAACACTACAAAATGGTAAAAAAAGCTGGATACGAGTATATTACAAGTACTTTATTAACAAAAAGAAATCACCGGCTTCCTGTTTCACAATCTGAGGATGAGTGTACAGTAACCCTAAATCTGAAACACGCTAAATGCTTTCGCGCTAAGTGTTACGGGAACTTGTCCATATTTGCGGTAAATGCGTTCGTATAGACTTACTTTTGTAGGCTTGTTTATTGTTCGTCTTATTTTTAGCAAGAAATTAGTCTGAGAACTGAGAAGTATTCCTTACTATTATTAATTTCGAAATTAGTTGGAATTTGGACACTTGCAGAACCTGAACGCTTATATTAATCTACAATATTAGTGTTTCGTAACTGTATGGCCGTACGAGTACACAGCTTTCTAACCAGATTATCAAATTATCATGAGCACAGAATATTATTCTAGTTTTCAAATACCAATACGTAACAAAAATTAATACAATGCAGTAAGTGAGACCATGACTCATTACAACTGCTTGACTGACTTCGATTGTGGGGGTAAGGCCGGTGCGCTCAACCCGGTAGCCCGTATTTTGGTCCCAAAGTGCATTCGGTGCACTGGGCGTCAGCTGTTCGTGTTTTCGATAAGTAGCGATGTTCATACGTACGGCAGTCAATAAACAGAATTTCAATTTTTTCAGTTAGGAAAATTTTGTTGGCCGTCTAAATATAAATTCTATGATCTACATATTTAACTTCGAGCTCTGTTGCGTTACTGACTTTGATTCGCTTAAAAGTATTTGTATTATTAAACCGCCTGCAAGAACCGTTTTTCTGTAACTGGTTGATGCTGCGCATCTACATCCCGAAAAAACAATGGCCGATGATTTACGAAGGCGCATTTTGAATATCAATCGGCCTGAGTCCGATGAAGCGCTGAACGGACATGCGGTGGATTCCGAACACGTTCCACTCAGTCCTGTCACCGAAAATGCGTCGCACAGTCCCGATTCGTTCGGGATCAAATTCTCCGTGGGTTCCAAGGTCTCCGACGATAATTTGCACGCTCGTGTCGGCCCGAATCCACCAAGCCACAGTGGCGTGCTTTGTAAGTGCATCTTATATCTCCAGGTTTCAGGTTTTTAACCTGGGAGATGTTGATTTATAATGGTCTGATCCTTTCTAAAGCTAAAAACTATATGTCGTAAAAAATTCGATGGAATTCAGAATTTAGTTAGAACTGCAGCAAGAGCTCACGATTTGGCGAATAGATAATGTTCCGCTTTTTCGGACACAGAGAGTAATTTCAAGCTTATTTACCAAAAATTTTCGTTGGGAATTAAAGCTGAAGCAGATTCGTTTAGTCCAAATAGGCGTTATACGCACTAAAATTACGTTTATGTTTTTGTAGCTGTAAAGCCTGGTAATTACGACATGGTGCGCGATCTCCAGATCCAGACGCTTACTGCCAAAGCAGAGGTTAGTTGTGAATTGGTTTTTCAACTTCCTAAAAATAGAGGAAATCCCTGCTAATATTTTTTGAATTGTTTTCTCGCAGACCTTGAAGGCGGAATATCTGGAATGTGTGGATAAAGAGCTGGATACGCTAATAAACAAGTTTGTCTCGGAAGCCGTGCCCAAAAGCGAACTGGCCGTGCACCATGTGGCCTACACTGGAACGGCTTCTCCAGGCATGCGGCGCGGCGATAAAAGCGGGGAACTGCTGCGCAAGGAATTCGTAGCGCGAAACTCGTATTTAACGTATGTTGACCATATTTTCTAAAAAAAACTGGAAACGCAGGCTTTTGTAGAAAAATAAATAATAGGAAGTTTCACGTTTATACGAAACAGAAATTCTAATACTAGTAGCTATCGTACATAATACACTGTGTTTATTGTCTGTTGTAATGGTAGACCGTAGGCCGGTAACGAGAACTGACGGGAAATTTTAAAGTGGCTTAAATTCCAACCGATTTTTGTTGGTTTGTATGTTATCAAGCATTTTGACGCTAGCTGTGTATCTCTTAATTTTTATTGCAGAGATCTGTTTGAAATTCCACACATCAATACGATCCAGTCAATTTTCATCGCCGTATTGATCATTTTTGCCGCGAACACCATCATCAGCGATATTTTCGATCATGGAACGTAAGTGATAATTTGGTTTGGCATATTTTTGACGATGTGACATTCTTTGTGCATTTGCTGGTGAAAGAATAGTATAGTACCCTGGTTCTACGGCCGTAACCTTTAGTATTGATAAGAAGCGATAAAATGCTAATCTGCAAATTTTGACCAGACCGTCAGGTCATCGCTTTTCTGAGATACCAGATTGTTGCGGACTTTTGTGATAGTTCTTTTCAGATTATCGGTGTCTGTCATGTAGAATGGCGTAATCGAGGTGTAAGTTTAGACCGTTAGAGATGTTCTAGTGAGCATTCTTAATTGAATCGTGAAACGAAGTAGTACAGTAAAACTTACAGAAAAGTATCATTGTTTTGGCTCTTTCGGGTATACCGGGTATTCATAATATTTCTAAGGATGCACTAACGACAAAAATGTGTCTCCACTGTCAGAAAAAGGCTGTCCATGTTCATTTCCGAACGATATACTTCTGCAGTTATGTTTAATTAGTTGTAACTTGAATTTTTATTGTAACTGCTCACTCACTGTTCATTTTCTGACTTTCAGAATTGGTGTGGATTACAAAGTCTGGCTTCATGCGTTTGCCCAGCTGCCGTCGGTAGTAATGTTTTGGCTAGCTATGCAAGCTAGCACCCTTTTTGTAGTATACTGGGGGATAACATTTTGGGCGAAAAATCGACAAAAATCGGAACAAATTGGTACGCATAGGCTGTCCATGTTCATTTCCGAATCAGTGTAACTGTAACGTTGAAAGATGAAATGTTAGAACCAACGGGCAAATGTTTTTTTTTACTTTGTCAGATCTGTTCGATAAATTTTGGCTGCTAATCTACACGGGATACTTGCTTATATTTTTGGTTGTACCCGCCTGGTTTATTATGCATTTTGAACTTCCACCCGGGTCGGCAGGCATTGTTGTTGGCGAACAGGTACGCATTGGCTAATGGCTACCGATTAGCCGAATTCTTAACTTACTTTTAACGCTGTTTGGGAAACAGGTACGCATGTTGATGAAAACTCATGCATTTGTGCGGGAGAAAATACCGGACGTGATCAAACTGACCGTGGCGCAACATCCTGATCCCGCTCCAGATTTTCATCGGTACCTGTACTTCCAGTATATTCCTACACTGGTGTATCGCGACAATTATCCAAGGTAGCATTTAAAAAATGATTGCTGACTGTATTCCCTTTACACAGATTATGCTAACATCTGTGTAAAATTATTCCCTTTACACAGATTATGCTAACAGTTTCTGACTTTGACTACATTTGTAATTTGTTTAGGATTAAGGCGGTCCGATGGAACTTGGTTTTGAAGAACTTCGCTCAGTTTTTGGGTGGAGTGCTATACTGCAACTATGTGTATATACGATTTTGCATTCCTGCATTTCGTAACTTTAATCGCGTAAGACAGCATTACTGAGAATATTCGTTGCCTTCTGATATCGTAGCGGTTATTCTCTTTTCAGGAACATGTCAGTGTGGGTGTTTTTCTGAAGGCCATTTTCGATGCCATTTTACCGGGCTCTTTGCATTTTATGGTGATCTTTTACGCATTCCTTCATGCATGGATGAACGCTTTTGGAGAAATGCTGCGATTTGCGGTAAATACCTGTTGATGGTACCAAAAGAACTAATATGGTTCCACTAAACGTTTCATATTCGTGCACCTAAATAAGGTGACGGTTTAGCACTCTTTTAGGGAACTAGTAAGTAACAATTTTGTATTATCAGTGGTAAGTTACAAATTGGCTTCAGCATTTCAGAAAAATTATGTGCCGAGTTTCTTGAAATAGGCAGTTTATCGAAGCTGACTAAGCTAATTTAATACATTGTGTGGATTTCTTATCAGCCATTGTCTATTTTTAGGATCGCCTGTTTTATCGAGGTAAACTTCATTTAAAAATTTACCTTGTCTGTTATCTGTTGTTCACATTCTCACCACATACTCGTGTGTGTAGACTGGTGGAATAGCACTACTTTTTCCAATTACTATCGCACTTGGAATATCGTGGTACACGACTGGTTATACAGTTACGTATATGTCGACATTGTCAACGTAAGTCTTTTTTTCTTTATTACTATTTTTCTTGCTTCTGAGCTGTATTTGTTGGAATTAGCTCCTCGGTCAATCCTACCGAACGACTGCCATGTTGGTGACATTCCTTCTGTCCGCCGTTGTTCATGAATATTTGATGTGTTGCCTGCTAAGGATGTTCTATCCTGTCATCTTTGTATTATTTGCTGTTTTCGGCGGTAAGTTCATGAAATACAGCAGTTAAGTGTAATGTGTAGACCGTGTTCGGGACTGAAAAAAATGTCTGACACTGGATAGTATTTACACGAAATTTGCAGGGGGTATGACATCTAAAGCGCAGGACGAGGAGATTAATCATTGAATTATCTAGAAAATATGACTGATTATTATTGTTTATTTTTAGTGTGGATGGTATTTGTTACAAAGACCAAGTCTTCCCATGCTTGGAATGTCGTAATGTGGTTGTCGATCTTTTTGGGCCAAGGCGTTCTGATGACATTGTATGGTTCCGAGTACTATGCCCGTCTGAATTGTCCTCCAACTACGGATAACTTTTGGGATAAAGTCATTCCGCGCTCCTGGATGTGCTACGTCTGGCATCCCACCCTGAACTACACTACTGAGGCGTAGAAAAGATTTTGGGCATAAGCGTTGTTATTTCATTCTTTTCCAAAGTGGGTGCGGCTTTGTTTCTGAGTGTGATATACTATTTAATGCCAAATCGTTTTTTACTTCTTTTATCCTTGTTACTTTTTTGAACCAGTTGATCCGTTATTTGATACAGTATTTACCTTTGTACGCAACATTTTGTAGCTGCGCTTCTAATTAAGCACATACACATAGATATACTGGTGTGGATTTGTTTTGAGGTATGTAAATTAAAATTAATTAGTTTCTGGGATGTGAAATTCGTGTTCGGATTCGGATAAAGGTCGTGGTTGCACCAGCCCGGCATTCTCCATAGCTTCCCAGTATTTTGTCACTTCGATGTTTTCCCAGTGCGTTCTTCCCAAAGGAAGAAAAAATCTAAAATTTATAGTAAATTTAAGTCTGATCTTTGAATGGCTTTGTGTTTCGGCGATACCTTTGCGTTTAGGTACTGAATAAAATGAACTCTGTCGTACTTGTATTCTCTAATTACTTGCAAAGTTCTGTTACTTACCTTTTCACGACTTCATGCATCACAGAATTTTCGTTTTCCGTCATCGGTTGTATACAGGTTTCGTAGGTTTCTCTTACAGTTTCCGGTCTGTAATGCCAAACTTTAGAATACTGTATTTGTGGTTCTGCTGTGCCACTGAGTCTTCACTTATCATAACTGTATTTAGAATTTGGAATACCAACAATTTTTAAAAGAAAATTAATGTTTTATCATAGACGTGCGTTGTGCATTCAATGTATTTAACAATACAGTAAGCTAACTACATATGTACCCTGTACGTAGGCATTTTACCTGTCCATATTGACCACAGTTGTGCAGACATCCGGGACTCGGTAGCAGTATCGCATAGCAATTTTAGCCAGATCTTCGCCGCGTTCCTACCCACAATCACAAAAGGCATTTAAAACATCTCAGAAATTCTATTTAAGTAATTAGAAAATCGTTGGTTATCCAGGATTCTCGATAAAGCACCGCTTTATGTGAAATGTACCTTGGCAAAAGCAACAGCTTCCCTCGCTGACCTTTTCAGCGATTCTGGAGCCGGATGGGAGCTTGCGGGACCATTGGCAGACAGTAAACCCATGCCCAGTGGTGCCGAATTTATTATGCCCACACCGCCTTCCTTCAAATACGGGATGATGTCTTTCAAATCCCGATTGAACAGCCCGTACCGGCCGTACGACAAAACTGTATCCAGCGGAACGCTACTTCGCGATATCACATCCCTGGCAAATGAGCTAAGCGTTAATTTGTAAAGGTGTATGCAAACTGCAACAAGCCAGTTAAGTGCCGACTTCATATAGGGTATAAACTTCATATAATTTGTGTTGTAGTCTTGACAAAAACGTGAACCACGGTAACCAAACTGCAGCTAAGCCAGAAGTTCATGCATCAACTTATACATCCAAATCCGGCAATCAATACATGTGGGTACGACTTACTGAAGAAAATTTACCGGATATCCAGAAATTCCTGCCGAAGACGATGCAATGATTTGTAAGCGATAATGCAGCAAAATTGCTTATGTGTAAGCAAATTCGCTGTGCAGGTAAAAAGGCGGTAAGTAGATATTAACAATAAATCACATTACCGATGAATTTTGCTTTTCCCGCGTTCACCACTTTTTCCAAAGCTGGCAGGGTTTCGCTCAATAGCACTTCGAGATTGGGAGCAAATTCGGCATCCTGTATCTGAAATAGAATTACCGTATATTTCTTGTTATTGTTGTTATTTCATTGATTCTGCATACACAACCAACAAATACGCAGGATACCGTTTACAGAACCAATCTCGTAACACAAACGCTTCTAATTACAAAGTATTTGACTGCTGATTATGAATGCCAACCTGAATGATATCAACATGGGGCAAACGAAGTCGTGCTAAACTTTCATCTACGCTTCGCAAAACCGTCTCTGCACTGAAATCGTATCGTTTACTGATGTCCTCTTGGTACCGTCCCACTGTTGTTCCAATATAAAACGTTTTGCGCGGAACGGAAGATAAAGCCTGAACTCGAGGAAAAGAGAAAAAATTGGTAACATTATTGTTCCTGTCGCAATTGGTTATACACGTATAGTGTGCTGCGAAGGTTGTTTTGGATTGAGTCATTTAAGTAATTTACATACAGTAATTTGTAAAACGTACTTAATAAATAATTTATCACTTACTTTTCCTAATAATATTTCCGCCGCCCCGTTTCCGTATGACGGTGAAGTGGCAATATAATTAATACCGCACTTCAAAGCCGTATGTACAGTGTCGATAGCTTTCAGCTCGTCTGAATCGGATAAATTTCCGAAAGTCGACGTTCTATGTCAAGTACGCGTAGCAATTAAATGGATTTTTTTATGTTAAATGCTGCTGTTAGTTTTACAGAAAAGCTCACCGTCTGTAAGAATGATACAATATTTTTTGTATAATTCAAAAATTTTTCAATCCTACATTGATAAAACATTTAGTTACGACAGTTAAATAAGTATTAAAGGAAATCACTACCGGTATGTGCCCAGTGAACTCACCTAGTCCTAGCGCCGAGAAGTGCATCCCGGTATTGCCCACATAATTAAATCGCAATTTCAACACTGCACTGCGGTCATGAAAATCCGGTGAGAATGTGGATGGCAATCTAAAGATGGCGATAATTATTGCTCTTCCCTCAGTAAAACTGCCATAGAGGCATTATATTGTAAAGTATGCGTCCTCACTGTATGCCTGTTCCGTGATCTTCCGGTATATCCGGACGTGCATAGTTAGCAAAAGAAAATTTCCGTAAAAAAACATTATCGGCTCCACTGTCCGCTGCCTGGTGCGCTGCACTAGAATCCGTAGAAGACGTTTTTCGACTTGTGGAAGTTTTTCTCTGTGATCCAGTCCAGACGTTCGCGTGCTCCATTATCCTGGCGCTGTGCACAAAATTCAGTAAAACCGTCTTTGTGTATATCGATTACTTTTAAGCATGACATGTGACCTTTCAAATATCTGTTTTCTGACTGTTTCCTACTGCCAAAATATCGAATTTCTGTACATGTTTGCAAACCAAGAAGACGATTATACGAACGCCGTGTAGAACGTGTCGTGCGCCGAATAAGGACAACTTATAGAAGACGCGCTGCTAAGTAATCAGAAATAGATAAGACAAAACGGAGTAATTGCCGGAACTCCAATATAATCCCGCCAGTTTATCTTTATTACAAGTGGCATTCGGAATCCGCGGCGAGTATAATAATTTCTCCAAAATTCGTGAGCGACACCTTCCATTCTTATTCATGCAGTATTTCTGTACTAGCACAAATCATTTTATGAAGATGTGCAAGAACTAAATAGTACGAACTAAGTAAGCGTAGCTCCTCTAGCTACGGTGGTGCATTACGTATTGAAAATTCGGAATAATTCGCATAGCTACTATAAAACCTATACTCGTAGATAAGATGTCTTTCGTAATTTTAACGTAATAAAAAATTAATTCTTCACCCGCGCGTCAACACTTACTCCCTATTAGATAGATAATGTAAGTTTTTATTTTTTGACCGGAATTAGAAGAGTAAGAAATTTAACACCTAAATGGACAGAAAGTAGTACTAATAATAATATCCACTCACAGTCAGATCCACAAGCTTAAATTTTAGTCTACATTAAAATCCTCCATAATACAACATTTCTACATTAAGTAAAGAAAATATCGAAACCACACAAGCAATGCAATCCATGCATAAAAGCAACAACTCGACTTTTAAAACTACAAGTTTTGTTTTTGGTTTAAAAAATAGTTTTACAATTAAAATTGTAAAAGAATACTGAACAAAAGCAGTAATTATAATTCTGATTTTACGTTTGATGCTCCTTTGCAGTGTACTTCAGCAGAAGTTGAGCCGCCTGATTCTTTTTTCGTAACTGTACAAGGTCCGCGAGATGAATACCCTAGAAAACAACAGTACAAGTTCGAAATAAAGTATGACAGCATAAGTAAAACTTGTATAAATCGACGTAAATAGAGAAACCATAATCATAATGACAGTTTCTTAAAGTAAAAATGTTTGTACGCCCAAATGGAAAATTCTTATTCCGTAAATCATACGCTCACAGATGGCATCGACCGGTAATAAAATACGAATGATGCTTCGATTTTTAAAGCATGGTAGAAATATGTAACTGCGTGTTGCGACCGTACCACGTTAGATGTTACCTATCTGCATTCGTTTTTTATTGTTAATGGAAGAAGTTTCTTTTGTGGATAAATGGGCAATACCTGTTGCTTTTACGAAACTTTCTTGACCATCGGATGCCACTGAGGCTGATCCGGAAACAAAGACTCGTTGGCTATAACCATCGTTGTCAACATAAACACTGCTGGGCTGTGCGGTGCCGTATGAGGACGTATCGCTCATTTTCGATATCGATTCGTGTAGTTTGTCTGAAAAACATAAATAAACACAGCTAATGGCAAAGTCCATACAGTAGTACTTCCCTACTAATTACAACAGTATCTATACTTTTTATCATTATACCGAAATGCGACTGACTGGATTCGCACAATGCAAATGTAACTCATAAAATATCTGTTGTAACGGAAAATACATAATTAGGAGCTTTGTTTTACCAATTTTATCCTGATGGGTAGCAAAGTTCTTCTGAGCGGCTTTGAGATTTGTGTCCAGTGACTGCTGTATCTGATTTTGAACGTCATCCATAAATTTTTGAGATCCAAACGCAGCAACGGTCACGGTCAGCACCGGTAGCACCACCGCAAAATTAAGCACAGCGGATCCATAACCCACACCACGTGAAGCTGACATTGCTACCATATATATTTGGTCAAAATGAAGTAAAAAAACAAAATGAATAAAATAAGATCGGAAACTATCAAAGAACGATTCGAATAAGAATGCTACGGAGCTTATCCAAAGACTGCTTAGCTACTGTGTATTGTGTATTCCTGGTTTCCGCAATATTAGCTACCAACCGGTAAAATATTGTATCTACGGTAATGAAGCCCCCAGTAAACGCGGTGTTGGGAAAATCCTGTTAGTGAAGCACTATGTACGAAAATAAAACGAACTTAACGGCAACAGTACTGCGCTGTGCAAAATGCGACCATAAGCTTATGTGTTAATGCGAATTATTATTATTTAAGCCCTTCGGCATCACTTCCTGCTGGTCTTAGAAAAACAGCCGATTATGCCATGACCGTGCGTGGCAGATCGTGAAAGGCGGTTAGTAACTTTTAACAGCGTACCCAGACGTTCCACATCAGGTACTTACCGTCGTTTACTCGCAGGTGCTGTTGTCGAATCGGAATATCTATAGATATATTATCCTTGACGTACAAGTCGTGAAAAAGTATAGAATTCTGTGCTCAGGGAAAGTATGCTTGTATTGTAGGTAAATGTCGTTATTTTGTCTTATCCATATCTTGAGTAATGAGCAATGTACCGTATGTACATTCAGTAAAAAAACAAAACATAGAAATATTTATATATGTACATGTGTTGGATATTTATGAAATGCTTTAACACTTCACATAATTACTGTAGGTATAAAAAATGCAATGCCTAATACGATATTACTAGCGTGTGTCGATCTGCATATATTACGAAAACAACATGGTACCCGTATATCAAATTAGTGTAATGTAGCAAGAACACAAAGTGAGTAAGGGAAGTTTACACAAAATACTTCACTCTTCTTTAATTCACTTCCGAGCCTCGGATGATTTCGTGAATTGTATGATAATTTTGTAGTTAATCTAAAATTAATGTGGGAGCAGCAAGTGAATTATGTACAAGTGCTTACATGCCCTGTTCCTCCTTCGCCGTACTATAACAGTAATATACATGTAGCTGCTTGTTTAAGTATCGAAGCGCATCCTCAAACTGCTGTTTAAAACGTCCGCTAGTACGCATAACAGTGCGTACATAAATAATTATTTTACAAATGATAGAGTATTTAATAATACTACTTGGCTCATAGGATCCGTTTTGCTCCGTCTTTGGCACAAATGCGCGCATTTGAATTATAAGCAATTTACATATTTCAATTTGGAATTTTAATTACCGGGTAGAAGATTAAGTTACATTTTTAGTATTGCTGTTCCTGTGGATAAAGTGAAAAGGTTAAACCAGAGCGCAAATACTCACAATCAGTTCGGCAATGAAGCATATATGTTCAACGTTATAGAAGCATAATGGAAGGTCTTTGGAGTTTCTACCAGCCACAAAATGTATGTACACAAGCCCAATTCACAGTAATCATATACTTAGTGCATCGAAATCGATACGATATTAATTTAAGGATTATGCTGCAACTACGTGGCGCAAACCCACAAAAACGTCAAATTTCAGCGAATATATGCCTACAAGAATTGCTTTTTTACTTGGAACATGAAAATCTAGTTTTTAAGTAGTTATAGAATTTATCGATCGAGTTTTTCTGATTGCCTAATCATTCACATACGCCGATGCATTTGGGCCGAAACGAATGGCATCATGCAGCTAGGTGGTACGCTATCAATTATGCTGCACAATTTGCATTGCGCGTTTTTTTTTGCAGTGAACCTTATATTTACTGTCCCATTTATAATTTTATATTTATATGTACGGAATTTGCAAAGGTAGTCTGGAACTGTGCAGGTGGCAGGATTGCAACGGAAATATGATTAATATACGTTATTTACACAAAAAAGCAACACAACGTAAACCACCAAAAAATTAACGCATCCGTTCAGGCTGTAAACTTTGTAATTGTATCATTAAAAGTTTTCGGTAGGCATTAAGCAACAAAATCGCTAAGTGGTACAGTGATTGCAAATCATGAAAGATCTTTTCAGATTAGTTTTTTTTGTGATTGTATAGTTTTGACTTTTCACCTTGAAGTTTGTGAGTCAGTCTAGCTAAACTTTGCGTAACTTGTTATAACCTCTAATGTGTACATAGTTGATAGCGAAAGCAGATGCCATAATATTATAGATATAACAACGGATACCGGTAATGTGATATTTCACCATTCAGCTGCTACTGCAATAGAAAGAAACTCCCGGACATCATAATAATATGTAAAAAGTCTATAGGAATCTCTTAATAAGCATTCCTAGTTTTCTGTTGGCGAAGTCGCGGTACATGATCCGATCCAGTTTCTCGAAAGTACAGTGTTAACGGTATCGGTTCAGACAACAAGCAGTGAGAACGAAATAAGTCCTGCACGCGGGTAATAACGTGGGAAACGGGAAAATATGATGGAAAGGCAGGCAGGTAATAGTTGATTACTAACACCTAAGATCCGATTAGTCAGCTTGCAACGAGCATGCACCTGAGTCTAGCCTTCCGGTTAGCCGGATGTATTGCCCTTATAGCTGCTGCTGCGGCGCGCAGAAGGAGTACTCTTTCACCTTGATCACGATAGCAGCAGCAACACTGACACCGCCGCGCGGCACTGCGGGAAGACAAACCTTCCGCGTTTCCCTCATTCTCATGATCCCATTCCTGTATACATGACAGAATTCATTAATGAAATGTACAGCTGGCCTTCGCACACGGGGCAGGATTAACAGCATGCGGATGTACCACTACAGACAATGCCGATATCGAACACTGGAATATACACCGAACGCTATCCGGCATTTGACCATCCCACACCTATGCACAGGCTAGCCAACGGACTACATGGGCGTTGTCGGTGTTGGCGATGACTAATTTATGGATATCTTTCGGATACCATATACTGTCTTCCAGAACAATTTTCATAATGCTTTTTATTATTGCCAAGATTCATTGTTTTTCCGGCGAAAAAGTTTTGCTTTATGCAGCTAATTGTGGTAAAAATAATACGCTGCCGGAAGAGTTACCCTTCAACAAATTGGATCACCGTTATTTTTATCGATATTTACCTGATTCGCCCTGCGATGAAGTTGCAGAGTACACTAGTGTTGTACAAATGAATCAGACAGAATATCGCGTGTTTGTGATAATTATTAACTTCCCGGTTAACTGTCGTGCTGTAACCATAGTTCGACAAAAAAGACTGTTGCCAGCTATTATGTTTGTTGTTGGATGTGACCAGGTACGTAAGCATTCCGGTGTCTCACTCTTTACGGCCGCGGACAACGAAACACTGATTTTGCTGCAGCGCATCTATGTATACTTACTCTTGTGGTTCGAGTTACAGCTTTTCGATGGTGCGCAAGGTTGATCACGAAATACAAAGTAAAAATAATTGTTATAATAAAAATTAAACATTTAGACATACAAATGAGGTTGCTCAAGAAGACGGTGCGGTCACTACACATTGAGCATAGAAAAATGCCGTACAATTAGTTTATTTTAAAGCGAATGGCTAAATTAATCGTAACCTTTAGGATAGTCTGCCCGTTACATTCTTATGGTTAGAAATACCTGGTATTACCGATTTCCTTCGATCTATGACGTGTCTATGATCTGGTTCAACTTAACAAATGAATAAAAACTGGAGCTGGAAATTACGGCAGTTATAGATTTTCTATTGGATTTACGTGACTGAAATCTGCTTTTTCTAGGCGTATTCCGAAGCAGCGTGGTTCTTACTCTTTTTAATCACTTTGTAATTCTCTGTACTTGTCATTTTGAAATTTATGTTCTCTAAGTGCACTTCTTTTGATCCCAAAGTGCTGTAGTATAATTTGTAATATTATTGCGCCTAATTTGTTTGCAGACAACCGAAATGGTAAGAAAATCCATAATTTTATGAATGGGAGTAGGCCGCTAATTAAAGTAATCAATTTGATACATTAGATTTGATTTAATAATTAAATAGTTTAAATTTTTATTATTTGCACTGTTTGCAATGAGAGTATCTCGATTAATTTGAAAATTCAAGCCGTCAATTGTATTGGCTAACCTGCCTGCACAGGCTTATATCTAAATCCGATTCCCCGCAGCAAGATTATTACGCTTGTTGTTTCATGTGCAAACAACAGCGTCTAATTCGCGTGATGAACAACGCACACTCGCCGCTCCTTTCCACTTCATAGTAATCGTTCTGATGGTAATTATTGCGCATGAGTGGCAATTAAAGAGGTGTTTTCAGTAGCAAGATCCACACCGACTAGGTTCAAGCAGGGTTAGCATAACTACTGTATATCCAGATTCCAGATTTATTACATTTAACTCCACCATGATTGTTTACTGTGATTATTTACAATGCTTGTTTTTTTGTCTTGCTTAGACGATGTCGGCATATATTATTAGCACGCATATATTACAAATATTTTTTTATTCTCTGTATACTCATGATGCAATTTGAAATTATCTGTATTGCACATAAAGTATTTCCAGTAATTATAAGGCAAACTTACAATTGTTGGTTGACACTGGTTTTCAAGTCAGCAGTAAAAGGATACTCTGTATTATCGAATCGGCTTTTTATAAAACATGCTAAATGGCAGATGAATTCCACCTTTCTTTCTTATACTGGTAGATGAATTCCACCTTTCTTATTTTCTTCCACCTCTGTACGTACACATGATATTCTACTTAAGCAAATTCAGGACTTGTTTTACATCGGAAGCGTTTTACTACTATGTTTAAACGTTGGTTTATATACCGTTCTGCCAGCTTCGTATTTCTCAGTAGTAGTGCACATTTGTTTTTAGTGTAAAGGGAATGAGAGGAAATATGTTTTGTCAGGGCATGCAGCACAAAATATCGTAAAGTGAAGTGCACCGAATTAAACTTGGACAAAAAACAAAAAAGTTAAACTTTAATCTATGTAATCAGTTAACAAAGAATTTTCAAACGTTGGTCCTTCCCAAATACGCTAATCGTTCTACAAACACTCAGCGCGTGCAGGACCCTGGCGAATGCCTGGACATCTTGTTCTTTGTGCGTTGTGCAAGCTATTTAGTAACCCCTAACCCGATATCTGCAGTTTTGGAGCGTATCCTTCTTTAATGTCTCTGTAATGGTAAAACACACAACTTCGCAATAATTACAGTACATGTACTTGTATGTACTTTGAATGGTGCCGACAACGTTTCCCATGCAATCTCAGCAAATATAACTAATTCCGCAGTTTACGACTCTTGTAGAACTGTTTCATTTGTTGCGGTAAAAATAATGAGTATGCGTATTAGACGTAATGTACCCGGGCGTCTTCTCAGTTAATATTACAAGTTTGTCACACGGAAATACATTAAAAGTTACTGGCAAATGTTTGCAGATATCTAATTACAATTCAGGGGATGCGGACAAACTGTCGTCTAGTACCACCCTGATCCAGATGACGCCTCCATCATGGTATCCAGCCAAAATCTTGGAATACTTGGCATCCACACCAAAAACCTCATCGGTGGCCTACGTAACCGCCAACGGCGAATGTGACAGGACGACCTTTTCACTATGGCGTTATTTTGCTAATTTGTTTCATGAATTTGTGGAACTGCCCCGCAAAGGAGCTGCCCAGGATTTCTCAATAAATTCTAACCGTAATTATACTCTTACATAACACACAACACCGCTGCGACTCTGTACATGGTGTACATGAGTCGACGTTTTCCATCTTTGACACTAATACCACGGATTAAATTTCAGGTGTATTCGGATGCCTTGGTAGTAAAACAATATGTGATCTGCCTGTGATGAACCAAAAAAGGAGTATAACGTTATTTATTAAGGGTATAGTGGGGAAATTCGATCTGGAAGGCGTCCTGGAGAGTGCTGTTAATCTTAAAAAGACGATTAGAGCCATGTCTGGCGGCAGTGTCTTTGTAGCGGCTTACGATAACAATGCCAACCATACGGATTCCGATATCCATGTAGGTCGAATGCCTATACAACTTCATATTGAGGATGCGGTTTCCGTTTACACTCCTAGACAGTATCGTTTTGAAGAACAAATCCCTACAGACAGCATTGCGGCCAGATTCGTGTAATAATCATTAAATTATATATTGGGCCATAATGCGTAATACAGCACAGGTTACAACAGGAGAGCGCCGCTTTTCTAGCGTGTAACCTTTTGTGTGCAAGATAATTTTCAAATAAACCACTATGCAAAAGAATGCCCTTGGGAGTGGATCGGTACCACGCGTGGGACGTCCGCTGACAGATGGCTGCAGCGGACTGCCCATCCGCCCATTGCATGCTTAGACCTGCGCATTGCAGAAATTGAAAGACATAAATTACGAAATGTTTATGCGTGCCGACGTAGATCGCAGGACACCTCTATCGCGGTATATCATCCTACTTCTACTGAAGTGTTTAGAGCTGAAGACATAATGTTCCTAGAGTGTACAAAACTTTTGATATAATGATTATAATTTACAAAATTATAAAGCGCGCATAAACAAATCAGTCTAGAATTCACATTAAAATCGCTTACTACGATTATTTCATTTTTGTTTTGCATTTGCCGCAAAACGAAACAGATTTGTGTTCATCTTGGAGTGCTCTAGCACAGAGGTATCTAAAATGTGGATGATTTTAAATCATCTGCAGTTTTGAGACATCTGAATTCCCGTTTTGAATCATCTGCAGCATAATAATTTTATTCAGGACATATCAACCATTAAAAATTGCGGGAAATAATTTGATATTTTATTTCTTTGAGTATCGCCAGCTGATCGAATATTATATCGGAATTCAAAATATCAAACCGAGGTTCAATATCAAAGAAGCTATGCTACACAGTAATGGTACCGGTGTCCATTTTTTGTAGTAAAAATTTAAACATTAAAAATAAACTAAAATCTCTATGCCCTCGAGTAGTGAAAACTTCCATAATGAAAATAAAACAGACTTCTGTAGTGAAAACAATGACTTTTACGAACAATAGATACAGAATGTATGTGTGAACTGTATATTGAACTTTAAGTTAATATCTGCTGTGATATATATGCCTTAATTAAGCAACCGATTTTGCATAATGCACGATCTGCATTTGCTAGGCGTTGGAGATATCAGAGAGTAAATCTTTGTCCCTGCATCTTTTGGAAGTTTTATCCGCTGACAGGGAATTTTTGAAGAAATCTTTGGAAAATTCCACAATTTTGAGCCAAAGTTTGCCGAACGGAAGTAACATCTTCTACATAAATTCAATACACGTCAAACTTCCAAATTGGATTTTGGCCGCTGTGAAACTCAACAACGACAGCTCCATTTTTTTGGATACTAAAAAGGATGTCATCGTGGAGTCATCTGCGGAAGAGAACTGCAACTTGCCCAGCTGTTTTAATATTGCCCAGGGTATAAATTTTAAAGTTATCAGAAATCGCAGTTCGAAAGAATCATCAGATGATAATACTTTAATGGAAATCTACTTACCGATTGGTGTTGGAGCATTTGTGCTTGTCATCATGATCCTGCTGGTTACGGCCTTATTGCGGTACGTGGAATATATATTTACACTGCAATATGATTACGCATCGGCATAATACAGAATAGATACGCGAGCGTACATATCCTGACCATAATAATTTTACCGTGATGTGTTGATTGAGTTATGATTCTCGTAATTACATTGCAGAAGGAGTTTAATTAAGAAGCGGATAGCTAAAGAAAAGGTCAAATTCTACATTGACAACGAAGATCTGACGCCGATTAATAAGCGCTCCAACACAACGCTCTCCGTCAGTTCCGCTACCAATTCCCGGCAGGCCAACGGGTATTTTGGTCACGAAGGAGGAAAATCGTTTGCATCATTGAAAACGGCTGACAGTGATCTGGCTACTGAGCTTGGCTTAGCCAGCGGAGATAATTATGCCAAACTTAATGTACTTATATTAATATTAAATTTTGTGGAACATATGTATCTAATTTATACGCGTTGTTAATTTGGGTTTTTTCCAGGGAGACGTGGTATTCTTGCGGTACATCCGTACGAAAAACCTCCAGTTGAGGGGCACGGTCAAACAGTTAATCAGCAATATGCGCGATTTACGCGGTGATAATATTAACGGATTTTTGGCGTTTTTCGTTGGTTGCCACACACCGTCGTTCCGGCCGCCAGCGGTAGTGTTTGAATATTGCTCAAGGGGAAGTTTGATGGATCTGATTGATAAGGAAGAAATTAAGCTGGATTGGTCGTTCAAAGTATCCTTCCTCAGTGATATTGTCCGTGGTCTCAAGAGTATCCATAATAGCTCAGTTAGGTTTCATGGCCGATTAACCTCGCGAAAATGTGTCATAGACACGCGATGGACCCTGAAAATTACCGATTACGCCATTAATCGGCTAGAGTATTTGCAAAATAACGAAAAAACGGGCATTTTTATGGCGGATGAGCATTTGTACTGGACGTCACCGGAAATGCTGCGCAATGATATGCTAATGCGGGAAGGCACGCCGAAGGGTGATATCTACAGTTTTGCCATTATCATGCAGGAGCTCATACTCCGTGGGCGGCCGTTTTGCACGTCGGAATTGACCGCCTCCGGTAAAGGTCATGGAATTACTTCTTTATTCGATGCTTGCCTCAGTATTTGTACACTCCAACAATTCAGATTAGTGTACTTATACTCGTACCAAAAGTCTTAATTAATACTAACGATAAACTTCTGAAAAATGAGTAATTTATCAACCAAGCGTGTTTTGTAGAAGTGATACAGAAGGTCCGACATCCACCGCCACTTCTCAGACCACATGTGCCTAATCAAACAGCACAGCCAGAAGCAATTATGATCATGAAGGAATGCTGGTCAGAAAATCCCGAAATGAGACCATCAGTCGATGAGATTATAAATAAATTCAAGGCACTAAACCAGGGACGGTAAGTTTATATGTAATTCCGCAGCATGTTATTTATTGCTATCAGCTGTAAGAAAGCCATGTTTTCACGTACACTATTGGTTTAATCACTTTAATTACGAGTAGTGTAAATCCGCGCAGGAGTGTTTGTATGGATAGCGGCTATTGCCGAATAAAAAATATATGGTGGACTACTAATTTACAAAAATAGGTAAAGAATGGCGACATTTACGCGGAAAACTGCTTGCTGAATTTGTTTTTGTTAGTATACAAAGACCTCGAAATTTCAAATCCCACGTTTTCATTACGAAAACACATTTTACCCTGGCAAGTACAAGTACTTGCTAACTGTGGGAATTTGCCGATCTGTGTGCGTACGTGAGTAATATTAAAATAATGATGATTACATTTCAGCAAAACAAATATTGTGGATTCCATGTTTGCAATGCTGGAAAAGTACAGTAATAATCTCGAAGAACTGATCCATGAGCGTACAGAGGAATTAAACGAAGAGAAAAAGAAAACGGAGCAACTACTTTATCGCATGATGCCACAGTAAGAGCAACTATGCAACTATCACAAATGACCTTTTGGTGCTGCAGCCTTATACACCGGATAATTAATACGCGGGATACATCCCCCTCGTTGATTACCGGGATATGTATATACCACTGCTAGTTATTTTCGAGTAGCGATCGATATTTGGTCTCTGAAAGCGCATTTCGTTTGCATCTAGAACGGTAGCAGAAAAGCTGAAAACCGGACAGCCTGTTGAACCGGAAACATTTGCTGAAGTTACCATTTACTTCAGCGACATCGTCGGCTTCACAACCATCTCAGCCTACAGCACACCAATGGAGATTGTCAACCTGCTAAATGATCTCTATTCGTTATTTGACACGACGTTGTCATTCTACGATGTTTACAAGGTATGCTGCGAATTATTACCGCATACCTGTGTGCGATGTGCATGAAATCGTGCAGAATATACACGTACTAATTATATTCCTAATTGTGAGCGCTCCCTTTGGTATGTCTGGAGAATACCGGCTTTTCATGTCGCCTTATGGCGGACAAACACCGGAAGTTCATTAGCCTGTTAAGCAGTGATTAAGCCTTTTTGTGGTGACACAGGTGGAAACTATCGGTGATGCCTACATGGTAGTAAGTGGACTTCCGGTCACCAATGGAGACAAACATGCGGGAGAAATTGCGACGGTTGCACTGGAATTACTTCATCAGTGCGGAAGATTTAAAATTCGCCATTTATTTGAAGTGCCACTTTTCTTACGGATAGGCGTACATACTGGTATGGTTATGTAATGAATACCGCGTAACTGTTTTCTCATTTTCTCTAATTTCTCATATACAAACAGTGCTATACTGAGTATAGCACAGGAAAGACTTATAAGCAAGTTAAATAAGGACGAGAAAGTCAGTAACTGTGCAGGTACAAGAATTAATTTTAGATATTTATTTTGTAATCATACGTGAAGATGCTTATCAAACCGCTTTTGAAAACAACAGTATCTACTGACAAGTGAGGTACGTATTTAAATTAATTTTTTACCATAGGTTCTTGTGCGGCTGGAGTTGTTGGATTAACCATGCCTCGATACTGTTTGTAAGTTTGTATGCATTTGCAATACTGAAGTACTTGTACTACTCTATATAAATAGGCGAACTGTACTATACTGTAGGCGAAATCATACCATATAAACTGGCTGTATCATTGTTTTTAGCTCTTGCGAGCGTATCATTTCGTGCACAGCATTAATTACAAAACAAACTGCTTTATTATTTATTGTACGCTTTTTAGATTTGGGGATACCGTAAACACTGCATCTAGAATGGAATCTACCAGTCGCGCTTACCGTATTCATCTAAGTGATACAGCTCATAATTTGCTGGAAAAACTTGGTGGTTACCAAATGCAGTTCCGGGGAGTAACGCAAATCAAAGGAAAAGGCGGTATGAATACCTACTGGCTTTATGGAAAAGATGGATACGATAAAGTTCTTCCTGAACCGGCGCCGGACACAGGAGAAAATCATGGGTATTTTTATGGCGTATACAGGCTTACTTTTACGGTTTCGTGCATCCCATGCAATATTTACTGGGAAAAAATACTTTTTTATCATTTTTGAAGGCAAAAATCACTGAAAATATACGCGTCGAACAAAAAATTTTGTAAAATATTGTATCAGTCAGATGATACAGCTATGCAGCTGTTAAGTGATAAGAAGAAATCAGAACAGAACTACAAAATATACGCAAGATTTTACGTTGTATACAGCATTAGGTATTATTAAAAATAAGGTGAAAAGGCAGTCTTTAGTCGTAATGGATTCGTATTAAAACAAGTTAAACAACCCTTCTACAAGCTCACACAAATCGATTACGTATGCTATTCCGACGTAAGACTTTTCACCGTATTGTTTTTATAGCATTGATGAGAAGCTTGTGATCCGTGGACGCGAACTACAGAAACTGCGGGATGCGGAGGCCGAAGCACACGACAACGACAGCCAGAAAGCGGATCATCATGTTGAGATCACTCGCAGGGAAAGTGCAACCAGTAGGGTTACCATGAAATTGTGAAGAATGATAGTAACCGGTTCTATATCGTAGCTCTATGATACAAATGCCCTATTCCAAAGGGTAATCTTCTAATTTTTTTACAAATAGTGCCTGTTGTTTTATCTTTAATGTAAAGTTTTCAGCTGGATTTCAAATCGTCAGTACTGTGCTTACATGTCAGCTCATTTGTATATTAACACATTTAAGTTCAGCAACATGTTTACGGTTATTTCTAACATTTCTAGTTTCGGGATTTTGTAATCTCAAGGCAGGCGATTGGAAAATAAAAGTATGATGACATGATGGTAAACTCTTAATTAAGTAAAGCAGTGCTACAGGCAGCAAACGTTCCCTAAATTTATGCAAGTTTTATAGTGACGAATCTTATTCCTTTGGTACACAACGATGGAGAAAAATGACAGCACTTTAAACTTGCAAGAATCGAACAGAACGTATTTCCCACCAGAACACCTATATATGCTCAACACCGACTGCACACACACCGGAATAAAATAATTTACAACCAAGAAGGAAGCACGAGAAAAATAGGAAGATTACAAACTCAAACTGGCCTGACTATTGTTTCCGTCCGAAAAAGAGCCGTTTTTCAACGCATGAACATCTTTGGCTTTCTTCTGGTCTCGGGTGAAATAATGCACCAACTCTACGATATTTTGACAGATGGCCACAATATTCTTCATAACGAACAGGGCATTGGTGAACTGATGATCCGTCCAGAGAAATACACGGATAATTAAAAACGGAATATTGCCGAACACGGTGGACAACACCGTCTGCAGTACATAAAAATTTTCTCGTGGTTTGGGCTGGTTAAAGTTCTGAGCGCTCAACTGGTACAGGCCGATGGTCGGCAGGATTAAATTGACGCAGGAAAAGCCCAGGATCAGGTCAGTCACAAACACCGGGACCATGAGGTTATGCTCCGCCGTAAAAAGGATAGTCAGGAATTCCACACAATCGATGATTTCAATCAGAACATGGCACTGCATGAATTTTAAGCAGGTTTTCTGGGAAGGCGTAGGATGACGCTCACGACCGGCAATCAAGAAGGCAAACACCCCGACAGTACCTAATAATATACGTTATGTAAGCTCTTTCGGGGAATTCCAGATGAAACCGCAAAAGGTCAACATAGGCATTCCATTGTACAGTCTAGCCCGACATATTATAAGATCCCGCGCTTTTCACGCTTAAGCACTGTTTATAGCCCCATAGATACATCATACAGGTATGGCAGAGCGCTTGATTCTAGGAACTTTCTATAGCAGAGAATTACAGATACACGTCACTTACAATTGTCAGAAAGTAATTGAACGCCTTTTTGGTGACTAGTGATAACTTTTCATAAGAGTATAAAAAATAATAAACTTGTTTTAAAATCGTGTATGCAGTAATGCGACTATGTTCCACATTCTGTACAAATAAAGCAACCACGCGAAAGCCCCCCTCAAAGTTACAAAAACCACAAATAGTCCTTAAATACAATTTAAATACCGAAAGACTCCTGATTAACAGCGGCTCATATACTGTAATCATATTTCATCCACCCTTATATTTGAATACAGTGTAAGCGTTTTAAATGTGAATAAATTACCGATTAAAGGTACGATAACTTTAATCTGCCATTGTCTCACGGAGAACGCAATCGACAGTCCTGTTGCTCCTGCACACATGCTCTTGCAGCTTACCCGTTATGACAAACTCGAGCAGATTCGTTCCCCAGTCGTCCTCGCCCGACAGATCCGGTCCGAATGTTTTGAAGATGACGACAATCTTCAGGACCAGGAAGGCGGTGTACACAAACCACGACAGGAAAATGCAGGGCAGCAACCCCGGAACTCGGGGCCGGCCATCAACACGGCGGCTGCGGCGATTCTCGATGTCCTGCTCCAGCGAGGCAAACCGGGCAAAGTATCGATGGGCAAAGATGAAAGAGAAGATCATTACTGACACCGTCATGATGTCCGCCACGATAAGCGCGATCCATTTGTCACAGAGCTTGGAGATGATGTAATAGTCCAGGATGATCGCTTGGCCCAGGAAAGCAACAATGCTGAGGATACGGGTTATGACGACACGCATGTTCAGTCTGGAGGTACTGGAGAAATAAAATTTAAAAAAAACGTTGAGCCCTTTGGAAGCAAGGATGTTCAGGAAGCTAGTGTGCAAGAATCACCGTCCAAAATGCTCCATCGTCGGCAGTTTGTAACTTGTCAGAATTCGTTGACTTGGACTTTTTTGTGCGTCAACGTTTGTAGTTAAAAAACGAATTAAAGAAGCAACTGTAGCATCCGTGTTTTTGTTTCAAGCGTCACTTAGCGTGCATAATAAATCCGTGTACCGTACGAGTACTACTTCAGCGGTCAGCGATCTAGCTGGGTCCAGTTGTACTTCGGTCGCTAATGTACGTACAAGCGCAAAAGCAAACTGCAGTCAGTTAAACTGTTAAAGTAAAATTAATAAAATTAAGTAAGTAAAATAAAAAGTAAAATAACTAAGTAAAATTAATACTTTAATTACAATTACAAGCAACAGCCATCAAAATTACAAAATTGCAAGCGGTACAAAATCAAAATTACAAATCAAAATTACAAAATTGCAGGCACACTACTCACAGTTAAAATTTAAGCATTAAAAATCAACTAAAACCTCTATCCTCCCGTAGGTTTATAGGTAACGCACATAACAAGATGCTTAATACTATGTTATTAATTTTTCTTACAATAATAGTATTCAACTTCAAGTACATACTGTGCAGTTTTATACGTTTTCCGAACCTACATTACCAGTCGTGAAATAGTGTAATAATTATTTTATTCAAATAAAATGCATATTTTATGACTTTAACAATAACTTTATCAATCTAGCAATTAGCGAGCGTACGGAAAGTCAAATAATTATAGGTGGGTTGACGAGCATTGATGTTAGGGCGCAGCATTTTTCGCTTTTATCATAGTATAAGTAGTCTAATAATACTCTGGTCGACCTGCTCCTCCTTCTCCTGCTACGCACTGCATAGAAATAGTAAAATACAGCAATTACAATATTCTGGCGCCACTAACTGGTCTTTAATGATAAAAGTCGCCTTTAAAAAAAAGCCTGTTTTGTACAATATCATGTTTCAATCAGTTCTGACAATGTGAAGGCAAATATTAGCCGAAACAGCCTTTCGTATGACTAACATCGCAAAGTTTAGTATGCACTATGCAGATTACTTTGCAATTGTATTGTCACCACGCCCTATGGTCAGGCACTCCGCTATAATCACGAAATTTAGGGAAGTATCAAGTTGGTGTAATCTAAGTAGCTTCAACCGTCTTTTCTTTCAGTTTCCGCCAGTATTTGTCTACGTCCACACCTTCCCAATGGGTCTGTGACAAAGGCAAAAAATACCTGCACAAAGAAAATTTGTTAGAAAACCGCCCCGATTTCAATACTTTAACAAAAGTGCTTTAAAAACGAATACGCAATCGATGGTACACTGGAAGACATTGCAACTAAACAACCGGCTTGATGTCACATATAATTTTTGTGTTTGCATTTCTAACCTCTCCGTAATAGAATCAGCTGTACTCTGTTCTTCCGTTGTAAATGGTTCTGTCACTGCTTTAACATTTGCAGAAACAATTTCCGGCCTGAAGTAAAATTAACGGTTCATAACATTGTCAAATACTGAAATGGAGACTGTGGTACAGGCAACATCCCTAATGCCTTCAAATAACGTTGAGAAATTTATTATTTTTATTTCGTTTGCGCAGCTATAACAACGCATCACTAAAATACTAACCATTACTTAACAATTTTATACTTCGTATTAATAATAGCATATTGTCATAAAAGTTAGTCGTTTAAAAAATGACGAAAATACTGATATCTCAAAGTATTTGTCTAGATGTTGCTGCATTATAGTACTGTTAATAAACAGTTACACCAGTTCAAATTAAAACATACTTTTAACACTGAAGTAAAACGGAAATAATCTGCATGACTAACCTTTCCATACTGATCAAAGTTGTTGCCACATCTTTGGAAGCATAGCATTTCTTGAGAGCAAGAGTTCCCAGATCAAAACCACGATTCTAGAATGATATTCCAGTTCAAAGCGGACGGTGGAACAAAGTATCGGTTTACGATTCAAGTACATAAAATGGACGCATATATAAATATAGATATTTCCACCTTCTAAGGCCATGAAAATCTGCGGTGAGTTTGTATTTAACAAGATTTTAATAATTTGCTTTACATACTTTGGCGTCCCTAACAGCATCCCTACAGACTTCTTTAATGGAGTCCTGTGCAACGTGCCATTGTGGCGGCCTCTCTCGGACAACAGTCCCATACAAACCGGTGCCGCATTCAGTATTCCGATGTCGCGCTCTTGCAATTCAGCGATTATTTCCGCCAAGTCGTTATTCAAAAGACCATAACGGCAATACGATAATACCGTGTCGATCTTGATTCGGCTTCGTTTTACCACTTCTCTACAACGAAATCAACTTCACAGCAATTTGAAGACTTCTAACATCTCACAGGTCGGTATAGAACACTACATAAAATCAGTAACAGTGCTTATACATCCAGCATAGACTTGAAAAAGTTTAGTGTTATCGTGATTTTTACGCTCATCAAAATTGTTATACAAATTTTTAAGTATAGTACCGGAATAAAACGCGTACAATAAGGTTTTTACGGGATAGCCGGTGATGCCTATAAACTTGGCTTTTCCTGATTGTCGCACTTTTTCTAAGGCTGGAAGTGTTTCATCTAAAATTATGTCCATACTAGGAGCAAATTCCAGATCGTGTATCTAAACGGAAACAGCGTTTAGAAATGCATTAACTTTTAAATATTCGGCATTTTTTGGTTTCCTTAACCAAATCTAAAAAATGCTGTGTACCATTAAAACCGTTTACTTGTATAACATCCACGTAAGGAAGCGCAAGTCGTTGTAGACTTTCATCTACACTAGCAATAACTCTTTCCGCTCGGAAATCAAACATTTTGGTCACTTCTGGATCGTAGCGTCCTACTTTGGTGGAAATGTAATAAGCATTCCTGGGCACAGTTGCCAAAGCCTATAAAAACACCGCAAAAGATTAAGACAACCATATGACTCCTTATATGTTTTCCACACAACAAGTGTTTTGTTATATCATCAAAAATGTGGTAAAAAAGTTACCTTTCCAAAGATCGCTTCGGACCTGCCACTTCCATACCACGGTGCAGTATCGATGTAATTCAATCCCAATTTTAAACCCAAATGAATGGCTTTAACAGCCTAAAAAATTAATAACTCGTGTGATACGTCGCTCATTCCGCTTTAAATTTCCACTCTTACAGCGTCCAATATTTATTATTGTTAAACAGTGGGCAGATCATAAATACGTGAGCAAGTTAAAGTCAGTTGAATTTTTTGCTTAACTAGCTAATGTTTTTGCTTACCTCGCTCTCGTTTATAGACTCATAAAACCCGCCAAAACCTCCACCACCTGGAACAATAAAGAAGTAGGTAGAGGATTACACTGACCGGTGAACAGACCGCTTTAAAATGCAAGACGCAAAACGGTTGCAAGTGCACTGTGCAACGATACGGTAATTACGGTATATAGGCAAATACAATCAGCCGTAGTAAATATAAGTATCTAACATTATTTAACTTATAATATCAAACGTTTTGTTATAACTATTATTGTTAATTTATTCTAACAACTGAAAGTACAGTTTTATGGAGTTACTCTTACTGCAGCAGGTTTTACAATTGAACGGGCTGATGTATGCATTTGTTTCTAATGCAAATTAAAATTTTAAACGCAGACGAATGCATATAGGGGCGAAAATGTATGTCACCCGCCCGGAGTGTGACGTTACGGCAGTACATATGGTTAAATCTGGCGCGGTACGTAAGCGCCATGTTCAGCCACAACGTCAAACTCCAGTCGGGTGACGGCAGCAGTACAGGGGAACGGTGGAACACGTTTACTTTCGCCCCCTATATTTATACTATTCCTTTGCGTACCAAATAGACTGACCATGGGCTTGTGAACACACAACCGACTTTTCGGAATGAGTTTTTAAGAGAGACTGATGCTTACCGATACTTAAGCCGGAAATGCTGAGCTCAGTGCTTCCCAGACGGTTGTAGCGCAGTTTTTGCACGGTCTCCGCATCGTGGAAGCCGTCTTGAAACGTTGCCGGATATCTGTATTTCATTATTTTAAAATGGAAAAATTCTGTAAAGCAATAGAAATACGGTACTCATCCTACAGCGTCATAACCTGACCTGCTTTTATGGTCAGTCGAGGGATTCCCATTTTCAGATCGAGGAGGCCTGATACTGTTACTCATTGCACTGATGGCGCAAGCGAACGGAGCGGGTAGTGTACATAACAGGGCAAAGTTGAAATTTTTCAAACTGCTGCATGCAGCTGCATATGTTGAAGACGGTGCCGATAGCATTATCAGCAATATCTGTTTTCGTTTTTATCGGTAGCTTCAGGCGAATTTATTACCTAATGCTCGCGTGATTCTGGGTAACTACCTTTCTCGCTATAGAATTATTGTATCATTTGTATGTGTGTAGTAACGGAGCTTTGCTACAATACGAAAAACGAAACTTGTGCTAGCTGCGTAACGCAAGCGGCTGTTTTTCAAAAATTTGTAACCCCCCGCACGTTACCAGGGGTTGGAGCACGCATTCCTTTCACAAGCTCGGCTCGCTGCACCCCCAAAGCTGATTTCTTTTGCAGACTTTCCCTTTGCTCATGATCTGTTTTGCAAATTTTGCGTTTCGCGGTTGATTTGATCTCGCTTTCCAAATTTTTTTAGTTTTTGCTGTGTTGTTTTCCTTTACGATTTCAGTATTATTAGGAGTTTCACGAGTGACCGTAGGATGTTTCTATGTCGTCATACTGGCTCTGCATACTGTGTGTACTATCTGAGCATGGATCTCATATTTATAATTATAGCACTTGGATTTTGATACGCTGTTGAGTGTATAATGTTTGGCACACACGAGACCGTGGAACCATGGACTGGAAAGAACTCTACGATCTTTATCTCCGGAACATGCGCGTCCGCGTTGAAAAATGGGCATACGTGCACGGACGCTTCTGTGCAGGACATCCTTATTCCATCATCTTCCTGTCGATATGTACCTTGGTATTGTGTTGGTAAGTCAAGTAGGCGCGATTCTGAACGGCGACGTAAATGCTCAGATCAGGGAATCGCTGGCACTTGCTATTTCTCGTATCCCGCTATTCGCAGTTTTTTTCTGCTTTCAGCTTACCCCTTACGAAGCAACCACTCCCGGGTTATGCGCCAATCGAATTCGTCACACCCATCAAGGAGTTTGCGGTTCGCATCGACGGCAGGACGTCGTTATCTGATCTTCCCGAATGGGTACTGTTAATAATAATTTATTAATAAATAACATTCTATTATTTATTGGTATCGTTAAAGTAATGCGGTAGAAGTACTAGTAGTCTTGTCTGCAGCCTGTCGACTGTCTGCATATTTAATGTCAACCGTGCTTGTTGTTCTTGTTTGTTTATGTCGGTGTTTTGATTTTTTTATTGCTTGTTTTAGATGTGCGTGCAGAATTTAGTTTTGCTGTAAAACATTGTCGACTTTTTTTAAAAATAAAGTGGTAGGGTGATATGAAATATTTCACTATATTTGACGGCGGCTTTTAATAGCTCGGGCAGGGACGAATTCCGGAAGCGTATGTCCAGCAGATTATTACAACCGCTCAGATCTCACATTGGACTAATGATTTGATACCGATCGATGCGGTCCGAACGCCACTGGGGAAAGTGTTCGACATACTGCAGTTCCTTCAGGCGTTCAACATGACGACATCAGGGAATGGACAAGCTTTACGTGACCAGTGCTATGTTGCTGGCAACGTGGCTTGGAAATATCGAAGATACGGATTTCTTCCGGAAAGTGAATGTCTAATTATTTCCCCAGCTAATATCTGGGATTTGGATAGGACAAAGTAAGGAATGCTTGCGCAGTTATTTCGCACAAAAGAAATTGTGATGGTGCTATAGGAGTTCTGGAGTTCCGATGCTTTTATAATTTGTGTGGTGTGATTTCGCCACTCTCGGTGAAGCACCGGGCCAAGCAGAACAACGGTTTCTTTATTTTCTGGGGCTTTTTTAAAGCAGCTGCATCAGTTTTCTTTGCATCTGTTTGTTCGAATTGCAGGTATGATACCGACTCCGATATTCTCGGAACCATTTTTGCTCATGAAAAGCGCACTACCATAGATTCGGCTCCCGGATTTAAAGGTACGTACGGAACTGTACACAAACTGTACAATTTGTGCGATTCGATCCAGGCATTACAGTTTTTTAAAATTATAATTCTGACATAATTACAGATCTGGCGTTTGGAGTTCCATGGTCAGATACTGGTATCCGGCCACAAATATTTGGATTGCGAAAGCGAAGTGTTGGATTCGCCATTACTGTGATCCTTCGTGTATATGATCCTCAGTAAGCTGATATGTATTTCTATAGATTATAGAAGTAATATATGGTGATTATTCCATGAAATATTCGTTTTACTCAGTTTCCTTACATTTTTTGTTTGCATAGTGGTGTTACTACCAAAATTTGACGTGCTTGTGTTTCAGTCTGAGCCGAAAACGATTTTCGATTTGCAGATTTCTGAGTGCCTTATCGTCGGCCATAAAAGACTTCTTTAATGTTTCTGAAAGCACTGTCGAACCCCCGGTCGACCACATCGTCCATATCAGCTTTCTGGCGTTTCCGGAATTGGTGCAGTTTCTGCCTTTGATCATGACTTACATTATTGTCCTCTTGTACTTATACTTTTCCGTCAGTGAGTGACAAATTTCCTGCTTTGTATCTCACATATTTATCTTATTAGTAAAATTGCTTAGCAAAGTTAGCATCCATTTCCTATCATCGATATAAGTTAAATTTTAATTTGTTTGGTACAGGAAAACTGGAAATGGTTAAATCAAAAATTGGCTTGGCCATTAGTGCAGTTGCTACCATATTTTGCTCTTTGGCTATGTCATCCGGATTATGTTCCTTCTTCGGATTGAATTTTACTGTGAATGGAGGGTATGTCTGACTCCGTCGACTAGGATTAAGTGAATTTGCAGCGTTTCAAGTGGCCCTAATCTTTAGGGAAATTTTTCCATATCTGGTTGTAATGATTGGCCTCGAGAATGTTATTGTGATTACAAAATCAGTTGTCTCAACGCCGGTGCATTTGGACGTTAAATATCGCATTGCTCAAGGTATGTTTTATGTCGATTGGCCTTACACCTACATTGTATCTGTGAAAACTGACTTAATAAAATCTTGCATAATGATATTTCACTTAATAGTGTTTCGCTTGTCATTATTGCATTTTTAATTTATGAGCGATTTTGGATGCTAGCGTACGTTTATTTTGACATAAATGGAATGTTTTTTGTTATTGAGGCATGCTGGAGTATGGTGAAATGTTATCTTTGCTGCGTTTTTGAAACAGGATTTAGCAGAGAAGCATGGGGAATACTTAAATATTTTCTTTCCGGCCTAGCCATTGCATCCATTGGCTATATGACTTATATACCAGCATTTCAGGTATGTAAACTTTTAACCTTCCATTACGGACGGGATTACGTTTGGGGAATAAGTTACTGAATGCTAGCTGATTTTTTTGCGTTTAGGAATTCTGCATGATGGCATTTGTTGGGTTGGTGGTGGATGTATATCTACAAATTTTTTTCTTCTGTGCTGTTTTATCAATTGACATTGGCCGCATGGACCTTTCCGATCATCTTAACCACCGTGCGGGGACAACTGCTTCAGAAAAATCCTATAAGGAGATAGGTTTTGATATCCCAGAGGTCCGTTGCCCGGTTTTGAACTGGTTGAATCGAACAAGTGGTCCGTCAGGGAAATTTGTTGTCGCTGCGACTAAATCTGAATCTAAGCAGATGAATCCAGTGGACCCACAAGCAGAAATACCGGACGTTCACACTGCCAGACGTGTGCGACTACTGTGGTTTCTCTTAAGCCGTCGCATTATGCAGCGTGCCTTCATGGGTTTTATCCTAGTTTGGACTGCTGTCTTGGTGTACCAGCTAGGTTTCATGGATGCTGTGCAGTCAGGACGTTTATGGGTGCGCGATCTTGGAAATTATCAGAAAGTGGATAGTGTGATTTTGGATAATATGCACAAATTATCGTACCGTCATTGGCCCACATTATTCGGCTACTATAATGTTAGTCTGTCGGGCAAATATATCAGCATCCTGCCGCCGATAAGGGTAGATATTAGCATTGCTCCTGAGGTGGCTGTGGCTAGTCGACATCCGTTGGATCATAAAAAAGCGCCTTGGAAAGATGAGGAATTCATGGCAAGACAACAGGAATACCTCCAGGTACTGTATCAGACAGATGCACTTGCATACAGTCTGTTATTTCCGTATGTAGTAGTTAATGCATAGATTTCTTCCAAATTGTCGCAGCGGTCTGAATGTTTTACAAAGATATATATATAATATTCAATTAAATAAATATAATATTCAATTACTTGAACTGCAGCACCTTATTTTTTGGAAGTTTTGTTGGTTTCTAAAAAGCAGAAGTCTCGAAACATTCGTTTACTGTGACTTGGTTCACTTATAATTTTGACTTGCAACTTGCAATGCATTGTTTATATTGAAGATGAATTAGAAGGAGATTCGACAAAAAAACTTTATAGATTCACATTTTGTCTAATTCAGTCATTTTTGAAATGCAGGGAAAACTAGCGGAACAAGATCTTTGGGTGCTGTTTATTTTGGGTGCATCCACCGGCTGTATGGTCTTGGGATTGTTTATGTATGCACTCCGTTCTTTGTGGCCCATTCACTTGATGTTTCCATCAAGAAACAAAGACCGCAACGCGATTCCGTCCCGGCCGTTCAAGGCGGATGTGCATGTTTACTGTCTACTGGAACATCCGCTGGCCATAACAAATATGATTGTGCATGAAGATCTCGTGGCTACTAGTTGCTGCGGCGGTCAGTTGCGAGTGTGGAACTGGAATGCGGTGAGTATTAAGTTTCTTCATCTCATGCTTGGGATTACAAAATTGCTTATGGTTTAGTTGAAAATTTGCCGAGCGTTCAAGCGGGTTATTACGCCATACACAACACCGCGAGGAAACGCTTTGAGGAGAATTTCGCCGAAAGATTTATGCATTGATCCAAAGAGACAGATATGGTCGCTGGCAATGCGAAAAGGAATTGTTGTGGCGGGTTGTGCGGATGGTATGATCGAAGTGTACGAAGTGGAAACGGGATTATGTGTTACGTCATACAAAACAACCGAGAATGGTATCAGTGCGTTAGGGTTCACCGGTTTGGAGGTGATCGCTGGGAGGGACAACGGTGTAGTGGATCTGATCGAACTTAATCGACTACAGTTGTTGGAACGATACACTTCTCGGTTACACTTGGCAGCAGTTGGCCGAGTCACTGTGGTGGATGAACGTGTTGTTACGGTTGGATACGACAACGTTATCAAGGTAATACTTTTTGAATACGGTGAATATTTGGGGATTATTTTGGTGTTGTAGTTGCATTTGGATTGGTAAAGCCTTTCGTAGTGTTTCGAAATTGTTTTGATTATCAGTAGCAAGTCTTATGCAGTTTTGGTTGCTGAATTATCACTTCCTGGTTGGTGTAGGTTATGCGACTTCCTGACTGGATATGTGTACACTCGCTTTGGGTTCCTTCCGGGTCTATTACCTCGTTTCATCTGGAGATGTTCCCGTTGGGGGCATGTTCGGGTTACTCTGATGGTAAAGTGCGCTTATGGAATTTGGAATCAGGGCTGCTCGTACGAGAGTATGGCTCAAAATGTGCTGAAGCAGTGAAGTGTGTTGGATTCTCGGATACAGCAGTTTTCGCCTTGTATGATGGCGGTAACATATGCAGCTGGAACCGAACCGATGCAATGGTCGTGCAGAACGTCACTTTGGTACGCCAGTTTATTTGACGTTGCTTTTTAAGGTTTATCACAGAGAAAGATTTTGACTTAATGGTAGTTATCCAGGTCCAGTCTAAAGCATTCTGAGTCCAGTCGAATGGTTGCCTTTTTTGTGTTAAATTTTATGTTCCGTTTACCATTCTTACTATCAGTAGCGTGTATCTCTTACTGGTTCAGCATGCACTGAATTTATGATGCAGATTATAACTTCTTTCATTTTGAAGGGGATGGGACGACTGGCGACGTTTATCTACAGAAATGAGTATTTATTCTTGGGGTCGGTTGGAGAATTAGCGGTACTTGATTGTCGCACTTTGGAGGTGGTTCGAACTATTTCTCTGGAAGGAAACGTTGCCGATTATATAGCCATTCCAGGAAAAATCCTTAAATTACCAAACTCAGATTTGATCTGTGATTACGGTCGACAAATGAGAGTATTACGGTTTGTCGATAAAACGAGATGACCTATTTGGCTTTTCAGTTTTACTTGTTATCAATGTGGGGTAAGATTACAAAAAACTTAATGGTCTTTTCAACTTTGTTGTTGTCTTTTTTGTTGAATAAAGTCGAGGCAAGTGTGGTCGGTCTCCATAGTAATTTTCATGTCATGTGACCTTTAGCCAGTGGTCACTTTCGTCATTGCCAGCGCATTTTAAAAAGCATTCGCCGGCTGTTGATTGGCACTATAAGGATTTAGACGCTTTGAGATTCAGTTTGATTTCGTACTGCGAAACAAAACGGAAAATCGTTTCCAGTAAAATATTAAAAACATATTTTTAACAATGCTTTATTAATAATATTTATTTAGAGCATTGTGTTCTTGCTGGAAGGTAAGACGAAGGGAAAGTCTGCACAACCGTTGACCCTTCCAACGACAGATACATCGTTGCTGCCCATGGATCGAAAAAAGCGATCCATCAAGTGCTCTGTCTGGAGATGTGAGGACAAAACTAGAAGCCGCCGAAATGATTATTGCTAGATTTATTTTTTCGGAAGCCATTAATAAACTACGGTTACTTCTCCCAGCGGACATTGTACAACAGGCCATGGAACGGAAGAGACAGGTAACCTGTAGAAAGACAGTGATTTTAATCTGTTCCTAAACAGTTTTATATCCGAACAAAGGTCGTCTTGTTTAAAACAATCTGATGGTTTAAAAATCGTGCAAATTATCTTTATTATATAATTACATTGTAAATATTTGCTAGAATTCCGTGGCAGAAGAGAAACAATTGGATTCCGGCGCACTAAGGGATATTTTATTGCAAGAATACCGATTTATGAATTCCAGTGCCGGACCATCGACGTTAAGTAAAGACGAAGCGGTGGTCAAGACGGCATTAGAAAAATTATTTTTAGAAAATGTTGCACTGGAGACCGACGAAGAAACAGCAGAACTTGGGCAGTGCAGTTGTCATAACACAAACGCACACGTATATAATTATAGCTAATTGCAACGTAGTTCGGCATTTCAGAACCGGACTTCTCAATTTATTTGCGGAAGTCCTGGATCATCTTCCCGATGCGCCTGAAAAAAGTCTAAGCTGCATAGCAAAGTATCTAAACGAATGGGAAGTGCTACATGGAAAATTGATCAAGCTGAACACTTCATGAAAACACAGCAGAATCCGGTGCAAGACGAATATGACATAACCGCTAACTATATCAAGGACCAGATGGAACATATTGAATCCGTAGTGAGCAGTGTTAAACGCGAGGAAGCCTTCTCGGAATCGGAGTTGAACGACCTGGAAGCGCGGGTGGCGGTGGAGAAAGAGTACATCGATGAAAGTGGCCGCGTGGCTTGTGATTTACAGTTGTGGAAGTCCGAACAAGCGGAACGCGCCGCACTGGACAAGGAAGCGTATAGTGTTGCCGTACAGTGCACTACGGACAACATGTACCAAGAAGCGGGAAGATTGTTCGATTGTGTCGTCAAGGATATGGAGGACCGGAAGTACGTGATGGAGACGGAATTTCGTCATATGGAGGAGCACCTCAGAGCGCAGATCAAGAAGCACAAAGAAGAACTGGCGTTTGGTTCAGAGTGAAATCGTGAAATCACAGGAACGAACCAGTGCCATGCAGACGGCAATTGGTGTGTGGAAAAAAGAACGTGCAGATGAGCTGGAAGAGAAAATGGAATTAGCACGCTTGTGGAATGCTGTTATTAAAATACAGCGATGGTGGCGCTGGCAGAGATGGAAGAAAGAGAGATTCGGTCGGAAAAAGAAAGGCACAAAGACGAATAAAAAACCCAACGTTAAAAAGAAATAAATCGGGATTGTGCAATCATTCTGATGCCTGCCGTATGCGCAGAACTTACAAGTTATTGGTCAGCAAATAATGAGTAAGGTCTTAATCAACATTTGCGGTTACCTTCCAGTGGCAATTACTTATCGCCCAATATTGCCAAAATCTTGATAAGTGTTGCACATGATAACGTCAGCTGATGTCCTTGAACTGCTGTTCTTATTTATGTAAGCATTGCTCGTACGTGTGCGTGCTTGTTATCGGCTAAGTACGTAATAAACTAAACCACGCTAATAAGCTTATATCAACAATAAAAAGGATGACGATGAAGAAAAATATAACTTACAAAAGGAATAGTTAGATTTCATTGGTTTTCTTTCTGGGACCGGGCAGAATGAATGCACGCGACTGACGAGAAAAGTTTAAGTATACTGGGTACGGATAACCACAAGACGAGCAGTTATTGCTGATAACGCAAACCGATGTCGTACAGTACAGTGTCAGAATGTATGCCGGTACGCTTAATACCAACATAATAATGTGCAAAATTAAAAGAAATACACGAATCCAACATCCACCATTAAATCCTGTTTCTTCCTGAATCATCCCGAAACCGAGGGCGCTAACGATGAGCTGCGCAAACGCTGAGAGTGACGACATCAGCATGATGGATAAGGTCCGTACCGGTGGTTTGGCCAAACCTGTCCAGCTGATGTATTCGCCGTACATTCGTTGATTTTGTGCGGTGGTAATTTCCTCGGTGGCTTGGATCACATTTCGGGCAGACCATTTTGATGAGATGACGATAACGGCACCCAGTAATACTCCTGGAAACCAGGAATCCAATACAAAGGAATTCGACCACAATATTATTGCTGCCGGCTCAATATCCGATGTATTTTGCACAGCTGATCGGCAGACATCGCTTCCTTCGTGGAACTGCCCATAGAATGTTAGCGCCGACACTAAATCGTGAACGTGATAATAATTATTATCATATAAAAAAATGAATATATGTACTGCCTTTTATTTGCTTACGTGTTAGCTTACCTGGAATTTGACAAAGCACTATCAATACTCCTAAAACGGATGCAATTTTTGTACAAGTCAAAACGGCCTGTAAGGACAACTGCTTTCCATGGGGGTTTTCTAATAACCGCTCTGTATGGTGCATTGTAATATGGTAATGTTTTATTTAAAGACTGCGAGAAGTTTGCATCTCCATTCAGCCGGCGAGTTGAACGATAAAATTGTAAGGAGTTATAGTTTAATTTACAGAGCGGTGTACTAACACATGTATATTTATATACATGCATTAGGCCTGCTAAAGTTCTCTTAAAATTAACAGGTGTATGTCATTAAAAACCACAACTTACTAGCTGCATAAGTGCAACCTCTGAATTCATACGGAAAGAGAAAATTGCTTTCGAGATAACTCATTGTGTTCCAGTGTGCGAATGACCTACGCATAATCGCGCCGATATATGTACAACTACACACGTATTATGTGGCAGCACAAGGAGATGTGATTATTAATTTGTAAATGTTGGACTTTTACTCTAATCGAATTTATCCGCTTTCAGTAATGCTCAACATCAGTCAAATGTCAATCCAACGAACTGGCATAAGAAATATAAACACATATACCGCCATAATAATAATAGTGTAACCGAATATGATTTGCATAGGACAGATACTTTAAACGTAAAAAAAAGTATGAGAGAATGTATTAGATGATTTCATACTGCTGGGGGAGCGTCTGAAGCCTTTAGTAATTCATGGAGTTATAAAGGCGATATTTTATGATGCACTTATGCTATTACAATGCAAAAACATAAGTACTTGCTAATTTATAGACAGCCGTGCAAGATAATTGCATTTCTTTGTTTTACTTGATTGCGTAAGCGTATTACAGGCATTCATAACTTATTGCTTTTGCTAAGTATAGTACATTAGTAACCTAAATAACCATAAAAACAATTAATTTTGTTGTCAGTTACTTGTAAAACTTCGTCTTTTGACACGCATGGGTTTGCAAGTTGCACAACATTATGCATTTTAAAACTTGAAATGATATCACTGGTTGGGAAATGAAACTGCATGTGCATGCAGATTTTGCGTTGTTTTCACCATAAGGAGAGATGATCCAGCTTCCAACCTTTGTAGATGTGTTGGACATCCCGACGGCATTTATGTGACTTAACAACTTTTGATTACTTAACTGTACCTTGGATTTATGTTTGTTTTTGCGCGTTTTAGTCTGACATGCTTAGCTAAGCGTGTCCAACGAGAAAAATAAATTTCAGGCCTTAACCTGTGTTCAGAACTATTGGTCTAGCCGGTCTGATACTATTACAGCGAAAAGTGACTTTCAAATTATTACCTATTCTGAGCTATATTATACGGCGCAATAAATTAGATAAGGTGAAAAAAATTCTATAATTCTTTGTGGCCGTATATAAAGCAAGTGTTGTTGGTTCGGCAAATAAATCGGTTCGGTTCGGTTGATTCGGTTCTCTTTTTGTAATACATAGTGCGAGTGTATTTAATACTTTTGCAATCTACAGTGTGTCCAGTAAAATGAAACAACAGCTTTTTATTGCCGGCGTCGTGTTCCTATGCGTGCATCATGGGATTAATGGAGACAACAACACCGGTCGTATATCACTCGTCACGGGAAATCAGAATTTGAACCCCCGGCATCCCAGTACAATGAGTGGCAGCAAGCTAAAGGCCATAGCGGTGCTGGTGCCGAGCAAAGACAGCAAAGTGTCTGGCACGATCACCTTTGATCAGCTGGCTGACCAAATGGTCGTCATACAAGGCAACATTTCCGGTCTCCCAGATGGTACGCAAAACTTTAGCAGGTTGATATCAACATATCATCCAAATGTAATTACCGTGTATGTAATATCACGATACCTTTTGCAGGAAAACATGGCTTTCATGTAAGCCTGAAACCATGATCAAGAGCCTAATAACAGTACCGCGTACTAGCAGAACTATTCAGCAAAATACACATAATCCGTTATACAAGAGTTGTTTCAAGTTCAATTCGCTAAAATACAGGTTCACGAATTCGGTGACCTTTCGGATGGTTGCACTAGCATGGGATCTCATTTCAATCCAGGCAAAGAAGACCACGGTGCTCCCAGCGATGGACAGCACCGGCATGTGGGCGATCTGGGCAACATCGAATCCAAGGGTTAGTACTTATTTACGTTCAGTTACCATACAAAGAATTTTTGGAGTACCCAACGGTTCCCAGTCTACAGTTTACCAAGTGATTTCTGTAAAATTTATTAACAGATGGTCAAGCAATCATAAACATCCGCGACCGGCTAATTTCTCTCTATCCCGGACTGACATCGATCATCGGTCGTGGCATTGTGGTGCATGAAAAGGTGGATGATTTGGGCAAAGGTGGAAACGCTGAAAGCCTGAAAACGGGAAATGCAGGGGCCAGGCCGGCATGTGGAGTGATTGGATACCGGAAAGGATCCGGATCGTAACGCTAATCAAATGTTTGGTTTCTAAACTCCGGTCTGATTGTTGTTGTGCCCGATACCTGGACTTTTCCATTTATGCAATTCTTCTGCCTTCAGTAATTACCAAGGCTGTTTATAGTGTGTGCACAGCAAAACAAGCAGCATCAGTTTTCTCATACTTTATTTTTATGTAATGGTATTTATTAAGGAGCTGCAGCTTCCTTACCAACGTTACAAGAAGGTAATAGGTAAACTGCAAAACTAAAAACGCTTAGTTTTATGTAGTTGTTTCAGCAGACTGCCTACCTTATCAATTATCGGGTAGATTACTTATTATACTTACGTTTATCCTAGGTACGTGTTATATAGATACTTCACAAATTTAAGCTAATTGCGGTTTCCACCAAACAAAATAATTATAGTAATGTACAATAGTTTAACGGTAGTCAAAACTCCTAATCACTTGAAGTTAAAAAGCAGCAGAATTTATGCAGCGAAGTCAAGCAAAGCTTGTAGACCGTCTGAAAGTTCGTAGACATTTTAGAAATTGTTTACCAAAAAGTCTGGTGCGCCGGTACATTTGACAGGGAATTAAGCGGTATATAATATCATAGCACGAATGATAATATTGTATATTGCTTCGATCAAGCATATGATCGGTACGAGTACAGTATACCATAGTATTGTATAAAACATGCGTGCTTTAATTAAAACTGTATAAAGTTCATGACAGTAGAGTGGATTTTATAGATCAGAATCCTCCATTCTATGTTAACAGACCGTGTGGGACATTTAGATTTAGTACTCGTACATACTGGCTGTTTCCTCGAAAAAACTACCGAGCTAATCCGAATAAAGCATCATCAAAACGATTCATAGTGAAGAGCGGACGTTAACAGGTGTTGCACGTACATGAGTAATTACTGATGTCCTTGCCAAACTGCATCATCATCAGTGGTTGCAAGCATTCACACTGCGTCAGTCCGACCCAGCCGCGGAGACGTACAGGTATTTGTTATACGATACAATATACACGGTTGTAAAATTTGAATCGGCGATTTCCTTCCGCGAATGCCTGGTGCGCTGGAAACTGCTTTATAGAGACGGGCAGGTTGTTTTAATGTTTGTCAAAAACATCTGTGCATAATAGCTGCGGGTGGAAATCGGAAGTCCAGTGTTTACACGCTTTGTTCCACTGTACTTTGGATTCGGAGACATCCTTATTGAGTCTGTCAGCTTCCATTCGGCTGCTGTTGCTACTCTCCGCTGGAAATTTGTAGTTCCAACCATTTGAAGCTGCATTTATTTTTCTCCATTTGGAACCAGCTGATGAAGTAAAGGGAGCTGATACCATGGCGCGTTCCGGCCTGCGATTATGTACCAGTAAGACCAGAAATTAATTTATACTTAAACGTTTTAACCAAGTTGTCTGGCGGTATGTTAAGCTGCTACGTTACACGTATACCACGTTCACACATTTTTGTAGTTGGGATCGTCGTGCACATTCTGATCAGTTGCCTGTGCATCCAGAATGCTCGGGCAGGTTTCTTTAGCTTCATCAGTGAAATGGCGCAAAGTGGCAACAAGAATTCCAAAGCTCCATCCTCACCCACCAGCGGCAATGCTAACAGCGAAATGACCGTACAGGACGCGGGCGACGACGATAGCGATCCCAAAGCGAATCCCACGGAGCCCCGCGGCGACGATTTCCCGAAGATGGTGGCCGGGGCGATTAAATCGGTGATGGAATACGAAGCTGTGAAAAAGGATGCGGCCAACGATAAACGTCCAACTTCAGTATTCTACGAAGGATTAGGCATGTACTACAGTATGTAGTAACATAATAATATCCATATGCATCGTCATCCATTTTTTAAATCAGACATCGCATACAGTTATACAATTACATCATACTTTTAAATTATCCATATGTTGATATTATTATAGGTCTATACATTTTATTATATTACTATATTGAAAATTAATTATACTACTAACTGCACAAACAGTGTTAGTACTCGTAATGATTTTTTCTAAAAAAAACTTCAGTAAACTTTTAAAAATTTCAGGATGGTTTTACCGAAATGGCACCCTTTCCAATCTGAACAAACTGCCGATGGATCCCAAACAGATGGGCACGAAATTTCTGCTTTACACTCAGCAGAATCAGTTGCAGCCGGAACAGCTGGATTACACTAATCCAGCAACAATTCAACAGTGCAGCTTCCGTGCCGGTCTACCCACGGTGGTCATTACGCATGGCTTCAAAACGTCCAAGGGTCAAGCGGGACTGCAATGGGTTATGCTGTTCGTTGATGCTCTTTTTCGCCGCGTAAGCAGACCTGTTTGTTTATTTACAAAACACATCGTTTAAGCATCGGTATTCACAGCTTGGCCAAGGTAACTACATTGTTGTGGATTGGTCCAATGGAGCACAGGCTCCAGACTATTGGTTTGCGGCCGCTAATACACAGTTAGTGGGGGCTCAGTTAGCCAAAATTATTGAGTTGCTGAGGTAAGTATTCGTAAAAGCTGTACTGCGTTTACACGCAGTGACGGTTACTTTGTTTTGCATTTTTTAGTCAAATTAAACAAGCCCCACTGAGCCAGTTCTCCTTGATGGGATTTTCTCTCGGCTCTCACGCATCGGGGTTTGCCGGAAAACGGTAGCGAAGAATGCCCTTATCCCTTTTCACAGAGATTTGACGCACGATTTTTCCTCTTTGCAGACTGGCTCATTTGGGGAAAGTTCAAAGAATTTTCGGTAGATACTAGTAATATTTCGTTGCAAGGCACTCGTGCAAACTAATGTACAGTGTGTGTCTTACGGTTAGTGTTGACCAACAGCTTCGCGAAGGAGTGCGTGACAGGGGTGATTTTTTGCAGGAATTGACCCTGCAGGACCGATGTTTGAGGTGTAATATTTTTGCGTACATGTCGTAAAAAAATTTTTTCACTTAACAACCTGGAAAAATGGTAGAAAGCCGATCCAGGTGGACGTTTAAGCAAAGGGGATGCCGTATTGGTGGTGGCGGAGCATGGTAGTGCCGATGGATTAAAGAACGGCGGATTGGGGATTTGGCAGCAAATTGGTGATGTTGACTGTAAGTGACTCCACACTGATCTCTGCGTGTTGTAACTGCAAGTGTGCAGAGGCCGTTGGTTCCACGATATGGTTTATTGTCAGGCACATCATAAAGTTTTCTTATTTTTTTATAGTTTATGCGAACGGCGGAAAGTAAGAAACCACGAGCACTTGGAAAACGTGGGCCTGAAAATACAGTTTGGTTTTATTGCTGTTTGAAGGGAACAACCAGGATGTGGAAACATGGTGTCGGCAACCGTTAACCAGCTCTTACATCTTAATTGTGCGTACGTTTTTGTGCGCTTATCGGTATCCATAACTCTTAGTGCTTTGCGCAACGTATGCCTGTAACGGCGAAATTGTAACTTCATGTATGTACAACTTTCGTTCGGATTTCGATTTGTTGAGGTTTCATGTTACAGTCAAGGGCATACCGGAAGCCATGCGCTGCAACCATGATCGCAACTGGATGTATATTCTGCAGTCCTTTGATCCGCAGTGCCAGTACATGGCCACGCCGTGCGATATCTTCAACCATATTTCCAATGGGCAGTGTTCGGCGAAAGCGAACGATCCAGATCAGCCCATGGGCTTTTTCGCCACTAACCAACCCTCTGCTCGGCCCATGTTTTTCAGCACAGTGGACGGTGCTGTTAGGCAGACATCCTGTCGTATGTATATCGTGTTTACAATTTAGCTTGCATCTAAAATTGTTGAGCTGATTATATTATTTGTTTTTCAGAAAACCATGTAAAAATCAGCATCCAGTCGGTTAAACAATCCCGTGCAACGCGGGGCAATTTCATAATATCGTTTATCGACGACAAGGGAGCGGAATCTACGCCTTTTGTTATCGCGTAAGATTATTGCGAAATAACTTGTTTTGTTATATTTTGTACAAAAATGTTGTGATTTCCAGCTTTATAAGAGTTGATTTCCAAACTTGTGTACAACTTGGACAATTTACACCTATTCTGAAAATGACTGTTTCGATATTGCATTGCAGACAAGACGGTCGTGTTCCTTCGGGAAAGCAGGCCTTTCTTTTAGTTCGCTCGGCAGTTCCTCCATCAAGTATTAAGCAGATCAAAGTGACTTTCCAGCGCCTTTGCAATTCGAATGTATGCAACGCCGACACCATTAATCTCTCTGCCGTGACCGTCGCGAATGTGAACAATGACGTTGTGTAAGGTTTCTTTTGACTTCGTTTCGCAAATTTTTAATAAAGCTAACACCTGTTGTGCTGCGTAGAATGACCTATTGCGGCGGCGGAGACCTTGTGAGCGATCAGCCTAAATTGATGGATCTGCGATCTTCAAAGTCGAGTTCCTGTGGGCGAAACGGGTAGCTTTGATTTGCTCGCCTTTACCGCGCCGCTTGTTGCAGTTGAGTTGGAATATCGTTTTTATCTTTTTCGTTACTGCTTGTTGCACGTAGTTCAACGCTTTTCTGTAGCAATGCGGAGGCTTTTTTTAAGAACCGCATGTTGCAGGTGGCCGCCCGCGATATTTGTAACCAACTTCCTCCGAGTATTGCTTTCATGACAAAGTTTCTGCCGCAAAGAAAGTGATTTTAAATACATAGAACAGAGACTCAACTATACACTGTAGTTCGGCGTGAAATTTTTTATGTTTACTCCTTCTTTGGGCTTTTATTTAAGCAATGGTTTTTGTTGTTTTACTCTTTTAGACCAACAAGCCTGCAAATAAAGTGCATTATGTGTCAGTTAGAAGTGAATATGATGCGGTGCAGCATTTGCATAAAACACGTATTCAGAATTTTAATTGTGTCTGAATTCAAGGATATGGTTTGCATCTTATTGGCAAACACTGTTTTCTTATTTTCTCCGACATGCACGCAAAGGCGATGCAGCACCGCCGCGAAGTGTTAAGTAATTGTAAAATGTACTGTAACAGCATTATGAACTTATTTAGTGTATTATACAGTGTATATACTTGGTCTGTATATACAAGCCCGTTTTCTAACCTGTAGACCCTGTTTCTATCCTGCTATAAGCGGGATATTAAAGAAACGACAGCTTGAGCCAATGCATTCAATGCATGCAGTGTAGAGTAGATAAAATCTAGCCTTATTGTGCGCTATTCACTGCGTCGCGCTTACAGCGGTCTACAGGTTGGAAAACGGGCTTGTATATTGTAAGTACACTATATGGAGCGTTTATGCTGGTTGAAATAAGTTAATATTATTTTATGCCGCATTGCGAATAGTTCATTAAATGCCAAACGAACGAGTACAAAACTATGTACATATGTTACAGTACTCGTACACATTTCTTAAAGGTTCGCAGAAATATGGGTGACGAGGTATAAAAAAACAATATTATCATTATAATTATTTAAAAGTCGCCAAAATGGCCAGTAACAAACGGTATAGTTTTTGTTTGGCCCATAGGTATGGCGCTAATGTTTATGCACTGAACGCTGACGCATAGCAAAGAAATCGAAATCTAATGGTAGAACAGTTCTGAAGTCACTTCACACTTTATGCGCGTGGTTGCAACAAATAACAAATAATTAAGGACGAGTAGAGACAATTTGTTACCGGGAATGGCAAATTTCTCAAACATTTGTTTACACCAATTTACATTGCACAAAGCGGAAGTCAGTTACATGATTTTCAAATCATGCAGCTGACAGCAAATGACAGACAGTGGGATGTGTGGTTAAATGACGTCGGATTGAAATTGGCTGAAGTTGCTTAGGAAGTCACCGAAACGGTGCACGGAATCATCCTCGACATTGAGAATGGGAGAGGTTATCATGTACACTGGATGCGCGAAGCACGTACGGTTACCATGAGGCATCATCCCGAAAGGTCACCGGTAGTGGTTATCGGCGACCGAATCCCCACGACGAATAATATCCACCGCCGTAATAAGGATATCCCACAGAGACCGGATAGGAATAAACAGGGTATGAATAGTATCCGCCATAATACGATCCTGGCCACCAATGGCGATGATGACGCCACCATCGGGCATCCACCGAAATCGCTAAAATTATGCGGTTTTAGAATTATACAGACCCAGGGCATCCTATTACTTGTACATGTAATTTTCTGACTGCAGTTAAATTTTTTGTCGATAACCAAATTTATCAGCAAAAACATTTTGTTTACTCCACGTACGCTTAGATGCTCTACACAAATGATGCATGTGACAGGGAGCGTTATTATCCCCTGTCACATCAGATTTTGGAAGTTTGACTCCAGGATTGAAGTTAAACAGAAGGCATAGTTATTTTTAAAATTGTGGACCGTGCTGCAGTTGAATGTTTTTTATAAACCGGCTAAAAGCAACCAAAGCACTGCGGACACCTCAACTTCTACTCGTAGTACTTACCGGCGAAGAGTGCTATGAACAACAGCACAGATAAGCAAGTCGTAAACTTCATCTTTTTTGAATAAGTAAAGCTCACTGTTTAAAACTTGTGATAAAAATCTCTTATGGTCACTTAATCGATCTTTGCGTATTCAAGCTGTCCTCATGGAAAGGCATGCAACTGCTAAAAAAAGAAAATAGCGAATTTTTGTTATATACTTCGGTACTATATCCGTTTGTCGTGTGGAAATGTGTCGACTAATTCTTCCTTATGTTTCATATTAGCAAAAAACTTGTTTACAGGCAGCAGGTTATTACCGTCTGATCAAGTGTTTTCAAGGAATGTTTCTGTCATGTGTTTATGTTTTGTTAGAAAAACGGACAGCATGGTAAGCCGCGAACTCTCTAGAACACATTGGGGGTGGTAAATCCAGATATTTAGCCAATTATTGTAACTGTTCAGTAACTTCAGTGGTATGTTATTATTGCCCCGATTTTCTGAAGACGTACATAGCCGGATGTGCAAGTCATGGTGCAGTTTTAAATAGTCATAATTACAAAGTTCGATAGCTTCTAGGACTCAGAAATTTCCTTCGAATATGCAGGAATATCTAGAACTGGCAGGCTTATAATAATCGTTGACAGCAACCGCATTGTACCTTGTAGATCTTTCGAAGTAGTTATAGGTCACTCACTATATAGTTGTGATCTCGTTATTAGATAATGCTTTATTGCATACATATTTGCCGCTTCAATGCTATAAGGGTTGCAGCAGGAATTTATTGCGACTATGCGCCATTATCCTTTTGATTTTCCTCGAGAATAAATGTGTTTTGCTACTACAAATCATTTGGCGCGCAGTATTTCTTAAAATGTATATAGAATGCCTTTAAAATTTATGATGAAGTGAGTTACAAAGTACAAACAAGTACAGAAAGAAAGTAAAAAAATTAAAAAATAAAAAAAGTAGAAAATACCAAAAATTAAATTCACCTAACCGCATGTGAGCCGGAGGCCCGGATGCACGGCCACTGCACTTCTGTAGAAAGTTATAAAACAGAGCACGCCAGTTTTCCAGACTATTCGTCTTAAAGTATTATTTTTATGCCTAAATATGCATGATTCGACAATATTAATTAAAAATTTCTATAATATTCCAATTGTTTCGAGTATTTTTTTATGCAGTATTAACCTCCAATTATGGTTTGAGGGGTGGCTGCATCCTCGGAAAATGTCTAGCGGATTATTTAATTTTCAAACGCAGCCGGTGTATTTGTTAGTCACGTCTGAAGAAACAAAGCAGAGCAAAAAACCCATATTTTACCTTATTATATGCTAAGCATTTCTTATCCCCTCTACATTTTTTACGTGCATTCAATTGCCGCTATGTGTGCTTGTAGCCTTGTTGATCATGCCATAAAACCGTGGTTGCGGCAAACTGTAAACCTTGTCCATATCCTTAGCTAAATTTTCACAGTAACAGCCATAACGATAATGTTTCCGTTTTCGCTTTCAATGAGAACACTTGATGTAATGCCAAACAAACAGGTTTCTTAATTGGTGATAGACATTGTTTATGCCCAGTTGTTGTTGTTGATCATTTTCGGCAGTGATGGAAAAGCAAGCACAGCGATGGCGTTATTTCAGTGTGCGAAATGGTTTGCAGGCATACCTAGTCGTTCTCAGTATGTTAGAGATATCAGAGATGGTAAGAAAATATTACTCGTAACAATTAGGTTTTCTAGTCCAGTTAAGATTCGGTCGTAGCGCAACTGTGATTAATTATAACAAAGGTTGGATAACTTATCGTGTTTTTTTAGGTTATGTTAACTAGGTCTAACACAGTATTTTAGCAAAAATTGAGAGTGCTCAAAGCCCAAAGGCAAGCAACTTTATTCAATTTGGAGTCTTGGAGCACAGATGCTCCTACAAGTTACTACCGAAAGCCGCTAAACGCAACAACAGGAATATTTTGGTACACATTGAGAACGGTTGTACATAATGGTAATTTATGTCCGCTGTACACATAAATTCAGGTGAGTAGGAAAACATATCACGGTATCGAATGCCAAATTCGATGAATATGGCCGGCTGGCAAAGGTCAAAGGGTGCACTTTTACTTTTTGCCATACAAACCCCATCCCCCCCACATGGGCCAGCCCCATCCATAGCCTGCTCAAAAGAGGAACAAATGCGATTACCTTCCAAAATTTATATTCATTTGACATGTGCGGAATTATGGTTCTGTGCTAAAAGTATTAATCTTACCATAGTAAGGCCAACCCCAGCCCAGTCCCCATCCGCCCCATCCCCAACCTCCCAATCTGGAAGCAAAAGAAGTTTTTATCCCATATGTTTTGCTGTTATTCATTTTTGTATTCTTTATTCTACACATTCATACGTAATAATATCAGGCAATTTAAATCTTTGCTTACCCCCATCCACGCCCAAATCCGCCGCGCCCCCAACCACCTCCGAATCCACCTCTCCAAGCATCCACACCTAAACGCAACAGGTGCAGTTTAAACTACATAAATGCAGATTTCTGTGCATAAATAACTATCCTTGAAACATTTGCATTTGCAGCAGTCATAGGCACCGGCTGGTAAAGCGATATTTAAAAACGAAAACATAAACCACTACTACGCGAAGAAATGTTGGACGGAGCTGGGTCAATTACCTTCGGAGGCAAGGAGCACCACCGCTACTAACAACAGCAGGGTCACTACGGTTCTCATGTTGCTGATTGGTGAACGCTGAGCAATAGAAAATCCCAATGAGGAGAATACAATTTAGATCGCATTATTGTTGTAACTCCGTGCTCGCTTTATATATATTCCAGATTTTCCTTACAATGTTAAAATTTTACTATGCCTTGGGGTTGTTTACGTAACAACTATCCGCCTAGCTGACAATTAGCTGCATATATCATCTGAATGTATAGCTACACTTCCAGATAACCGCGTCTGGTTTGTACAGATACACTGTTGTGGTGCGGCATATACAGTACATAACATGCAGTCCCAGTAGAAGTATCAAAAGTTCCGCATCGAAAATTAAGGTGTTCCGCGATTGTGGAATGTTTTGTGTTCCTGGTGTCTTTTCAGAATTATTGCTAATAGTCCGGCTTATTTTTTATAAAGCGCGTCCAAGATAATAATCGCTGGTGGTGGTGAAAGCTTTTTTTGTACTAGAGTTACTAACCTGGTGCCATATATTGAAAAAGGTGCTGGAAGCGATGGCAGTCAATATTTATCCAATACACGAAAATTTCAAGAAAAGCCACCGCACAGGTTGAACCTTAGAAGGCTACCTAGTAAGATGATTAAACGATATTATTATTCCAGAATTACTCCCTGCATTAACTGCACAAAGGATCAGCTTCTCGTTCTACTGTATCGTATGCTATAATATAAGTATTTTTTGTACAGACTTGTATGTGCTGTTATACAAAAATGCAAAATTCTTATGGCAAGCAATGTGTATTTATTGTGCATAGAGCTGTATCCGCGGCTTAAGATTTCCCAGAAAGTGAAAATAATTGTATGCCTCGCAAAAAGATGAATTGTACATTGATCCCATTACTAAAATATTTACGAATAATTTAATACTGCAATGATGCAGACCCTGTGAGAAGTACGGTACGGTTGGTTTGCGACATTTCATGAGATATAAACCGCGTTTGCTGCTTTCAAACAACTGCACCAAGTCTCGTCTTTCTGGTCGGCGTTCAGTTTTTATTTTTTAGATGAGCATTGTTATTAAATAATTGTGTTCTATTAAATGCCACTCCATTAAATGCGTTGATGTTCGGAAGAAGCTTCAATTTGCAGTTATACTTATACGAGCACAGACTAATCATTTAATCGTCACAGCGTTACAATGATTAACAATTATATTAAACTGTGTCATCCCAAGTCGTTTCAAGCAAACCGGTAGAGGCATCTAATGCAAAAGAGGCAACATATGGACCTGATTCGCAAGTATACACCCAGTACAAATCCGAACAATTGTCGTATAATACGCATTGTGTTTTCAACCTGGATTAGTTAATTGTAAGCTAGCCTTATCGTTAATTTTAGATGTACTGTAGTCGCGTAGATGTTGAAGTGTGTCTACGTGTAATCAGATCGTAAGCAAAATCGCTGGAAAGAGTGATTACTTTTGTGGGGAATTATTTTATTGCCCTCTTGCTTATTCGTGGTCCAGATGAGCATGCAATGCACGATCTAAATTAGCGTGTTTATTTGAAAAAGTCGGCTCACGGAGATCAGGAGCTATGTATCAGTTCTGTTTTTTACCTAATTAATTTTGTCAAAATGATCGCACTCAGACGGCTTTTCGGTATTTCTTTAATTTTTATTGCCATCTATGGCAGTCTGATTTGCGTAATAAATTCTGAAGGTACGTAAGCAAACAACAGATTGTTGAATTTGCATGGTCGGCGCGCGCGGCCAGCGCTGATAATTATGTTGCAGTTTAAGGAACGGAATACGAAATCGTCGCTCAACAAGCTTTTGCATTCCCTCCAAATCATAATTTCGATTTCGGCACTTTTTTGGTATATTGCATAATGGATTTTGAAAACTCGGAAACACAGTGCATAAATTAATTTCGAAGCGTTGGCAGAGCATGCGCTACATTGTGGTCTGTTTTATATTGGATCATGAAGACATCTAACGATTACGAACGATTAAAATTCATAAAAGTTTTGGGAAAGTTTTGCTGATAATGAAATCGGTTGAACACTATATTTTATGATTTTCAGTTCCGATCCATCCGAGCTTGATATTTCCTCACCGCGGCTGCTACTTACTGGGAGAAACGGTCCATGACCTTTCCAGCAAAGATTTCAAGCTGAGCGATCTCAAGCCCAGTTTGTGCACATACATCACATACGGCTACGCAACAATACAGGACAATGAATTGCAGATAAAACCAAAAGACGAAGGTATTTAATTTGCCCAAAACCGTACCTGTAGTATTCCCGCGCTAATAAAGCTATTGCTTGTTGTTCTACAGAAATTATCCGCATGCTTCAGTTAACAAGATCAGTAGTGCCGAACATCAATTTGTTCTTGATTCTTAATCACACGGATCCGGCGGGGATTGAGCATTTGACCAATCACTTTGTGTTCCTGCAAAATCGCATGGATTTCGTGAGTACGGTCCTCGAAAAGCTGCGAATATGGAATCTGGATGGGATTGTACTCCGTACGGATCTCGTAGACTATGCCAGTGCTAATGTGATGGCAATGCTCATAAAAGTAAGTCTACAGAAACTTTCAATATTTTCGTTTTGATTAAATTGTTTAATAATTCGTGACTGCATTGGCTTAAAATTTGAGTAACCGTGCATTTTTAGCAAATATCTACTGTATTAGATAAAACTGTTTACAAGGACTTCAGCGTTCGGATTGGTTACAGGAAATTCGATCGAAATTCGATGCGGAAGCTATTTCCACCAAGCCTCGCCTAATACTGGGAACGCATGTTGGTCAAGACGCAAAAATGTCAAAAATCGACCCGGCACTCATTTCCAGGTTACTAGCATTTATTTAAGTTTTTGTTGGCAACAAGTTTGCATCTTACCATCAGTACCTGGGAACTATACGAGTACGCACATTTATATGGAAACGTTAGGACTGTATAAGGCTACCTTTAAAGGCGATTTTATGACGTTGCTAAACACCGCTAATTTTCACATATAAAATCTCATTATTTATTTTTTGGTTGCAGTTCAGTAGACATTGTAGAAGTTCACACGTTCGATTACCGCAATCCAGAGGCACAGCCATCCTCAACCGGGCATAATTCCCCGTTGTACTGGACTTCCATTCCCGGCTCACATTCGGGAACAGTAGTAAGATTGTGCTACAATTACCTGGTCGCATCTTGGTGTACTCCGAATGTGGCAATGTTGTGATTGTTTGCCAAATTTTTCATAGGAATACTCTTTGGAATCATGGGTATCGGCGGGTATACCAAGATCGAAAATGGTGCTGGGACTGGCTTTATATGGACCGGCGTGGACCTTAATGAAAGTCCACCGCTTCGAAGCCGGCGCTCCAGCGGCCGGCGCCGCGGCAGCTGTGGGTTATGCTAACAAACCGGGAGTAATGTTCTACCATGATATCTGTGAAGAAATTGCGAATGGTACCCTGACGCGGGTCTTCGATACGGATACCATGACCCCGTATGCGCACGACAACGAAACCCGCTGGGTCAGCTACGACGACGTGGTCAGCGTCACCATCAAGGCGCGCTGGCTGATGGAAAAAGGTTACGCAGGTGTTTATTTCTACGAGCTGAGCATGGAAGATTTCAGTGGAAGCTGTGGAAAAGATTCGTTTGCGGCGCTTCAGGCGGTGGAAAATGTGTTTAGTGCGACTACAATCGAGAAATTCCAAGAAAAAAGAGGTAAGGGACTGCATTCTGCAATAAATGCTAATATTTAATACGCCTTTAGTATGATCGCGATTTTACAGTAGCGCGCGTAATGTACGTAATATTATATAATGTAATGTAATGTACGCGCGTAATGTCATGTACGTACTGTATTTTAACATAGCACGAATGAAGGCGCATAGATAACAGACCTTCATTCGTGCTATGATTTTAACAAAGTTAAACGAAGCTGTTTGCTATAATTATCTATTTCAAACGATAAATGACCACCTTAGAAAGACGTAACACTAGTACTGTGTTGCTCGCCGCCGCGTACCTTTTCAGTCTTGTTAAGGCACTACTGCATACAATTATAAAAGGTTACTGTACAATTATTCGAATTTTTTTGCATTTTATTTTGCCAATGAAGTAGACAGGATTGTGGCAATGTGGGCGGTTATTATGATTTATGAGCAACACACGGTATTGCGATTGTGTGTTTTTTCGCTATTCCTGCGCGGTCATACACCGTGTAAATTCCTGAGAAATTTATCTCCTGAAATATTTTAGAATGCGATCGAAAGTTCTGTTTGGATCGCGCTGTGGGAGTATACGCCCTGGGAAGCTGCATGGGCGCGTACTGCAGTTGTGATTATGGCGGGAAGGCTTACAGATTCCCTTGTGGTCCGGGCACTATATTCGATCCACTGATTCTGGGTTGCAATTATGCTGCATCTGTCAAAGGATGTGAGCAGCACGAGGAGATTATGAAAAAGAAGTTCTGATCACTTAATCAGTATTTCAACATAATATAATTTTTTTGTTTAAGCAGTTACGAACTCACGATTGTTAGTATCATTGCTAGGGGAATTGAACTACATTGTATTTGTATGTTACTTTTGTACAAGCGCATAAATGTCGTTACCAGAATAATGTTTCCGTTAATGTTTGTATTTCGTTGAAGTCCATTAAATCCATCCAAATACTGCGTGGCCGTTTCCTACTTACGTAGAAGTTGACTAAAAAATGTTGGCTTTCTATATTTCTGTATGTTGGACAAAACTGCGCTCACCTGAGAAAATTAAAAGAAACATGATTATGAACCACGATATCGCATATTTAACCTGCCTATTTCGAGATTCCCGACTAACTTTATCGGTAAAAGGTAAAAAAGTGAATTGTACATGCCATGCATGTGCATCGCAATTTTAAGATTGCATTATATTTTGTACTCAAATAGAACTGCGACACAAACTATAAACTGTGTACAATACGTATACAGCTGATACTTACTCTTATACTGCGAAGAGAATGCCGGTAGGTATACTATATATATACCTACAAGTCTACAACACATGGGATGGGCATGCCTAAATCTAAGGCGACTAAAACCTAAAATGGTCTAAAAAAGTTCAGTCTCAATAAATTGACCACGCGCGATTAGGTAGCAGGTTTGACATTGGCTGCGATTGTGTAGATATTAAATTATTATCGATTATGTATTAAAAATGTATGACAACATGGTTATCCAGCATTGTAGCAGACAGCGCAAACTGACCACTTGGAGAAAAAGTATTTCAAGGTAAGCATAAAATTAATGGTAACACTAACAATCAAGGATGCCATTGAATTAATTCAGTTTTAGTAACGGTGTATCATTTAGTACAACTAGTCCTTTTCCGAGCTTGTTTCTGTGCACGGATTTGTTACAGTAATAGCTACAGCCGACATTTCTTTTGTGGATTACGTTCTTCTGGTTCAAATGTCTAAACTTCTGCATTTACAACCAGCATGATCCAACTTGACTCCGCGCAATGTGTGTTTATCATATCGATCTTTGTTATATTTATTTCCACAATAGATGCTCTCCAGGATATTGGTCAGTTCAGCAATATGTACTTGTAATGGGGCCATAGGACAAAGTTGTCCCACAACATTCCCCATCTGACTGAAAGGTTAATTTAATTGATAATGAAACATTTATTTTTACGTGCAGAACCAGAACTTGAATTACCTCACCGAGGTTGCTATCTACCGGAATGGGCGGACACGAGGCCCGGAACCGGCAGGTTCGAAATATCGGATATCGATCCCAGCATGTGCACCTACATCTGCTATGCTTTCGCGGGGATTCATAACAACTTTTTAGTTGTGAAACCGTCAGATGAATGTAAGGAACACAACTAAACCGCTAAGAAAATATTATAGTACAGTATTTTAAATTAATAAAGTATTTATAATGCAGTCATGAAATAAAATTTATAACAAGATGAGGTGAAACACGTACGCGATGCAGAAAGATTGAATTAAAAATCGTTCATAGGCTATGCCAAATTTTTTCATGCCTTCACTAAAAAATTTATGCCGTCCTTGTCATAACATGGTACGTACTGTAGCGGAAACGCACCCTTTATTGTGAGTTCGAAATATTTACAGTGAAATTCCATCAGCTCAACAATTTTAAGGTTTATTTCCCAAAGCTTAAAATATTGTTGAGCGTGGGAGGATGGAATTTATCGCATCAGTTTCCATCTATGGTTGCTGCTGCTGAGAATCGGACAATTTTTGTGGATTCAGTATTAAGCAGATTGCGTCAATGGGGGTAAGGATTTACGCCGTTTTTTTACGATAAACAATAAATAAGTACTTATACTTTTGTATGCCACTTGTTTTATTTCCCGCTTCAATCTGTCCCAGTAAAATTAGCCTGCACAACTGCATTATGCATATTTCGCTATCACACAACAAATACATTCTAGACTAATTGTTTCAATCTGTCGTGCGGGCTGCGCTGTACAGACACCGAAACACCTGACCAGTAAAAACAAAAGTAGTAGCTACAGTAATATATATTTAATGAATGAGGCAATCTATTCGGATACAGATTGGATGGACTGGACATCGACTGGGAATATCCACCGCATTCAATGGGAGAGGCTTTCACTGCATTGCTAAAGGTCTCCATCCTAAATAAAATACATGATGTGAAACTTACTGTGAATTGCCGAACCATATTGTAACCTGTGAACCTTTTCCGGTTATTGCCAATATTGTAACCCTACGAATACTCCCATATCTGTGCATGGCGTTAGCTGTTATTATGATATATCGATAAATATCGCTTTTCAGGAACTACGAGTGGCATTTGAAGCAGAAGCCAGATTGCTTTCGCGACCTCGACTGTTATTAGCGGCAGCGGTAGCATCGGCATCTCGAGGAGGTTACAACCCGTTGGTTATGGCACGGTTGGTGCATAATTTGACTATGTTGACCATTATTGCGAATTTGCGATCGCTTCCTGTAAAAGTGGAATAATAATCGGGCAGGCTACATAAACAAATAACGGTTGCATTTTCTCGAGCAATTTCTCGAGCATTTTCTCGAGCAATTTTCTACACTCGTACGCGTAACCCATATTTTGTAAAGACAAGAGAAGTCGTAGTAAAATAACACAACGGGCTAATGCACATTGTTACGAGATGCTGTACTCTACTCACCATCAGTAGAGATGGAATAAAATGTAGAGTGTGAAATATGAATGAAAGTACCGCTGAAATTTAGAAACCAACAATATAGCACTGATTCACTGAATAATTTTATTGTGGAGAACACTAATTCATTGAACGTGTACTCCCTTAGAACGTTGGATATAATGAATCTCATGGCTTATGATTTCCATGGCCCAACGTGGGAACCGAACAAAACTGGACACAATGCTCCTCTGATAAAATCACCATCAGATCCTCATCAGGGACTAAATGTCGTAAGTAGATCACAGTACTTTACTTGTATTTACCTGCAAATGTATAACCTCCGAAAATAATTTTTACTGCAACCAGGAAACACTGGTGCGTGAATGGGAGGCCGTCGGTATACCAAAGTCAATTATTTCCGTCGGTCTGGCGTTGTACGGAAGGGCGTGGGCTTTGTTGACCCCTGACAATCCTGGCGTGTCCGTGAATGCCATTGGCACGGCACCCGGTGGTGCATTCACCGAAGAGCCGGGTTTTTTGGGATTTTATGAGATCTGCGCCGCTATTAAATCGGGACAGTTGCGTCGGCACTTCGATCGATACGCACGGGTTCCCTATTCCAGTGGACAGCACGTGTGGGTCAGCTACGACGACGTGGAAAGCATTCGTCAAAAGGTAGCGTTTTGCAGCACTTTGCTCTGGTTTCACGTTGCTGACAATTTTTTATATATTCCGCTAAGTATGATTTGAAGACGTTATTGCTACAGTAGCTTACAGCAAACAGAATTCTTAATAGTTCCATTAACGATAAGTAATATGTATAGTTCCATCACGGTAGCTAATTTCCCATGGGATTTTAAACTTATAAGTCAGCCGAAAACGGCATACGCTTTATTTCCAAAATACACTACAGAACACCTAATATGACACATCATGTCTCAGAACAGCAAATTAAATAATTAGACTTAAAACAAACTTTTCAGTAAAAAAATTATTTTTCTGCTTAGTTAGCTAAAACTGCTCTTTATTCTGGATAGGTCATGTGGGTGCGACAAAGTGGATACGCGGGTGTTTTTGTATGGGAAATGACGCTGGATGACTTTCGAGGCGGCTGTTATCAATCTCGTTTCCCATTACTGCAGACCGTTAAACGCATGCTGACCATGTCACCGGAAACCAAAACACCCATCCACGTACAGACACCCTATTTGTATGTTAATGTCACGGCGCTAAGCCCGGCGATTATTCCCGGCGCACTGAATCCAGCGTTAACGCCACAGATGCTGCCCATTGCTAATCCTTCCATTAACCATCCAGTGGCATCGGCGAATCACGTTCCGGTGCTGACCACCACACCAAGCACGAAACCAAATAACTGCGCCAACACCTACATAGTTAAAACTGGAGATACAGCGTGGAATATTGCCAAATTGCATGAGATTTCGTTGGAAGATTTGCGAGAATTCAATCCGGGCAAAGCGGATTTGAATTTTATTACGCAGGGAGAAAAATTATGTGTCGCGTTACCGCAGTCAACAGGAAAAAAAGGAGGAAGGTAAATCGCTTATTGTAAATATAAGTTCGGCAACTGCACAGTATTATACCACTTTGTAGTACTGCTGATGTCTTGTCTCTTGAAGTGTCAGTACTGTGACAAATATAAGCAAATAGCGTAATAATAAAAAATAATAAAATGTATTACTGTACTTTATTTTGGCCATTTAAATCAGTTGGAAAAATTTTCGACCATATGGACATATTTAAATTGTTTTAGGGTGCACGTCGTAAAACGTGGAGAAACAGCGTGGGATATTGCAAACAGCAATGGGCTATCTCTTGCCGATCTGCAGCAGCGTAATCCGTGGAAGAATAATTGGGATGCACTTTTTCCCGGAGAAGAAATCCACATATGATTAAGCAGAATTTTTTATTTCAGCCATGAAAATGAAGATCAATGCGTTTGTTTTCCATAATCAGCGGAATCGATGTGCAATGTCCGATAGATTACAACCTGCATTGTTTAGCCTTGTCTCATATCCTATGCTAAAAGAAGAGAATCTGCCGATATGATAATTTGCAGCTGACACATTTGTATCACTGAAACCCAGCATTACTTCCTCGAAGTGGTCGATTTGGGAGATAGCAGCTTACGATAGGATATCAGCGCTACAGAGTAAACTTTCGCAGTGAACTGCAGCAAATTAAACAACCAAGTAATTTTCTGTATCCAGTAATTCCAGTTGTTGGCGGGTTGTACGCACAACTGACACGACAGCGCGAGATAGGCTGAAGACGGCGCTGCACTTTGACCTTTGAGAGGAAAAGCCTATCTGGTGTCAGATTGTTGTCGAAGGCGCTGTTGATACAAGTAAAAGGGAAGCCCCATCTATCGTCGGGTGATTAAGAAAGCGCGAATCGAAATGTAGCGTAGAGAACGGATAAAAGCCTGGTAAACGTAATTAAGACGCTGTGGGAGTCATTCGTAATCGGCAAGGCACTGTTGCAGTTCGCGCTTGGCTTTGGTACCCTCCAGTTTTGCAGATTCAACAAATTTGCCTACGCATCTTCGAGGTCGTTTAACTCTTCGGTATTAAAAATGATGAAATACGTCGTTTTGTTTGCTGTCCTCTGTGGATTTGCGGCGGCTCTCCAGATGCCATGCAACAACTGCAAATGTAGGTTGGACAATTCTGGATAAGAGAAACGGAGAGATTTTGCGGCCAGCTCCCGCTTTTTCTGTTGTTAAACGCAGTATTATCTTTAAATACTTATGATTTGTTGTAACAGCGTCCAAATTGCCCACCGCTAAGGCACTTCCCGGTGCCACTGGCACATGCAACTATGTTGTCGTGGAGCCCTGCTCTTCGCAGCCCTGCGATCTGAAGAAGGGAACGAATGTCACCTTTCAAGTCAATTTCACACCCAGTAAGCGCTTAGTAGTGTCAAATGTCAAGTGGTACAAATACCAATATTATTCAGACAGCTATGCAGCCTAAGCCAGTGCGCACTGCAGAGTATATTCGTATTTCCGCCTTTTTATTAAGCAACAGGCGTTTTTCATTTAAATTCTAAATCATATAATCAATACAACATGGACAATAGATTTTATAAAATGTGCTAATGGTTACATATGGTGGTTTTAATGGCATTTAAATATTTCCTGACTTGCTTCAGACCAAGCCAGCAGCAAACTGACATCGGAAGTGTACGGCATTATCAATAAGATCCCCGTCAAATTCCCGCTTCCCAATCCTGATGGTTGTCAAGGGTCTGGTATCACCTGCCCGGTTGCTGCTGGACAAACCTATACTTACCAGGATAACCTCTTCATCCAGAACATCTATCCTTCGGTAAGACAAAGCTCGTACTTTCTACCGGCTTAAAACTTATTTCTAGAGCGGCCGTAATATTAATAGCTAATAAGTGATAAGCCTGTGCTGATAATGCATTCTGACGTATACTCGTACCCCAATACTGACTTAACGCTGTAATTTATTTACAGATCAGTGTCGTTGTGCAATGGAGTTTGAAGGACGAGAATGGCAATCCCATCTTTTGTGTGCTGGTTCCAGCCCGAATTGTCAGCTAATGTCTAACTCTAAGCGTCCTTCAATGCTGTTTTATTTTGCAAAATCAAAACTGCGATTTGTGTAAGAAAACTCCTGCGCGAATTTCGGCACAAGCTAGTGAAGCTACTACTTATCTGTATTCGGGTCACGGCAGTGTGTGTAAAATACTAACTATGGCTAATTATATAAATTAAATATCAATGTTGTTTTCAGTTTTGTTTGCATCTTGCTACATTTTTCAATGGATGTAACGAAAACTGAGCCGAGCGATCGGTAACCAAAATTAAGAAAGAATTTTCTGCCGGCGGAAACAAATTTTCCCAAAAGGTTTACCTTACCGCGCAAGACCACTTCGAATATGAAAGTGCATTCGCTCGGCAATGAAATTCCCTTAGATTTCTTCTGCTGTCAGGTTTCTGAGAGTTGGTTTGTAAGGTTTTCTGAGGTTTCTCAGGTTAAGAAAAAGGTTAGCTCTTGAGTCACTAACTGTCAAGTTGGAGTAAATCCACAAGGAAGTCCAGCATGCTATGGTCGTAACTCGCAAAACGCTAGTGCTCGTGTTCCGCCTGTTTTCTGTCGCATCTTCATTCCAAGTTCAACTGTTAGGCGAGTGACGTCCGGTTTCATGGCCCCGCAACTCCCACAGTTCGAAGTCCTGTGGATAGAAACAGAATTAATTATCCATACTTCGAAATCCTTCTTCTTCGAAATCTTCGAAATCCTTCTTCTTCGAAATCTTCGAAATCCATACGACTGATGAGACGAGTAAAAAAACATCTGTTTCTAAGCCGCTTACGTAATATCCACCTCCGGGTGATTGAGTGCTGTCTCACCATAAGGAACTGCATGGCCACCACTAGGTTCCAACTTCGCAGTGAATGTCTTGTTGTCGCTCGGCTCGTTATGCTCCTCCTCACATTCTCACTGGCTCATGGCTCAACAAGTCTGGCTCATTTCCTCGCGAGCGAAAATCTTGTCATAATAATAAAAAATGTGATAAATCACAAACGTTGAAACGATGAAAATATGTATCTGTGTATAAGTATGTATGCACTATGCAGTATGCTCGACGATTACTTGTTGCAATACTACTCATAACTCATTCATAAATTTGTAGAGACTGCGTCTACGTTTGAATCTGCATCTGATTTCATATTGATATTAGGGTGCGCTAAAAATCTGTCGCAGCTTTTGAGGAATGCTGCCGTAGTACAGAAACTGTGCGGATTACATATGCGGATTACAGCTGGATTGAATGACCACGAGTAGGATCGGAAAAATCAGTTCACAAGTGGCAAATGGGCAGTTTACTCCGCCAGAGGAATTGTAGTTGCGTCGAGACAACACCTAACGCCTGCCAAATCTTTGGCTTGTGATATCCCTCCACTTTCTGTCCTCCATGTCTAACTCGTCGGGACCAACCAGTCCGAACGATGATCTCCCACAAGAAATCATTCAGCTGGCCAACCATGCTGTCCAGTTCGATAAGTCTGGAAACTTGGAAGTGGCGATTTATTACTACACGGAGGCCGCCAATTCCTTGGCGCAGGCCAAAAAGCATAATATTCCCTTTCCTAATCTCGATGAACGGTTCAAAGAATATCGCCGCAGAGCGGAAAAGCTCAAGGAAATTCGTAAGTTATATTGTGGAGTTTCCTAAGATCCGGAGTTTCTGGGAAGTAAATTTATCGCTGGTTATGTACATTACAGTTCATTGAATTTTTATGCAGAAGTTTTATTTTGCTTGCTTTATTTTTTAATTACGTTTTTATTTTACTTACTAGTTAACTGTTGACCAGTCAGTAGTTGTTGACGAAGATTATTTTGATTGTACGCCATGCTAATATTATTGTTTTCTATGATTTATAGAGATTGCGAGGAAGGAAAAAGAACTTTTAGAGAATGTTAAAGAGCAATCTCAAAAAGATCTCGAAAGGGCTGAATTTCTCCTCTACGCAGCTCTTGATGCTGACGAGTTGCAGGATAAGAAGCAGGCTGTTGAACTCTATTCGGAAGCCATCGAATTATGTTTGGGAGCGGTATGTTTATATTTTTTTTGTATCTGTGTGCTGAAGTCGAATTAACACGAAAATTATTCGCTCGCATTTATACCGACCTTTTTATCCGGTTTGTGTAGCTTTGATCCATAATTTTCGGATTTATCATCATTTCGCATAATGTAAATTTGATTAACATTGAAAGCAACGATTTTCTGTTTCAGAGAAATCGGACATCCAGCCAGGACTTGAAGAAAAAGTTAGGCAGTCTGGCTGCAAAGTGTCTTGACCGCGCGGAATTCCTTAAGAAACAGAAAGAGTCATCAGATGGAGAACGCATGGATCTGAGTCGGCTGCCTTCTGTACCAACGACTCCTCTAAGCCCTACGGATAGCCTACCGAGTCCGGTCAGTCCGACCATGGGGATGTCATTGCCAGCCGGAGGGCAACTACCGGGAATGGATATTAACGCTTCTGTCCCGGCGAACTTCGCGCCCTTGCCCAAGAGTTCATCTAGCTCCACACTTACAGTCAGCGGAAGCGAATCATATTCAAAAGAAGAAATTGAAGTCCTGAGGTGAGATACGTGCGCTGGAATTTTTTTGTTTGGCTGAAATAATACAACTTGTGGGCCGACTTTTAAGAATTAGCCAGAAATGTATGGCTTTTAATCTCGATTTTTGTATCTCGAATCTTTTCAAGCGTAGTAATAATAATTTTTACAGAAAATGCTTTTATTGACAATCTACAGCGAAAAGTTTGGATTTGAAAACAAGACATGTTAATAAAAACTTGCTGATAAAAGTTCGGCGCTTAAATCGTCTGTCGGACGCTAGCCGGTAGACGAACCGGATAGTATCTGGCTCGTCTGTCTTTTTCCTGTAGCAGTCATAGCCTTCTCATTAGCATAATTAATTTTTGTTTAATTCTTACCCATCTTTCTCAAGTTTCTGCGATGTCCTTACGTTAGGAAAACCTCTCGGATTAATGGACGCGACTATGTTCCGTTTATGGCGGTGGATGAACGAGAACGTTTTGCCTTTCCCGATCTGTTTGTGTAAGAGCTTTCTCACCTGTGTTCTGGCTAATTACCGTTGTTGATTGTGCGTTTTGTTGACCAAAGGGATCGCGACGGTAAACTGGCTCTGGCACCCAAACAGCTTAGTGCCTTCAAGGGTTGGGCGCGTCCCTCGGAGCTATGTAGCGCGCCGCGCATGTACGATTCCATTGATCCCTTCACGATTCGACAGTCTATCATTTCAGACTGCTCCTTTGTGGCTTCGTTGGCAATTAGGTAAATGTTTACTTAATTGGAAAAGCTGTGCATTTTACGTCCATTTAAAGAAGCGGGCTTTAATGTTTTGTAATGTTAATTTTTTGCATCTGTTATCGTACATTCACTGTAATTGCATATATTTCTAGCTGAATGCTTCGTTTTGTAAATTTTAGTGCATTGTACGAGAAGCGCTTCAACAAGAAGCTGATTACCAGGTAACATTATTGATGAAATTTTATCTTTAATATTGTCTTTATTAGATTTTTAATTTATTTGTCATTTTTCCAGCATTATTTATCCGCAGAATCGCCAGGGTGATCCCATATATAATCCGAGGTGAGTCACATGCAAGACTTCCTGTCAAGTGTTCTTAATCCGACTGGCAAACTTTGCATGGTTAAATTCAGGTCGCTTCGTTTATTGTTGAATAAAACATATTAGTCATCCTAGTGCGCTTGACATTTTAATCCTTTTACACATATTGCAGCGGAAAGTACATGGTGAAATTGCATGTTAACGGGGTGCCTCGGAAGGTCAGTGAGTGTGATATCCGTGAGTCAGTGGGTTGAGTCAGATTTTGACCGTGTGTTTTTATGTGCTGTTTAGATAATTATTGATGACTATTTGCCCAGCAATAAATATATGGATATTCTATGCTCGTACTCGCATAACAAAAATGAGATGTGGGTGTCACTGCTGGAGAAAGCCTACATGAAAGTCATGGGGGGCTACGATTTCCCTGGATCGAATTCGGTAAATCTTTGGCACGCGAAAGCCTGTTTCGTGGTTGAATGATTGAATGAATATTTCGTGGTTGAATAACGAATATTGCATTCTCATATTTTTTATTGAAGATCGTTATAGTTTTTTTCAAAGTACATTTTTATGCGGCCACGGTCGAACCAGATACGGAAAATCTACGTTGCTTACGAACGTAACAACCTACTGTTATAGTGAAAACGATGCACAAGTTAACGCAACTTCTTTGGTTTTTAGAATAAAACTGAAATCAGTTTAATGACTGCATAGTCATAAAATGAATTTTTTGACACAGAATATCGATTTGCATGCGCTGACGGGCTGGATCCCAGAACGAGTGAACATCCGGCTCAAGGAAGATTCTTTCCGACCAGATGAGTTCTTCTTGAAAATATCCGAAAGGCACAAGAAAGGCGACGTATTAGCAACAGTCGCCACAGGTGACATGTCCGCTAAGGAATCGGAGCGTACCGGTTTGGTCCCTCTGCATGCTTATGCTCTTCTGGATGTCAGAGAAGTGCAGGTCAGCTTATCCGTTTTTGATTTTTTTATGTTTTTGGTCATATTATTACTTTTAGAAGAAATTTGCAGTATTTTTTGAAATTATCTACAGGGTAAACAACTCTTTTTATTAAAAAATCCTTGGAGTCATATGCGATGGAAAGGCAATTTTTCGGAACGGGATGTTCGTCATTGGACTCCGTCAATGCAGTCCGCACTCAGTTATGACCCGCAAAGCGCCAAGCAGTTTGATAACGGTATCAGTGTGTGATTGTCACATTATTGTAACTGTTCTTGACTTCCTTCTTGTCTTAGGCGTTTTCTGGATTGATTATCCTTCGGTGCTGCGGTTTTTCGATGTGTTTTACCTTAACTGGAATCCTGCACTGTTTCGTTATACATATTGCATCCATCAGTGCGTACAACTTTGGCTTTGTTTTGAATCATGGTTAAACCGGCTGTTTTATAGAGAATGGAGGGCTGGACTGGGTCCGGTTAAAGACGTCTACGATATGAGTGGAAGTCCCCAGTTCCGCCTGGAAGTTACGTTTCCTCCCGGCGTTACCACTGCCGCCTTGTGGGTGCTACTCACGCGGCACATTACGGATCGTGATGATTTTGCCAAAAATAAGGAATATATTACACTTTTGGTGTATAAAACTGAAGGAAAGCGTATATTTTATCCATGTAAGGGATGGTTTGAAGTTTTTCACAGTACTCTTGTAAAAGTTAGTTACCTATCTATGCATAGTGATTTTATTTTTTAACGTGTTTGCACCGTCTGGTTGCGAGACCGAAAAGAAAATTTTGGTTTGACATTTGCATTAGTGCCTTTTTTATTTTTTCAAGGCACAAACTTTGTAGACGTAAACTAAATTACATGGTTTTTTAGATGATCCGCCGCCATTTATCGATGGGGTTCGAATTAACAGTCCGCACTACCTTTGCAAAATGTTACTGCAGCAGTCAGCCGGTGCCACACAACGCTATACTTTGGTTGTATCCCAATACGAAAAAACGAATACAATATTCTATACCTTACGGTGTTTCTCCACCGTCGCGTTTAAAATGTCAAAAATCGTGCACAGTTATGGTTATAAAGAGGTATGTCTTCACTTGTAGGTGTCCTGTTTGTACGTTTATACGAACTTTATACCGTTTGTTCCTTAATTGATTTCCAGGATATTATCAGTGGGAAATGGAAGGGTACGACCGCTGGCGGCTGCCCCAATTATCCCAATACTTACAAAAACAATCCGATACATCAGATCAATTTGGACAACGCCAAACCAGACAATCAACTGCTGATTACATTGAAAGGCCCAAAGTAAGTTGCTAGTTACATTAATTTTAAGTTAGTTGCCAGTAGTTTTGAGTTTTCGTTTTATTAGAGAGTCCTGTAGGAACCGGATAGCTCAGTAATGCTTGTATTTTCCATATGTTTACTGTTTGCATCTTTGTAAAGCTTTGACCTTTGCACTGGCCCATACAAACTTAACCGAAGCAGGTTTTCCAGTGTTACTGATCATGCATTACTTGCAGTAGTTGTTGGTTATTTAAATTTCTGCATATACCATGTAAAGCGGCCCGTCCAGAATTTTTTGCCTCACACAGCTGCCAATCACGGTACGACAGACGCAGAGAAGGGACCTAAAAATAAAAATTAATCTCACGATGGAAGGTTAATGAAGTGGGTGTGAAATTGGCGTAGCGATGTTTGCAAAATATTCTTGTGTTAGAAATTTTCCCCTACGTCAATTTCATTTGACCATGCAAGAACTGGTTGAGCTTGAGAAGGTGATGAGAGATTCTTCCTTGACAGGACTTGTCAAGTCTATAGTGTCAGAATGGCTGATATGCCATCGGAAAATTCGTATACCCTGTTAATTTAAGACACTCGTTGACGCTTGCGACGAGAGAAAAACAGTTTAAATTACCGTGAAATACTATTAAGAAATTCAATAACGAATGGTAGCTGTGTGATATAAACACAAAATTGTACTTAAAAGTTTCCACTGAAATTTGACTCCTGCTCGGGAGTTGTAGCATTCATCGGTATACGGATACGTGAAATTATGGTAATTATAGTTAATGTATACAATAAGATACTATTAGAGGCATAAAAATTGAATTATGATTTGCACTTTTACGTACTTGATAGTGGTTTATTATTGTAGGCAGTATTCTGTCGGCTTTGACATCGTCACTGTGGTTTCGCACTGTCCGACGGCTTTTGCTAATTTTACACGGAAATCCACCGGAGCGTTTCGGTCCGGTTTTTGTGTGCTGGAACTGGAGGCCATTCCAGGGGGTGTGTACAATGTTATACCGAGTACTTTTCTGCCTGGGCAGGAAGGCCCTTATTTTCTGTCTGTGCAAGCGTCATGCCCGATTAAAGTCTCGCAGCTCCAGTGAAAGATGTTTTTATAGTGATTTTATTTGTTATGATATTTTGCATACCGCTTGTTACATGTTATCTAAATGGTGTGTACATATATTTTAATTGCGCTGCTTCTGCCTCTTTCTGTGATTTTCGGTCTTTTCCGCTTTATGTGATAGGTCATGTTGCTCTTAAACTTTGACAAGGTCGCTTTGATATTAAGAAATAACCGAGGATCGCATCGCGGGACCGCACTTCTTTTTGCGCGCACGTTTGCCGCTTTTGCAAATCTGATTTTTTTGTACTTGTAATGCAATTCTCAAGTATCTGAAGTTTGGATAGACCGAAGCTGTGCATATCATTACAAGATTTTTATTTTGTACCGCGCTGGCATTGATAAATGTAATTAAAATGGAGATCTAAGGAAGCTGATTGTGTAGTCTCACAACGAGACTACGTGGGTAAAAATTCCACAATTCACAATGGTAATAGCGGCCATACATTGTATCTCGAACAAGTACTGGAAAATACAATGATTAATTTTTAAAACCACTCAATGTGGGCATTGTATTTAAAAACATTCAAAAGAAGAATCAGATTCGCTGAACAAAATTGATGTGCCGGTCACCGGGAAATGACGCTAACCGGAAGGATTTCGCAGCAAGTAGAGTAGGTTAAATTGTACCAGGAATGCACTGACTGCCGTGCATGCTAACTATCCAAAAAATAATACTCTCTTAATGGCGGATGTGAATAGGGAGCCAGTCGGACGTGAACATTTTTATTCGCACAACACCGTACACATGCAGGATGTGGATGCTCTGGTAGAAAATTTAAGGAAATCCGGACGTGTTCCTGAAATAGAGCCAAGCCGGCGACGCTTTAGAAGGGTTGTCACTAGTATTGGCCATGTTTTCGCTTCCTTGCGTCGGCGCTAAGAGAAGCGCTGTGCTGACTGATGGCCGATATCAAATCCAAATTTTAAAGTCTGCAACGTTAAGGTCATTGATTATATGCCGGGCGGTTTATGTACAGTTGTCGGTCAAATCGAAACATTTGATGTGTTCTCTTATTTTCAACTTATTCACGTGATTTTTCGTTTCCGCACACACATCTTTGAACTTGTTAATATCGTCAGAAAACTTTTAAACAAAAATTAACAAAATACCAAACAGACCTTAATAATTTTTTGTGATACTAACTTGTCAATGGTTGTATCGTCATTTTTCGAAAAACATTTGAAGATCTGCAGTAATGATTGTAACTGAATATGCGATATGTACTCTAGATAAAGTTTTTACGGTACGCAAGCCAATAATTACCTCTATATAAAAATTAACGTTACCTAATTTAAGGCGGCTATTTGGTTGCGTAACAAGGATTTGTTGACCCAATTCAGAGCGGCAGCGCGCAGCCGTACCTTGTCGTTTTTTACCAGCTGTCCAGTGCCATTACGAAGACATGATGCGGAATTAACGTGTACATGATGTATCGTGAAGGGATTGTCAAATATTAAATCCATATCTCTGCTGACAGGACACTTATAAGCTTACAATAAACGAGCAAAACGATTAGGAGACATTAAGCCAGCAAAATCAAGACATCTTATTGTCTAAATTCTCTATGAATGCGCTACATTATACAATATTTTACTGCATGTACTCGTTTACTGGCCGTACATCAGTGTACAATGCCAGCGTGCAATCATCTAATGAGAAAAGCCATTAATCACTAACAAATCAGTTACCATATCAAACAACTTGTTGTTAATTTCTATCATGGCCTAGATGTCCTTGGTTACTCTGTTTCACAGCGGAAGCACACTACGATTCCCTTAGCGGCAAAAAACACGCCCGATGATCACTTACTTGCCTTGTTATGTGGTGACATGCGTGGCACCGTTGAACGCACAGCACAAGATATCCCGGCTTATATCATCGGGGATTTATAAGCAGCATTTGCAAATTGCTTTTTGACAGCTGCTCCTGTATGTGTATGCTGTGTGTCTTTGTATACATAACAGACATAATGCAGTTGATATTAATAATCACGACTTTCCTACTGCAACTGTTTCGTTGACTGCGTGTCCGTCTAATAGAAGGCCGGTGTTGGGGCATTTTATTTTTGGAAGCACAGAGATTGACCGCTTCATTAGGCACACACTGCATACACCGGGAGCGTGTTAATCGTTGTTGCGGTGGATGACAAGGTTCAACGCTGTGCATTGTAAAATCGGGGTGAAACAACCGTTCTGCTGTCGTCTTTCTGGGCCAGCTGAAATCCGCCATGATAACAACGACCGGCATTCTGTCGTTTGTTTTCATCGCTATATCATCAATTATGTCGGCACCGCAAAACATCATTTTCTCTTCGCTGGAGCGATTTTACGAGGTCACCGTATTTTCTTGAGCTTGACTGCTTTTCTAATGGCTCCATTCCCGCTTAAACAATAATCTTGCTTATATGCTCAATAGCGTCGTTTTATGGTATGAAAGCGGTTAAGGCACTAAATTTTTCGTCTGAGGTCATGGCAATAGTTTTTTGCTGTATTTGCCATTTTTCCATCGCATCAGTCGCCCGCGCTCAATATGTGTCACCCAAGAGTTTTCTCTTTGGTCCAATTGTGTCGACGTAGCCGCCGTGAGCCGCGCCGGTGTTCGGTGCCAAAGTGTATGATTTTTTCCAGTTTCGCTGCCGGCTATTCTGACAGATGTGTCCGCATGAGTAGGTTCCGGCCTCTCTTTTCGCATGCTTGTACACTGATCATCATTCTTCAGAAGCTATATGTATGTATTAAAAATTTTCTTCAAAATAAGATACGTGTCGGTACACAGTACGGTACATCCGCGGCAAAGGGTATTCGAAGCTTTAGTTACCATTGAATGTCGCTCGGAAGAAGGTGAACAATTGCACTGCAGTGGGTAATGGTATAAGCGGTGTTTCCAGTGAATCGTATTAATTTTTAAGACCGGCTGTTGTTCTGCTGCTCTTTGATTCACTACAGCAGTGTAACAGCACTATGGGTACCGTTATCTGAGTAAAGGGCACACGCGAACCGGGTAGCACGGTCTTCTTCGTCGCTGCGATAAGACCTGAAAAAAAAACTATTGTTTATACGTGTGCTATCTTTTGTTTGTGCAGTAATAAGAAGCTACCGAAATTTTATTTCACAAATCCGATTACAATCTGCATTTTTCCTTCTCAGATAAAGAACGCGAAAATTCCCAAAAAATTTGCAGTCATCCGTGCCGAGACTGTCTGTTTGAATATGGTGTAATAAATGCAATTTTAAAAGGGAATGTAATTAATTTATGTTGTATCCAGTGGCACATGTACAACTGTTCAGATCTGAATAATTCTTTATTCCTCATTTATTATCAATAAAGAAAAGGATAGAAACAGAGGGGAAAGTGGTCCCAAGTAACATAATACTATCTTACTGCTAATTTTAGTGTTCAAATAGGAAGAAAAGAAGACGAAAACAAAATATAATAATTCACATTAATTACATTATTTTAACATTTACAGATACTTTTACAGTATACCAACCAAAGGACACATATTGCTCTTTGTCATAATTTTTTAATTATCAAATTCGAATAGTTCGCAATATATTTATGAGGTTGAAAACCGTGAGGGCCGTCGAGGGGCTGCTATTTTCGGAGCCTGGTTTGACACTGCTCCACTAGAATGCGTATATGCGTAACTGATCATAAAAGCTATTCCCATGATAATACAAACAGTGACAGTAATCAAATAGATAATCACCAAAATTGCATGGAAGACCCATAATGCCGGCCTAAACGACTCGGCAATGATCCATTTACTAGCCTGCTGTGCAGGTATAATTACCGGTATTAGAGCTACATAAAAGGAACTGGCCTGGAGCTTACATGCTCCACAGATCGACTTCCGGACCACATACGGTAGCGGCGCTGTTGTCCAAAGTTCCGGACGCTAAGTATTTCGGGGTAAACCACACAGTCAGACATATATCCCTCGCAGACGATGATCCTACTTTCCGTTCAGCCGTAAGATCTAATCACGCCACAAAAATCCATTTATCTTTCAAAGATACGAAAATGGTTACAAGTTATGGTTAGCTGACCGGCAACTTCATTTAAATTTCCACAGTAGTCATTGTGCTCGTAGATCTATCTTGATACGAACTAGATATTTTAGGTTTCAAACAAACAAAGATTACGGTGTTTCCAAATAAATAAAATTTCTTTTTAAATATGCAATAGCATTAATATTCGTGCAGCGCAAAGAAACATCTGCGTTTTCTACGCTGCTGCTAATTTTAGTACAGCCATATAGGTATATGCAAACTGCTGCAGTTGTCTTTTCTTTGGTCATTTTTTGAAAAAACGAATTTAAAAAATGGCTCATCTGATCATAATGCAGTATGATTGTCCACGTGCACGGGGCAGCTTTGCTGCAACGCACTGTGTAGCTCTTATTGCTGTCAATTTTACTGTGTCCTTTGACATTTTGCTTTTATTTCAAAATAAAACCAGAAAACTGTTTTTGCTCGGTTTCCTTTTTTCAAGACTATTAAGAGGAAAATAGCAGACGAAACTGTGTACAAGTGTGTAATAAAATACTCGCCGAACCCTGTTATAGGTTAATGTTTAAAGTAATCAATTGATCTGTCCCTCTGGCGCTAATTCTCAAGAACGTGTACCCGGCTTCATTGTACTTAGAAGTCATATTTCCCAATCCCGCTGCTTCAAGAGAGATCAGAGAATACCTCCGCATAGAACGGGGAAGCAATTCTAGCGAGCGCGACTGCACGAGCCGGCCTGGTCATAAAGCGAGAGCAATTAAACAGGGTTCCATTAATAGAAATGTCGGTACAATTGCGTATCGAATGGCCACATCAGTAAGAAAGCTGCTCATTGTGTGCTTTTACCTGAGATATGTTGTAGAGATTGCATATTAAATCTCACTAAGCTTTACCGGCCGGTCGCTTTCTGCTACCTTATACACGCATTAGGCACGTATGCGGTATTTCCTCTCCCTCTGCATGACTGTCTATGTGTACAGTACATTTCTCGTCCGGGGTTTATGCATGAAACTAATTGATCAGCTGACGAGTGGCGTTATTGTTGTCCGTGTATTATTTTATGCTTGACAGAATTGCCATCTCCAATAGTTAACAATTACCTGATAGGGCCACATACTCACCCAACCCCTGGGGAATTAGCTTTTCAATGCCTTTTGGGACACTGACCAATTCAGCCACTGCCCACTCTTGTCACGCAATATAATACACCCATCAGCGGTTCCGAGCTGTGCAACTGGACACTACTTTCGCTCTCTCGCTGTCTCTCTCTCCTTTCCCAAACAACCCCGTATAAAGCTTCAAAGCGATAACACCATCGCGTGACTTCACAGCTGTTTCTCCACATAATTTCTTCATTAATCACGATAAGAAAAAAGGTCATACTGCGGCTGATTATGGGAAATGGCGAGTCAAACACATAATCAGTCCAACTTTTATACCGATCTTGAATTTTGGAAAAACAACAGCATTATACCGGGAAAAGTCCAGTTACTAACCGTACTAACTGACGTCTAACTTGAAAACACTTTTATGAAAGGTAAACCATATGTGACCTTTCTCTGCACTAGAAACCACCAGTCCTTAGAAAGCATAACATTGCTCTCCAAACCTAAGCAATCTAAAACCTACAATTACTTAAAAACAAATCACATTTTTTTTAAACAAATACATGCGAGGTCCAATGCAAACATACGCTTGGCATTATGATTCATGAAGAAAACTAAATTTATAAAGCGGTAATTTAGGATTACGAGTTTACTTTTCATCGTTAATAATATAATAGTGCCACCACTCTTTTCACAGTGGCAAAAACTTTAGTACGTGTACCATTGTGCAGATATAATGCGTGCATAATTCTGTGTAAAAGCTTATCAAATTAATGCGTGCCACGATATTATTTGATATCTTGTTCCACTACTCCATTATCTGGTTTCCCTGAAGGACACCGATATCGGAAAAATGGTGTATAAAAGCGTAGAATGTACAAGAAATGTCACACTAATGAAAACCTTCTGTGGTAATTGAGAAATTTGATCGTTTGCTTACACAGATCGTTTAAGGCCCAGCTTCCCCGTCGACAGCAGCCAGTGTACGCGCCTGCAACATGAGCAGTACAGGCACCGATTTGTGCCGGGTTTAGTTATTAGTTAGCTTATTCCAGCTGCATACTGTACTTTTACTGCATAGTGGAATGACCAGCGGAAGCGCGCAGCCGACGTACGTTCCGTTGGCCCATACTTTTGGCGGTGATTCATGCCGCGCTATCCAAGAGGGAAGTATTGATATCAATCAAAAAAACTTTCGATGCCAAGGCGGATGTTTGACTGGCAGGAAGCGGCGATGACAATTGCAGAAAGCGGAGCAAATATGTAGACAAGCCACAGGGAAAAATGGAAAGATCAAAAGAAAATATATAAAAAACGCCCTCTATTAGATTGTGTAGACAAATCGAAAGTTTATTATAACATGCCGGCTAAGACTGTATAATCTAGAACACTTTGAAGCGGCATGGTCGCACAAGTCTCAGATCGAAGCCCCGCCGCAGTCCTCCTATGATAATAAACTGACACGAAACTTTCAAACTTTCCAGGAAAACAAATTGCATCTTGGGGCCGGCAAGAGAGACGCGTCCATTTGGCATGAATTATGGATACACTTAGCTCAGTTTATGTCTCGTCTATAAGCAATATCCATATCTCATCATCTCCTTCACATGTCTTTCAAGCAGCGCACCATGATTCTAAGTGTAAACATGGTTACATGAGTCAATCGTGCGGAATTGTTGAGAGATACGACGCTTATGCCATATAGCCAAAAACGCGCGCTGGGTGCTCCCTACACAGAATATACGGATTTTGCACCTTGCAAACGGGTTTTCATAACATTACGTTTTGGACATACCTTAGCTTGGGGCTGCTGCAACACTGCGTCGAGGCAGTAAATTTGCACCGATGAATTAATTTACATTCAATTTATCGGAAAAGAATATTGCAATCACTGTATAATTGTACAATGCGCACAAGGACGCCGGCCAAATTCGTTACATGTAAATTGATTAAATAATATGAAAATCACTTTCCCGACGTTTTCTGAAATACAGCTGAGTTTCAAGTGGTAAAATGAGCCACCATTAACTATGAGATGTGACGATATATCACCTACAGCTGATTCAAATTCAACAGTTATTTGAATTCTAGTTAATTAACTCTATGATTTTGCTAATTCGGTAATAATAACTCATTAACAAGGCGGCTTAACATATATTTTCAGTTTACAGAAACCTAAGTTTGGTTTGTCGTTAAAGCAATATATTAAGGCTCAAACAGCAAATGTATGGCTTGTTATGGCATAACAAGCAATCATCACAACGCGTAACGCAACTGCTTTTATGGCAAATATTAAGCTATAAAGCTTTTGAGCCGAGTCTGATTATGATACGCTGTAAATCGTAAATTTCTTTTGATTCGCTTCTCTGAACAGCTAATCCTGTCTTGCGCGTGAGCGGCCAGGTGTTTGATTTTACAATGTACACTGCTTATTTTTATTTAACGACAAACCGAACATATGAGGATAGCCGTGGTAGGTATTTATCGTTAATCAGTATTTTATTTGTCATTACATGTTACCGAGAATGTCTGCCGATTTTCGGTCGCGAAAAAAATCAAAATCATGTCGCGACCAGTGCCATCATCATGTGATCATGAGCCTGAAAGCTACATTTCTATGGCGAACACCTAATGTCAATCAAACGTATTGATAGTTCGTCAACACGTAGCTGGTTTAATGCGCCATATTCTCTTAAAGATGCGTATTACAATACAATTTTCAAAATATTCTGATAACAGAAATCACCAGAACTTTTAAAACGATCGAGCGGCGAACGCAAGATTACAACCTTTGGCGCACATTACACGCAGACGATGATCAGTTATTCAGTTTTCCATTTTCGGCATCAGCTGCCGTTTGCATCATAAGTTCAGAACTAACTGTATATTAGAGGGACACAGAATACTGAAGGCTGAACTGCTGCCTGTAGCTGTATGTGATAAGGCGTTAAATCTAACGAGAAGAACGAATGTGAAATATGATCCCTTATGGTCGGTAATTTATAAAGTATATTCGGAATGATACTACGGCAGCGCATATACGAATAAGCGTACCCATTTGTTTGCTTATAAATCTGCCAGCGCTGCTTGCTGCATTACTTCAATATTTTGCCATCCTTCTTGTGTGGCATTTCAAGTTGACACAACTACGCCAGCGGTCAATATTTAGCGGATCCTTCTGGGCATTTTGACGAACATTATGGAGTAACGATGCAGATTGGAATAAAATTTTCGTTCTAATTAGCATGAAATATTGGCTATTCACATGTGCATGATATTTGTATGGCAAAGGAGAGTTATCTATCTATAGTGTTATTGCACATAAATAATAACACTACAAGAAATTCATGAACAGTAAACAGACGTAGCTGACAAATAAACGTGAACCAGTAAGATTGTAATGATATGCGCAATGGACATAAATAAAGTTCGGCCAAATGTTTTTGGCAGGTTTGACCTCGTTAACATCTGCAAGATCGAATAATCAATTCAGTATATTGCAGCACTATATAATCGACCCTTGATAAATATTAAATAATACTACTGAACTGGTTCTTAATAATTTTACCATGTTTCCAGGCACATGTGTGCTATAATAGGATAAGTATGCATATGCGCTATAAAGTATAAATATCAATAAGCCAGTAGCTTTTTTCTAGATGATGAATTTTTTCTAGCTGCACAAATTCAGTTTTTTTAGATGAGTCGGTAAATCAAAAAAGTGTACTGTACAAATTTTTCAATTTAATGTTTGTTTTAATTCTTGTGAACGCGCGAACGCCTGTAAAATTGAAAACATAAACCGGACAGCAACAAATGTTTTTATTACAGCGATTTCGTAGTTTGGCTTAATGTTATGCAGAGCAAAATTTTACGTGTTATTACATATGCCGCAAATAGCAAGTACATGATGAAAGGCATACATAGCTGTCGTAGTCCGTGAAGAGCCATTTTTCATCACAACTTTGAAAACTGACACTTAAAATGTTCCGGATTAGACACCTGCGTAAGTCACGACTATCGACGATAGCTAATAAAACATCACGGATATGTGTACAATTTTACACCGTAATAATTCTGCAACCTTATCGATGGAAAGAGAAATTTGTCAAACGCATGCGTCATTTTGTGACAATATTCAACACGAATATCGCCAGAAAAGATCTCAAAACTTGCAAAACAGCTTTCGAAATAATCTGTTGATATCAGTAGAGATTTCCAGCGAGTTGATAAGAGACGTATATACAGAACTCTAAAATCTGGGTACAAACACAATATGTAAATTGTTAGTACTGCAATCGTGTAATGGATCATGAAAATTAATATTGGTCAGTGTCACTAATTACTAATGTTGACTCAGCCGAGGAAGCAAAATTAACACAAGCGAGTTAAGAGCCCGACAGCATTCATAATGATTTGCAACTGACTACTCTAGACTGTGAGCGGTCTGCACTATTACCATGCAAAACAAAACTGCGCCAATTCACCAGTTTATTTTTTCATTTTTAGTCAACAGTAGCACTTAAATATTGCCGTACAATACTGGGAATAAATATGCCAATGTGATGGTGGACCGCTCACCAGTGTTATCCTGTTTAAATTTAAATTGTTTTCTTGGGTGGAAAGTCGGCGTCCGCAGACGTCCATATTGCTTGAACAGTCGTATTATTATCATAAATGCACTGCCGACAGTAAAGGTCTAGATGCAGCGGAAAGGTCTAAATGTTTGTGATTACTCATGATCAAATTGTCCGGGGCATATACCGTCCTGGATATTCCCAGTGTTTTCCCACTAAACAAATCATTTGTATGCACGGCGCGCGGAAGATACGATCAGAGACTGTCCACTCTCTGATGAATCACGCCCCAGTGCGTGGTCACTCCAACTGAACATTCATTTAATGCGCCAGTATAATGTAAGTGGGCCCGGGTTACCGGGCTTTTAAATTTCACCCCTTGATTCCAATATGGCACGCACTTTTATTATGGGCTTACAGCCTTAAACCATGGGCAGATGGTTCAAAATGCTGATCTGGTCAATGATTAATCTGCCTCAATCAGGGCTATTAATTCCAACGCGGGCTTTATTGCCCTTCTTATTATCTCAAGTACCTTTCACCAGTAACTCTGAAGGCCGGTACAGGCGAAATTTGAACTTGCCGATTACTTGAGTCGCAACAGAATAAAATGTGTTATGCAGTAACGATTACACTATGTATGTTAAAATTTCTAGCCTTAGTACTGTACATAATTTTCCTTAAGAAATAATTGCCGTTATAAGATCTTTTCGAAAAGTAGGTTTACACTTTACATTATAAACAATGATCTGTTGATGCTGTGATTTTGGGCATTAGAAAGATTTGAGCATATTGAACAGATGCGACTGGAAGCATAGCACAAAAATCGATACGGGAGAAGATGCGGACTACTGTAGTCTGTAGGTCAAAAGCACTGGGCGATCAAGCATGTCTTCTTATCAAAAATTCAACCCAACTGATCTGCGGCGGCTTAACTCGTCTAAAACACTGGATTTATGTGTTTCAATTGTATGTGATCGTTAAATCGTGTTTGACTGATTTTGCTACTTAAAGCTCACATCGATTTCGATTAAAACAGTCGTTTACCAAATCGAGACCGCGCATACAGTAATTTCTTTTACGGATCTCTTTGCATCAGTACACGAGATAATAATGTTTTCACAAGGAAAAACATCTGATCAAAAATTAATGTTAAAGATGAGCCAGCCTAAAACACCCTAATCAAAGCTTGATCATTGCCGAACGCATTTGGAACTGAGTGCTCAATAATTTCATAATAACGGTGATTATTCTGCGCGCTTACCGCATCGCTGCTTTCATATTGGAGCCAAGTATGATTGTACTTCGATATAAATGATGCTTAAGAAAAACGACTTTCCATCAAGCCAGTGGACCAGCGCTATCAAACGTGCTTAATTTATGCCAAAGCGAATCTGAATTCACTATAATCTTTGCAATGGATAGTTGGATACTAGAAAATGTTTACGTACTGTTATAGAATAACATACTAGAAAATGTTTACGTACTGTTATAGAAGACTCACAAATTTTTAGAATGAGCAAACTAATTATATGCTGAACCGAAAAACCAAGCATAAACCACTCATTGTTTCTATTGTTTTATCATTGCTAGGCTAAAAGTCTGTAAACCGTATGCGTTTTTATTTAAAGGGTATCGTGTGCATTGTGTTGTCCTTGGTTTTGTATTGTATTTTAGTTAAAACTTAATTGTTAACGTAGTGTTTAACACGTTGAAGATAGCAAGATTTCTATAGCTCAAAACAACTGTTGTGGGACATCTTAAACATTTTTTAGAGGTCACCAATCAATTAAACATTGCAAAATTTACATTTACCGTTTGACGCAATATTTTCAGCTGCGAAAATTGTGGTTTCACGCCGGTTTTGAACTAACTGTATTACAGTTATGCGTGTGTTCTGTTTAATAAGCGTTACCGCTAAATTTTCTAAGGTCATCCTAAAAAATTATTTTCTGTAGTGCGATGCACAGTCGCAATGATTTGAAACAAATGATATCGAAAATAACCACAGAATCCCTTCCCTATTATAGTTACTTCCTTCGTCTACTCTAGATAAAATTATATGTGATGTCATGGCAGCACCGAAAACAGAAAACGTTTTCTAGAAATTAAAACGTTCGGTGAGCAATATTTGGCCGGTCAGCTCCAGTTCTTGTACAAGTTAATCCCTTAAAAACAAAACTTTGGAAATTGTGAACAAAGTGGAAGAAACTTTAAGTGAACCGCTCCAGTCTGTTTTTTGATGTTGTATTACGAATTCGAAATCTGACATGTGATTTCTGCTAAAAGAAAACATCACGAGATTTGCAGACACAAGGTGGAATATCTATAATAATATTATCATATAATTCTACATAAAAGAACCTAGCTACTGTTTTACGAAAAACATAATGCAGTTGTGGTATAGAGACTGAATCCATGCAATAAACATGATTCGGTTATGTTAGGTTACCGGTGCGTTTCGGTGCGCCACCGCGTCGACAGTCGCGCTTGTAGCCAGCTTCATCAATCATTATGTTCTGGCTGGCACAAAGGAAATAATTGGCATTTTATTTTTCCATCAACCATCCATCAAGTCTTTTTTAAGTTGTCTACTTAGTAAAGTA